TGACCGCACATCTCTTGTGTGGGCCCACTAGGCCGTATTCTCACAATACTTATTGAATCAAAATGTCAAAGTGAACTATGAAACTTAATAGAGTGAGCAAAATTAAAGTGAAAAGAAGTTAATTTAGTTACTTAACATCAAATATGTCACCAATGAAAACCAAAAAAGGAGTAAAAAGGTATCATATGCTGAATCAATAAAATAGTAAGGACACCGAAATTAACCCTCTTCAAATTCTTGTGTCACTCAAAAATTTAAAGAGAGATGGTGCAGTAAAATAAAACTGTAAAAGAAAATGATAATTGTTGAAATAAAATCTCTTTTTGATCCTTGTGTCACTCATAGACTTGAAAATCAAATGGTAGAAAATAATAACAAAAAATAATAGAAAAAACCCTAATCTACATCATTTTTGTCAATCTCCATTGTCACACATGGGAGATTTGAGACATGGGAAAGAAAGGTCAAGTCATCGCCACTGTCACTATGAACACTACAGCCATTACCATTGTTGTATGTTGCTGCCACTAGGCCATTGTCACCATTCATTACAATCACCATTGTTGTCATCTCTGCCTATAACATAGAGAGGGGCCAACTAGTGCTCATGTGCCCTCGCTCTCAAGGTTTCATCTTTTTCTCTTCTTCTCTCTTCTCTTAAAAACCCCTCATCATAATGGCCAAGTATTGGGCTTGATATTGGGCATGATCTAATCAACCCACTATCAAGCACAATATTCCTTTGAAAACTATAATAAATTCACAAAAATTCTATTCTTTTGATTTTTCTACACTTTTCTTGTCAATTAAAATATTTCTCAATAAATCAGCCTTAGATATATAGGTTAGTAAAAATTATTTTATTAAATGGTCATTTCTCAAGACTAAAATATAGATTGACATAGAAATTCATAACATGTATAAATAAAATTTATTTTAGCATTTTTCATTCAATTTAGTTATAATTAGTATTAATTAAAGTAATATTTCTCTTGGTTATCATATAAAAATGATGCATTAATATCACTTAGTGCTACCATCATTATGCAGCATCTTTAATTGGCAAGAGATAGCAAATATTCATTGGTTCAAATCCTAGCATCTCTCTTCATTTAATTTTAATTTTTTATGTGATTTTTGTAATTCTATTTTAGTTTGTATAATATTATTATATTATATTATTATTTTTGAAATGTTACTGAAAAAACTTGTCTTTTTTAATTTTAATTTTTTCATTTTAAGAGCATTAAATTATAATAAAAGAAATCCAATCATTTTTGTGGCTTGACTTGAACTTTAAATGTTATATATATTTATATATATATATATTCTTTGAGTGTACTACATGCTTGCAATGACCAATTCGTGTTAGTACTCTAAGCTACGACTAATGATAGGGATGTCATCTAGGTAGATAACTATGAATCTGTCTAAGTAACATCTGAAGATGAAGTTTATTAGAAGGTCAAATGCTACAAGGGAGCTTGTGAGCCCAAAAGGCATTTACATGAATTCAAAATACTCATAATATGTGACTATATCATCATGGTTCATCACCCTCTTTGATGCTCACTTGGCGATTATGGTTTTAAGGTTTAAGTGAGAAAAGATCTTAGTGCTTACTAATTGGTCAATGAGCTCATATCAATATGAAGTAAGGTATTTTTTTCAAATAGTGATATTGCTCTAGGCTTTGTAGCCTACGTAGAGCATGGGTATGCCATACTTCTTTTGTTGGAAGGGGAGTGGGCTCCAAAAGGAGCCTCGAATGTACAGATATGTCATAGATTTAATATTACATTTAATTTCTATTTTAGTTCTTCAAGATGTTATCTCATAGTGCTTTCATGTCATTAGGCTCTCTTTCAACATCAAATTAATGGTATGATCCACATCACGTCAAGGGGGACCCTGTACTGAAAATGCTTTTGATATAGCCCCCCAAAACTTTTCTAGGAGATGTATGACGTTCGGAGGAAGATGACAATGTCATCTATTTTCTTGTGTCTCCTTGTTGAGTCTATGGCACCTACATCACCCCCTGTTGTTGTTGTCGTCAGTTGTTCACTAACCTTATCCATCTCTGCAGCAGATCCACATGTCTCCTCACATCTGAAGTCATCCTGAAATTTCATTATCAAAATCATCTGAAGGTTCAGCCGAGTGTTAGTCACCCCTCATACAAAATAAGGAAACTCTTCTCTTCCTAATAGTGTACTTAATTGAACTATAGAAAAATACATGCTAGTACTCTGAAAAAAAATGTTGAAGTCGATAAGGCATTGAAGTCATCTATCAAGAGGACGAGAAAATTCACTTCCTCTTCCTATTATCCAACATATAGTAGTATGCCACATATCATTCCCATCAAAGGTGAGCATCAAAGTTTTGTTATCCCTTGATAGAAATGGTGCCTCTACTTGCTAGCTCTAATCCAAGTTAGGTCACGTCTTGTTTTGAGAAAAAGCTTAAGTTGTCTCACTATCCACTATCCCTATTCTGGGGCAGTTATTAATGGCAATCTCTGAAAAGAGAGAAGACCTTGAATCAGGGTTAGGGGTGGTAGCTACTTTATTGCAACGGTGTTCAATCTCACTTATACTTTTTGTTTGCTTGATTTAGAAAATGGCCACTTTAATATGGTCCTCCACAGATGTAGTAACTCGACCATAAGATATCTTCATAAAGTATTTTATGACAAACTCTAATGAACTAGTCTATATTTCTGATGTGGTCATTACCATCCATTCCTTCGGCCCCTGCCCTCTATGATGTTGCTAGAAATTGGCTCCAATCTCTTCAACATCTTGTAGCTTGTGGTGGTGTTGTAGTGTCTCTATCACTATACTAGCGATTGAAGGATTCTTGACATCCAATCGATGCATCTCCATTTGCATCCACAATTGTAATTTTGCTAAGAAATTGAAGAGCTTATCCACTTTAGATATATTTTGGACCTCTAATAGAAGTGATATGACTTGTAGACATAATATCGTAGAACTTCTAATGGCGTAGTTCATCTCGTGCTACCCAGATAAGCCGTGTGACATAGAACTCTCAAAGGTGGCCTTTAACATTTGTACACCTGATTGAGTCGGCCTTACGCTCCCTAAACCACAATAGAGGTCCATTTTGAGAAGATGGACTTCGTCTTAAAGGGACTTTCTCTCTCTCTCTCTCTCTCTCTCTCTCGCTCTCTCTCTCTCTCTCTCTCGCTCTCTCTCTCTCTCTATCTATCTATAGATATATATATATATATATATATTGAATGAGCTTAGACGGTAGGTGGTTGACTTTCTCCAGGGGCAGTACACGTATGATTGTCCCAAATGATGCCTTAGTTATTGTGACATTCAGTCGAAAGTAGATGGGTAGCTAACGGCGTCCAAACGAGCTTATCCTAATTGTCGTCCATTGTCCTAAAGTGGAAACATGGGCACATCCAGTGGGCCCGCCCATCATTCTAAAGCCCGAGCCAGATCACCGAATATTCCATACAGAGACGCATTATTGGCAAAACGGGTGATAACGGATGTCATATCAGATGGACTTCCCACAACAATTGAATAATCTTGAGCATTTAATGCCGAGTGAAGACCTAGCAAAATCGGCCGCAGAGATTTTCCCTTTTGACCCGGTCGCCGTTGGAAGAGGCGGGGGGATGTACGCCGTACATCAATTCATTTCACGTGGGGGCATTCAGGCCGGCGCGATATTCACGTGCTGCCCTCTAACGGGGAGGGTGACGTTTTCACGCGTCCCGTCGAGGTCATACGCACGGTGGCTGGAAGCACGCGTCATCCCTGCGGCGGCGCTTGCCAAGCGATGCCCTTCACTGTCTTTCTCCGGCGTACGACGGCCAGTCTGACTAGTCACTGTCGTCCCCGCGGCTACCGAGCCCGAGGCCCGCCTGCCGATTCTCCACGGCATCTGAGCCGACGGCCTCGCCGTCTCCTTTCCCACCCGGCCCCGGACGCGTTTGGCAGTCCTCCCCGCGTGACGAAGCAGAGCATTTCGCGGCGTTGACTCCAGAGAGAAGGCCTCTCCAGAGCGGCGACGTTGACTCGAGGCTCAAACCGCGTTATTCGCGAGAGAGCGGAGGATGGCGGAGTGGGGAAAGTCTAGGTGGGAGAAACTAGATCCGATCAAGGCGGATCTTCGGACTCTAGGGCAAGAAGATTAGAAATCGGAGACCGCAGTGCAGGAGTCTACATCACCTTCCTAAAGCGGTGCACATTTATCGTCATACTGTTCTTCGATTTCACGTCTTGGATCAAACTTTCATACCTAACAAGCGAGGCAGGGAACAGAGGGATTCTATGCATTAGCATAAAATTACAGTTGATGGAAGAGAAGATTGGGAGACCGCGAAGATCTCAGTGAACCATGCACCTACACGGTACCCATTTTTTCTTTATGGAAATAATCTATTTGAATAGGTTTACAACTGATAAATTAACTCCAAGGGCTCCTCAGCAACAGCCAATCAAAGATGGTCGCTGAGACGCCAGCTGCGAGATAATTCTCGACACGCGAAAAAGAGTAACAAGGTTCGCCGATCAAGCATTGCATACAGCAATGACCAAACTTGGCCAAAATCTTGAAGCGCAGGGTCTTCAGAGAGGAGCTAGCAGCGAACACCCTTGCCGTCACTGCATCTGGAAGATAAGATTCCGGATGATAAATCATGGCGAGCCATGCTGGTGGGTATATATGAAGACCAAGAATATACCTTGCAAAGAGAGGGCACAATGTCTGAGCGGCCGAAGATCGCTTACAATTCAATAACGCATAGAAGGGGTTCGACCCAAGTCAGCAAGACAATATATAAATACATAATACATTCATATATATATATATATATATATATATACTTGAGAATGACAACTGAATATCATTGCCAGTAATTAGGTAACCTAGTGATCCATTCTGTCTCTCCTACCACTTCGAGATGTACCCTCCAATAACTCTGGTGGACCTTGCCCAAAACTCGACGGGATCTATGAAGAATTGATCTCCCGAGAAAGAGCGGCAACCAACCTGTCTTTCGTCAGCTGTTCAGAGCCCTGGGGCTTGACAACGAAGGTGTGGAAGACCGTGTCACTGCCGACCGAGATCTTCGCGTCCACAACATCGATCTGTTCCTCGTTGAACACACTGATGACCTTGGAAACGGGATGAGTCTCCAAAGGGCAGTTCACCTGAACGATCACCTCATTGTGCACCACCTGGACGTCAACATAAGGGCACTCCGCCCGCTTCCTGGCATCCACCACAGTCACCTCGGAGAATCTCTCCCTCTCCAATTCCATCTCCTTCAACTTCTTCTGCAGATCGTTGATGTAGGATATGGCATCGCCAAGCAGGGAGGCCTTGTCCATCTTTGAGATGTTGGGCACCACAGCTCTTAGGGCATAGAACCGCTGGTTGAGCTTCTCCCTCCTCTGCCTCTCAGCTTCTACATGGTTGAGGGGCTCCTCTCTGCCGTTGGCAGGCTTCCTTCCTCTCTTCCGGGGCTTCCGCTCCTCCGGAGGGTAGGGTCTGTCTTCCTTGCTGGAAACAAGGCTGGCGTCAGACTGCTCAACCTGCAGACTGTTGGTGTGGGATTTGACAGGCACTGCCATTGAGGTCCCAACTGCCCGTGAAAAATCAATTTGCCTGGGTTGTGTTGGCGGAGCTGGCAGAGAACGCTGCCTCTTCGGTGGGAAGTGGCTCTGCTGGGGGTCCTCCCTGGCCCCGTTGCTGTGATGCCCAAAAGGTCGGCGGCAGGCATCCGCTTCAGCTATCACGACTCCAGTGCTGAATTTCTGCTGGTTGTCCATATGAGCTTGATTTGCATCCACACGATGAGACTGGGTCCAATTTAAAAGATGAAGATCCTTTCTACTGTTTGGAGACCGAATCTTGCCACCACCACCATTGCTGGTTTCCGAGTCCCACTGCTGCTTCTCCTCCATCTTTGCCACAGTCAGTCTCTCATCCGTCTGAGGCTGCCCGAGATTCAGATCCTTGCCAAAAATCCTCGGACGTTCCTCTGGCCGCGGTATGAACCCAAAACTAGACGCGTTGGCCGCGGTGGCCGCGGTGGTTTGGTTGTCTTCCTTGTCCGATCCTGCGGGCACATGCTTGACCGGCCCAGATGAAAGAATGGATTTGATCGTCTGTATGGCTCCTGCATTCTCGCTCAATGGAGTAACCGACCCCAATTCGAGGACTCCATTCGTGGTAGGCACCAGCACAATCGTCCTTATCCCCGTCGATCTTGCCAGGAATCCCCGGACACAGAAATCGGAGAGGGAGGACTCGGGCAAGGCGTCGGAAATCCAGAGGTGATTGCCGGATGCAAATACCTTACCTGGGGCGCCCTCTCCCTGGGGAAAGGAGAAGTACATGGAGGCGAGGAAGAACATCTCTGTGTCCGTGACTCTGTCCAGCCGGAGGGCGTAGTTCTCGTCGTCGGAGCCGCCGGCAAATACACTCAGATTCTGGAGGACTTGCTTCCTCATATGCTGGTGTGTCTCGTCGAAGTGCTGCTGCCAGCCGCGCTGAGAGAAGTCCTCCCTCTCTCGAGGCTCCCGGCAGTGGCCATCGCCCCAGCCAAGCACGATGTCGCCGGTCGCGGATCTTGAGATTTGCCAAAATATCGCATAGTTCCAGGTGAAGCCGGAGGGATTGGGGCCATCCACCAGTGCCGCCAGCTTGTCCTGGAGATCGGAGTCCCCGCCGATCGCCGTGAGGCCCTCCGACGACAAATGGACGGTGGTTATGTAGTCAAACGCCTTAGCGCCCAGCACAGCCATAGCCATAGCCTTGTCCTCCTCTTTCCAGAAGCCCATCGCCAACGTCCCCTTCTCTGTCTTCATCTCACCCCCAAAGCAGCGAACCGCAAGAAGAAAAAGATGGAGAGGACGGAAAAAGGAAGGGACCCGCCGGGAGTGAGAGGATGGGGGCGGGACGGCGAAAGCCTTACATCAAACTTCACGTTTCTCTTGATTCCATTGCAGCCGCCGCCGACTGCTACGATCTCCTCGATCGAATCGCATGCGCCGGCCCTCGGAGCGGATAAGCACCCAGTTCCCCTCCCTCTCCGAACAGGATCAATAGGTTCTAGGGGGAAGAGAAACTGGATTCCCTCTCGAGTGTTTGGCAATCGGGTAGCCAGAGGAAGGGAACAAATACGCAACTGCACGGGCTGCGGTGAGTCCGGGTGCTCGCTCAGAGCGCGAGCCCGGTCTCCTCCCCACTAAGACAGACAATAAGAAACTCAGCCCACCCCTCTGACTGCAAAAATCTTTCTCACCTTCCTTCCGGGATCCCTTCTTATCGACCTACTAGTCTACACGAGTCCTCACCTCTGCGTGCAGCGGGGATTATTCAGAAGGAACGAGGAGGGCTGCGGCAGGGGAGGAAAATTACATTGCAGGGTAGGTCGGAGGGACAGGCGAGGTTGGAACGGTGAGAAAACAGGCGGATGGATGGAAGAAGAGGAAGAAGAGGAAGAAAAAGAAGACCACATCACAAACAACCCTCCCACTTCAGGGTCCCCACCGGGGTATAACCAAAGTTAGATTCTACCCTAGGGTTTGTTGGCTAGCCGTCTTCGGTCACCAGGGAAGCCGCCAGGGATGGAAAGAAGACAACGCCTACAGACCTCTGATCCTCTTGTTCTCTGGCTGGAACCCCCTTCCCCTCTCTCTCGCTGTTTCCCATTCCAGACCAGCCGTCTCCTTTCGCGGAGGTACTTGCCACTTCTACATTAACGAAAGATCAACGCGGCAGAGCGCGTACAGAGCTACAGTTCCGTCGGCCTCACGGGGGAACCCGATAATGGGCCGATAACAGCCTGGAAATTAATCTAGATTTGGCCCAGTCTTTTATGGACTTCAACGGTAACGTGAATGTCGGCCCGGTTCAAACGGCGGAGGGAACGGGGATGTGTCAGTTGGATGGGCTGAAACAGACGTGTTCGATCGTGCGCGTGCTGAGGAGATTGGCAACGCACGACCAAGTTGATCCGTTTAAAATGGACCAATCAGGAATTAACGCGTGGCAGATACTTCCCACAACGCCCATCCCCCCGGGAATAGACTCGAGGGGAAGCGGGAAATCGGCGGTTCCTAAGCTTCACGAGACGCAAACGGAGATCGGGAAGCTAGTTGTCCGGAAAGATATTTCCCCACCCGCCATTTTCTTTCTCTTCAGTTCGGGCGTCTTCTTCGATTATCCCCCTCCGCCATCGCCTCCCCATCCTCCTCCGCCGCCTCCCTCTCCCTCTCTCGCTCTCTCGCTCTCTCGCTCTCTCGCTCTCTCGCTCTCTAGATCAGAATCTAAAGGGATCATGGACGTCCTTCACGTATCATGCGGCGCAGTAGCAGCCAGCAGTTCAGCCGGAGCGAATCCGCTGGATCGGGCCCCACGACGTCGGCGAACTGGGTCTGGGAGGGACGTCATGTTCCCTCTTTCTGTGAACCGGTGGCGCGATGATCTCTCTCTAACGTGGTGCACCGCGCAGAGGAGGAATGAAGCGTCGTATGCCTTGGAAGATAAAGAAGATCCAGAGACGGTGGAGGCTGAAGAGTTGACGGGTATCAATATTCTTACCGTGAATGAGATGACTTTTACCCCTTTGGGCCGTTTGTCAGACTACCTCTCGTTTTCTACCGTTCTCTCCCTTATTTTTTATATTTTCAATTTACTGACGGGTTTCAGAAAAGATTCCCGTACTCTACTATGGTCCAACAGGATTCAGATAAGTTCTCTCTAAATACCGTCGTTCAATCTAATGACTGTGCTTATGTCCAGCACCATGACGTGTTGACAAAATGGCACGTGAATAAAATGCTTGGGCAGAATATTCCAATGTTTCAGGCGGATAATAAAATGATATTTATAAATAATTTGAGCTTCAGAACTTGAAGCTTCTTACGATTTGAGATTATTTATTTAAGTCAAAACACTAGAGCGGAAACCAGTGTTTTGCATCCCGCAGTCGCTTCGCAAACCTGGAGTGGCACGCCCTTATAATTTTACGAGCATTTGCACATTCTTCGAGAAAAAGATTGCGAGAAACTCATTTGTTATGCTTTACCTTCACAATCGCCGCCTAACCTAATGTCCTCTTTTAAACAATTTAAAGATGGACTGATATGACTTTAACCATTAGACTGGAAAATGCATTTTTCCTCTCTCTCTCTCTCTCTCTCTCTCTCTCTCTCTCTCTGTAGAAGGGAAATATGATTGAAAATATGGAGAGAGAGTACCGACGTCTTGATTGTGGGTAGAACGTCAATCTTGTAAATAGTGTGACAATTTAGTATACAAAGATGCTATCCTTACTTGCTTCGACTAATTTTGTCCATATTTTCCGGGCTGATAGCTAAGCATTTTAACTTTGTTGCAGGGAGAATAGAACTTCCCAGTGTTGGTTCCACTGAAGTTACCATGAGTGAAGACGAATATGAGGATGTTATCGAGGAGGATCAAGCACAAATAGGAATAAGGCTTAACATTGTTTTTGTTACTGCTGAAGCTGCTCCTTACTCCAAGACCGGTGGTCTGGGAGATGTCTGTGGTTCTTTACCTATAGCCCTTGCTGACCGTGGTCATCGTGTCATGGTAGTTTCACCAAGGTATTTACATGGTGTATCCGACGTGAATATTGCTCGCGCTGCTGATGTTGGGTCCAAAATTAAGATTTCGTGCTTTGGAGGAGAGCATGAAGTTGCATTTTTTCAAGAGTATAGAGCTGGCGTCGACTGGGTAAGAATATCACATTTTTTTGGCAATAAATTTCTGATGAAGTTCCAAGTTCTATACCTATGGACCATAGACGCGTGTCCATCATTCGTCAAACTTTGAGGAAACTGCAATTTTTTTCACAATCCTAAAGTGGAGATATAAGCAAGTACTTGATAAACATGGTTCGACATGTGTCTGATTCATCTGATTCCCAAAATTATTTTTCACTGCTTTGATTAACTGTACGCGGCACCAAAGTGCCTTGCAAAACAGTGGCATATTAATAAAATCCCCTCTTTTATGAATTCGCCCAGTCACGCATATTGCATATATTTGTATTTAAATTTCATGATTTTTTGTTGAAATGACTGATTTATGTCGTCATGTAGGGTTGCATTTATTTACTTGTATTCCATCCTTCTTTCTAGCCTTCTTTACCTTAGATCGTGGAATGTTTCTCTGCTGCCACATATATGGAAGAGTTTCCATCTATTTTTTTATGTATTTGAGTTGAGTTCTTAGATATTTTTTTGTTCTATATGACAGGTCTTTGTTGATCATCCTTCATATCGCAGAGCAGGAAACCCATACGGTGACAAATACGGTGCATATGGTGACAATCAGGTATATTTTTACAAATGTAAATATAGTCTTGGGAGTGTTCGCAGTGTCGTGTTCTGCAGCTATGCACATGGTGAATACAGTCACCCCTGGATTGAGTATATATTGCAATATAGTCTTTTTGGCCAATGGCCTAAGAAATTTTAACATTACTTCTAAAGACTATCGTTAAGGTCATCAGTAAGCAATATTTCCGTTTCTTTTGCATTGTGATAGATAATGGCCAGTTGAACATTTATTTTGACTTCACACTGACGCCTACCCTCTACTATTTTATTTTATTTTCTATCTTGATTTTTCAATCGCTCTAGCTATCATTTAATAAAGCTGTCCATTGTAAATTTATTGTGACTTTTTTATGGGATTTGTAATTCTTAATATGTGATGCACAGGATGGTCTGGGCAACCTTTCTGTTCTTATTTGCTTTTATTCTTGTCAGTTATGGTTCAACACATTTCTTTCTTCTTTCCATGAGAAATATCAGTACAGAAAGAATAATCATGGGGTTTACCTTCTAAGTTTTGAAGCTCTCTCCTAGATATCTCATTTTCAAGCCAAAGCAAGGTACTATTGAAGTAATTTTTGATAAAAAATTAAGTTTTTTCTAGCGATGTTGGCTTTTTCCCTTTCAGACAATTGTGCTAGAAGAAATATCACGAATTGATTAAAAAAAATTGGCTCTATCTACATGTTTATTATAGATTTCGTGGATGGTAGTGATCCTGAGCAATCTATCTGTTTACAGTTTAGGTTCACACTGCTTTGCCATGCAGCATGTGAAGCTCCGCTTGTACTACCCTTGGGGGGGTTTACTTATGGAGAAAAATGCTTGTTCCTCGTCAATGATTGGCATGCAGCCCTTGTACCAGTGTGAGCAAGCCATCTTCCTTATTTCCTCGTTGTCTTTATTACATCTCTTGATATTGTCTGTGCTTTGAATAGCACGTGTTGGTGAAATTTTGGGAACTTTTTCTTCAATTTTATTAGGGAGCGTGGATAAAAGATTTGTCATATATGTTGCACTAAACCACAGTCATATCAATATGACCTGTAATCTTAATTATATCATTTGTGAAAAAATACGAATGGATGTAAAACGTTGCTTTTATAGATTTTATTAGGGTTACAGATCATTTTGGACCTTTTGGATATTCTTTATTTTCCTCAGACCGTTTCATTTGGATTCATTTCATGGTTGTTTGTTTTCCACCATATGAAAAATCCGACTGTTGGTCTGTTTTGGCATTGTTAGAAATTGAAGATATATTTGAAGGATATGAAGCGTGAATGCTTTAAACCTGTGTAGAAAATATTTTAGGCATTTTTTATTTTTTTGAGATGGTTTTACTGAAGTCTATACTTGAGGCATCCCTCCTGACATCATAGTGCTTACAACAGGGGGGGAAATTGACTGCAGGGAAACGTTTTTAGGTCTTTGTGTTTTTCGATATTGTGGAGGTTGTTGTAATATATATCATGGTCCATGATAAGTTTATTGGTTTGGCCTTGTCTCATGAAACGGTTCTCAATACTGATTTAATATTTTCGATGCCTATTTTCTAGATCTGTTGTATTTAATGCAGCTCTGTGTATTCTTGTGTTCTATATTGAAAACGTTTTCACGCTGTATAAATCATATTCAAATCGATTTGTCCATGGGTGATCACAAAAGGTTTTCCCATTCGTCAGTTGTTTGTACTCTTTTCAGCGCAGAAAGAAAAATATCATGCAAGAAATAACATATTGCTTTCATTTATTCGTTATGCCATAATGAGTACACACTTCAATGTTCATTGGTGGCATGTTCAGTTCAGATTTGAGAATTTCCGCCTGCAGTCTTGTTGTGGATTTAAAGAGTTACATGTGTGTGCTACATATGATCACTGTTCCATGAAAGGATATTACGTGCCACATTGGATGCTTTTAAACTATGCAAGGATTTTCTGTCACAAAGGTGTACAGAAAATATTTTAACTTTCCCATGAGAAAATTACCAACAGAAAATGCAAAATTTGCTCACGGTGCATTCCGTTATGGCTTGACCAATGCATCATAGTCATCTAATTAGATTTTAGACAGCTTGATTTTTTTAATCAATTTTCATCTTCCACCGTCCACAAAAGACTTGTTTTTTCCACTAAAACTCCATTTAGCCTCATTCACAAGTCCATATTTTATTGTCCTCAGTCAGAATGGCATGAGTGATCGGTTTGTTGTCACCTTCCTATCAGACGTTTGTTATAAAATAGATATTTTTTTATCACAGCTATCTTCCCCTTGTCTACCAAATATAATGGGAAATACTTTGTAAGGTTATTCTTTTAAAATAAAGATTTAAAGGCAGATATGAGAGCGTAAAGCATTATGGCTCTGATATTAAAGGTTGAATTTTATTAGAAAATTCAGATTTTTTCATCTCCGTTGGTGAAATATATCAGTGAAACCCAAAGGGTGTGGATATCTGGAAGCAGTAAAGACGCCTGATGCTATTTTTATTTTTGCCTTACCAACTGCGACATAATGTTACGATAATACGAATTCTTTCATGACCATTAGGATATACTATTGGTGTGAGAAATTAGATATGCAATCGTTTTCAACTTAAGCATGGTTGCTTATGTTGATACTGTGAGGAACCAAACATTTTTTTGCAATAATTTTTATTTAAAACTATGGTTGCTTATGTTAATTTTACCATTTTAAAATTTTAGAGGCTCTTAATACATCATCGTCTTGTTTATGTTATCTATTGAATTCTTATTCATCATTTTCTTGTTGACTACTGGTTTATTTTTTACAAACGAATGGATAAATGGACATCATATTTCCTAGTTTGGGTGTTTTCTCGTATATTACTGCTTACTTCATAGTTTTCTCACTGCCACCAGTCTTTTAAGCGCAAAGTATCGACCATATGGTGTTTATAAAGATGCTCGGAGCATTCTTGCCATTCATAACCTTGCACATCAGGTATCATCTGAATCATCATCATTTCTAATAATGATAAATTTGAATTCTATCCCTTAGATTATAGTCTCTAGTTCATAGCCTTTAGATCGAATGGCTTTCTGGATGATAGACCATCCTTCATTTCCTTGAGGCAAACTTTGGACTAAAGCAATACCCATGGTAATGTGCTGTTAGTCTGAAGTTGATTACAAGGAATGACGTTCTTTTAGATGTGATCAAAGATCAAACGCATTTGTTTTTTCCATTAGCATTTATCCTCTTTGTCGTTTATTATTACTGCGAATGTTTAGAGCCGATAGAATAAGATTGAACTTGAAATGGCTCTGGTTAAAACATTGGACGTGGCCAAAGTTGCTCTTGTTGAATTTCCAAAGAGAGGCATATGAAAAATGCATCTCAAAGAGTAAAAAAAGTAGAGTGGGTAGGATGATTTAATCTGCTTTAGCATTCGTCCTAATGAAATTACCGATCTGCCATTTTTTATCATTTCTATTTTTTTTACTTTTCCTAAGTTGGCAAAGCATTTTTAGTTATCTAAATTTATTTATTACTTCTTCATTAACATCATCGTCGATGTCATCTCTTACTATTGAATGTTCAAGGGAGTGGAACCAGATACAACATTCCCAAATTTAGGCTTGCCATCTGAATGGTATGGTGCTCTGGAGTGGGTATATCCTACCTGGTCAAGGGCACATGCTCTTGACCCAGGTAAAGCGGTCAATATTCTAAAGGCGGCAATTGTAACAGCTGATCGCATAGTTACAGTTAGTCAGGTTGACTTTCTGCTCTGTTGATAAGCATATTACATTATTCTTATGTTAATTGCCAAGTAAAATGTGGGAAATGCTGCGTGAATTTCTTATGCAGGGTTATGCTTGGGAAATAACGACTCCTGAGGGAGGTAATGGCCTTGATGAACTTCTTAGAACCCGAAAGCGGGTGCTCAATGGTATTCCCTAATACTTGGATTAAGGAATTTCATGAGAGGATCAATTCTTTATATTACTGACTGGATTGCACAACCAGGAATCACTAACGGAATCGATGTTGATGACTGGGACCCTGCTTCAGACAAACACATCCCGTTTCATTACTCTGTCGCGGATTTATCTGGAAAGGTGAGGTTGAGAAGCTCTTAATATCAAGAATATTAATAAGCATCGTCCAATAAAGCTTTTGTTCCAATTTCCAAAATTCATCACGACTTGACCGTCCTGCATTTATTTGTCTTGTCAATTAGGTCAAATGCAAGATGGCTTTGCAGAAGGAATTAGGTCTTTCCATTCGTCCTGATTGTCCATTGGTGAGTGTATTCCATCAAGTACATTTTTTTGCTATCACTCTACTTATCTGATCGGATTTCTTGCAGATCGGTTTCATTGGAAGGTTAGACATGCAGAAAGGGACTGATCTAATCATGTCAGCAATGCCAGACCTGTTGCAAGATGACATACAATTTGTAAGTGAATGACTGTCTTAACGGTTTCCCTGAAACTTCTGCATGTTTATTTTGGGGTTTCAAACGTCAGAGGTCTCCTTAGAATGCAGAAAGGGACTGATCTAATCATGTCAGCAATGCCAGACCTGTTGCAAGATGACATACAATTTGTAAGTGAATGACTGTCTTAACGGTTTCCCTGAAACTTCTGCATGTTTATTTTGGGGTTTCAAACGTCAGAGGTCTCCTTAGAACTTTCTAGTAATTTATTGGACTAGAGCCGGATGCACTCAAAACGTTCTGCTCCACTATGGTTGTTATTGGGTGATGAGAGGATTATTTTCGCATTTTCCTTTTCTATACGATTGTAGTCTATTGGCTAATTGTCCGGGTTCCAGAAAAGATGAATGTGCTAAGATATAAAAACTTCTGTTTTTGGTATATCCCTTTTAACTCTCTAGCATGTTAGAGCAGGAATTTCTAGGCAAATAGGATGAAAGAAAAAAATGGTGATAATGAGTTTAGGGAGGTTTCTAGGCAAAGTTTACAATCTCTAGGATGATAGCGTTCTTTCCAATGTTGAACTGGCGCCTATAAAAAAAAAAACCAGGCCTCATACTCTTTTCCAGCAGACCTCATTCTTGTTCGGAATGGCCAGGAAGTTCTACACCTTGTTTCTGTTCTCCGCTTTCCGCAATTGATGATTTTTGCTTGGCTATGGTATTCACCGGCATCCTATCCTATTCGTCTAAGAGTCATTCCAAACTCAGGTCATGCTGGGCTCCGGAGATCCTGGTACTGAACAATGGATGAAAGCCTCAGAGTCTGCTCATAGAGACAAATTCCGTGGATGGGTTGGATTTAACGTCTCTGTTTCTCATCGGATCACGGCTGGGTAACTTCACTGTTTTTCCTCTCAACTCGATAGTTTGCTAAGACATTAAAAAAGCATCATGCGGACGTGATTCTTGTGTCGGACAGGTGCGACATACTCTTAATGCCCTCTAGATTCGAACCCTGCGGTCTCAATCAGTTGTACGCCATGAGATATGGAACCGTTCCGGTCGTCCACTGCACTGGGGGCCTAAGGGTAAATATCTGGGACCTGAGAAGAACACGAGAAGAATTCTTTGCTCTGATCCTCGTTTCATCATTACTTCAGGACACCGTAGAGAATTTCAATCCATACGCCGATGAAGGCCGTGGTGAAGGCACTGGGTATGAGTCTCCGTCTTCGTATTAGCCTACAGTTCTATTAGCGGTTCCTGACGTGACCTTTTTGGATTCCGACAGGTGGACGTTCTCACCCTTGTCCAAAGACAGCATGCTGAGGGTACGTCTAGTCCATTCATTCACATGCTCCTCCATTGATTTGCCTTGAATCGGAACACTACCAGTTTTTGACTTCCCTTGCGGCCAAGGCTCGTAACCCGTTGACTATTTTACACGCGGTCGTTGTACTTGCCTCCATTTACGATGATTCATTCTCCATTCCCGCCTGCGCAAAATAATGGGTTCTTGATGATTGACGCAGGCGGTGAAGGTGGCAACCCGGACGTACAGAGACCACAGCGTCTCCTGGGAAGGAATCATGAAGCGAGGGATGGCGAAAGATCTCACCTGGGACAGCGCCGCCGCGCAGTACGAGCAAGTCGCCCAGTGGGCCTTGGTCGATCCGCCCTACGCCAGATAAAAACTCTGCGAGGGTAAACACCCCCCTGACCTACTTTTTTCCGTTGACTTCCTCCTTTCCCATTCCAGTTTTGTTAAACGCTCTTCTATAGAAATACATCTTTATTTATTATATAACTTATAACGGACGGCTGATCGTTCGGGGTCGTTGTCCGGTTTCTGGTTCTGATTGGACGGCCTACCAGCTGGTTGTTGGGCGGTAATCCTTCGTTCCCTCCATATGCCCGTACAGCCTGGCTTCCTTTTTTTCCCCACAACGTTGGGATGAATTTGGTCTCTATTTGGCTCGATTAACATCTTAATAATTTAATAATATCACGTTTGGAAGTAACACCTCTCTCTCTCTCTCTCTCTCTCTCTCTCTCTCTCTCTTGTTTATGCCCCTACCTTAATCTACATCAGCATTCTAATTAACTAAAAAAAAGAGGATGGGAATCGGTTAAGGAAACGTGGAAAAGTAAGCCAGGAGTGGTGTTTATTTTCGCACCTAGGTCGTAGAATGAGGCCGACTAGCCTAGTGGTAGTGGTCAACAGGCGTCAGCGAAGCTAAATGTCCATCAGACGATGGCCGTTCAATCGGGTAATGGGATTACCATGGATTTTATCTGGTCTTCAATGAGAAGTCCCGTCTGCACCTCTATGCGGGCACCGCTAAAATTCTACGCCGGCGACCATCCACCAAATCTGGCGAGGTTCCATGTTTCGCCAGGCCTTATTGAGCGTCAAGAGGAAGAAAGAGATGAAGCAGAAGCTTGATATACGCGTGTACTAAAGTATTCCTTTGTATGGCTATGGCTGGGGGGAGCAGTGGATTCACAGTATATACCCACAAACACCAGGGTGCTCCCGTATCTCGTATGGGCCACAAAGAGTCTCCAATCGCAGGGTTATATACAAAACGAGGACAGCATGATCGGAGCGGTTCTTGACTCGTCCGAAGACCTTCTCCCAGAGCTGCTCCCTTCCGTATAATCTGCTTGGAGCTTGATCTCTTCTGTTCTGGTACGTATGTAAGCTGTCTAAGTGGTTCGAGAGACGACAAAACTCCCTCTCTCAGGCGCTATGCGCTGCAAATATATCTAGGAGACCCAGCGCCTGCGAAGTGTTGAATCGAGGTTTAGTTCTTGAGATCGCGGAGGACAAATCGGGAAGCTGGGTGGTTCTTGGAGGAATAAGTGTGTTGGGGATGTACCTCGGGAACGCTGAGCTCCAGCCGGAACTTGGGGCCGTCGTAGTGATGGAGAACTGGCCGGAAAGAGTCCTCCTCCAGCGGCTCGCAGATCTTCCTTGTGAGAACCCTCACCTAGAGAAGAACCCAACAACCGGAGGCAGCCAGATTAGGGAAAACCAGGGAGGACACGAGCGTCGTCTGGGTAAACTATAAAAATATGTGGCTTCTCAGTACCTGAGCAGGGAAGCGGGATTCTCCTTGGGACTTCTTGTCCTCCCACGCCGTTGGGTCTATGTTAGTTCCACCGAAGCTGGCGGCCTGAACGGAGAAGAAAGCAAAAGAATCATTAGGTTCTTCGATTTTCCTCTGATGAGTCGAAGGAATTATCTTCTGGGTCGGGCGGGAATCAATAGAGTACCTCAAAGACGCCATGGAGCTGATGAGTGGAGTAATTGTAGAGGAACAGCGGCAGGCCCGGCGTTATCGCCCGGACCGAGTCCCTATACCTTGGCGGTAGGCCTGGAGGTTTCGTTGAGATTTCGAATTAAGTCATCAGAAGTTCAGATTTCATTTCGGGAAAGAACTGATCCTCAAAAAGAACGGAAAAACTCACCGAAAAGCTGCCGGCGGAGGTTCTCCTGCATGGTGTCGTTGTTGCAGACGAATATATATCCGCCGATCGCCTCGCTACGAGGCAGCGCCTCCGATGCCGGCAGGGTCTTGAACCTCTTATCTACCGCAACCTTATCGTTGCTATTCCTGTCGTTGATGTTGCTGTTTTTGTTGGCGCTGTTCTTCTTGCCGCCGATAACTCCCTTGCCTTTGCCGAGATCATTGTTGTCGTTGTTCCTCCTGGGGTGTTGCGCGAGGCCATTGACAGGCTTGTTGACTTCTTTGTTGAGCAGGTTCCCGGGTCTGGCGATCTCCCGGCTTAAGAAGCTGTTAGTGTTGTTGGCGAAGGCGCTCTTGCTCCCACCGAACGACGCCTTCCACCCGCCGTTGTTGCCGTTGAGATCGACGAAGCCGGGCTTCTCCGCTTGCTGTTGCTGCAGGAAATTCTGCTTTGCGTGCATCTGCCCTGCTCCTATGACGGACGGCGCACGCACGGCGGCGGCGTTATCGACGTTCTGACGCTCCTCGTTCCGGCCCTTGGCGGGAAAGGGGTTCGCCCAGATGCTATCTCCGATCGACAGGTTCGCGAAGCTGGCGGACGTCTCCACCCGCAGCTGGTCGCTGAAATTCCAGAATTCGTTCTCCATCTTCTTCGTCCTCACTATTGCTGCTCTGATCAAAGCCCGGAGGAGGCGCTCTTCTTCTTCCTCTCCCTGGTAAGTGTTTCGACGGAAGGAAGGGAGCAAGTGGGAGTCTTAAACCACTCGGCGAAGGAAATTTCCCGGAAGGAGACTGGCCTGTGTGAACGTGGCCGCGGAGGGAGGGTGGCGGTGGGTGGATACGACGGCGTGGCACGGCCGAGGGGATGGACTTGGCCGATGGAGAAAACGCGTTTCTGGAAGGATAACGACGTCCAGCGCTTGATCTTCACCGTGAACGTTAATCTCGTCGGACCGAGTCGCCGAAATGCCGTCAGTTAGGCCGGTGAACTCGCGATTTCATTAATTCGGAGAGGCTAACCCGGATTTGTACCTGGAATCGGACTCCATCGTCGCCAAGCAATCTGGATATTCTTCTAGAAGCCCGTTTTCTTCGCGGGGAAGCGTTCTCAGGCAACCCATCCCCTCGCGGCACGTGGACAACTTTGACTTTTGAGTTTGCCGAGTCAAGTGGTCCCCTTGACGGCTAGCTAGCTGGCACCGGCTGAATAACTCAGCTGTTGACACGTCACTGCGGACGTCCGATGACGAAGGGTGGCGCGGGGGCTCTCGTTCCCTCAGAAAAAATAGACAAGGGTTTTCGTTTAATCAAGATTTAGTCTACAAGTTGGGAAAATCGACGAAAATAGCTCGTGATTTTAATTTTAAATATAATATTTTATCGATTTTTATCTACTCAAAATAATTATGTAATTTAGCTCAGAAGCGAAGTATGCGAAGGCCTTAAAATTGTGTCCTGTCCTCATGGGGCATCATCGGGCATGCAGACGAAAGGCTAAAGAGGCAAAAGCAAATTCCAGTGCTAGAAGGTACTTGTTAATATCTAAAACTCTAGTTTAATAACATCAAAATTGGGTAACTTGCCAAAGGTGCATGTTGAGCGCTGAACGATCGATGTATCTATCATCGACAAAAATGCTTCACGAAGACTAGTAGATTAAATGAAGTTAATACGGAACATGAAATTAAATCTCTGGAGAAATTATGTGCGACCCATTTGTATCATGTTGTGTACGGTGAAGTAAAAATATTTGATAGTGTACGACAAAAAATAAGACTCTTATCAATAATTCTCGAGACCAGCTTTTCCATGCTACAAATTAACTTAAAATTTATTTGTTCGTCGAACTAACTCCAATCATAGACTTCAAGGGGAGTGAGGAAAATCTTTGTGTTCAGAGGATTGCTCAAGATACATTTTTTTAATAGGGCAGCATGTAGAACTGTCACCTTGTGTTATGTACAAAATATTAAGTTTTGGTGCACTTGGCAGATGCACGTTTGTGATCATACAACATGCTTGACGAGGAACACAAGGGAACGAGGACGACTCAATGCTGACGAGGGGATAGATGAAGATCCTCAATAGGGTTAGAGCATTCATATTGAAAAAGAAGGGTATAAAGTTTCGTTTATTTTCCAGAGTTGACTGTTCAGATCCTCAATTATGACTCAAATGTCTTTGCTTGACTGTTCAGATACGAAAGCAGTTGCTTTACTTGTTTACTGAAAGGGCTGGATCAAAAGTGTTGCGTATATGCCAAGTTGACTCCAAAATATGGGCAATAGACTACGAGCGTTATCAGATTAATGTGGGTTATGTAAGAATAATCATGGTGTTAAGCAGATCGCTCAATACTAGGGAAAAAACTGAGGGTATGATCGCGGGATCATATTCATTTGAGCGACGAAATCGTGGCATCCTCGGTTGACTGTTTATTGCTCTGAGCACCGGATTCGTTGGACAGCCGAAGTTGAGGGCTCACTCAGACAGGGGGCACCCACAGATATCTTATGTACCCCGACGGGTATGACGTTACCATCGGAGTGATGAAGAATAACAGCTGCGGCATAGGACAGACCCCATCTGTGGCTACCGTCGCCACCGGGGAAGAGCTCCGCCATTGGATAAGACCCGTAAGATCCGGGGGCAATCACGTCCTCTCACTACGCCTCGCGTAGCATTAGCACCGTCGGTCGGATCCTGAGAGGAGGTTCCAAGGCTCGAGGAAATAAAGCATTGTCGTCGAAATGGCAGAGGTGAGTGCATTATAAAGCAGAGGGGAAGAAGAGTGGCGGAAAGTGTGGTAGCTCAGGGTCAAGTGGCGTCATGGAGGAGGAGAAGGTATCAGAATCTCCAGCCGAGGATTCGTCGAAGTCAAAGGTGGCCGCGCCAGCGTCGACGGGGGCAGGGACACGGCATCCGGTGTATCGCGGGGTGAGGAAGCGGCGGTGGGGGAAGTGGGTGTCAGAGATAAGGGAGCCGCGGAAAAAGTCGAGGATTTGGCTCGGCTCTTTTCCCACCGCCGAGATGGCGGCGCGAGCGTACGACGTCGGCGCTCTCTGCCTCAAAGGCCGTAAGGCGCTCCTCAACTTCCCCGATTTGATCGACATTCTCCCCCGCCCCTCCTCCTCTATGCCCCGCGACATACAGGCGGCGGCCGCCGCCGCCGCTGCCATTTCTCGTCCCGCAATGGTCATGTCGGATTCGAGGGAGTTGGAAATTGCGCTGCCTTCTTCGATCTCTTCATTGGAGGAGAAGCCATCGTCAGGTGGAGACGAGGACGACGACTTCTGGGTGGAGATCGGGGAGCTTCCCGCGCTTGTGGGCGGGCGGTGCATGCCGGCGGACTCAAAAGGGGATATGTGGGAAGACCCTTGGGGGCCATCGTTCGGAAACCCATAGGTCACGGCGGAGAGCCCGCGGACTGCAGACGGGAAATTTGTGTCACTGGTGGCGGAAAGACAGCCGCTCGCCGGAGCATGCACTGCCTCCTTGAGACTTTACTGGGTGGGTAGGCCCGGTACACATGCGGGGTATCCTCTCCATTATTGAACAGCCAAATATCCCAGTGCTCCCGGGAAAATGTCTCTTCTGGATCCGCGCTCCTCTCTCTCTCTCTCTCTCTCATTATGCTTGAGTCTGCATACATACGTGGAATTCGTGAGTTAGCATTTATACATATCCGTACGTATGTAGTTTAAGGGAGAGAAAAACGCACGTGGACAGAATTGGCCGTGGCCGATAGCTATCACCACCGACGTGGAACAGCAGTCGCTTTGCGCTAGAGGGTTGGGGGCCACTGGAGTCGCGACGTAGCGGACTGCAGCTTCAAAATCTATGGGAATTTAGATGGTTTACTTATAGAGTTATTCGGAGCCTTCAGCGGCCTGCGGTTCGTTACTGATCATGCTTGAATTGTATATGCCCAGGACTTCTCTTCTCGTGTTTACATTATATCTGTTGCACCAAGATTATGACGCACGTTCCCCATAATATTTCTTAGGGACTTTTTAATCCAATTTTAGAGGAATATGTTTTTTTAATTTTTTACCTCTAGTATATTACTTTGCCGCTTCATTTTTCACAGGTACGTTGTTTTCTGAACGGCACTATGTTTCCTAAGAAGCCTTATATGCCTGATGCTAAGATTCATCCATCTTATTGTGAATTAGGAAATGGCCGCTGAAGTGATCGTATCTTCATTTGCTCAAATAAAATTCTATTATATACAAATTAAGATATTTTTTCTTCATATAAGAATGCCACTAGAGCATAGTATTGTCCCTTCTCGAATGATGTAAAATCCCTTATTTTCTGTACGGACAAGCAAAAATGCAGTGATCTACGACTGACTCTGAAATATGGGTGTACCAATTTGAGCCTCCGAAAAGCTTGCGCCATTGGAGATCCTACACATCACTTACACAAAGATTACAGTAAATGATATACTCGCATTTTCACTTCGATTTTTAGCTTCCACGACCACTCGAGTTGCCTCGATTCCCTCTGTCATCTTTTTAAATGAATTATTCTTCAAAGGTAAGTGTTCATATTGAAGCATAAATGGTTTGAACTAAAAGCAAAATCTTTGTTTCTGTCATTATATGTTTTATTCGTAATGGTATACGACCTGACATATTCTTTTTGGACTCATTCTAGGGTTTGGATCACCTTAATTTTCATACACAATAAAATATTTCTAACGCATGTGTGACCAGCTCTTCTCTCTATTTCAACGATATAACCTCAAACTCGTGATGAATGAATTGTCGAGTTCTCGACGACGCTTTTAAGTGGATCGCTGGTCCATGCAGCCGCCAGATCTTGAGAACTTGATGACAAAGTCAAAAGTAGTTATACATGAGACAATTACTGTTGTTGGATTATATCAGTTTGTCGGCTAGTTGGTCTCCTCAATGTCATCACCAGCATGTTACTTCACAGCACGAGGTGACGTGATCAACTCCTTGCTCGTGAAGCCCCTTCTCCCTGCTTCCGGGCGGACCTTCATGCCCCAGCATCCAACGGTACCGTGATTGTGCATTCGGCCTTCACGGAGATGGTCAATCGCCCGGTCGGTCAGAAGACGGCGAGGCTCGTCGCTATTAAAACGAATCCCTAAAGTGCTGTGACGCACTTACTGATCCGAAGAAAGAATATGTATATATATATATATATATAATAAGTAGGCCCGGGTCACCAGGATCCCGTGGAGGAGAGACATTTCAAGAGGACTCGATCCTTGCCTGCTTGCACCAGCGCTTGTCCAAGAGGAGTCTCGTCGTAGGAATCAGCAGCATGCCCGTTGTGGGCATGAACAGGTAGAGAGAGAGCTCCTCTTCACGCTCTACTCTCCCAGATCACGGGGCTCCTCCCACACGAGAAGTGAGGGGAGGTGGGGAGGGTTTACGGGCATTAGGAGGCCGGATGTCTGCAAAGCGAAGGGAGTAACTCCGTTCTGGTGTGGGTTATTTGTTGGGTGGAGGAATTAATGAGGGACGAATGAGGCGGTGACTGGTACACGTCGTGTCAACTTAAACAGCTTCGTCCGGGCTCGGGGGAGGCCTTTTCCGATTTGTCGGAGGAGACGTGCGCTTGAGACAATCTCATCCTCCCCCTCCCCATCGTAGGGGCAGACCGCGCCATCTGCTTCCCGTCTGCCCGTTTGCCTCATCGTATAACTGCCCTCGCCCTGGACCACGCGGCCACCGGAGAGGAGAAGGTTGAACACCATCGCTCACAGGCGGCTGCGCTGGGGCGGAGCGTGGGCGTCGCTGCGCCCCACACTTTGCTCCGTGCCTGCCTACACGATCACAACCCGTGATTAGAGACCTTGAGGATGGTACACGAGTGCAGGCCTTTAGAAACTCGAAACCCATGCCGACGCTCCGCGTAATGAAGTGTACTACAAACGGGGGATGGTCCGATAACTGGGTAAGACCCGATAGTGATGGCAATAGTGATGGAGGACATTGCCAATTCATATCTGTTGGAAATATTATCCCATTAAATGCTTCATTCGGACAAAAGGACTCATAAACCCGTTCATTTCGAGTTACCTTGACGTTCATCTGCTCGGACATGGAGGGTTGGTCGTCGATCGCAAATCCTAGGGCTACAGCGTACTGGAACTACTCTGATGGCGTCTCGGGGCTGGGCGAAGGGTGAGTTAACTCGCCGCGGGTACACGCGAGTTAACTCGGGTAGATTCCTCTCACGTACTCTGGTAGATGACCCACCTCCACAAGTGAACAAAACTGTACGCCCCCTCCGGTCCCCGAGTTCATCCTGTCACCGACTCTGATGATCCACCTTCGCAAGTGAACAAAACTGTACGCCCCCTCCGGTCCCGGAGGGGGCGGCCTGCTCAGAACCTCGGTCTAGGAAATCCCCATGCCCATCAACCGTGAGGGAGGAAGACCAGGCCCATCCCTCTCAGTCGAATATCTTCTGGCCTCTACCCCACCCCGATTGTGGGAAGAGGACAGGGGCTATAAGGAGCAGGCGCACCTTACCAGTTCATGTGCCAGTGATGTCCCGGCGAATGGACAGAGGAGGCGAGTCGGTGTCGGCCCTGCCAACCTGTGAGAAATGGCGGGGGGCTTGAAGGCAAGCTCTGCGCAGGTCCCGGAGGGGACAACCCAATGGACCGTGGAGAGGACGGCCAGCGCGACACCTCGCCGTAATCTCTCTGCTGCCGCCCTGCGCATTAGCGTCCAGAAGAAAGTTAGAACAAAAGTCTAGCCTTTGGGGCGGGAGCCATCTTGATTTGATCTTATCAAATCTAAAAAAAATATAATATGATACATAAAATGGTTAAATGCGCGATCTTGGAATCGAGATCTTTGTGGTGTCTTGCTTAGAGGGACATACTATGTCCGTCCAATCTGGGATCTGAAAGAATAAAAGAACTGGGCTTTACACGAAGGTTGGCAAGTAACATGTAGTGGTAGATAAAAGGTTACTACTGTTTAATTACTTGAATTATTAGATTATCTAACCCAGAAGTAAACAAAGTACGAGTTCATTAAATGTGAATACATAAACGACTCAAGACCATTCTCATAACCAAGGGGGGTGCATCCAAGTTGTACTAAGTTCCCTCCTTTTCCTTCTTGGGTTGATTTTTTTTTTTTAAAGTGTAACGTTGACTTTGGCACACCCGATCAATACGTAGATGGACTGAACATTGGATTGCGAAACTTAGAATTACAAGTTTTCGCACAGTAATGTAAAAAGCCCGAATCTTGAAAGCCCTAGACTTGCGGGCAGGCATCCACCTCGTCTTGGCACTCCAGCTGGTCCAGCCAGTCTCTGGTAGTCTGATCTTCAACCATCGGCTACTCCCCATGTTGACCGCTCTCGAGGGGACGGGAAGGAACTCGGGACACAGAGGAAAGAAGAACAGAGCGAGCAGTAAATATGACCTTAGGGAAGGCAAAGTTCGATCGCATTAACAGAAGCCCTACGCCCCCAATACGAGGAAGCCGACGCCGTGGAGAGCCCCTGCCAGCAACGCAGAGATCGTGATGATCTTCCCCGGGATCTTCCCGCTGTCCCTCCTCAAGAACATGGCCTCGTACACGGGCCAGTAATTCGCCATCACGAACCCAGATATGAGAAGCTGTGAGGTCATCCTCTCTACGTCCCGTTGCCCAATGGCTCTCGCGAGCCCCACGACGAAGCAGCTCAGGTTGACCATGCTTACTGTGCCCAGCGAGACGGAGAAGGGAGATTCAGCCCCGAAGTCGAAGACCCCTCTCTTATACCTCGCGCTCTGCTGGTCATCCACGACTTTGCTCGTCAGGTTGAATCCGGGAGCTGGGGAGCCGATCTGTTTGAGCGAGAACTCAATCACTCCGAACAGGTGAGACGTGGCCCCCCGGAGCATCCACATTCTCTGATCATTCCACCACCTCCGGATGGTCCCTCCAGCCATGAGGAAGTCAACGAGTTCTTGACCGTACGCAGCCGAGAAGAGGTAGGCGTATAGCCAGAACCATGGATCCAATGCCTGCCATGAATGCCAACCCAGATTATCAGCAGCATGCCGAGGGGAAACAATTTTACCGGGCGGCGGCATGGAGATGTACCTTCGGAAAGAGGGGGATCTGATGGGCAAGAGCCATCTGAGGAAGAACGGAGTACACCATGATGGGGAAACACCAGATACCCCATAATGATATCATTGAATAGCACATGCCCATGGGCAAGGAGGCCTTCCTGATGCCGTAGACGACGGGGGAATGCTTGGAGAAGGCCACCTCTAGGAACCCAACGCACCATCTCTTCAGCTGGTTGAGGACGTTATTGATATTGATCGGCATCTCCCCCAAGAAGGCCGCCCGCTGTGGGTGGCAGAAGACAGATTCCCATCCCTCGCAGTGCAATTCGTACCCGGTGTTGAAATCCTCAACGATGGACCCGTAGCGAAATCCCATCTGCAGGTTCGATTTGGATGGAGGTTCAATGGTTTCCTTCTCCGCTTTGCACAGAAGACTCGATGACTATTGTTGGATAGGAAAGAGAGAGGAACATTACCGTGGATCCCCATCCTGTCGCGTGGTCGAAGCGGCAGCTCGCGACTTCGTGCGCCATTTTTATGGCCTCCTCAGAGAAGGCGGAAGAAGAACCCCCCCCGTCAGCAAGCCCATCGTCGTCATCTGTGCTAGAACACAGTGGAGAAGGCAACTCATGCAGAGCACGGCGGGAGAAGAAGCATCCGGTTCCGAGGTACATCGGACCCCTGAATCCGTTCATCCCCGTCGGGTGGATATGGGAGAAGCGTTTGTGCTCATTAGCATAGATGTCGTTCTCGTCGATCCCTCGGAAGCGCTGCGGAAACTGCACGTAGGCGAGCTTCGTGACCATCGCAGGGTCCAGCAGGTAGCAGAGCGCTCTTTGTGCTGTTTGAGGATCGTTGGAGAACATGTCACAATCCAAGGTGAGAACCACATGTCCGTTCGACATGATGCCTGAGACTCTCACCTGCAACAGGAACCAGCGTGAGGATCCAGTGAATGGTAACCGGAAGATATGCTGCTTAGCTTGGTGAAGACGGTCGCTTACCAGAGCGTTCAGGGCGCCGGCCTTGAAATTATGGTGGAAAGCTCTATTCTTCTCTCGAGAGACATAGACGAGATTTGGCAATGCAGCCCCCGTGGTGTCCAAGTCTTTCCTGCTCTCTAGCAGAACCTGCCCCGACTCCGAGAAAATGAGCTCTTCTTTAGATCAAACTGAGGAAATTGGCCAGGAAAAGTCCAAGGAACTGTGAGAGAAGCGATCCAAAGCTAGCACAGGTAAGAGGGAAGCAATGGAGCACCTGAATCACTGAGGGGTGGTCGTGGCGGGTGAAGCTGGAGGTCCATCTTCCGAACACCTCTCGGTCTGCCTCCGGCAAATCTTCATCGATTACCCGACCTCTCTCCACCACGCCCTCCACCTTCTCTTTCATCCTTTCGTACATCGCCTGACAAAAAAAAACAAAAAACAAAAATTTGAGGGAATCGACTGCCTCGATAGCCTTCAGTTCCCTCTTTCGATAATAAACTACCCCACTCTTTGTCCACCAGGCTCATTCAGATATACATTCCTTGAGGCGAACGCAGCAAGTGGGATGAACTTTCGGGATATGCGGCCATTGGCTGAGCAAGAAATTCTTCTATGCTGTATACGCGATAGTATTTGGGGTCACCTTGATACCATCCGAGTAATCTCTGTCTGTGTTCCGGAAGTAGGCCTCAGGCGAGCGGTCAACAAGCCGGCGCTCCCTGCAGAAGGGAAGCCAGTGCCTGGCGAACCGAGCAGCCTCCACGAGAGCGAGCAAAGTCAACTGGGAGCCCCCATCGTCCGAGACGTACACCGACAACTTCTCTGCCGGGTAGTCGAAGCCCATCGCCGAGAGGACGGTGTTCACGAGGCCCATTGGCGGCTCCCGGTGCGGATCGGCGGTGCAGACGAACACGTCCAGCCCCGGCCAGTCCTTGGGATCCACTACCTCAGGCAAGCGCTCCGGGAACTCCTTCCGGCTGAGGGGGCGCCACCTGAAGACCTGGGAGAGAGCCCACATAAAAGCGAGAACCAGCTCGGCCACGGTGATGGTGAGGAACAGGAAGAAGGAGAGGAGACTGGTAGAGGAGAGGAGCGAGACGGCGCGGTGGTAGAGAAGGGCCAGGACGGCGCCGGAGTAGACAACGGCGTGGGCGCGATTGAGATGGACTCGGGGGTCGACACGAGCGGCGCTGAGAGCAGGTGACTGCCTGATACCCCTGTCCGTGGAATCAGCCGCCATGATCGGGAGGAGAAAGGTGCTCTCCGGCGCGGTGAGACGGTAGCCGGCGGTGGAGCCCGGTGCTTTCGCCAGGGAGAGAACCAGGGAGAACTGTGACGCCCCACCGCCTGACAAAATCCTCTTTTGTTTGAATACGCTAGCTCAGCAGGATAGCGCCTCTCCATCGCCAAAGAGCCATCCATCATCCGACGGCGCTGCCGTCAGAATCCCCGGGACGAAATTGGTACGGGTTTTCGGACAAGACGCCTTTCGGGATTGCTCAAACATATTTTCGCAAAATATATTCTTAAAAAGCTTTGGTTTTTCTAAAAAAATTGAGATTAAACCCAAAAAAATTTGTCCGATTCAACATGATGATTTTTTTCCCTATCGCCCCCTTAAATTATGACGTTGTAGGCGATAAACCCCTTAAATTTTTATTTTTTTGGAATTGTCGGGAGCTGGGGAGATGAAGCCACCTCGAACGTGAAATTCGATGAATAGTATTGAACGCCGATGTGGGAATTGTCAGAGTACATATTCCACGCTCGGTCAAGGACCGAGCGAGAAACATTAAGACTCATCAAATAGTCAACGTCTCAATCGTCACATGCATATTTCCCACCAGCCCGCGATCGACGCCACCGAATCCAGCGGTGACTACGGTTCAGCTCGATCTTAGGAAGAACCATAGAGCCCAAATTTCGTCTCCTATGCTTCGATAAATAACTAAATAAATAAGAAATAAAGATTCCTCTCCGGGGGGGGGGAGGGTGGACTAGCTGACGGGCTAGCACCCCTACTAATGGGCCTGATATCGACGGTCCACAGTTTGGGCCAAGCTTGGGCCCACGACGATGATGACGACCTCCGTGGCTTGTCTTGGTCTCTCGTGACCGGCTCCTGCTGGGCTCACCGACGACAGGCCCACGCCGAGCCCCGACCGCTACAACCCGCTAGCGGTCAGGCCCCACGCCCCCCATCCGCGTCGCGCATTAGGCGCGGCGTCGCTTTTGATGCCCAACCGGGCGACGCCGACGTGGCCGGCGTGTCGGTCCAGCCGCCTATCCATCGTCGCCGTCCCCATCGTCCACTCCCCGATTAGGATAGTAAACACGCGCGGAATCTCCTCTTTGTTAAAGTTAATACGTGGTTAATGACTCCCGAGAGCACCACCAATCTACCGTCCTGACCGGTAGCTGGGCGAGTAAGAGAAAGAGAGAGAGAGAGATTGGTGCCCGTGGCAGGAGCAGCCGTCGCTCCCCACATCACCGTACACGTGCGAGAGGGGGAGGGGGGAGGTGTCCAGAGTCAGTCGGACAGGATCAAGCAGGAGTGACCGATGTGACGGGGAGGTCGATGGCCGGATGAACCGTTCCCACGTGGGTCGCCCTCCACCCGAAGCCCGCTCGCCGGCGTGTGACCGAGAAGAAGATCCACGTCAACACACCGGTCGATTCCGCCCCGTCGCGCACGACCGGGAAAGCGGGCGCGCTCGATATAATAATTACTTTAAATAAAAGAAAAATGGGGAGGACCACCCGTCCGGGGCTACAGTGGTGAGTCGAAGGGTACCGTACGGGCCCTTCGCCTATTCTTAGTTACGATAAATAAAAAATGTCCTGAGGCAAACGGCTGCGCGGCATCCGGTGGCGGAGGAGGAGCGTTATACTGGTTTCATCCTGTCACGGAATCGGTCGCCTCTCATTCCGAATCTGGAGGGAGGCCAGACGACGAAGATTGACCGGACCGGGCGCCACCCGTCCGGGCATTCGGGAAATCTGATTTTCGAGGCAGAATTTTCGGAAAAATGAGGAAAATGGCGGTTTATGACTGCCAATTTAATGCTCGTATGGGGAAAATAGCGGATGCCTGCGCCGCCGCCGTCGATGAAAAGTGACGTCATCGCGCGCGGGGGTTTTGTCGCCCTCCGATTCAGGGTCCACCTCTTCCTTTGTCAGTAGACCATCCCCGCCTACGCCGCGTCTGGTCTATTCCAGCCCAGCATACATACATCATTTATCCTCTCTCTCTATCTCTAGGTCGATGCGTCGTGCCACGTGGGAAGTGGGCCAATTCCCCTCCGACATGCGGCGGGGGCAGCGCGCCCCGCCCGCCGTCCTTCAAGACCGAGGGGATTTCTTGCGGCCCTTTGCGGACCGTCCGATGAAAGAGGGGAGGTGGAGGATGCACGGCCATGATGGCCCGGTGGGGGACGGGCCGAAGGGGGGGACATGGCGGCCCACCGGGTAACTAAGAATCTGGCAGGCTGGCATGCGAACCGAGACGAGAGGTACCCGTCCGATCCCCCCTACTCCGAGCCTCAGGGGACGGCTAAGATGGACTCCCCCAGCTGAACTTGTCCCCACCAGTTATGGCATACTCGTAATTGACGGCTCAAGCTGCCTCAGCCCCTCTCTCTCTCATCCTTTCCTTTCCCATTTTAATATCGACGAGCGTAATAAAACGTCGACGTTGAGCTCTGTTCGTCACCTAACCTGCCTTCGTCTGGTCAAATTATTTGCCAGAGGGGGGGGGGGTCGCTGGGGGGAGCCAACAGCCGGGCGGTGGGGGACACAGGCGGGGGGCGTTTATTTCGCGACGGCGGCGGCGACTGCGAGGCTCTGCGGCGCCGTTCGGCGTTCGTCCCAGCGCCACCGGCCGTCTTGCTCAGAGCGCGCCGACTGAGGCGCCGCCCGTGGCATGCACCACGCTGCCAGGGGGAGGACGGCGGCTGTGCAGAGGCGAGGAGGAGGCACCTCCCATCCCTTGTTGCGCCCACTCCACTGTGCGCTCTGCGTCCCCGTCGTACGACAACAACTCCATCTCCCTGGGTTAACGTAACCGCAGTTAGCAGGCCTCGTGTTACCTGCGACGGGAGCGAGGGGACTGGTCCGAAGGGGCGGGGGCACAGAGCGCAATAACAGAGCCGCAAGGACGCGACTTAGGGATTGGTCACCGGCCCTTTCTCCTCTCTCGCTCTCTCTTCTTCTTTCTTCGCCGTAGGGGAGAAGAACCGGGGGGTTTCGTCTGGGGGGGGATATTGCATTGAGGAAGGCAGAGACGTTTTCCGGGCGAGAAGCGGGTTCAGCGACGGGAGGAGGTGGGGGATGGTGTTCAGAATGGAGATTGACGTCTGATGGGTCGGGTATTCCGTGTGAAATCTCGCCGTTTCCTATTTTTGCTGCCACCTTTGATTCAGCATGCTTCCGTCGATCAAGTGGAGTGAAAAATTGAGGAGGGAGTGAGCCTGTTGGTTCTAACGTCCAGTGGTCGGTGTTATCGCAATCGGGCCCCTTCATCTCCGCCAGCAGAGGAGGCGGCTCCCATGGCTTACGGATCGGTGGCGCCGGCTAGCATACCTAGTGAAAAGCCAGCCCCAGGTCAGCGATGGCTTGCTTTCCCCGCGCCATGGTCTGGTCAGGAGAAGCTTTCCCAGGATTGCTTGATCAATCATTGCCTCTGGTTGTAGGATTTAGCTGCGGTTCCGGAGGTGAAGATGAACTGTACGGTGAGCTATGGAGGGCCTGCGCCGGACCGCTTGTGGAGGTGCCGCGGCTCGGAAGCAGAGTCTACTACTTCCCTCAAGGGCACATGGAGCAGGTGAGTCTTCCCCGATGTTTGTTCAATTTTCCGCCGCAGGTCTTTTTCCGATCACGAGAAGAATTTCTTTCCCCCGTGCTCGAGGCTTTTCTCTAATTTCCAGTTTTTCCTAACCAATTTTGTGTTCTTGCAGTTGCAGGCGTCAACGAATCAGGAGTTGGATCAGAAGATTCCCCTGTTCAATCTCCCAACCAAGATCCTCTGTCGTGTGGTCAATGTTCTGCTTCGTGTAAGCTAGAAAACTCCGCTTTCTCCCTTCCCCGCAAAATTTACCTCAATTTTCCCCCTTCGCTTCTTGGTCTGGTCCTTTGGCTTGGGTCTGATTTCTTCGACAATTCAGGCGGAGCCGGAGACTGACGAGGTCTTCGCTCAGATTACCCTTCAACCAGAACAGGATGTAAGATTTCTCTTCTTGTTCTGGTTATTTCTTGAGGTATATTATCTACCTTTTTTGGTTCTCCGTTTCTGTGGTTGGCTGATCTGATGATCTCTCTCAGCAAACCGAGCCCTCGAGCCCCGACCAATGTTCTCCGGAACTCCCCAGGCCATCAGTGAATTCCTTCGTCAAGATCTTGACGGCTTCTGACACGAGCACTCACGGTGGTTTCTCTGTTCTCCGTAAGCATGCCAGTGAGTGCCTCCCCCCGCTGGTGAGCTCTCCTAAACTCTTTTCTCTCTCTCGTTCTCTCGCTCTCGCACGCTCGCTCGCTCGCTCGCTCTGGTGGTGGGGCCTTTTTTCCATGACGGCTGTTGCTGTTTCCCATGGCCAGGACATGACCCAGCAGATACCAACCCAGGAGCTGGCCACAAAAGACCTCCATGGCTTTGAATGGCGGTTTAAACATATCTTCAGAGGTAGCTCGCCGTCCTAACCACTGCCTCCACCGGGAAAGGGATGCCCGGAATATCTCTTGATTTTATTTGATTTTACCAGAAAGAGCTTTTACATCCTTCTTTCTCATCAAATTTAGCCTTTGACAAAAATTCTCAGGTCAACCCCGAAGACATCTGCTCACAACCGGATGGAGTACGTTCGTCTCGTCCAAGAGATTGGTCGCGGGGGACGCGTTTGTGTTCATGAGGTCGATGAGCATCCCAGTTTGTAGAGAAATAGTCTCTAATATCTCAGATGCTCTGATAGCAATAAATATTATTCATTTCTATGTCTCGACAGAGGGGAGAAGGGAGAACTGCGAGTTGGGGTCAGGCGGCTCGCCCGGCAACAGAGCACGATGCCCACCTCTGTGATCTCTAGTCAGAGCATGCATCTCGGTGTTCTTGCCACTGCATCACACGCTGTCATGACCCAGACCCTCTTCATCGTCTGCTACAAACCGAGGTCAGTGGGTAGGATTCCCGTTGTATTCTTTCTTTTCTTATGCGGCTGTTGACGGATCGGTGGGTCATCTTGCGTAATTTGCCCATCAGGACCAGTCGATTCATTGTAAGCTTAAACAAGTATCTAGAGTCCGTGAAGCACGGTTTTGCTGTCGGAACGAGATTCAAGATGAGATTCGAGGGGGAGGACACTCCGGAGAAAAGGTACGGCTGTTCGGCGATTTGAATTTCCTCTGATGAAACTCTTCTCTGAAGATCCGCGGGCCTTCCTGAGGATGTGTTCACGTCATTTCCCTGTTTTGGCAGCTTTACGGGCACCATCGTCGGCGTTGGGGATATTTCTCCGCAGTGGGTCGATTCAAAGTGGAGATCTTTGAAGGTTAATTGGCACTTTTCTCCTCGTTTTCTCGTCCAAACGATTACACTTCGCCGCTTGTCCGCCGCTCTTAATTCGACGAGGGTTTGACCTTTCAGGTTCAGTGGGATGAAGCCACGGGTGTCCAGCGACCCGACAGGGTTTCGCCGTGGGAGATAGAGCCCTTCACTCTTTCCGCGCCAAACGTGAGTTCACCTCACCCGCCTGCGGGGAAGGCTAAGAGGCCTCGCTCGGGCAAGGATCTCCCCGCCCTTGGTAATCAAATATCCGAGATTATGTGCCCGTCTGCGACCGCGTACCATTCTTTCTTTGTTCCGAACTGATCTTTATGCTTACACAGAGGTCGGCCAGCACTTCTGGTATCCCGGAGCCAGGCAGCCGAATGATTCAGGTAACATGGGCAGCGCAGAAGCTCAGAGCTCCGAAACCCAGATGTTGTGGTCTCCGAAACCGGGAGAAGCCAAGGGGAAGAGTGCCCTGAGCAGCGGTGGCCGGTGTATCTTTCCAGGACCAGATGGCTGGCTCCAGAATAAGCCCGTGAATAGCCCGTCACACCAGCTCACGGATGTTTCTCTGAAGCTGTTCCAAGGTGTTAATGTAGACGCCAAATCTGTTCCACCATGCCCTCCATCATCGGGCCTTGTGGCCGAGGAATCTTCCTTTGCGGTGAAAGATGACAAGGAAACATTGAAAAAGCCGGACTCTTGTAGTGGATACCGGTTGTTCGGCATTGAGTTGGTGAACAACAGCAGCACGGCAGGCGCATTCAGTGTGTCCAGCACCGCAACGAATGAAGAGATAGCCCCCGGTACGGCGTCAGCAGGAGACTCGGACCAGCAGTCTTGGCTCTCGAAAACCTCAAAGGAGCAGAAGCCAGCGTTGCCCAAGGAAACTCCGGCCAAGCAGAACTGCTCCACCAGGAGCCGGACTAAGGTGAGAGTTACAGTAACGTGGAACCCTCTTACTAATTGTAGGTCTTCTGTCGGCGAAGAGGCTTCCGCTCGGATGAACTGAAAGCTATTATTTTCTTTATTTCTTGTTAAAAAAAGGTTCACATGCAAGGGTTTGCCGTGGGGCGAGCCGTTGACTTGACTGTTCTGCAAGGGTACGACGAGCTGATTGCGGAGCTGGAACAGATGTTTGAGATTAGCGGTGAGCTTCGTGATCGGAATAAGTGGGAGGTGGTGTTCACAGACAACGAAGGGGATATGATGCTCGTGGGCGACGACCCATGGCCGTAAGCCGTTCTTGCTCTTCCATACCTCCTCTTTCTGCCTTGCATCCGGTGGCATGAACGATGGTGTGATCCTCGCAGGGAATTCTGCAAGATGGCCAGGAAGATTGTTATTTACACTTGCGAGGAGGTCAAGAACATGCAGCCGAGGGCCAGCCTTCCTTCGATCCCCGTCGAAGATGAAGAAGATGAAGGCGGCGGCGATCCACTCGCGCCTCACCAACCTGGACCGACCCTAAGTGGAGGCTCCGCGCATGTCTAGTTGATTAAATTTTGTTTGTTTTCAATTTTTTCTTTTAAATCTAGTGTCCAGGCAGAGGGTGTTTCTAAGGTTCCTCTCTCCTATTGCTTTCGCCACCCGCGGCGAGGGGCGCTTTCTTGTCTGTGTGGAGTGGCCACCGACGGTACGTAGGAGACCACTTTCCTACTACTGCTCATATTTTTTTTAGAGCTGGAAGGGAACGAGGTGGGAGACAAGGACTGACGAAGCAAGAATTGGGTGGCGGTGGGGAGGCCTTTCTCGTGGGGTGGCGCACCTGTAAATATTGTTTCTTTATATATGTCAATGATATCTTGTCGGTTGTTAAATGCACGTCGACTGCTCAGACCCAGATGTACGTGAAACGGGCTCTCATTCAATTCTGTACCTCTTACTGTTAGACCCAGATGTTAGATCACTTTGGTGAGAGTTCGGCGTCCCATTGATTCGGGGTTAGCACCACGGACCAAACACTTGCCGAGCTCGTGCCCGCCTGCTTCCTCTTGCGCTCGCCGGAAAGAGAAAGTTCGGCAAGACGGCGGCGCGGTGCATCTCCGAGCCAGGCAAGAAGAAGAGGCTTCGACCCACGTCCGCCTGCGCAGGCGCTTCCATCGTGGTGAGGCGGGCTGCCCTCGCCCGCATCGTCTGTTTCCCATGTGCCACGCGAACCGTTTCGGCAGCTACCGATAAAAGTGGCGCCCGCAGGCAGACTACGCCGCCCACGACATGTGCATCGTCCCGGCAGCGAGGGCGGCGAGGGCGGCGAGGGCAGAACATGTGTGGATGCCAAACCAGGTGGGGGAGGGGGGGGTGCAGGCGCCGGTGGCTCCATGACCCCTCTGCTCTTACCTGACTCTTTGGAACGATGTCTGGGTTTAAGCGTTACGACGATGGTGGTGCGTGATAGTTTGGGGATTGGTTTCTTGTCCTCGCGGACGACCGCAGACTGCAGAGAGGACTTTTTGTCTCCCCACCAAGATCTCCGTTGTCGAAAGGGGAAGTCTCGTGAAATGGTTTCCACCCACTGAGGAAACATTACGAAAGCAGACCCGACAGCAATCGCCTTCTGGGCGTACGGAGAACAGTAGAAAGGACAGAGACCCCTCCTCCCTCCTCGAGTTATTATCGTCGCCGTCTCGCATCCACATTCTACTCCCGCAGGGGAAACGCTGGGTCAGACGCCGCTCCAAGAGCAAGACAAAGACAAGAAGAGGGCGAAAAACTCACCGTGAAAGCTTCCCGGGTGACGTAGGGAATATTTAAAGAGAAGCTCTGAAACCTTTACATTCACACTTTAATTTAAAGGCAAGTCATTATCAAGCAGTTGATTTATAACAAAAAGTCACCTTTTCTTTTTGTTATCTATGAAAATCTGATACCGCCCTGTGGATTTTTGTCTATAAGAGAAAGCACAGAATCCACTAAATTATCTACCCACAAGGTGTAAGCTTCTTATTGCCGGCTCCCCGAGGATTGTCGTCCTTCCAATCATCCCATGCTCTGGCCTTCTCTTCGGCAGCTTCACTCTCTTCGTCGCTCTCAGCCCTCTTCTTCTCCTGATGCCAAGAAGAATTAGCCTCCTCGGCTAGCCTGGCGTTCATCTCTTGCCAGTTATTCATCATTTCCATCTCTCGTAATCCGGCTTCCTCTATGCTCATGGTGGGTAATCTGCCAGAAACCGCAGAAGATGGAGATCAGACCAGTAAATGAGTTGCGTCCAGAAACAAAAATAAATGACCCTCCATGTAGGTGACAACGATCCGAGGTAGAGTAAAATGGTTGGATTAGTATTATTTATCCACAGGTTACTGTGGACAAATAAGATTGCTCCACAAAGGGACGTCGAGGAAACCATTCAACACTGAAAGTCCCCTGACTGCATCGTGAAGAACAATGCGTGCTGAACAGAAAGGTGGGCTATGGTACAAAACGTGTGGGTCTGTTCAGAAAGATCACAGAGGTGGAGTCCGGTTCAGACTTAGCTGGTCTTTTACCAGTTTCGGCCTGACATAAGAAAGTTGGCGGCAGCGGGGGTTTGGAGTTTCACAAGCTCATGGAGAAATGGGAAAACGGTAATAGAATAGAATACATGAGACCAATGGAAAGAGATCGAACAGACAGTGATGATGACGGGAAATTGTGGCATCAAAGACAGCAGAACGCTAAGCAAAGCAGGAAAAAATCCACGGAACACGTGGTGACAGGTAGAATTGCTGTGGCACAGCTGTGGCATCACTGTGTCGCTACCTGCGGGCGTTTGACATCAAGCAAAGCGAGGCCATCACTGGCATAAGATGCCAACTAGGCTTTAGCGGCGAACGTGGAAGTCGGACCACTAATCATAACGACGAACATGAGAAAATATATGCTGCCAAGGGTTATGGTGCGGGTCAACTCGCGTAAGGGGCCAACACGAGTAATACTTGTCAGGGTACCAAGATCTGCATGAGACCGAGTGAACAAAGGAACCCGATCAAATTAGGGGTTGACCTATTATGCCCACAGCTGACTCATTAATCTAATATTTTTATGGCTTATTATCAGTTTTTCAATGCAGTCACATATTCCAAGGGATAAATCCACAATGTGGCATCAATTGGTAGAGATGGAAATCCACACTTCCATGTGATACAATTAGTTCGGAATGATAAACGTCATGCTGATGTTTTATGAGCATTACCTGAGGCCTAGGGCGGAACTGATTATTGAAATGAAGTATAACTCAAAAATGAAACGGCCAAAATTCTGCTCAGAAATAATGCAAACTGTTATCTGCCAATCAACCAGAAATCAAACATCCTGAGAAAAGACTGAAATAGACATGCTCACAAGAGATATATTCATTAAATTAGTTTACCATAGTTTCTCGTATAATGATTAGGATACAACTATAGAAAGAATCATACCTATGGCCAGGTTGGAAAACCTGTGCTGCCATTCTTTCTCTTTCACTGGTTGGTCTTCCACCGATTAGACTCGCTGGTCCGAACATTAGAGGTTGGTGTTTATGTTCATGAACTTGAGAAGGCTTTGCTCTTCCCTCTATTACATCCTGGGCAAAAGTTGCACAAGTTATTGGTTGCGCCGGTTTAGAGTACTGCGCCTGAATTACTCCCTGCCGGTGCCAAGCTTCAGCTTTTCTTGCCCGCTCATCAAGGACTGATTTTTTAAATTCCATATTCCCCTCCTAAAATGTAGATCACAGATCAATATAGGAACATCTATAATTAACACAGACAAGAGTTCAAGTGATGTGAAACAATTCAGCACCCAGACAATAAACCGAAAATATAACACAAACCCAACTTTATTTGAAAAAAGAAAACTCAGTTACTCTTCGATCTTTATTTGACTCTGTTCATCTTAAAAACTACTGAGAGAAAAGAAAGAGAAAATAATGGCCTTCACTGATGAGATAGATCCAATAAGAAGACGTGATATTTGAAGGGAGTGAGACAGTGGGCTGATGACTGCACGATGACATAAACAGATCACGTAGCAATTACAAGATTTCTCCATTATGGTAGCATTCTCTCCATGATCGACGTTGTAAATCACAAATTCAGCATGAGTGCTTCAAGAGTTACAAGCTACCCCCTCTTATAGCTATTTCCAAAATTAGCGTTTGCTATTTATGAACACTAACAATATTTCCATCTTTTCTCCGACAAAAGGACAAAAAATGCTGGATAAATCCAAGTGGAGGAATGGCAATCTGATGTAAAGTCTAGTGTACAGCCTTCGGACGAGACTTTTTACCATCTGGGCATCTAACACTTTTACCATATCTCTTACTACCCGAGGCCTATTTGGTGCTGTTTGGTGTATGTGTTGTTTGAAGGGAGGGAGACAGTGGGTTGATGGGTGTACAATGACATAAACAGTTAACGTAGCACTCACAAGATTTCTCCATTATTTAGCATCCTCTCCATGATCGACGTTGTAAACCACAAATTCCAGGTCTCAGACAAGCCATTTGGCTGACGGGCCAGCAAATGTGTTACATCTCCTTTAATCTTACCTAAGATGAATTATATCAGTGAACTAACGTTCTGCCGAAAAATCAAAGTGTACCTATGTTCTGAAAAATGACTTGTTAAGTTTGATCAGAGCAAGGTAGATCATCATCTGGCGGAGAAGCATTTCGATCTAGACCGTACCTAACTGGGAATCAGGAGTTTCAGGAAGCATCTAGGATCATTATCATAGACTAACATGTACTCCCATATTTCTCCCCGTACAATTCTCATTTCGTAGGAATAACTCCGCCAAAATAGCCAGGCACTACCTAAATAATGCAATTCCTTCATTCGATAAACTCTTCTCGAAATCTCACGAACTTCACATACCACCTCACACTTGAAAAACGGCTCCCACGTAGACCTCAGGATAGGACAGAAACAGAAAATGAACCACATCCAATAAAGGGTAATCTCTCAACCAGCTGTCGAGCTCTACAAAGTCATCCACGTATAGTAAAGTCCCAGAAAGCCCTCCCATTAAAGTAAGCAGACTGCGCAACCCTGATATTATATAAGAACAACTATTTCAGTGAGTCACAACTACCGACAGAGTTGTGTACGGGAGTAGCACTTTTTCTGTCCAAATTCCTGAAGCTATTCACAGAAAATGCAGCACAGAAGAGTTGTAACTTCAAGAGTCCATTTTTTATGCTTCTGGAAACCCTTCAAGGACAAACTGTTGATCCTCCCAGGATTTTTCACTTATCTGGAAAAATCTGCTTTCAATTCACCCAAAATTTACAAGCCTTCAGACAGTATCTCAAATAGTAACTCGAAATAAAGTAGAAAGGGAGCGATGCTGTGCATAGGGGAATCAAAATAATTTCTAAAAATCAATCCTTCCCAACCTCTATCCATAAGAACGAGAAATCAAAATAATGTATCAGGCAATCATCAATGCCATCTCTGTGAATAATCAATACCCCTTCAGTCATCTGTAAGAAGGAACCAACATTCATACCTTCAATCAAGCTCTTTTGAAAGTTAACTAGAAATCCCACATCCAGAAATCTCACCATCAAGACAATACAGTCCTTCACCACTCAGTAATGAATACAACTGCAACATTTTCACAATGAATGTGCGGAACTATATCACCTCTTGCTGTAGTCCGGGTGAAAGAATTTGGGCACTACTACTATTAGTGCTGGACACAGTTGCTATTAATCCCACGTAGGGAGGGACACAGCAACTATTAGCACTATTGGGCACAATAACCCTGTTTGACTACTAGTTGCTATTAATCCCACCTCTTGGGGAAGGCCCGGGGAGCGGGAAGGGAGGGAGGGGGCGAGAGAGAGAGAGAGAGAGAGAGAGAGAGAGAGAGAGAGAGAGAGAGAGAATTTCCAGAAATACCGGAACGAAGAAGTTAGAGATCATGACCAAATTTGAGAAAGGCGAGCTGAAGTGCAACTGTTTGACAGACTGAAAAAAAAGGATAATTCTATCTTTCACGAACGGGATAAAGGCCAATCCAAACGCATGCATTTTGAATAAAGTAGGGAAGAATAGAGAAAAGGCTTCTATTATAACATGAATGAACGCCTCATTAGGATACCTGCTTTAGCCTTTCCTTCACAGAAGAAAGCATATCTTCCTCTTTCTTCAGCATTTCGACCATATCAAAGGCCTACAAAGTGGAATCAGCAAAAGAATTGTAAACTAAGAGATATGTAGGGATATGAGCGTCGTCACTACAATGATTCTCATAAAATACATTGTTTGGACACAGTTACCTTACAGAGAGCTAAAGAAATTGTAGTGACCCAGGCCTGAAAAACAATGAAAGAGTAAACTGAATAAGACCATAATACATAAAAATACCTGCGTGCACATTATGACATACATATGTAACCACACAATGATACTGGGAACATTTCACAAACAAACGAAAGGCAAAAACAATTAGCAATAATTGTTGCAGAATCTAACCTCACGTTCTTCCTCCCCGTCATCATCATCCAGTAAATCTTCCTCCCCAGCTTCCACAGGGGTGGACAATGCAGCCGCTTTTAATGATCTGCCTCGTCTCTCTCTCCTTTCCTTTAGTTCCTGCAATTTCGATTCTGCAGCTCTTTGTCGTTTGAACCGAGAAATCTAGCATTGAGATTGTACAGAGTCAGATACATGAAATCCTACACATGGTGATGATTTGACATTTTTCTGCTGACAATATATCGGATGCATTTGTCAAGCGGTAGGATTGTAGATAAAATTAAAATGCACAGGCACACATCCGATAACATGTCTAAGCACATCTACATGTTTATGTAAATAGATACACATCTATCTACATAACTTACATATATACGTACGTTATTACAATATGCAGACAACTGAGACTTCAAAGTCAAGATTTTATTATGCATATAGCTTCATATAATCATTGTTACGCAGAGCAAGTTTTTCTATATTAGGCTTTCCTTCTATTTTCCTTTCCTATCCTATTATTAGATGTATTTCCTTTCTCGTGTTTCTGTTATTAGACCTTTCCGTAATACCGGAAAGGTTTATTAGACGCCAATATAAATACTGGCGTACTGACCCTGAGAAGGGCTAAGTCAGTTTTTCGCTTTCCTGCTTCCACTGTATCTCGTAACAATCATGACCATCGACAACTGAGACTTATAATTTTCAAACATGAGGTTTCTCCTGTGAATAGTCGATTTCTGGTGTGCACAACAAAACCTGCATAAGCATCATCAAATCCAAGCAAAAGGATCCTCAAGTCTGAAATAATAACATCACATGGCAATTATTATGCACTGCACTACTGCCTTTTAACACATATGACTGGTCCAATGATCTAACACACAAGCACCGACATAGATTTACCATTATGAATGACAAGCAGCCAATTATTATAAGCATGTCCCTGAAATATACCCTCCATAACTAGTAACTATCTCAAACTGACCTTCTTTTCCCTTTTAGCAGCTAATGTATCACCGGAAACGTGCACTGAATTCTGTGTCTCCTCTTCAGGGACAAGATCCAAGGCCTCACATGAAGAGATGAACTCCTGCAAGATTACAGTGGTGAAACATCATCAACAAGATTACTTGGAGAAAAGTATTGCACAAGAATCTGTGAGGAAAATATATGGCCTGTAGAATACGCCAAAGGCTATTGGCCATTCAAAACATAAAATTACTTAGTTAGAGGTGATATTACCTTGAACTGATCCAGAGATATTTTGAGAACCTGTAACCTGTCTTCTCTTGCAACCTTTTCAGAGAGTTCTCCAAGATAGAAAGGAACCTAGGATGACACATTAAAAAATTTCAAAGATAACTGATAGTCAATTCGTATACAAGATCAGCACCAACCAATGTAAAAAGGTTGGAGGCATCTAGAAGGGAAATGGAATAGGTGCACATGCTAACATAGGAGCAGACTTTTTTCAGATGACACAAACATATGATGGAGGGCAATAGTCTATAATGATCTTGTCTGAGGACAATCAAATTATACTATCTTTGTGCAAAACTCTTTTTGAAATCCGATACCCATAATAGCGCTGTGTTATTGTAGTCTATAACCTTATGATGACAAGTTTGGACCTCCGATTCATATATTAGTTTGAAATTACCATGAAAGGAAAGAAAAAATCAGCAATGAGTTGATCACTATAGCATTTTTAGTTCCGTTTCATAGCATGAAAAGGCTTGAGTCTGCAACCAAGAATGAATTGGATAAAAAATTAGAAATAAAACCCTCTTCAGCTCATCCACGTTCTATTTCCCGTTTTTTTACCCAAAGATTCTTTAAATTTATGAAACGATGAATATGAGTATCCCAAACGGAAATAATGCAATTCGAACAAGTATATTTCGAAGGTTCCAAATGAAATCTACATAAACCTGACATTGTTGGCTGAAATTACTCCCCTCAGTTGCCTGAGAGTATGGCTACTTTCTATGGGAAGCAAGGATTATGTAAGATTGAAGTCCATATATTGGACAAGGAACGTGAAGTCCTAGTAAATTAAAGGGATACGAATCGTAGCTCCTACCGAAAAAAAACTGAAGTTGACAATTTTCTCACGCAGAAATTGCTTCTTTGACTGGATAAGTAACATTACGTGTTTACATATCGACATTGTTTCAGAACTTAAGTCGCGAAGAATCGAACTATCTTGAAGCTTACCAGCAAGTACTTAAGGTTAGCGGTGCTGACATCATCTTTCGTCTCGTTGGCAGAGAACAATCCTAAGGTACTTATCATTTGATCGCAGAGCTTTAACATTTCGACTCCCTTCGTCAAGGTTTCCTAAAAAAAGGTTCAAATTTGAAAAATACAATCTCTCCAGGTTGCTCTATGAAATGATCGAGGAAAAGTTGGAAATAAGCTCGAAATTCGGAGAAAGGAATTTATTTACCTGATCGACGGTCGACTCGGACGCGAGGGAGTGAACCTTCCTGGCTCGCTCGAACAGGGCCGGGAGGGGTAAGTCGTCTATATCCCACTCCTCCATCTCAGGAAGCAGAAATCGAGAGAACAAAGACCTAGAAACCCACCAACAACTCTCAAAGATCTCGCTCAGCAGATACTGCAGAGAGAGGATCCCGCGAGGGTGGCCAACGTAGGAGCCTGCGAAGGGACCAACCCAGAGAACCTACTTCCTTCGATCTCTCCCTCTCCCTGTCTCTCCACCAACCTCTTCAACCGAGGCAATGACGGTCCCCCTTCCCGCTTCCGTGAGAGCGCCTATTTAATCTGAACGCCACGTCCGAAGCCTCCAGATGAAAACTTCCAGAACAAATCCTCCATTACCAGCTACGCTTTCTAATGGGCCGTAGACATTTCGAGAAAGGCCTAGGCTCAGTAACAGCCCTAGGCCCAATAAAAGGCCCATCAATAGACAGGCTATTTATGCTTGTCATTTATATAACACGAAATATGTCCGTGGGGACGAGTATCTGTGAGGGGAAGAAGACGGACCCCCGTAGCCGCTTCTGCTATCCGGGAGAGTGAGCGACAGAACCACCGGCAAGAATGGTAACTTTCGCCAGCGAGGAGGGGGAACCCGACGTCCTCAACACCGTGCAGGTGGCGCCGCTGGTCCATCTCAACCGCGCCCATGCCGTCATCTACTCCTGTGCCATCCTGGGCCTCCTCTACAACCGCGCCCACTCCCTCCTCCGCTCGCCGGACCACCTCTCCTTCGCCCTCTTCCTCACCATCACTGTCGCCGACCTGGTCTTCGCCTTCATGTGGGCACTCGCACAGGCCTTCAGGTGGCGCCCCGTGCGCCGCCAAGAGTTCCCACAGGTTCTCGCCCGCGAGGTCCCCAGGGAGGGATGGCCGGGCCTCGACGTGTTCATCTGCACGGCCGACCCCTACAAGGAGCCGCCGATGAGCGTCGCGAACACCGCCCTGTCGGCAATGGCCTTCGACTACCCGACCGACAGGCTGTCCGTTTACATATCCGACGACGGGGGCTCGCCGCTGACGCTGTTCGCGTTCATGGAGGCGGCGAGGTTCGCCAGGTACTGGCTGCCGTTCTGCCGGGAGCAGGGGCGGGTGGAGAGGTGCCCAGAGGCCTATTTCCGATCGGGCGCCGGCAGCGGCGGCCACTGCGAGAAGATCAAGGTACGAAAGCGGCCCCTCCGTCTTCTTCGTTTTCCTCCTCATCTCTTCTCTGCTACACCAACACACACGTGATACTCTACTGCTACAAATGGCCGCCTTGTCGTTTCCGATTCAATTCATTTTTTTCCTATTTTCTTAGCGAATATTCCGTCGCCCACACTTCACCTAATCTTATGATAAAACCCCCAACATACTCAAAAGCTTGAGAAATCATGACAAAATGTTTTCTCTGCAACCAAGAAGGGTATCAGGCAGAGCTCGTCATTTTTGGTCATTCAAAGGTAACCATATCTCATCATCCCATTTGAGGTAGTCGGATCTGGGACGGAATCCTTTGGTTGGTAGCGGGCAACGTCCGCCGAAACCACCGCCATTGGAGGAGATATTTGCGTCCCACTGTCCGATCGCTTCTCTCGACCGACGCTCGGACAACGAAGGTTATTCTGTTATGTACATATATCAGTTGACCGTGGACTCTGGAGAAGACAAAAAGATTAGAACACCACCGGTTGCTGTCCAAGACGTGGCCTGTCTGATCTCCTGATTACTGCCCGTTGTCCCCGTCTTCTCTGGGTACCTCCTATTCGGGGTGATTTACTGTTCTTATTTTGAAGAAGTCATAGATAATATCCTGGGAAAATATTTTAAATATGTACGAGCAAAGACCCCTTGAGAGGAACGCATCTAAAGAGAAGCATCTTGTCAAATAAAAATCCGTGATATATTTATTAAGAGGAAAATGATAAACAAAAGTAAGCTTTTTTTAATGAGGAAACCAAGGTAGATGGATCCTTTCCTGGGTTCTTCTCTGCCGAACTCACACGTGCTGGTTTTGTTAGGGGTGAGACTCCTGGTATCTTGTCATAATCATGTCATAATTATCAGTTCTGTAAGTGCACTGTTCTTCAAGTTCTCGTCGATCGTCGATTTTTATTATTTTTTGGGTCTGAAGCAGTTTGGTCTTATTTGCAGATAATGTACCAGAGAATGAAAGAGAGGGTAGAGAAAACGGTAGAGAGAGGTTGTGTTGACCCCGGCTGCATCACCTGCGAAGAAGAGCGTGAGATTTTCGAGAAGTGGAACTCTGGGTTCTCTCGCCAGGAACATCCGCCTATCATCCAGGTCAGACATCTCTTGAAGGTCATGCAGATTCGCTGTGGGAATGCAGGACTCGCAGAGAATACAGATTAAGATAAAAAAGGTCTTCTCTTTCGTGACACAGGTTTTGGCTGATAGCAGTAAGGACCTGGACATCTCCGACAGTCCATTGCCCAACCTCATCTATGTTTCGAGAGGCAAAAGTAGAGCCTCCCCGCACCATTTCAAAGCCGGCGCCCTCAACGCCCTGGTAATTCTCTTACTCCTTACATCTTGACCTAACTCGAGAAGGTTGATGTCTAGCACCTGTGCTTGATCATGTGGAAGCTTCATGGTTTAGTTTTTCTCCGAGGTTTTGCCGGATGAATCGCTCAGGATTGGCCGAGCTGACCGTAAGATATCAAGCTTGCAGATACGTGTGTCGAGCATCATGACGAATGGGGCGGTGATTCTGACTCTGGACTGCGACATGTACTCGAACGATCCCAAGGCCCCGCAGCGGGCTCTCTGCTACCTGCTGGACTCTGAGATGTCCTACAAGCTTGCCTACGTCCAGTTCCCGCAGCGGTTCCGGGGAATCAACAGCCACGACACCTACGGCGGCGAGCACAAGTACCTTTACCAGATCCACCCGCAGGGGATGGACGGCTTTCGAGGACCTTACTATCTGGGCAGCGCCTGTTTCTTCTCCAGAGCCTGCTTCAGGGAGGCCTCTTCTCCCCCATCACCAGCGGCGTCCCTGTCGGCGGGGAGGCTGCCCGGGGATTCCATAAGCTCTGAGACGGTAATTGGGAAAGCTCACCTGGTGACAGGCTGCGACTATGAAAGAGGCACAAGCTGGGGCTCCACGGTGAGTTCGAGCGGGCCATTTCCCTTCTCCTTCCTTTTCTCTCCCCTTCTGAGACCTGAAAGCTTTTGCAGACTGGGATAAGATATGGGTCGCTCTCCGAGGACCACAACTCGGGTTACCACATGCTATGCAGGGGGTGGGAGTCGGTCTTCTGCGACCCGGAGCCGCCGGCGTTCCTCGGCGACGTGCCGATCACACTCAACGACGTGCTCATCCAGAACAAGAGATGGTCATTGGGGCTTTTGCAGGTGGGCTTCTCGAGGTACTCCCCCGTCATCTTTGGCTGCCGGTGGGCTCCCCTGCCGATGGCTATGTGCTACGCACGCTACGCGTTCTGGCCGATCTGGTGCATTCCCGTGTCGATCTACGCCGCCCTACCGCAAGTAGCGCTGGTCTATCAAGTTCCCCTTTTCCCGAAGGTCCTGCCGCCGTCCCCTATACCTTGTTCATTCCCTCTTGTGGTTGATCCTAACTTGGAAATCGACAACAGGCGTCGGACGCATGGTTCTACTTGTACGCCTACCTCTTCTTGACTGCCTACGCCCAGGACCTCATCGACTTCCTGGGAGCACGAGGGACTGTTCGAAGCTGGTGGAACGACCAGAGGATGTGGATGATCCGGGCGGTCACGTCCAACCTCTTCGGCGTCTTCCAGTTCTCTCTGCAGAAGATGGGCTTCTCTGGCTCTGGGTTCAACGTGACCAGCAAGTTGATGGACGACGAGCAGGTAAAGAGATACGACGGAGGCTTCTTTGACTTTGGGGCTGAATCACCCTTCTTCGTGTCGCTGGGGACGATCGCGGTGATAAACCTCGTCTCCTTGGCGGTGGGTCTCGGTCGGAGCCTGAGCGGAGGCAGCCTCCAAGACATGTTCTTACAGGTGCTCCTCTCAGGCTTCGTGGTGGTCAACTGCTGGCCAATCTACGAAGCCTCGGTGCTGAGGGCGGACAAGGGGAGGATGCCGGTGACGGTTATCCGATCCTCGCTGTTCCTCGCCGGGGTAGTGTTCTGCGCAGCGTACTTCACATTCTCTACGGTCTAAGTCGTCGTCTGCCACATTGGATTATTTTCTTATCTTGAATCGTTCGTTTTGAGTCGACGCTATATTCATCTGAAATACAGCGAATCCGTAGGGCGGCTGATGATCAGTGCTACGAGTGATGAGAGATGCGAGAGGAACAGAGGATGTTCTAGATCTACTAATCTGACGTATTACCCTTCGCCTTCCGCGTAGACACGAAGGACCTCTTTCCATTAGATATAGTCGTCAACTTGCCGGTCCACCAGCCCGCAGACACTTTCCAGAGGTTGCGGTGGTCTCAAGGGAAAGCAGAATGAAATCTTCGTCGGAGGACGAGTGCGAGTGCAACTCCCCCATCCTCAACACCCGTAGCCTTCCTGTGGACCGTCGCCCAGGCCTTCAGTTGGCCAACCCGTGCGTTGACTGGAAGGACTGGATAGAGCTCGACGTGTTTCTTCTGTAAAGGGCACCGCCGATGACCCAACGGAGACGTATCCGTTGGGTTGTCATTTATAGAGTTTCCTGCACTATAATTAAGCAGATCTTTGTTAGGGTTCTGATTGCAAGCATCCCGCGTCCTCAAGTCACGGCTGGCTCGCGTTCTCAGATAATCCACACGATGGAGCAAGCCAAACCGCGGCGGCTACTCCATCCAGGAATTCTTCCCCAGCGGGTGAAGAGTGACGTCTTGGGGACAAACGAGATGCCGATTAAGGATGGAAGTAACTATGGATATGGTGGAGGCCGGCCAAGAGGTGAGGTTACAACTGGCCACTTTGAGTCCGTCGTGGCCTAGAGGAGATGATCCAGAAGGGCGTCGAAGCATTCCCCGCCGCCCGAGGCTGGCACTCCCTTTGTCCATGATACAAAGAGAACGCCCTACTATCAACGTACAAAGGACCCTAGAGAGGGAAGACTAAGCTGCCGCAAGAAGTCGTGGATCCAAAGGCGGTGACCTCGCCAGAGGGCCAGGCCGCCAGCCCTCCTGTTCGGCTTCTCTTGCGACCCTGAATGGCCTGGTGCATATCCACTTCTGAGAATTCATTTCGTGGTTGATGCTAGAGGAGGATGAGGAGGAGAAGACACGGTAAACATCATGATGGAATAGTTCCTACCTCCCGAAGCGCTCATTGCAGCATCTGGTTATGGCTTACCCCTAATTTTAAACTACTTCTGAGAATTCATTTCGTGGTTGATGCTTTTTCTGAAGAAAAATTATTTTTCTCCACTTTTCAGTTTGGACTTGGGGAATTATTTCGCCGTTTTGTGCGTCTTTATCATTCCATAAACTACACAGAATTATTGAGGCATGAGTATTTAGTCCAACGCATATCCACACTAAGTCTTTCATATTAAGTAGAGGATTGATGAAATCAAGATTTAGCATGTTTCACTCATCACTAAGTGAAACCCATGGACTTTGTCTCCAAATTGTGGAGTAAGCATGATTGACCAAACTTATATAAACTCGTGTGTAAATCAAGCTTGACTGTATCCCACAACTTAGTAGCAACAATAAGAAAAGTCTAATTCATTCTCCTCTTGAATTATAGGGTTACTGAATCTCAACAAATAGTTATAACATTAGACTGTAACATATTATAATGATATTTTAACCCCACAAAAAATACTTTGATGCCTTTTAAATCGTAAAAAGGCTTCAAAGTTTTCCTATTGACAACTTATGCAGCGTGTTGAAGGCGTAAGTTAATATGACATTTTATCTATCTTAATAAGTGAAAAAAAATCATATGCATATTTCAATGATAATAAATAGATAGAAAATATTATTTTGGTAATAATAGTTTTTTCTTCAAGACTAGTTTCAATTGAAGACCCTCTTAATCATCGGCAACAACAAAGATGGGTTTTAGTTTAGCCCAGTGAATTTTATTTTAGTCCTAATAAATCGTCACAAAGCAACAAATTATATCAACATAGGACAAAGTGGTTAGAATATGGTAAGATCCAAGGAATTATATTTAATGACTAATTATCCTAATAAATATTCAAAATATGATACTATATCAAATTTATACATAGAACTTATTAAATATACCTTGAAAAACAAGATTTGTGGGATTAGTGGTACTTGAAATTTTCAAATAAGTATATGTTATGGTTCCTTGGCTGAGAACTACATATTATCATTTTGTGTCCCATCATCTTTAGGTGATAAAAAATCACCCTACATAATGCCCCCAATTAAAACATGAGATCGTGTGTACAACTGCCTGAAATGACTTTCTCCATGTAAACCCTACTAACCTTCTGATGTAGTATTTATTCTCTACCTATGACCATGTGTCATGCGTAGACATGTGGCTCTAACACCAATTGAGCTTATTGACAAAGTTATCCTTATTTTTTCACGTCAAATTTAATTATTCGCATGGATTATGAAGGTAATATTGACACATTATCAATATAGATACTCAATATATGATCAAAGTGATAAGTATATTTCTTCTTGTCCACTTATGCTCAAGATCTAATGGACTTCTTGAGGGCAAAGAGAACACTATGGCAAAGGTGGAACAGTGAAAGAATGTGGATGATTCACTGAGTCATGTCTCATCCTTCTGAGGTGGCCTGATTATCATGTCAGCATCTTTGCATCCCACCCGTTGGATTCCATGTTACAGATAATGTTACATAAAGCAAGGAAAACAAGCAATGGCTCTTTGATTTAGCACGAATTATCCCCTCTTTTGTGACCTCAGGCACCATTTCCATGATGTTATGTTGCTTCCTTTGTTATGGGTCTTGTCAAAATATTTATACTAGGTAACATAGAGTGTGTTGCAATATTCTCATTTTACGTTTGCTCATATTAATTGCCAGCCTATTTATGAGGATATGGCATGGAGTTTGTCAAGTATTGTAGAACTCTTGAATTTGTTGACTAAGATTGAATCATAAGCTATCTTATCATCAAATAAGTTCTTGTATCCATAAGAAACAACCATCTGCCTTCAATATAATTCTCTCTAGTTTATAGTGACTTTTCCACGTAATGTGATTGTCACTTTATATCCGATTATTTTATATTTTTCTAACCTAATAATATAGAGAAATTATGCTATACAACTATCATATAAATTATGGATATTTTATAAAGTTGGATATCCACGTCAAAAATAAGTGGCCACAAAAAATATAAACTTGGCTTTCAATCGCAAGATCCTTTATTCTCCTAACATGTATTTAATTGTTAATCATCAGAATACTGTTCGCCTGAAAAATGGATCGTCGCCACCATCACTGTTGGGAACGTGCCCCTACGTCCGGTCCTTTGACTTAGAGGCCTCATCTGGCGGGCCCGCCTTTGAGCTGACGCGGATCTATGATGAGTCAACGTCATCGTGGCCGCTTTGTTCGTCGTCGTGCTAGCGCTAGCTCACGTTCTTCCTTACTCCATTTGAGTTCGTTATCGAAAGGCGGGACACTGCCAGTCTGCGAAAGCAGGCGAGTCCAGCTTATCGGGGAAGGAGATCCGCGATGCGGAAACGATGGGTAGCAGGGTCCCCATCATCCGCCTACTGGGCCAGTCGTCGTCATCCCTGTTCTCCAGTGAGGAAGGGCCCCCCAGTTCCCCCCACCAGCCGTCGGAAGGCCAGACCAGCCGCAGAAATTTTGCGTTTAATCTTTAGCGAGGAGGACGTGGAGGAAGATGACAGCGCTGCCATGGCGGTGTCTGCCGCGACTGAATTGGAAAGGAGATCCCCTCAGTAGGGGCACGTTTCTCCGCCGCCCTCGCCGACCGCCGTCTCTCTTCCCCACCCCGTGAGGGCCAACCATCATCCCCATCGTCCACGGGGAGAAGAGCAGAAGCTTCCGCCAGGAGGTAGGGCTCATCATCTTGACTCTCAAAGCCCTCGCCGCAATGGTGAAATCTGATATGGATTCCCCGATCTTCGTCGTGAACAGGGACGAAGATTGGTCAAGATCCGGCCCCGCATCGAAGGCCGGCCATCAAGTGACTATCCGTCGTAGAAAGCCAGTCCAACTGTGAAAGAGCTGTGGCGATGGCCTGTCGAGCGCTGATGCGATTGGAAGCTTGTAGACGACAACTCCGTCGCCACATCTCTGATTATTTCTTCCGGACGGACTCATCTTCCTTGTCCTTGATTCTAGGGTTCTGCGTCCTCTCTCTCTCATGTGGTGTGAAAGTCAGTGAAAGGACGGAAATGGTGGGTTCTCTTCTTCTCGTGGTAATATTGTAATAGTAACTTGAATGGAGAACTCCGTAGATTTTGGTGACTGAAAAACAGGGAATGATTCCCATGAGTTTCTGCAACCTGTCGGTGACGCGCGATCTCCCCCGTTTCCACTTCATCTCCAGTGGAGAGAGCAGCCTACAAGAAACCACCTATGAACCTCTAACCCAAATAGCCGCGTCTTCTACTGACGAGTCCATCGCCACTTTGTCCTCTCTCTCTCTCTCTCTCTCTCTCCTCTCCCTGATAGGAACGAAATTCACCAGTTTTCGGCTTGAATTTCTTCGGTAGCATGTTGATCTGAGCGGGAAGATCAAAATTCCGTCAAATACTGACGATGGAAGTGGGAGACCTGGTTGTGGGTCTCGCTGCTCCCCCAGACCAAGCTGCGTTTATTCGGGTAATTCGCGATTTTGCTTCCAGGCACTCATCTCTCTTCGTCCCCACGAAGGATACCTGAGTAGTTTCGAGGTACGGGATGGAAGGGGAGACCCCCCAGAGCTCGGAGTCCGAGGTGTCGGAGTTGAAGAGACTGAGGGCAGAAGACGGCAAGGACAACGAGAAGATCGCGGGCATCTTCGCCTCCCGAGAGCAGAAATGGATTGCGGAGAAGCAGCAGCTCAACCTCGAAATCGAAGCCATCGTCTCCCGGCTCCGCCTGGTCGAGGCCCAGAAGGAGGAGGCCGTTTCCGATTACAAGATCAAGATCGAGGAGAGGGATCGCGCGATAGAGGAGGAGACGAAGAAGTGGGTGGAGATGGAGCAGAGGCTCCGGGCTGCAGAGCATTCCGGAGAGAAAGCGGCGCGGGACCATGCGGCCGAGCTGTGGAGGCACAAGAAAGCATTCGCGGAGCTCGTTTCCAGCCACCGCCAGTTGGAAGCTGAGATGGGACGCGCGCTGCGGCAGGTCGAGGCGGCTAGGCAGGAGCTCGAGGAGGTGTTTCAGCAGAGGGAAGAAGCCATCGCGATGGTTGAGCAGCTGTCGGCGGACATTATTATGATGCGCACGGATGCAGAGAAGAAGGACAGGGTTCTGTCGGCGATGCTGCGCAAGTCCGAGTTCGACGCGGCCGAGAAGCTCTCACTGAAAAGGGAACTGGATATGTGCAAGGCGAGGGAGAAGGAGGTGGAGCTCGAAGACCGAAAAGGTCCGGCGGGGATTCACAACCACAGAATATTTTTTCTTGATTACTTCCAAGATAGCGAATTCGTTCCTCCGGAAACAGGCAGCATCAATGTGGCCACAGACGGCGGCGAACCACTCGCACCTCCCCTCGGTAGGGACAGCCAAGAACTAGGTAACTCCAACCCACCCCCTGATTCTCTCTTCTTTCTCTCGTCTTTAAGATTCTGACTTGTGCAGAAGAATTCCGTTTGATGCAGATGCAGAAAACGTAGGACAACTTCGAGGTTGGGTCCGTTCGGAGATGGAGGGGTGTGCGAGCGTCCTCCGGCAGAGGCACTACGCCGACATCGAAGCGTTCGCGGAGCAGATAAGGCGGAAAGATGAGAAACTGGAAGCTTACCGGTGGCGAGTACTCACCGCGGAGCTCCAGTCTGAGAGGCTCCAGTCCCAAGTTGAAGGACTGGAGGGTAAGCTCTCCAGCCTGCGGGAAGAGAGCGCCAAGCTGGAGGACCTGCTGCTGGACAGGGAGGAGGAGCTCAGATCACTCAAGAAGCAAATCAGTCTCCAATTGCAGTATTGTCGGAAGAGCGACTCGAATCGTTCGCCCGCCGCTTCGCCCACCGATTCTCGCTCTCTCTGGTCAGAAGTGTACAGAAAAGGGCAAGAAGAACCAGAAGAAACCGGGGCAGGTGGGAGCACCCCTGTCCTAAAGGACCAAAGCAGGGCCATCAATGGCGTGAAACAGATAGAGATGGAGCCGCAACAAGAAGAGAAACAAAAACGCGGAGGGAGAGCGGAAGACGCTGCCCGGACAGGAAGTTCCACTCCACCACCATTCTCACATCACTATGTCGCACCTGATCGCCAAAGGTGGAAATTCCCCTCAGGTTCTGAGATTTTCGATAAGATACAGGGTTCTGGGCTCACGGCCCTCGGCAAGGATACTTCACGGAAGGTGGACCTCCACGCCCTCGGCATCTCCTACAAGATCAAGAGGCTGAAGCAGCAGCTTCTTGCGTTCGAGCAGATGGCTGGGGTTCAAGCTCCGCTTCAAGTGACCTGCAGAGATGTAGACCGTACGCCGGACGAGAAGGAACAGCAGCAGATGGGCTTCCTTCAAGTGCTGCCTCTGCTTAACAAGCAGGCAAGAAAGTACCGATCCCTCGAGGAGAAAGCCGACGGCCTTTGTCTGAGGATGGTAAGGATCCGGCTCAGAACATATTTTCTTACTTCTCGATGATCCGGAAAACGCTAACTTCAAATTCTAAGCAGGAGAGCGAAGCCGACGGAAGAAGCCGAGGGCCAAGCCTGGAAAGCTTCCTCGAGGAGGCGTTTCAGCTCCAGAGGCATATCGTGGCGGCGGGGCAGAGATTGCTGGAGGTGCAGTCCCAGCTCGCCGGCTGCGTGGTCGACGCGGACGACGAGCGTTTCCAGGACTTCAAGGCAGGGCAGTTTGCCGACGTTATGAAGACTCTCCTGAGGGACATTCAGAGGGGACTGGAAGTGCGGGTGGCTCGCATCATCGGAAACCTCGAGGGAACGTTAACTCGTGACGGGATTCTGCACATCAGCCGTCGCGAGGACGGCTCACAGGAGCTCGGTGCAAAAAACGGAGCTTGATTGGCCAGATCGCTCCACCATAGTTATCCCCAAAGAAGGCCAGTTCCCAGTGGCACTCTTCTCATCGTCGTCACATCTGTCACGATGGGGAGGTCTGGCTGGTAGGGGTTCGTTCATTCGTCCTTCTCTCCAGGTTCCTATCCCCCTTCTCCGTTGCAGAAGAGGTCGCCGGACGAGACGGCCCCCCGCCGGAGTCAGGCGAAGTTTCCAGGGCATCTCAGGTCCCGTTCCACCGACGGCGGGCTCGGACCCACATAAGAGTTGTGTAGATCGTGTTACTCGAGTGTATTACGAGGACCCAGATGAAGAAATAATAAAACCCAAGAGCAAAATTAGCCCATTTAAGACGCAGAATCGATCGTCCAAGAAGGCCCGTTCTCCGTCTAATCACAGGCTGCACTAGCTGCAAGGCGTACGTGGGACAATCCGGACGTCTGCTGGTTCTCGTAGCTCTATCATGAAACCTTCTGACGTATTTCTACCGACTCCATTTCCCGTTCATAAGGTCGTTTCCGTAGTGACGTCAATTCCCCCACGAATCTTCAACGTTTTGGGGAGAGAGAGAGAGAGAGACCTGATGGAGTCCGGAGGGAGAAGGATACCCAATTCCCTAGCTCAAGAAGGTGGTCCGTCCCTTTCCCATTAAACATTGAACCCGTGCTAATGAGTATACCTTCGCCAACCCTTAATGAAGAAAAAAGAAGAACAATAATATACTTAGACAAATGAGAGTGGACAACCGCAACAGGGATCTGGAATCCTACTGCAGAGGAGGAGAAAGACAAACAAGAACGGCCAACTGTTTAGAATTCTTAAGTCGAGAAGAGAAGGGTCCGTGCTCACCCGGGCACCGCTCTTCACGGCGTTTCCTTCGGGCGCCGATTATTTGAAGACGACGGGTGGCTGGTAAAATCCTTGAACCCTTCATCGGATCGACACGTTTTGGCATTCTATCCAGTCGAAGATGATTATCGTGCAGCACGACAACTACCCGTTGGAAGAAAACTCGCGTAATTGACAGTATGGGCTCGAGTATGTGGTTAGATAATGAACCGGGCTCACCAGAGGTCAACTCTACCCCACATGCAAGGGCCAGCTCGTCCCTATGCTTCAAGTTATTAGCATTCGCTGCGAAGAAGATGCCGTCCGAGATTGGATAAGATCGATGAACGGATGAGCTTGCTTGTTTCCAACTTAGGAATGTGAGATTTGTTTATTTGGTTGATTATTGGTAATTTTCTGTACGCTCCAAGCTTCCCAGACGCAGAATATTCTACACTAATTACAGTCTCGATGTATTGCGCTGAGTGAAAAAAACCCAGTAAAAGTCAATAGAGAAAAGATTTTGGCGTGGCCGTCTGGGAAGTTCCCGACTTTAATTCTGTGGAGATATGAAGATTGGTTGATTAAGGTCGGCGTCTTGTTGTCTTACTCCGTTCTTCATTCTCTAGACATATCGGGCAATTTTAGTCAACGTTGTTTGTTAGAGTGGGATTTGATTAGTTCCCACTACAGAGCATCATCGGGCTCCCCCCATTTATTAAAACTTCCCTGCGCGAAAGGCCGCCGACATATTTGATGGTGCCGCAGAACAAACTCGGGAAGATCGTTGACCTGGGCGGCCTGGGAAGCGTTGCACAGCCCCGGCTGCCCAGCAGAAGGTGGTTGGTCGGAGGCCGCGGCGGGCGACTCCTACACACCTGCTGGCGCCTCCCTGACTTCGCAGCAGAAGGTTGTTGGTTGGAGACCGGCAGGCCTGGCGGAGGATTTGGAGAACTGCCGACGGCTCTCATTCACCTAGCTGACGTGGCCATCCCCTCCAAAACCGGGCAGGCTTAAGGGACTATTCATTGAGGAAGTTACTTGAGCGGATTTTTCACGTGTCACCGCCGTAGGTCTCTCTCTCTCTCTCTCTCTCTCTCTCTCGCTGCACTCGGGGCATCTTCAAACTGGTTAGGAAATAGAGGAGAGGAATGGAAGAAGGGTTCGGAAGGGGGGGGGTTAGAGAGAGAGAGAGGGAGATGTATGAAAGGGGAACTTCCTCGTGACGAAAGCGGTGTATAAAACCGCGTGAGGCGGAGAGCGCCGGGGGGTTCATACATGGCACGCACATCTCACTATCTGTTCCCCTCGCGCGGAGATACGCACGCCTCTATATATGAAGACAGATACATGGCATCCCACGTAGAGGGGAGTGGGTAGGGCGAAAGGAAGAGGGAGCGAGAAGGAGAGAGATATGGGAGAGCAGGGTGCAAGGGGGGAGGTCGCGGTAGTTCGGGGAGATGGGGCAGTCGTGGTCCGGGAAGCAACAGGAAAAACTTCTGCCGGCGTGACTTCCCCACCGAGGTTGTGCTACCACGCTCTGCCGAACCAGCGGCCGGAACCAGTCGGTATGATGACTCCGCCACCGCAGGCACCAGGAAGGGTGCCGTTCAGATGGGAGGAAGCTCCAGGGAAGCCTCGGAACTCCAACAATTGTGGCGGGACAAAGCCCGCCAGCGCTAGAGGGCTGGAGCTTCCTCCGAGACTGGCGGTTCTGTCGTCTTCTTCGTCGTCCTCCTCGGCCTGGCAGGTGGCGAAGGTAGCAGACGCCGAGGTGCCCTCAAAGACCGTCTTGGAGGGAACCTACTATGTGCTGCTTGGCCCGCCCGCCTCCCAGATAGACGGCATGTCCGTGACTGGACAACGCAGCCCTCTTTCTTGTTCATCATTCGCCTTCGGGCAGCGCTCGCTAAGATTCTACAGCAAAGGCGATGGGAGGAGAAGAAAGCAGAGATCAGGAGGGTGGTTCTGGAAGAGGACAGCGCCGAAGAGGAGCGGTGGCGATTCTTCGTCGCAGAAGGCGCCGGAGGCTGCCGCATGCTTACCTCGCTCTTATTCCCATGGCTGTGGATTCTACGTCGACGAGAGGGAAGAGGACGTAGAGGGGGAAGCGGCCGCGGCGAAGGCGACGATAACAAGGCACGCGAGGAGCAGAAGTCTCCCGAGCCTGTCCACGGCCACCTCTCACCTCTGGGTGCGTCTTCTGATCTTTTCTGTTTCTCCTCCGTTTCTTCCCAGTGCCGTTTTCGTTTCCGAGGTCTTGAACATTTTGATCCAAAAAAGAATCGTCTTCTGCTCAAATTTCGGTTTGTTTTCCATTTACATCTTTGCTCTATTGACCAAGATCACCGACAAAAGGCGATGTCGGTGACGAAGTCCTAGTGACGACTCCCATCGGCTTCAGCTGCTCGATGGGCGTTTTATCATAATCTCAACGTCATTCACACAGCCTGCGTCATCCCGCCGTGGATTGAACCTTTCCCCTTCTTCCCCTTCTTCCCCTTCTTCCCCTTCTTCTTCTTCTTCTTCTTCTTCTTCTTCTTCTTTCTCCTCCTCCTCCCAAAACGTCTTCAGGAAAACAGATTCCCCTTCATCCCCGTTCGTCGCTTGCTGACTTAAGCTCTCTCCTTCCTCTGTCGTCACGGACAACCCGCAGGCCAGCATTTACGGCAGTCTTAAGCAGGCGGTGGCGGGCCCGTGGACGTCCAGGAAGCCCACAACCCGGCGGTGGCCGCGCGATTCTCTCCGCTGACGGACGCCTGATTGTAACCCTGTTCGGGCCTCGAAAAGGGATTGAAGCCGAACGAAGAGGAAGGGGGAGGAAGGTCGTTCCCACCACATCACGAATCGATATTTGGGGACCTTTGACCCCCCGGAGATGCCTCTCAGGCAGTCCCACCTGTAAACTCTTCTGCACAAAAAGATGGAGTCGGGGACAAGAACGCCCGGCCGAAAGATCCAATCCGGCCAACTCAGGTTGAGCTTACCCTTCTACCAGTTTATCACAGGGAAGAACACCAGCGTTGGCTCCACTTACAAATAGTTCGAATAGCTACATCGAACTTCCATATTAAAATGTACATCTGTATGTGGTCCTCTAAGTTTGGTGAGTATAATTTCCCAAGCGAAAATTCACGTTGACTTTTGAGGGAAATGCACCGATCGCCATAGCCGATAGAATTTGGTCCACGGGACGAGTCGATGATGGAAGGGAGGCAGCGTTTTTATATTTCTTACACTCTTGCTGCGCGTCATAGCCATTTTTTTTTTATCTGACGGAGATTAAAAAGTCAACATATGAGATCATTCAACGCCACATTTTTTGACCCATACCTCCTCCAGTTTTACCATGGGTTATTTTGAATTCCATCCACTATATGACGCATCCTTACGGCGGCGTGAATTCCATCAACATCTGTTTGAAGCTATTAAATATATGCTACTCTATTATTAATCTTTCAGAATTATTAACCCAATTAGAGGGCTTCAACGAAAGTCCTAATTTGAATTATTTTTGGAAAAAAATATGCAGGAAAATAAAATGGGTACAAAGTTATTTGGATTTTTCTCTGGCTTAGTGTACACATATTGCAAGAATACCATTTAAATGACTAAATATATCCCTCATCAGTGGAAAAAAATCTGTAGAAGAAAAATCATAATAATTCGATTTAAAGTTAATATTTCTTTTTAATACCGAATTTTTAGAATTTATAGCATTATGAACCGAATTATCTAATGGGCCCTTCTGCCATCGTTAGCTACCGACGCATACCAATCACATCAGAGCATTTATCGAGGAATGGCCATCTGGCTTGCCACCGGAGCACCGTCCGATCCGTCCGAGATAGGCGGCATCACCGTACACTATAGACCGGTGGCCCCGCCGGGCTTATTTTAATAGGAGCACGTTCCGCATAAATATAAAATTTATTACGCGATTTAATTTCTCCAATAACGCGGACTGCTTTTTCTTTCCAGAAATTTTGAGAAAATCCGAGGAAAATGAGCCACGCTGAGAAGTGTGGGTCGAGGGTCTCAGGTCCCGGGCCGGGCTTTTTGTGGGCCTCGAGCTTGAAAAAGATGTACGGGCTCGGGCTGATTCCGAGTCCAGCCCGCTACCCATTCTCACTACAAAGGCCGCATATGGAAGTTATTAATTAATTAGTTAATTAATTATTATATGCCATGGATTTCCCAGAGACCTGCCGCCATGATGGCGGCGGAGCGAGGCCAACTCCGCCATTGCGACCGACGTGCCCTCCGCTAGCGGTGTCTCCCCTGCGCGCGCGACGCATCGCTTTCCCCTCTCCGGCACGTCGAATGGGAGAAGGAAAAGGAGAAAGGGAAAGCACTGAAGAATCCCACGGCCCGGTCTTGGTCGCCACCTCGAGTGTACCCGCCGCTGGAAGCGCCGATGAGTCGACCTTCTCCTCCTCCTCCTCCTCCTCCTCCTCCTCCTCCTCCTTCTTCTTCTTCATCCGCTGCGACAAGGATGTTCTGAGAAGCAAGAGAGGGCAGGCGCCGAGTTCCGGAGTAGGCATTTGGAACGAACACGCGAGGTTCCAGGCCCGGACGCCGCTTTTGCGTAGTTTCTACAGTACGATTTTGGATTATGGGGGCTCCAAATCGAAGGAATTGAGGAAGAAATGGAGGCGCAAGTTTTTTCAGGGGAGAAGTTTGATCTATTTGTCCTTTTACTGGGTTGACTCCGCTGCGTTCCTCTGTTTGACGTATCAAGGCAGGTTTCCGGCTGCTTTCTTCGGGTAATGGGGTCCTCCTCCGAATCGTCTGCTTCTCCAGTTCCAACCTCCACCTTCGATGAGCGCTCCCTGCGGCAGAGCTTGCTCTTCGCCGGTAGCCTCAAGGTAAACTGGCGAAGGTGCCTTCTCTTGATCCACTGACTCCAGCATCATCCATGACTTGATATGAATCATAGAGTCGGATGTTTGTTTAATCATGATCATCTTAGACGCTCTACTTCTTCCATCTCTGGAGTTGTATCACGTCCCTTCTCCTGGCCTAATTCTCTCCGTGATTCCAGGACTTGAGGAATCTGCGGTCGCAGCTGTACTCGGCTGCGAGGTATTTCGAATCATCTTACGCCAACGATCCCCTGAAGCAACCGTACGATGCTCGGTTATCCCGCCTCCTCTGTAACTTCTTCCTAATCACCAGAGACCTCTTATCGATTAATCCCTGTTGCAGACCTCGGGACACGCTGAAACAGTACGTCGTCGGAGCTCTGGTCAACACTGTCGATCACCTGGGTTCTGTCTCATCCAAGGTCAGCGCTCTTATCGGCGAGGACATAGGGACCCTCTCTGAGACAGAGCGTCGAGTTTCTTGCCTCGAACAGGTATTCCACTACCATGATCGTCAACATTTGAATTGGATGTCCATGGCCGATAAATCGGATGTGATCTTCTGGGTTCTCTCCTGGATTGCAGAGGCTCCGGACATGTCGAGCTCTCCTCGACCATGAAGGGCTCTCTCGCCAATCTCTGCCCACCGACCCTCAAAAGTGCCAAAAGCGTTATGTTTTACCAGGCAAATCAAAATTTATGCAATTCCCTCTTTCTTTCTCTCTGAGTGTTCCTCTCTGCTCTTCTCCATACCCTTTTGGTGGTGTTCTTGTTGGATGAAGATCGAAGCTCTGTTTCCTTTCTTCTCAGGGGGAGAATCCATGGCTGCTGGATCCGGAAGCCTCACTATGCCGGGTCGTCTAGAAACGAAGCCGAAGCAACACGATGGGAGAGAATTGCAGCCATCTCGGGAGGCCGGTAATCTCTTTTTCAGCCTCCTCACAATCCCTCTCCCCTCTGATTCCTCTCCTTCCATGCGCTGCTTCATGGCCGTTTAACCCGTTATGCCGCAGCCCTCTGTTCAACACCCAAGAGCAGAACGTCTTCCTTCAGGTGAAACATCGTTCCCTCCCCCCCCCTCTTTCTTTCTCCTCAGTATCGCCTCCGAGGTTATAACTGATCTCAAGGCTGTCTTCTCTGCAGGAAGATATTCTCTTCGTCGTCCTTTCGGTGGGGCCGCTCCTCCTCTCCTTCTCTGAAAGTTCGCCCTCCGTCTCCCTTCCCCCCGGGAATGTCTCTGCTTTCAGGTACCTCCCCTCCTCAGACGCCTCCTGAAAACACCGAGCCTCCTGCATCGATGCTCACTGTGGATCTCCGACTCAGACTGCGCAGCCTTCTCCACTGCTCCAGATCCGGGTCCCGATCTCCGCCTCCGCTCTGTCTCTTTCTCAATCCGACGCACTCCTCTCGGCTCTTCCAACAGCTGGTGGCGGGTGAGAAACTTCTCTCTCTCTCTGTTCTGGGTCTCTCTCGTATGCTTGACAATCTGAGTGCAGGGGCGTGAGGGACCTCGGAAAGCTGCGGCCACGAGCTTTCATGGCGGAGAAGGCGACTGGGATAAGGTCGAGCAGAGCCCGAATAGAAGCAAGCAAACGCTGGGCGCTTTGTTGGGAAGGCGCAGGTGGGGGAAAGACGCCATGATTCCGTAGATCATCAGGACCAGTCACCAAGACCCTTAGAGACTCATAAAATGGAACAGTTTTCTTTGCTGGATGTATATTTTCTTTAGTGGTGGCCGGGCCGGGCCGGGCCTCGGAATCGAAGGGGTTTGGCTCGGAAGTTAAGAGTTCATTGTTTTGCTGCTGCACGGGTCTTGTCCGAGGCCTGTTTTTCGGGCTTTTCTTGGAGGTTTAGTGGTTCCGGGCCCGGAGTGGGCCCGGCTAGGTCTGGGCCGGCTCTTCAAATAAAAACCAACCAGCCCAAGCATAAAGATGCGCATGTACTCCCAAAAGTGGTCTTAGCCGTCCGATTCCGATCGAAAGGTGGTGGTAGTTCGAAACAAAGCTTGGGCTGGTTGGTTCCAAAGGGGAAGGGGATGGCATCTGGTTCGGATATTCCCCGGAATATTATTCTTCGCGGAGGAATCTACTCTCGCATGATCCTACTACATGTCAATGCAACCGCGCCACTGGACGTCCCTTGCCTCTCTTCTCTCGAGAGAACACGATCTTCACCTCTCCGTCTCTCTTCCTCCGGCGCGTTTCTCGTTCTACTCACTCTCTTGCCGCAGATTGTTCCCACACGCTCCACTCCGACTTGGACGTTGTCCTCCGGCGACTTCCTTGTTCCCGCCGCCGAACGACGTTCTCGCGCTCGGAGAGAAACAGGTGAGCGGGAACAGGGACGCTTTCAGTTGTTCTTTTAGGGTTACCGTTCCTGGATCTCTTCTTTCCTCTCCGACGAATTTTTTCTGCGTGTTCCCATGCTTGGTGGCAAGTAATCATCGTTGACGGCGGTATGGATTGAATGAATGTTTTGGCAAGGATTTGTTACTTTGTAACGAATGGCAGACTTCCAACTTGACAGCTATAAAAATTTTAGCACTCCTCTGCAGTGCTCAACGTTTCTCGTTCGTTTTGCTTTGCTGCAGTGTTTTTATCTTGAATAATCCAACATATGCACATTCGTAGATCGAACAACCATATGGTTTTCACAAGGCTGCCTACGCCATGTAGATTTCATTTGTGGAAAATTACAATAAAACTAAGGATCACACGCCTTCCCATTCCAACATATCAAATGGAAAGCTGGCATGTTCCGTAATAGGCTCAGTTGGCTTGTCTTAGTCTCGTTTGTTGTCGATGGACGTGATCTGGCCGCACTGTTACTAGCTTCGTTTGCCGAGATAAGCCTGCTCAATCATTTTTTGATGCCGGTTATCCTCAAATCGGCTATCTCCATCTTTAAACCTGCTAGAAAGAATGCAATTACCTGTTATATATATATATATATATATATATATATATATATATATATATATCTTCGATAAAACAACCAAGGAAAGGATGGCCTAATCTATGTAATCTGAACCTCTGCCATGGAAGTACCTTACGATACCATTTCTCCTACTCTATCTGGCTTGGCCAGTCTGAGGATCTTCCGTACATATCCGAAGGCCATCACAAATAACCCAAAAAAGTACAACAAGCTAAATTGAAACTTTGATAAAAGATCGGTGGTTGTCTCAAGGCAAGTGCCACTTTCATTACACAATCTATCTGGTAGTGTTGAAAGCCGAAATGTTGCCCATCCTGTTATGAGAGGGAAAAAAAAAAGAGTCTATAAGAAACCTACGAACAGAGAACTGAGGATACAAGTGAAGGTTGGTATGGCTCGAATTTAAACCACCTGTTTCATTCTTGGACAAGCAAGACCACATATGTAGAGATAGATTTGATTCCGATGCCTTGATCAACTCCAACAGAGATTGGTTTACCTGCAAGTTTTTAGGTTGTGAGTTTGGATGTTATAATTATATGTAAAATATGATAAAAATATTGAGGCATTTACGAGAAAATGCTGGTCTTTGGAAGACATTGCCACTTGTTAAGAGATAGTCCCTATATTATTTCATTATACTCGAGGGTGAACAATTTGATGAACTCTATTGCACATACCATACTACTGAATGAAAAAAAGTAAAAATGTTAACATTGATCACTTTATACTTCCTGGGTACGACATGCTTCAATTATCTCAAGCTGACTCTTTTCATTCTCTGTGTCTTGTATTTATGTCCTGTGCTTGCTTCATGATAGTCATATCAAATGGTAGACTGCTGATCTAGAGCATAGTCGAAAATGATTACTGCATAAATCCTTTCAAGTAGAGACTGCAAATACCTTAATTTTTTTTCTTTGAATATGGCTAGCATTTTTTTCATTTACTGGATGCCCCCTGAGAGAGAGTTTATTATTCCATAACTTGCAACATCATAATAGGGTAGATGTTTCTACTTATCCTGCACCGTGGGGGTGAACTGCCGACAGAGGGTCATCTTATTGTAATATAATTTTAGGCATTTGCTGCTCGTCAACAGATAAGCCGTGATAGAGAAATTTCTGGTCAGCTATCATTGTCAAACAGCGGGAACTCAATTCTTGATGATAATATACGCAGATGTATGTGCTCCTATTGTTTGGAATCACTTTTTCTGCATCTCTTATTGCAAATTTTAATTCTTGTCATCCATGATGCAGATGTTTAACATCATTTCTAGAGTCATTCCTGGAGGACTAGTTACCGAACACCAACTAGAAATAGAAACGGGAAGGCCCATAGACCATGGAATGGGAAGGCCCATAAACCCATAGACCGCGATTGGTAGCTTTGAAATTATTTCAACACCCACGCACATCGTTCGAGCTAGGAGATGGAAGCGATGAAGATAAAAAATAATAATAAAAAAAGGTGGCCCGCTAAAGCAAAAGAAATCCAAAAGCGCTGGAAGCTATTAACTAGGCTAATACTAATCCTAAGCATTGATATCTTCTAGAATGATTGATGTCCATTGAATTCTTTCTGGGAAAATTTCTAATGAAAGCCTCTAAACCTGTGGTCGTTTGGTCGTCCAGCTGCATTTAATGAAATGCATAGTATCAACATCACGAGTCAATGCAGTTGGAGTCATCCTTAGAACTACTGGAACTTTGCCAAGGAAATACCTCCTTTGGTCTTTCATGGCTCACTAGATGCGCCCCATGGAGCTCAACCATCCTTGCAACAGGATGCAACTTCTCTGCAATCTTCTTCGCGTGGCTTATCTGGGCAATAATGTCATACCTGACAAACGTTCGATGGTTCAGTCAACCTTGAGCTAATTATTGTGGAAATTTATTGAACAAGTTATTTAGCTCATCAATGCGGAAGAACCAAAGTTCAATCATCCTACTAGCAAGAAATTCACACTTTAGTGCGTACTGTTTAGGAGGATATCAATAGGATGACGGAAATGTAAGAATAAGAAAAATTAAATACACTAGATATGGACCAATGAGTCGGCAGTAAACTGACCTGCCATGGATGACTGACACATGGAACCCTGCAGATCGGATTACATCAACGTCCTTCGACGTCACCCTGTGCGTCCAGCAGGCGTTCACTTGGCCCTCAAAACCATAAGTCGACTGCATCCCAGTTGAGGATATGGCTCTCACGTATTGCTATCATCATTTACCCATGTGAAACTCGTAAGACCCAGGAGGAGGATGACTGAAGAAATAGCTTAATGTATTACTTTTAAATGGACGGTGATCGTGGCACCATTTTGGTCTCAGAAACTCCCGGTCTAAGAGCGTTGCACACTCGACAGTAACGATGTTTCTTACCTGGTAAAGAATCTTCCCCCTTGTGCTGGATCCCACTTGTTCGTCTAGGTATTCCTGAAAAAGGAGATTTTTTCTTCTAAGCAAATCTGAAAAGATTAATCACCAAGTATGACAAGTTTTCGTTAGGATGAGAAGGGATTATTGAACAAACCTTGGTATAATGGGTTTCCAAGTCTACCATCGCCCTTTGCTCGGGGTTCTTTGCCCTTAAAAAACGATAGGCAAGGGATATCATCTGACCATTTATCTGTTAATAGACGACTGTGAGAGAAATATGATAGAGGCACCTTCGGAGAGGCATGAAAGTGTGCTAGTGAAAAAAATAAAAAATTCAATTGATAAATTTATATATTTAAAGATACATATTTAAGATCATCTGCCAAGTGATCTACCATTTTTGCATTCAGATTTCGTTCTTTGGGTGCAGATGATTTATTGAAAGGGATCCCGTTGGGATGGATATAACATGCTACATTGCATGAAAATGAAATAAATCAAGCGACTCATACACAGGGGAAACACAACCAGAAGATGCGGTGACATAAACACATGAAAAGAGCACAAGAAGCTGCAGATTAGAGTCATTCTCTTTTTCATACGCATGCAAGTTTCAAGTCGTAGTATACCTAAAGTTCATGTGATGGTACTATATGAGCTACTCCTCATTGTCTTTTTCTTTTTAGTCCAAAAGGTTTATTCATATGTGGATACAAATTATCGAAATCCTGTTGGTTAGTCACCAAAAATACAGGAATTTATCAGGCCATCTTTAAATATTCCTTCAATCTGATTTCAGAAGACGTGAAATCAGATGCGACCATCGTATTTATTGTATTAGTTTGTGAGATTCTTAAATTCGAAGAAGTCAGAAGATTCATGAGAGAAGCTTCTGACCAAGGGAGTACAAGTAATAGAATTATTCATGATATGGTGTAGAAAAAGGGTAGAAGAGATTTTGCCTTTGGAAGACATTCGTAGCCACCACCTGTCACATTGAGCAACGCCAGAGAACTCAACCTATTTGATGCCACTGCTGCCAGCTTGCACGCTATCATAGCTCCTGTAAGAAAAAAAAACAAGAAGAAAATAGTTAAGATATTTTCTCACCGATCAAAAATGACTACTCATGCAAATCCTGATCGGGCATTTTCCTGTTCATTCAATGTGATTCACGTCTTTCAAACGCCAAATTATAGGTCATATGGAATATTCAAACCGAGTAATTCTGCTCAGTGTGGGGGTCTTCTAATGCTCATCAGCATGACCATCAGAAAATAAACGGTCCAGCTTACCCATAGAATGTCCAACGACATGAGCTTTTTCCCAGCCTAAATGATCGAGTAAGGCCTGGGCATCTTTTGCCATTTTAGTTGTTCTGCCAAAATAAAAATAAATAAATGACAGAAATTAGCTCCGAGCAAAGAGTGAGATGCCATGAGATTAATGTTAAGAACAATCATTTATCCATACTGACTGATGTCTTTCAATTGATATCAAAACTCTCCCACGATACATCTGTTTTTTTTTTTCTTCTCTCCGAATCCAAGTCTCATCTTAGTTCCAAGCCTAGAAAGAAATACGTGATGCACATACAAACACCTTTCATTATCAGTTCCAAATGGGAAACGAATTAAAAAATCTATCACGATGATAATATCTTAGTTCCTTGAGGATGTGCGCGTTAATTCTTGCGCATTTGCTCGAATCTATGAACGTTGTTATTCTCAGGAAACCACGTCAATCCGGAGAACGAAATCGCGTCGGATTTACTCACGTGTATTCTGATTTCTTAGTGGGCACAGAGCTCCGACCCATCCCGCGGTTATCAAAGGAGCACACCTCAATCCCGTCGTCTGCTTCCGCTCCACGAATTGAGCCATCGGCAGCCGAATCGGCAGCCGAATCGCCACTAGACGGCGACTCCTCGTCATTGGGCTCCAGCGATCCCGTCAGGCCCTCAATCTGAGGCCCCCAGGAATCGTGTGTCCCCGCAAGACCTGCAGCAGCCACAAATCCCCAAACGCGATCAAATTCACAATCACGCCAGATGATTAAATCAGAATCCCAAATACACGGGAGACGGGGATTCATCAGCGCTGATGTTCCTACGTACCGGTGATTAGGAGGACCTTGGTCCTGCCACGGCCGTATCTCCGGTAATAAATTTTGATCCCGTGGCCGGTGTCCGATCTCTGGTTCCCCTCTTCGTACTTGCTCACATGACAGAATGGCATCCTGCCGGCTCAATTTTCTTCTTCGTTCCTCCCCAATTCCTCCAAAAAAACCACGGAAGAGAGGAGACAGGGGAAATGTGCTCGGAATATAGAAGAAGGGAGACGAGCGGCGATGAAGAGATTGGGGTTCTTGCGTGGGGGAAGAGGAGGAGGCGAATTGGAGCAGACGAACTCTGATACCGACACCTCTATTTAACGACAGAGGCACGCGGGGTGCGAGGCCAACGCCACGACACGTGGCTGGATATGTTTGACCCGACCCGCCACGTTGGCATAGTTTGTCGTGGCGGGGTCAAACCCATGAGGCGTTGAAGAAGCTGAGAGGTCTCGTTTTATTCGTGCACATGTGACCTTCCGATCTCCATCTAACGGCCGCAGATGGCAGGAGCGCGCCCACGGCCACGACTCGATAATATCCGCTGACGGCCTCGATTCTATAAAGAAAAAGGAGATCAGGAAAGAGGACCACCGCTTGGACGGTGAGATCCAGATAGACACGTGGACTCCGAGAAAACTCGAGGAGAGAATGGGATGACGATTCCCTAAATATTATTATTATTTATTTATAACAAAATATAATTACCCGCCGTAATTAGTCTCCTAATCTCTATATTTTTGGGGCCTTCTGACCGGATTCCTTTCCTTTTTTCGTAGGGGCAGCCTTTGTTGACGGTCACCGACAAGGTTAATATTGAGCCTTGATTGGGCCGACAGAGACAGCAAAAATATGCAAATAATAAGTGGGCCATCCTAGTTTGGGCTTGAGAACGTGGGTCCCACTTCCTTCGTGGCCCATGCCAAAAAATGCCAAGAAAATGGCCCACCCACTGTTATAGGCCTGCATCCTATGTACCTATTTATGAGAGAGAGAGAGAGAGTTGGGAAAACCTGCATACATCTTCTCTCTTTCTATGTTCTACTCAAATATACACGCATCCATCTATATTACAGAAGAACAAAGGAGGAGCCGATGGGTACATCTCTCGGAGATCAGAAGGCAGACAGTAGCCAGCCCAGTGACCAGCCGATGAGGAGCCCAACGCCGACCAGACCGAGGCCGACAGCCCGCGCAGCGGCCTTGCTCCTGCCACGCCCAGATTTCTGGCTCGTCCGCCCCGTTTCCTGCTTGAGAACCTCGCTCTGAACCAGACCTCCAACGGGTGGCTGTTGTTTCTTGATCCTCTGATGGAGGAAGAATCTCTCCCACTCCAGCATTCGGATCCACAACCTGTATGCGAAGGCATGAGACGCCTGCTTGAAGATGAGCTTGACGATGTGCTCCTTCTCATGGCGAGCCAGCCGGGCTGTGGCTTCCGCTTCTCTTGCTCGCGTCTGGGAGCACCGGAGCGCTCCCAGTAATGCAGTTCTGCTCGAATCGCCCCCACAACCGGGATACGCTTCCGGCGGATCGTCGCTGCATAGAATTCACATCTAAGAGACGGCAAAGATGTAAGTAAGAAAAACTAGTTCTTGCTCTTCAAGAATACCAGGAGTTTCTATATGAATTGTACGGTGGAGGATGGCCAGCTTCATTGAGAGTCTGATAGCTTCTGCCCAAATGACTCCCAGACGTTGAGCTGATACTCGCGTCATTCAATGGATCTCGTGCGCAGGATCTATCAAAGCTGAATATCTCAAGAGGGCCCAGCGGATCTCCGCAGAACAGCATGGTCTGAGGTCGAGGAAGATCGCAGTTTTCAACGCGCTCCGACGATTTTTGCATGACCAGCAGTGTCAACTCGCCCGTCTCTGCAATCCGCCACCATGGCTCGATCTTCTCACTTCCCAGAGGTGTCTCTGATCCAAAACTGTTCTTCTCTGACTTCTGTAAAAATAACCAGTCAGCAGCGTTCTTACAGGCATCACTGTTCATCGCGTCCAGGTCGTCGATGCTTTCTTCGCCTTGATGGTTCCTTAAACCCGTCGAAACCTTCCATGCTGCCTCAATTGACCCAGAGCTCTTACCATCAGCATGGAAAGCAGCATTACTATCCAAATCCCTAGAGACCAAAGAGCCTGAGGTGACAGTTTCCTTCTCGAAAGCGTTCATATTTTCACAGACGAGAACCTTCTGGGAGTCGAAGTTTCTGCGGGGATGGAAGCAGGATCCTGTCTCAGGTGGTAGACTGGAACTCATTATGTTTCGATTTGAGGCAGGCCGATACGATCCCTTCGGCAAACCAGTAATGCCCGAATCAGGCAGCAGCATTAATGAGGACGGCGAGAAACTGGCAAACTTTGGAGCTCTCTTGGCATCATCTTGGACGAAGACACGATTAGCAATGCGCTGCCAAGCAGCTCGGGCTTGTGCTGCTGCCATCACCATCTCGCACACATCTTCATCAATGCCATCTGCAGAAGAAGCATGCACAGCGGTGGTCAGTGCTGCAGGCCACCGAGTATAATAACTCTTCCACTGAATAATACCAAGGAATTTGGAACTGGAACGCATCTCCAGGAATCATTTTCTGAATCTATGATTTTTTAAACAGTCTAAATATCATACGCACCTTGCAGCACAGAGTAACAGCAACATGAAATATGAATAGGAAATCACAAAGAAAATCGATGAAACTATGCCGAAATGGAAGCAGCGTTATTGAGAATATGAACAATGTTCCACAGAAATGGCCTAGAAGTTGCTCTACTACACGCTGAATTGTGAAGAACAGAAATGAGAAAAAGCTGGAATTAGCATTGGGGATCGGAACTGAATGGTGAAAACATCACGAGAGGCTTGCATAGACCCAACATTGGGTTGCACGAGCAAGTGTATTAGGCCAGGGATAATTCCCACATTGGCTAGAACGGCATGCAGATATATATGGAATCCTACAATCTGCAGAACAATGACAGAGCCAAAGAATAATATAGATAGAAGAGAAATAGGGTTGCATAGAGTATGACACGCTGATTATTCCAAGGATATCTTCCAAAGAACATCTGTGAGACAGCTTACAGTTCCCTCATGACTCTGCACATGTATTATGAACTTTAATTCACGGTTTTTTGGAAATCAGAAGATGCATGGTACACATAAGAATGAATATCTATGCGTTATATTTGCACCTGGATAAAATAAATACAGACAAAAATTAATCATATAATGCGCTCAAGGGCGAGCGCATTATTTGGAAGAAACTGGCCTTCGGAAAAGTTGGAAATGTGGCGAGATTGATCCATTCGTACTATACAGCCGACTTCAGAAGAGATTCAAAAGAGCTTCTTCTACATGGAGAGAACCCATTTTCCCTCAGGTAAGGGCGTGGGCATAGCTTCAATATGGACGCAAAAAAATCCGGGAGAAGAAAATAAAGGACTAGATAAGATCACATGTCAAAGGGCGACCATAGGGAGATGGACCAGAGCGATATATCAGACATTCGGTCAGGATCTCAACGCCAATTCATTAGCAAAAGGCAACATAACTCCTTGCCAAGCTCGAGAAATGGTCATATCTCCGACAGAAAGAGGCAGTTTCACGGCGAAAATTTCCACCCCAGGGGCATCCGATTAAGGAAGAGTCTAGATACGAGGGGACCGAATCCACTAAATGAAATAATAATGGCAAAAAATGGGCGAACTCCAAACCTGAGGAACCACATGGGTGAAGAAAGATCCCGCTTCTGCAAGGCCGTGGTGCAAGCAAACACGATGAATCAGCGCTCCAACGCGTGAAACCCAGGTGAGAAACCTAAGCTCGTCAGAGGAGAGGACCCTCGACGGAAGCCTGGAGAGCGGGCGCCCCTCAGAGTTTCGATCCCACAGAACTGGAACCCAGCTCAGATATGGTTGTGGGAGAGAAGAGAGAAGAGGACAAGATCGGGGCATCCGCCATCAAATTGGGTAGGAAAGAAGGCGACTTGACATTTTTTTAAGCTCGAGCTCCCTCGTCCATCCCCATTCAGTGCTTTCGGCATTTCGTCCAGAGGTGGCCAACCCCGCCCTTCGCGGGCCCCATCGGAGCCGCGCGCTACCAAAACAGTGATCAGTGGGGCCCATCTAAATGGGCCGACCCCCTTGATTGGGCTGGGCCACGACGACTCGAGGGAAAAAAGGCCCAGTAAAAATAGAGAGAACGTATGGGGCTGGCTGGAATACCAAGACTTTCTCGCCACGTCCGGATTAGTAAAAGCTCACTTTGGATAAGAACAGAAGCTCTCTCCACAAGTAAAAAAGCCGCTGCCTTCTTCTCAACCACGCATTGTCTAATGCCCATCCATCCAAATATAATAAATAAAAAAATACACCATAATATCAACATACCATCACGTATAAATAAAAAAATGCTCCTAGTAATGGGCTCCCGCTTCAGATGAGGCGCCTCGTCTTGCTCGTCAGCAGTGATCAAACGGAGATCACGAGGCCTCTGAGTTTGGTCACCGCCCCTGGTTTTCCACAGTTCAAGCTCCTGTGAAGAAAATCTCTGCATAGACAGAAAGATGAAGTCAAGAGCAGAATGCAGTGGTGACCATCCGGCTGAAAGTTACCCTCTTGCTCTTGAGTGAATATCTTACGAGGAAGATGATGTACATGCGTGTACGCTTCAGAGGTTCACTGCGCAGAGGGGTATGCGTCAGAGTTTCCAGCTAGAAGAAGAGCACTGAGAGATTAGAAGATAAACAAAGAACTTGCATTCTGCATCTGTATAATTTTTCTCAATTTGGATATAATTTAGTTGGTTTAACTGGGTAATTTCTTCATCAAATATATTTTTCTTAGATTTTTGAAGCACGCATAATTCATTGCTTTTCTTCATCGTACTTCGATCAACTTCTTCAATGGATCATAATACATGATAAGATAACCGATGTTATAATGCAAGCCATTCTATAAATATGTGCACTTATGGCATACTATATATAAGATGAGGGCACTCATGATTTTGTTTTTGTTTTCCATAAGTTACAAAGGAAATAAAATACATGAGAAGAAGCATACGCTGCGCGATTTGCAGAAAGATAGAGTGGCCATGTGCAAAGTTTCCAACATATTTCATGGGCTCGTGTATAAATTAACTCTAGAAACAGCTCATAAAGAGACTGATTGTGGGGCAGAGCTATTTGGGCATCAAGGATAAAGAAAGAAGAGAGAGAATTGCCACTACAGTTGAAGAAGAGAGAGAAACGATGCTATTCCTAATAAGAAGAAGAGAAAAATGCAATCAGCAGCCGTATATGTGCGAAAACAGAAACTCGGGTCCCAATCACAGATCAAGAAGCGGACGAAGAATGGAACAGCCCAGAAAATTTCATCAAAGTACAGAGACCGGGAGGGATACCTACCTTACAGGGAATCCGTGAAACAACTCCCTGAAAAATGTTGTTTCTTCAGATGTGCTGAGGTATATTTGGGTGAGGAAGGCCGTCTGCTTCTCAAATTCTGTGTGCATAGTCTCCTAGCTTCACCAACTTCACGGAACCATCTCCCCCACATGTGAGAAAACCATTGGAAAGGACTTGGATGTCGGTGACGGCAGCCTGTGGAGTTGGAGGATGAAATTTATGACTTCGAGGACAGAGTTACGTTGAAGCACACACACAAAAAAAAAAGAGTTAGATCTTCCTTCGAGTGGTCTTCTTAGAATGAAGAGATTACCCGGGCAATTCCTCCAAAGCCTCGTGAACTGGGTTGGAGAAAAGTGTGCCTTTCATGCATTTTCTGCCAGTGAAATATCATCTGACACCTCCTGGCATCCCACAGTTTAACGTCTCCATCCTTGCTACCAGTTAATACCAGGCTAGTGTGGGGAATGGTTACTATTTTGGTGACGCTTCCTTCACAAACATAGAATAAAGAAAACAACATCAGAGAGAGCCAAATATGGTAAAGAAAAGGGCTTTATCGAATAGAAAGCGCCCAACCTTGATGTGCGCTTGGTATGTGCCAAATCATCCCATTGACATTTTCATGGAATTTGTTCTTGATGTTCTGCTCGGCAGAGTGCCTGTGTCGCTTGCTCTTTCCAGTCGCTATGTAACGGAAATCATGTAGCCCAACGTCGCCATTTTTTCCACCAGTGAGAATCAAGGGAGACATGGAACCGATTCCTATATCATTGTCAAACACAGACAGCGACCGAGCACCACCTGCAGATATACAAGTTGGAAATAAAAATAAAGATGCTAGCCAAGAAAGTCTCACTGAAAGAAGCAAAAACTGTATGTTTCAACTGTTTTTGGTATATTTGTCTGCGCAGGGACAAAGTAAGGATTATGAGGCACAAATTTATGAACATAAGCATGAAGCCTCAGAAAGCTAAGGTCTTGGTTAGTTAGCAGCTATAACAGTGACAGGAACCCCTAAAGGAATAAGTTTCCTGACTGAGTCCTATAAGACGAACATTTTATCATCAGAGCCTGCACTAGTGCTGAATAAGTTGAGTAGATGAAAAGTTAACCCAACTCTATCCTTGAAAATCAATCTATCAAGATCATTTCTAGTGCTGCAGTTGATGGTGTTCGCTGAGGTGAACGACAAGGTTTCCACATAGAGATTATATTTGATCCTAAAGGAACATCGATGTTGAGAAAAATAACTATGGTGTAGCGCAAAGATAGATTAAATATGCTCATTTCCAAGTGGGAAAGAGTTCAGCATTTTTGTTTGAAAAATTGCCTAACTAACAACCTGAATCTGTTCAAAGCCAAGAAAAATCTATGATGATGATAATTTATGCTCCCGGTATTTTTAGGGGGAAAAGGCATTTTCGTACAGTTTTCTCAAAGTTCTTCATAAGCATTTTGGTGCGCTTCAAACATGTTAAGAAATTCGTGTTTGATGATCCAAATGGAAGATAATACCTTCATGACAAGTAAGAAAAGCCTGGGATGCGATTGGTGGAGCCAAGGTGTCCCATATGACAACATTCGCATTAGTTGAACTATGCCCAGCAGCAGCAAGAATCGATCCACTTGCAGCAACATAAGCAATAGCCCTGAAAAAAGATATTTGATTTCGATTTCATCTGAAAAGCTGATGAACACCGGAATCACAAATGTCAACTCAACCGTATATAACAAACTCCAATAGGAGACACGTACGATGCATGCTTGTTAAAGCACAAGGATGAATCTGTGGGGCGGACATTGCTCCTTCCTCCAACCTCGAGTTGCCAGGTGCATACAGTACCATCTAGTGCAACAGTAGCAAAACGATGTCCACAAAGATCAAATTGCACGGCAGATATTGATGCAAGAGCATATGGTGGAGGGACATTAGCAGCTGGTAGAACACCATAGGTTGCGGTAGCTCTATCCTTGCCAAACTACAGAGTCAAGAGAACAACTTATAAAAACGATAATCTCAGTGAGATCATGAAAGCGGAGTAGAAAAGTCCCACTAACAGGGCGCTAAATAAGGATATTTGGTTTAGTTATGTCTGTCCAAACTGGTTGAATGCAAAGGAAATATAATAGGAAGAAAACAGCTGGGCTTGGTGTAGGCTCCACAAAACCAGGTCTATACCGGATAGAAACCTCAGTTACCTGTTTTTGCCCATGCTCCCATTTTTATCCTTATCTTATTTTAGTTGATATTTTTGAGCATATCTGTTAGGATTTTATTTCTCTAGCCAAACAGTACCAAATAGGGGTTTTTTGGCATCCGTATCTCTGAATTACCTCTCTCTGCTCGTTATATAGTGTCTACAAGGCCCCAAAAAAGAAACTAAGTATTTTTTGGAGCGAATAACTGACAAGGAACTCCCTCGATACTTCCCCAAAGACAAGCCTCCATTGACTGTGTAAAACTTACTGATGATGGTGGAATACAGCTGAACTAAATGTAGAGACATTGTGCCGGGTTAATATGGCAAACTGCTCAAATTATAATTTCAATTGTTTCATGTCTTTACTTGTTGCTTTACAATCAACATTTTCCATGCAAAATGAGAGGTATTTTTTAGAACCAGGCTTAGAACGTGCTTTGAATGGGACCACTAGCCAGGCAACAAGTCTTGATTCATTATTCTCGTATCATTATTCATAAGGCCCTGCCTGGTAAACTGTACAGTGATAATGACAGTGGAACGGGCAGGAAACGCATACAAAAAATGTTGGAGAATCAGCAAGTGATGGTTGACTAGAAAGTTTTTAAGTTTCTCCATAAAACAAAACACGGAAAAATTAGATGAATAATTAAACATGAAAATGAACAGACTAGAGCTCCACTTTTGATCCCTCATCAATGGCTTAATCAATTTTAGACCAGCTCACTTTAGATGTCCGAGAATGTCTTGGGAAATCTCTAACAACCAACTGTTAAAATGACTCCCAATCTCCTGAATGTTTAGTGGAAGCTCTGATATATCTGAGAAATGCAATTTTTAGTGTTGAATACAAAGAAAGAACAATCTGAATTACTAAAATTCAGATAACACTGAATATTTCATGTAAATGAGCGTGCCAAGGTCGACAAATTAAGGACATAAATTTTCACATCTGAATATCTGATGTAAATACTTTCAACGTCACGTAGCTTACCTCCCAAAGATAAACATGAGTATTGCTAGACCCGACCAGAAATAGTGGTTTTGAAGGATGACTAGACAAGGCTCTTGTCCGTATATTTTCAACTGTTGCTGGAGGATCCTTGAACTCCTCAAAATCCTCCTGTTCTCCCCAACCTAATCCTGAGGCCGCAATTCCGGCATAGCCTGGAACTCCAAATGCACCGAAACCAGTCAAATCCCTTCCTGGCCTTGCAAGTGCGCCAACGCCAATTGTTGCCCCACCCAGACCCAGGTGGGCCCCTTTTCTGCTCCCAAGCCCAACACCAGGGGAAACAAAAGTAGGAATAGGTGTAGATTCAGATCCAGCCCACCCTCCCGGGGGCCAATCAGAGTCCGTCCAGATATATTGGGTTTGATCTTTGAAAGTGCTATTAACCTTCCTGCTAAAGAAAACAAGCCCCTGAAAAGAATAAATAAGATTTATTACTATTGTATCCCAGATTTAATTAGATCATCTAATAATACATCAGGTAAGACACATTTTGAATACATACGGATGTTCCACATTTTGAATAGTCAAACTTATGTATTATAAAATTCCGAAATTTCTCAGACGTGCAAGACACGGAAGAAGCAATACATTGGTTAAACAAAGGCAAGGTCATTTATCAGGGAGAACACGAATGAGATTCACCTTTCGGTTGCTAGCAAGTGCAACTTGTCGTTCATCTGTAGAGTTGAAGCATATTGCCTGTCACAGGATGTCAACACGTCGTTGTCAAACAGGTAATAAAACGAAGGGAAGATGCACTCGTAATTACATTGGGCAGAGAAATGAGAAAACAGAGATCAACGAAAACTTGCTTGGAAGTGATCAGAGAATCTGAAAGGACTGTGGTCAGTTTACCAGACAACGCCAAGGAGAAACAAATAGAGAAACAAGAATAGGGCAGTGAACACTTCAGCATGTGCTAAGGTATTCATGGTACTCGAGCATTAGACTTGATAAAAGCATTTTTCATCTTTCAATATTCAGCAATGCAGATTACTCTATGTTTCTAGTCCATCTCTCAGGATACTTTCCATCGACCTGCCAGTTTTCATTGGGCCATAGACACCATACAGCATACTATTTTAATTTTTTTTTTGGCCAAGGATCGGACAGAACATGGAAAATGACGTTGCACAGACTGTCACAATGGAGTGGTACGAGATCCGTGCTAATTGCTTACAGAAAGGAAAGGTTATGAAATTGATTCATAAATTGAGCTGAGTAGCTCCATTTTCATAAAATAACATCACCTCCAGGAGTTCTCCGTTTCTCTTATACACTTCACGTGGGCTGTGGAAATTAGTGACTTCCCTTGAGCAAGTTGGTTTCTTCCTTTGGTCCTCCAAAATGCTCCTCCTGGCCTCAGATCGGCTTTTAGGTTCATCATTGGAAGTAACACTGCCGCCTACATCTTCATTTGTGTTAACACCATTTGAATACTCAGATATGATACATTCATGAATATCATTCCAGCTACCATTTTGCTTCTGACTACCAGCAAAAAAGTCATTTATTTCTTCATCAGTAAAGCATGCCTGTATTTCTTTGGGATCCACAGCCATTACCCAAAGCATTCTTAATAGAGATTTTTCATCACTATCATGAGTTAATTGCAAGGTAGAGGATTTCTGGTTTAAATGTTGAAATGAAAGACTGTTTCCGGACTTTTTGTATTCCTGTAGCCAAATAAGTGTACCCACAGTAAACTCTCCCTTCACTTTCTGCACCAGGAATGATCTCAGACATCTGGTCAAAGAGGAGGAAATAAAATTGAGTGATGATATCAACAAATTAGCAGAGAAGGAAGGAAATGTCTTCATCACTTCTGAAGCAGTGGCTTCATCTTCAAGCCTTCCAAAATTCAAAAGACGAAGTTCTTGTTTAAAAAAAGCTGAGAGTTGTCTCCACAAAGAAACACTTATCAGGTGCCACTGTTCATCTTGAGACATGATGCATGTTTTTGATTCACATTCTTCATGCTCCCCTTGTATGGTGATCCCCTCAAGATTATTGTTTGCTGTGATCTGGAAAGCTGACACTGATGACTGACACAAGAACTCCAAGATATTGCTTCCTGTTGCTTCAATGAAAGACTTCCCACTCTTAAGAGAATTTACGACAGGAAGGGTGAGCGAAATGAGCAGTTTGAGATCTCTTTGAACCCATGCCAAAGAAAAATGTATAAAAATTTCGAGGAGATCAAGAAGACCAAACGTTTTAGGAATATAATCTTCAGGCATCACGCGGCTATACTGACTTAGAAGTGGTCTAAATCCTCTTACTGATTTGATAATGTTTCTTAAAGACAAGTTTTCAGAATGACACTGATCATTGATAACTTTGCTGTATCCTGGTCGCATATCCAGAATTGATACTGAACCAATAAAACTGAGGGTTGACACATATCTACCAAGGAAAAGGCATGCTTCTTCTATAGACTTTCCAAGTCGCAAGAGAAGAACTGCATAACCAGGAAACGTGTCCATCATGTGGGTCTTATCTTCCACACTTTCTTGAAAAATATTTCCATGTTGTATGTGATATCCAAGAGATAATAACATGTGATTGTCTGCAGAAACTAAGATCTGTAAAAGTAAAAGCAAGTTAACATAAGGTGAAGAAACAAAGTACAAAAAAAAAACAGTGGAATCAGTAGAGATAAAGGAAAAGATCCAGGCGTAGCAGGCAAGGAACACCACCATATTCATTATGTCAGCTGTATCTAATGAATATCTGCCAGCAAATTTTGACACCGCAAAGTTGATATCCCGATAGTATTTCTCCAAGAGCAGCTGATTTGAATCTCTGAATAACATCTGATCATCTTCCGTCCAGCTTGGATGTTCCATCACCAACTTCAAAATATATTGCATTGCTGTATTCAATTTAGAGTTGTGCTCTAAGTAACGTGCTACATCTTCCACTAGCCAGTTGCAACCATTGCTTGAGAATGGATTTATACCGCTGGAATTCCGATCCCTTTCTGTGCTCAATATGTACAATTGATTCTTACTCTCAGAAGTGCTAGAAGAAGAAATGCACTCCAGAGCTTCAAGCTAGAATAAATTTCAAAATAATTAGGACAAATACTCCGACTTATTGACAATAATGTGCATAACTCAAAAGATGTGATGAACAGTGATCATTTAAGATGAGATGTTCCTCAAGCAGTGCACAATTGAAATGAAGAAAAATTCCTGATTCTTTCTTGAGCGAGAATGATACCACAGTTTCGTTAAACATCAAGAAATTGGGAACGTTTGAGTTATTACATCATGATCTTCGCGATGGTCGTAAAAACAATACTTCAGGAATTGAAAGGAACCATGGCAAACAAAAGATTTAGCCACCTTTCCAAACATGAGATAATTCTACAAAGAATTCGAGAGCTTTCCAAATTTGATGAATGTCAAATCTTGAGATAAATAAATCAATTATTGTTATTGCTTTTCGTGGCATGCAGGATTGTTCTCATTTCAACACTTCTAGCAATGTAGGATTATCATTCTGGTTTCCATTTTGTGTAATAATACTCTACACTAGCAAACGAACCTGTATACACTAGTAACTTTAAAATTGCTTCCTTTAGTTATATGAGAACAGTGGAATCAAGTTATTGTATTCCATTCACTGAGTAAAAGTTTCCCAAAGCAAGATCACACAACCCAAGATAGAACTTGAACATCTCTGTCCTTAACTGAATTCAAAAATCAAGGATTTTTGGAGGATATCACATAAAGAAATTCCTTTCGACTAAATTATCTGGCGGGAAAAGACCTGCTACCCCTAATGTCAACTTTCCACGGAACTTCCACCACCTTCAGGATTTTGTTATCACCCAGGCAACAATTCAGTAATTTTGTCACATCCTTGGTACATTGGGTCTAGCCAATCCTATATAGTGATGAGATGTGATTCATTGGAGTGCAAACTGGTCTGACGTATTTCATGATTTTGTTGCAGATATTTCCCAATAGTCAAAAATTGAAATTTACAAATATAGGTAGAATGAACTCATCTGATCCTCCTAGAAATGAACATACAAAATGCACCGCGCAAGAATTGACACGATGCGGTCCCAGTTATTTCATTGATCATACTTATTTTTCATGGGAGATTGGATCCACACTTGGAAATAAGTATGATCAATGAAATAAGTGGGACTGTATTGAGTCAATTCTTGCGTGATGCATTTTGTACGTTCATTTCTAGGAGGATCAGATGAGTTTATTTGGCAGGTGCTAATTCTAATCCAAAATGTTGTCATGTGCTCAAATCGTAGTCGTTTCTATTCTTGAAGGGTACAACAATACATTAAGAGAAAAATTAATTCTTTTGTCACACTTACAGCATCCACAGGGATCTAACAATAAAATATCTGCAATCCTTTAACATGAAACTGATGAAAGTTCCAGCTTATACTATCAGACAAGAAACTGATTAGAGTAACTTAATATTTTCCCAGGGAAAATAAATGAGTGGCATTAACCTAGCCATTTACTCTCAGAAAATATTTCTCTTCATGCCAACTAATACCTAATCTCTAGAGGCCAGAAATGTAGTAATTCGGAATATACTTACAGGAAGCCCAGATCTGAAGAATGCAACAATGTTCATTGATGTTGCCCAATTAGACAGCACTGCAAACAGGTAATCACCTACGGCATTTCTCATGCCATTCTTTGTAGATAGCATTACAAGGTATTCACTGATATTTGTGTCTGAGAAGGTAGTGGAAGAAATATCTAGACTATCGTTTTCAACACTAGCATCAAGAGCTAGCATTCTCTTGAATGAATTCGAGAAGTTCCCCAACGACCACTGCAGATGGAAAAGTTATTATAAGAACACAAAAAAAGGACCTCATTAAGTGCATTTACGAACATGAATAAATTCATTGATGAAGAAAAAGGACCCAAGACTACCACACCTCAAGCATGCTTGCAAGCCAGAAGTCTCTCTTCTCAACTGCGTTTGGCAGCAGAACATTGACTATGAGTTGATGCTCTAGAGGCCCTCCATAGCCCTGAATAAGCCGGCAAATCACTAAAGCAAGTTGTTCATTCCCAAGATTTTTGGCACAGACAGTCACTGCAGAAGAAGCATCTCCTCCAAGCAAGAAAAAAGCAATAGCAAGTTCTATCTGATGCTTTCCCATCAAAACATAAGCATTCTTCAAGGCAGCCAGCTTATTTTTCTCCTCCTGAACACATGAACATGAAACATTGGCAAAATATTGTGACTAAATATCAACATAAACATGCCAACAGCGTGCAATTATATAGTAATGCATGAGATACAATTCCCTTATAATGTTAACACAAGAAAAAACATAAGCATAAAATAGCCCCGTCTAGCTCCACGGGATAAAGGATTAAGGCAAAAATAAAGAAGATTGTTAATACCGAAAGACAAATTAAAGCGTTCACCATCAATGAAATAAATGGGATCCCTCATGGAATTTATGAAATTTTCGAGATGAATGAAATATATTCGGTAATTTTCGCTGGAAACAATTCATCACTAACATGAAAACAAGAAAGTTCATGAAATGACAAAATGATTCAAGGCCTGCATGGAAATGTTCAATACTATTAACCCATCTTTTGTTGGGCGTCATCAGATTCAAAAAAATTGGCACCATTGCCATTGATTCCTATTGTTCTTTACATTCTATTTTTCCGTCAGTTGAACATGACATCACATACTACAACATGAGATTGATAAGTCAAATCACAGCAAGCTCTATGCGGCGAAAACTTCTGACATAGGTCCATATTGGAGAGAACAACATCATTCTCAAAAAAAACCAGAAAAAATATAATTGAAGAGACCAATGTGGATTTTTCTCCCCAGATATCTGTGGTTGGTAGCAGTAAGCTCAGCAGACACAGGAATGTCACACGATAAACCAACACAAGTTTATCAATCGAATTCAGGACCAGCTTTTCTTATGACAGGTTCCCCGACCAACGTGATAAAGTCAATGTGATTCAAGGAAAGTCTGGAAATAACATTAGGCTTCGAACTCAGCAGAATGGGAAAAAGATAACATTTCCAAAGAAACTATATGTACAACCTCATACACTACCAAAAATTGTAAAGACTACACTGCAAGTCAGATTCTCTCGAATAAAAGAGCAGATTTGTTCCACACTACAACCAAACCCTATCCTATTCTCTCACTCCATCAGAAGTAAGAGTGGCTATCCTCTCTGTTAACCAACTTTACCTTCAGAAGATATGAAAGTTGACAAAGGTTTATTTATTTGATGTTTTGGTTTGGATTATATCTGTATACACTAGGTTTTCCTTAGTCATTATTTAGCCATTACTTCTGTTTAACTGGTTCAAATGCCTCATACCCATACGCTACACAAACACTAGTCCCGATTATAACTTTTGAGAAGAGTCTGTTCGGTTCACCGATTATAAAATCAAATCACATTCTAAAAATCTGAGTCCTGATATCCTTTTACCCAGAAGTAGAAATTTCAATCAAAATTCAAGTGACATCAAACTAACAGCTGCCAACCAATACCAATCTAAACATTTGGGAAAATGCTTATGATTGATTAAACGATTGAGTATGGAGCACATTTCACCTTCAAGAAGTGGTTTTTATATCAATATCATAAGTTATCAATGAAACAGTAGTATCCAATAAATGTAATATAATCAAAGGTTCCATCAGAGGTCAGAAACCACAAAATACCTGAAAGTTGCGAGAGAGAAAACCGACCAAAGCTTTGTCTTTTTCATCTTTTCTGAGCTTGAAAAGACCAGCCAAAACTTGAAGCCTGTTCAATGCGATATACAAAAGTGCACAATCCTTCGGATCCTTTTTCATTAAATATTGGAATCTCGCTAATTTCTCCATCTATTAGTGCAATATGAACATTCAAAAGAGGTTCCTTGGTAAAGCAAAGACAATAAATGTAAACCGGCATCAAAAGTGTAGCAATGGCACACACTTATTAGTTTTTTCCCGTTAAACACCTTCACAAGGTTCTTCTTGTTGATCAGGTGATCATGAAAAGCATAAACTTTGGTATTTGCAGAGTTATGAAAAAATACTTAGGTATTTAAGGCTATCCAGATCAACATGTCACATGGTAGTATGAGTTACGTCTTGAAAGTGCACCACTGGGACTTCAGATCAATGAGGTTATACAGAGTATAATAACATGAAGGAAAGATAGCACATGTTGGGGACGAGATAAAACTCAAAGATAGTAAAGACATGGGGAGGCATATAAAAAGATTCATATCATATGCCAGTTAAGTTTGATGATAGTCACATGGCTTGCAGAATAACAAATTAGACACAAAACAAAGTAGGATATTTTGAACTGCACGGAGAAATGCCCATTAATGAGCAAACGGAAGAGAAAAAGTCATTATAATACAGTAACTCAGAAAGGAGAAAATTAAAAGACACGTAATTGGTAAATATTTTTACAATTAATATTTTAGAGGAGAAAGCTCTATGGTGTTTATTCCAAGTGAATAATTATTTTTCATAGGATACTTGCAAGAATTTTAAAATGAAGGACATTGATTAGAATTGAATCTCATTTTTTAAAGTAAGGCGAAGTAAACCAAGGCAACATTTGAAACTATTGCATTGACTTTTCTAATGACACTTGAGAAAGCCCACTTTATGAGATGTTTGAATACATTCTTGAGAATGAAAAGCCTAGGCCCCACGACTCAGATGGCCGCACGGACTTGAGGCGAGGTTCACAGTTCTTTTTAGATTCAGTCGCATCAACTGGTTATTTTCAGCTATCTTTAGAGCCATAATCATCTACGTTTCTCATTATCCTATGAACAAAATTGTTACTGTTCGTACCCTTGACCGCAGTTGTGCTGCATTGGTAAACCAGAATCCAACACCTATGCTTTGCATTTCCATCCATGAGGATTCAGCTGAAAGCAGAGAGCTGATAAGACTGTCTTGGCAATCAGACTGGAAGGCCCATGCAAGCACTGAAGAGTCAACCATCATCTCTTCCGCAGTAGCTGATCTCCCAACCTTTCGGAGAAAATGGAGACGTTGAAACCTCACAGAAACCCAAAACCTACACAGAAAATTGTAGTAGTGATATTACAAGAGCCTTCACTCCAGATCTAAAAAAGAAAACAGTATTACCTCCTGATGAAAAACATAAATGAATTGCATTCACCATTTAGACAAAACTCTGGATAAAAAAAAACCTAAGTTTGTGTCATCCAACGGCCAAATCAAATAAAAAGGAAGAAACAAATCCTTACACAATGTATAGATTCCGCACCATCTAATTTATTACGTTAAGTTTAAGAGAGTCGCTACCCCTCTTCAAAAAAAGAATTTAACACAGATCTAGCTTCTTTGAATAAAACCAAAATATGACACTGATGATCCTCATGAAATTATGGAAAGTCCTCTAACGTTTGAGTAGAGAGATTCATTAACCTCCTCAAGAGAGGAGCTGCCTAGTAAGAGACAGACACTAGTGTCAGAAGGATGAGATATCTACTCTGGCAGAGAGATACTTCATTTTTAGAACAAGAATCAACTCTACGGATATTCCTGGAGAATTCTATATTGAAGGACATGATCCTCCTACCACATATGCATAACAGGGGCATTTCAAATGAGGCTATCAAAATTTAATTCTAAAATATTTCAAGAAACCCTCTTATTTCATATAAATACAAACTACTTGACATTAGCTATAATCTTGCCACAGATGCTGTGTCTTATTTAAAGAGGTCTAGGTAAGCTAGCTCAAAGTGGAAGTGACTCATGGATAACCAAGAAACAGAAAAAGGGGAACAGAGGGATAGATAAATAAAAGATCACGCAATAAGTGGTCTGTATCGTCGCTTGATGATATTCCTATTTCATATAAATACAGACTACTTGACATTAGCTATAATCTTGCCACAGACGCTGTGCCTTATTCAAAGAGGTCTAGGTAAGCTAGCTCAAAGTGGAAGTGACTCATGGATAACCAAGAAACAGAAAAGGGGAACAGAGGGATAGATAAATAAAAGATCACACAATAAGTGGTCTGTATCGTCGCTTGATGATATTCTTCTATGTACTGATGAAAACAATGAAGATTTCCTGCAAGGATAAGAACGAATGGAGGACACTGCCCAACTGTTATCCTCTCCCACCCTATCTCCTCTGCCGTGACCATGCAAGGTTGTCTTAAAGAATTAAATACCTTTGCAATTACATAACGATAAAATGTTTCACAGAATCGCACAACCAAAAATAATAAAATAACACAGATGGAAAAGCACAAGACCAGAAACAAAGTATATCCCCTGATTTCACAAGTCAAGTGCATAAAATTTCCCTCATCCGCTTTATCATGCATCTTCATTCCTCTATCTGAACTAAGCAGAGACTACCCCTCGACTATCATCTACAGTTGTGCGAATGATCAGCTAAATGCTCAGAGAGTGAAACGCTTTCAGACTTAATGAGCATAACTATCCTCCACATCAGATAATCATCTTTTACAATCACCTCTCTGTTTCATGAATATCAAAGAGATACAGAATAATCTCCAAAGAACTGGCGTCATGTCAGTGCAACAAATATCATAATTCAATGAAAATTTTCAGAATAAACGAAATGTAAAAAGTTCACAGCATAAGGGTGAATACCGTCTTCCAGGTTTGTCAAAGCTTTCATATACAGAAGTGTTTTGTGGATCAACTATCTCACCCAACAGATCCACAATTGCAAGAAGTTCAGTGCTATCGATACCCATTCTAGCTCTAACATCGTCCGACTTCTGCAGAGTGTCAATGAAGCCCATGAATTCGGGTCCCTGGGAAGTGGAAGAGGACTTATTCTCGGGAAAAAATTCCAGGGAATGATACTGTATAGGCAGCAGACCTTGCATACTGGATGCTTCCCTAGAAATATCATAGCCCCATTGGAATCCTTCATTTCGTGACACTGCGCCATACGTTTCCCCAAAGTACTCGGACAAATGAATTTCCGGAACAAAAATACCAGAATTTCGTGACGTACAGTCACTGGAATTAAGACATCCAACAAGATGTCTTACAATACCATATGCACGTTTCCAATTACCTGCAGAGAAATAGATGTGACTCTTTGATTACACTAATAACAAAAAATCAGCATAAGATACGCACTTGAGTTCAGGATAGCTTTCGTCAAGAAGGAAAAAATTTAGCAGAGTAAGAAGTACACAGCTCGAGTCAAATAAACATATTGGTGCACTTTCTGGAGCATGGAAACCATCCCGATCACAGAGCGTCACCACATTAATTCTTGGATGCTCTGAGACTCGAGTGAAGTCTTCTGGCTATCTTATGGTCTGCCTGACTCCGGCCTCCTGCTGTATACAAGGCATCAAAGTGCCAAGCAAAAAGGACTGTTTGATGGGAAACATCGGATTCCCAGCGGATGCTAGGCTGACGTCATTGAATACTACTGAAGATAATTGTGAAACAGCAAGTTTTCAAAATTATGGTAAGTGCATGGAAAATCTAACGTGTAAAATGGTCAGCATTCATTATGCCTTAAAAACCATGGTATTTATATCACCTTATTGTTGTTGCCATATTATACTTCATTCCATCTATATGGGGCCATCCAGACAAAAAAAAACCAACGAAATTGCCAGAAAAGGAAAAGATAACTAGCAACAAGTATTTGCCCCTTGTTCATGGTAATACTAAAATTTTATGCGTAACTTAAAGCATTAAATAGATGAGCATATGTACTATCAACATGGTTTTCATGGAAACAAAGGCGGCATGACGAGGCACTAGGATTATGTTGTTTAATATCTTAAAATTTTATATTGTTTCATGAATATAAAGCATATTTAAAAATGAATTATGAAAGTTTAAAAATTCAAAATTAAATATATTTGGTATAAATGACATATACTATTGATTATTAATTATTTCTTAAAAAATACAAAAAAAATCGAAAGCCCTGAAATGAGCATGGCTAATGTTTCAAAGTGGCTATTCACTCGTGTGGCATTCAAACACGTGACACCAAACAGCATTGTGAGCTTTCCAGAATCCCTGATGTATTGTCACCACACATGGGACCTAGGTGGCACCTGATGCCCACACAATGCAGCTAAACAGTGTTAGGCCCGCCTTGTCCTGTAATCAACATTTTAAGAATATAGTTATAATCCATAATCACTCTTAAAAATGCATAATTTTTGTACAAATGTTACAATAATAGTATACTCTAACAATTACCTAATGATATCTACTCAGCTGAAGACTTTGACATTTAACAGACCTTCAGGCCACCCTTCAAACTCCACACTAGTTCTTTAACTGCCATTGCCTCTAGTAAATTCGATATCTCCAACTCGCTTGTTAAGGAAGCAGCAAACATGCGTACACTCGCTTACGCATATCACATTAAAAGAGAGTATTCATGATCTCCTCGATATGTTACCCAAAAAAATTAGTTGTGAAGAGTCTCACATGTCCAATCCTCCACCACGAATTTGACTTCAAAAGGGGAATTCACAGCATGCCCATCAATTTTTCAGAGGATTTCACAAAGAAACTACCACCCGCTCCCATCTCCAACTTCATGAATCCACTCCATTCAATCATATAGAAAACCTTTCCAACGTCCCCCAGAATGCTCCTCATTATCTGACCTCGATTTCAATCCAATCTCACCTAAAGAGCAGTACCCCAGATCGTCCTCTTTCCAACAGGTAAATATGAAATCACCGCCTTGAAAAGAATGATGCATCCCCTATGGGGCAAGTCACTTTTGCAATTCACAAGGCATCCTTCAATACTCTAAATGATATACCCCCATTCTCTATGGCACAATATCCGAGTGTGTTCAAAAAATCGTGGGATTTTTCTAATATGACTGCCCTTCGAAGCTTAAGTAGAATAGAGTCCAATACACTGGTAAAACTACCATCAAAATTCAACTCCAACAGAGACAAAATCTTCTAAAAATCATAGAGTTAGTGCATCTCTTTTAGTCAAAAAGGCAAACATTTTATCTGCTTGTTGATCAAAAGACACCTGAGTCCCACGATTCGTAAATTTCCTGAAACCTAAAATAAGTCCCAGATAAGATGTTTTGTCCCACAAGACTTGGGCTAAGAGCAGAAAGAGAAACAGGATGATCCTAGGGTATTCATCCTTGGCAGGGAAAAAGCAGGTACGTTGACTGTTAGACAGAAAACATGTTTGGCATAATTCATGCGTCAATCCACACAAACTACCTCATCAAAGGCATGGTCTCCACAATCCGAAAATGGTAATACAGTTCAATATCTACAGGTTTCTCCAAGTGCAGCTCCATTACTAAGCCCTCACGTCAACATCCTCATGCATGTACACATCAGTGGGTGACCAATATATTTTCGTTATCAGATGTGCCTTGTTTAAAAATCACATAGGCTGATTGTGACCGAGAAATCACAATTTGATGTGATGCTTAAAAGAGCTTTCAACCTGACTAACTCATCTATTAATCTTACTTTCCCTTCTAATGAATAGGACCTACTCAGAAATCTTAGCGGCTCCATCATGGAGACTAGTAAGCCTAAACCCTTTCAGGCCACGTGATCATTTATAGGTGTCGATTGAAAAAAAAGTCGTACTAATTCCTTCCAAATGGATTCTCCCAAGAGGAGACAAACAATCACCATAAATGCCTACCTGGATAAATTCCAATACGGTTGGTGAAACTAAGAAAAATCGCCAGCATCAAGTTTAGCATCACCTCCCACAGGGAACACAAGCATTTTCACTTGATCCACTTTCTAGATAGAGACCGACTCCTCATCAGAGAACCTTGCAGCAACAAAAGGTAGCATAGGGCTTGTATTTGTCCTCTTTTAATTACAGATGTAAGAAGAAATCTAATAAATGTCTTTTAGAGCCCCTCACCCAGAAACTTCTCTGCGCTAACCTGGTTAACAAAGCCGCCTAATCATTACCTCCAAGTTGATGAAACCTCATTAAAGAGAGAAAAAGGTTAATATAAAATAACAGATGGAAAAAATTATTCCTCTAATCAGAGTACCATAAAAAGAAATTAAATACTTAAAATTATAAGTTAAACTAACTAAACCTTTACGTATACTTCATCACTAAGGAAAAGCAACCAAATGCTAGTTTACAAAACCCATCAGGTGTAGACTTTCTTCTATTAGTTTCCAGGTGCAATCACCCACAGCTTTTCCTGGGCACTATCCAACTTCCATGAATTTACATTTACATCCTACTATAACCGGTGTTGTCATCACTCATGTAAGAGAACCTAAAGTGAGATTGTGGTCATTTTTCCGTGTTAATTAACTAGTGATTCCATAATACCACCGATCATCATAATACGATCAAATTGAAAGGAGTGATCCAATGTTACCCAATGGCAGTATAGAATTCAAAAGGTGAATTCGTATTGTTGTACATTATAGATTCGTCGTACAAGTTAAGTTGGATGGAAATCACTTGGTAACATCGAATTAAGTTTTTTGGTAACAGGTTTGATGAACAAGGAAAGGTAATGGAGATCTTGATGAACTCATAAATGGTAAATTTCAGGATATCGATTATAAAATAATGTTACCTGAAAAAAGATGGATGAGAAGTACATGAGGATGATAAGTCGGTAATGATGAGCAATGTTCATCAGCAACTTTAGCTGTGCTAGAAAATTCACTTCTTGTACAGGAGACATCGTTCAGAAATGACATAAATTCATCGAACTTGTTAACTTCGAATACAGTCCCCAGTTCAGTTACCAACGAGCCATGGGCTTCACTGTTCTCAGCAGTCAACAGCCCTTCAACAATAGGAATCCCAGTGTCATTGACAATAGCATATGGAAATTCTACAGAAGTTTCAGGCACGTTAGCAGCAGGAGAACCACTGTTTTCGACCCCAGGGTGGCAATGAAGCTTAGGTTGTCCATTCCTATTCCTCCTGACAGACCACTGACCAAAAACAGAAAGGTGCCTCTCATGAACAAGAAGCAGACTCAACCCAGGGCCCCAGACAAAATCTTGAGCAGTTGAGTAAGTATGACAATTTGCAATACAGACCCACTTTGGTGTATTCGCTGGCTTCCCTGACTTCACGAACTCGGGATCACGAGATCTCTTTGGTGAGTAAAGACACAACCCATTTGGCAAACAGACAGCAAGTATCGAGTGGCCATTACCTAGGGTTCTCCACTTTAAAGACAGAATATTTCTGCGAAGAGGAACCCTGCCCTCGAGTAAAAAACCCCCTCCTCCTAAGAGGGAGATAAACTGCCATATACGCACACCAGAGATCTCATTGGAAGGCTCCTTACATGCTGTAGCAATTTTGGTACCACAACTAGACAAAGCTATCAAACTAACTGGTTTGCAGTGTGCACTGAACATGCCCACGAGCTCCCAGGGTAAGCACATTTCATCTGAATGATGATCAAGGGATTTCAAAGAGGCAGATCTCCATAGTCTGACAGTGCCATCAGAGTGACCCGTAACAATATGATATAAAGAAGAGGTTCTATGGATGTGCCTGGAAGAGATCCCCACTTGTTTGGTACAGGTGTAGGATTTATCAGGAGAGAGCACAGCAAAGCAAGTGACCCTGTCACAGCCATGGGAATCCGAGAATTGCATTGCACAAAGATCAACGGACACAAGATATCTTTTACCACCAAAGTAACACTCATACTTCCATCCACGAGACTTAGAGAGATATAAATCATAAGGAAAACGTCCTGGTGTACTTGTAGATTGATCACCATCATCAGATTGCAAAACAATTTTCCACGCTAAAACCCGAAATTCCTTCATCCATGCTGCTACCACCATAAAACAATCAAGAGTAAACGGCCACTCGCATGTGGAAGACAAGGGTACTGCAGTAACATAATCAGGCCCACACCTGCCAGTGAAATCAGAAAAAGAAATAGTGAACAACTTCTGATGCAATATTTTTTTCCTTTCTTCTCCAGGAAGCTTAATCAATATACAATCAATTCCTTCTGGACCTCCCAGAAGAAGAAATCTATTGTTATATATGACCGAGGGTGCCCAATTCAACGTCAAATATCCATTAGCATTGGATATATCTCGCGTGCTTATTTTCCCTATAAATTGGCATACGGTATTAGGTATCATATTTAGACCTGAAGCATAAGCAGTTGTTGAAAAGGACCAGAATAGAAGAAAACCATTTGAATCTAGTGAAACAGCAATCTCCGGTTCACAGCTACATGGATGAATCGCAACTCGCAATATTCTGCCCACGTGGCTATCTGCACTTAAAAATCCTCCAGCATAATGTGATAGTATCTCGTCCTTAGTGACTTCACTCAAAGATCCGCCCACCGTTGTCGCAGAAAATGGGCTAGAAAAACGTGACCAGCTGACCAAATTATCAGGTAACAACTGAAGTAGAGAGCACACATCTGGTGGACCAGAAAGACAGTTCCTCCAAACAATTGCTTTGATAAGTAAAGGCTCACCTTCAGCTTGCAAATTTTTCACATTTGACAAGTTTTCAGCTCGATAATCCATTAAATTATGTTTCCTCCAAAAACTTACTCGTGGGAACCGTAAAGGAAGAAGATCATCAAGGCAATGAACGGACCAGAAAGAAACGGAAAACTCAGGGCCTACACTAACCAGCCAATCACAGCGTCCGACATGGTCATCCTGAGGATAATTTGATGAAAAACACTGCTCAGAGCCTTCACTGTTTGAAAACGTGCCCCAAATTTCTGTTGCCCAAGATACGAATATATCTTGCCCAATAACCCCTTTTAAGCAATGATTTATTTCAATTACTGCAATTACATGGAAGGATTGTCTCGTGGACTTCTGATGACTAACATCCTTGGAACATTTTTGACTCCCACCACTGTCAATCTCACTCCATAATCTTACAGCACCATCCAAGCAGCAGGTCAGAAGCACATTCCTTCGTGAGTGTGTGAAATCTTTCTTTGATAGTGGCCTCCATTGAATCATCGAAACAGGTTGAGTATGGTACAATTCGACTTTCACAACCTGAGATCCACCCTCTCCGAAAAACACAAAAACTTTCTGGCTGATCTCTTGGGAAGGAGGTGAGCGTTCTGACTTTTCTGTAAAACAAGAATAGCCTGAATGATGCGCTACTGTTGCTACAGGGTCGTTTGTTGACCATGTTGTTGAAACAAGAGTTTGCGCAACGGAAAATTGTGATTTCCATGACATTTTCCATGATGAGTCTTCCTTTTTCCATGAGACCACACCATTACCAACAACAATCAAACCATCGCCAGATTTTGTCCATTCAATGGCTTCCACACTAAATGAATGTACAAGGACAGCTATCTGCCTCCAACGCAGAGACGCTGAAAAAGAGATAATGGAACAACAATAACGCAAAAGTTAACCTCAGAACATGAAAAAGAGATAATAGAACAACAATAACGCATAATTTAACCTCAGACCTTGAAAAAGAGGTAATAGAACAACAATAACGCATAATTTAACCTGAAGGTAAAACAATGACTACTCGTCCCTTCAACATTATATGAATTGGCGGGGATTGTATAATTCGACATCAACTAAACTGCATAAACCGAAAGTATTTTATTGCCCAATTCCATATCATGTATACATATATACTTTGGGAATCAAAATGATTCCACATAGTTCATTTATGTTTATCTGAACTTAAATAACTTGATACGTGAAAGAATATAAGTAATCATTATACAATCCAGCGAATTAAAAAATTATTAGCAAAATATACAGTTTTAAGGTTCAAAAACCAATTATGATTCTCGATGTTCATGCTACATTAGAAAAAATGTCACACGGGATCCAATGTTCAATTATGTTAAGCAATGATTCTACATTTCAAAAAACAAAAAAGAAAATAGTCCGGGAAAATGAAGCGGGAAACAAATCGAATTCGAGCACAAAACCATGGAAAATATATATTCTTGGGATTTACTACATTGTGCGCTAGAGCCTCATCGCAATGAACGAAATTCAAAATGTTCAATCGAGAGCAAAGATTGCTCAGAGAGAAAATCGGACTTCGCGTGGACATATCTAGAACACCTCGGCTTACCTCGCCCATATGGGAAATCCGGGTAATATACGAAGACAGAGTCGCCCAATCCAGCGGCAACCACACCGCCCGACGGCTGTGAGTGGCACCAAGCCACCGCCTTCATCACTGGAGAACCGTCCCCAGCAGCAGCCCGTGAAGGCAACCGCAAGGAAGGCTCTATCACTTGCTTGAGGAACGGTTCGATGAGAGTCTTCTCTCGCGACGTAGGGGAAGGATAGTGGGAAATTACGAGGAGCGAAGAAGCACCATACGCGATCCATGAGAATCCTCCGAAGTCGTGAAGCCAGTCGATGGCTGACTCCCAGCGGTTGGGCACGGGGGGGACTATCTGACCTCTGATGAGTTCCAGTGGCGACCCCTCTGACAGCTCTTCATTCCCGGAGGGTACTGCCTCCCCATCGGATCTCCCTCCCCCGCTCGCCTGAGGCATCTTGTCTCCGTTTCCCACTCCTGGGGTAACAGGGAGCATGAGTAGATACGTGACAACAAATTTCAATAAAACCCCTCTAAAAGATCACACTATAGTAGAAAACCTACCACAACCACATATGACACCGTTTCGAGTTGACCGCAGTTGAAGAGGAAAAATTGACGGGCTGTCGCTGTTAACTAATCTGTTCTGGACTTATTAAACGAAGGTCCTTAACGGAAGGACTATTTCATTTAAGTCCTTTATGTACTTTCTTGGTATATTAAAATGTATAAAAAAATCGTTAAAATGGTTCTTAGATCAACGAATTATAAAAAAATTATTCTCGACTAAATTTGTGGGATATTGGATAATATTTGCCTCGTCCCCTTCCTCGCATGTTCTAAGCCCCATGTGGATCACTTCTTTGGGAGGCGACGATCGACGGTTACTTATTTGCGACGTAGATTCTCATCGACAGCGATCCGACGATGATCCAATCGGCTCACTGATAGAGAAGTCAACGTTGACTCTTTAAGTCTTTTCCAGGGAGGGTATATGGGCTCGGGGAGCGGGGGGGATGTCCCGGAGAGTATACAGCAGCTCAGTCGGTCTCTGCCCAGGACTGGAGAATCTGGGCTGTCAGCTGCCGGCTCCGGTCTTCCACGTGTCTCTCCAGCTAGAAGACGGTGCATGCGCCGCCATAGATGGATGAGGTATTTTGTTGACTCCGGCAGGCTTTGGTTGGTCAAACTTCTAGATCCATGCAGAAGGTCTCCTCGGAAGCAGCAGATGCGACTCCCTCCTCGCCGTCAATCCTCTTCCCGGGGCTAACTTGGCAAGTCCGCAGGTTCCATTCGTCCCAGCTTAACCCCTAATGAGCAGATTTGAGAGGTGTAAGTTGACATCAAAAGTTAGAGGAAGAGATGACGAAGGGCCATGGAAGCCATGAAACTCCGTCTTCCTGCGAGGTTTATCAAAGATTTGATCCACTGAAGCCATGGAACTCCGACCTCTGTGTGCAGTTACTAGTCTCTACCTCGTCTCCTGGGTGTGGGTTTTCTTTTGGGTCTTTGAATTTATTTTTTTTAAGCCGTGATCGTAGAATGCAATATTTTTGCGTTCTGCAGTGTGTTCAACGAGGTACATAAATGGGACGATTTCAGTAGTTCCAAGGATACTGTGAACAATGGGATGAACTAAGACCCCCCGGCTGGTTGAATTGTTCACAAAGAGCAAAAGGTTGAGTGTGTGTGTGTGTGTGTGTGAGAGAGAGAGAGAGAGAGAGAGGCGAGAATATAATTCTGATACTTTTTTGACCTTCAAGATATGGTCAACGTCAGCTCATATGGCATCGGCCTCATTACGATGATATTTACCAGACAAAGTTGTGGCAGTTTAGACTATCCAAGCCGTTTTGACGACTGATTCCTGGTGGATTTTAATGAGACGGTTACGTGGAATCCTGCTAAAAAACAACCGTTAATGGAGATAATCGTAACCTACTAAATGCCAAGGATTCCCATTCACTCCAATCGGTACACGCCTGAAAAGATTCATGGTTGACTGAACCGAGCATGCCTGAAACGAGATCCCCTCTCTCGTCTTCCAAACGGATTACGATACGGGGAGGTGAATGAGGAAGCACAAGGATTGACGTTGACCCCCTCTCCGTTGAATCGCAGGAATCATTCGTCTAGAACAACAGACCATGAATGAGACCCCTAGGAGCTCCTCCCTTCTCGCGGCTTTGGCCCAGAGCATGCAGATAGGATAAGAGGAAAAGACAGATTTTGGGAGGGGGAATGGGGGGTGGTCACCAGTTCTTGTCGCCTTTGAATCGCAGCAAGCATTAATCGAGAACAACAGACCATGAATGAGGTGAAACCAGGGCTCGACTCTACCCGTAGGAGCTCCTCCCTTCTTTCGGCTTTCGCCCAGAACATGCAGAAAGGATAAGAGGAAAAGATAGATTTTGGGAGGGGGGATGGAGGGTGGTCGCCAGTTCTTATCGATGTTCCACCGATCTTAAGCATGGGGGATTTCACATCTCGCGAATCTCCGGCGGGGGGAGGTGGCCATTCTCGGGAGCGTGCCTGATCTTGCCGGAGTCCCCGTTAATGACGAGCTCGGTCATGCCCATCGCAGCCTTGCGCCTTCTCTCCTCCATCTGCTTCTTTGTGGACTTGTAGTAGAACGCGTAGAGCGCCAACTGGCAGACTGCGAAGAGCACCCCGAGACCATTGGGGATCTGCAGAGATCGTGGAGGCAAGAGAAGATATCATCAGCTCTTCTTCTTCTTCTTCTTCTTCTTCTTCTCCTTTCAGGGGAGATCAGTGGTGGAAGGATCTGCGACGAGGGTGCAGATTGCTCACGGTGATGTAGAGGTCGAAGCGGATGAGGGCGTAGGATGTCCAGCAGACTCCATTGAGGAAGGAGGCCAAGGAGAGGGAGAGAGGCATGTACTCCACGCTCTTCGTCCTGATCACCAGTTTCTGCAAATAAAGATGAAAGACATCGATCTGGTCAGTGTGAAGAGCCATGCAGTGGTTCGGTCTTTCCGATGTCCTCGATGCAGTTAATTCCCACGTTAATATTCCTCGACTCTGCAAGATTTTCCGAGGCCCGCTTGCGAGTACGCGATCGCCATTTGTCAGGCCAAATCTGCCCCTTTTGGGAGTGTAATGGAGACCAAGGGTAGACCGGAAATATGCACCTGTCGTCTCTGTGTTTACCTAAAACTCGGGCGTAGGGATGTTAACGCAAATTTTCTATCTTTAGAAAGAAATCATCTACTCCTGTGGTCAACAAATCATCTCCCTTCACGTTTCTGAGGCAGCCAGATGCCCTAAAAGCTCGCATCATCTTCTTCGTATTGTGATTATATGCTAAACTCGAAGAGATCTAGAGAGAAATATGTCAGCAACAGATCTATGAGGGAGAGAGAGAGAGAGAGAGAAATAGAGCGGGGGGGGAGTGCTTTCCAAGAAGAAATTGTGAACTATATATATATACGTGATCCAGTGAGAAGGAAAAGGTGAAGGGAGGAGCTGAGAGGAATACGAACCATGATGGAGAGTGGGGCAACGTACATCATCGTCCCGAAGAAGACGCAGAAGGTTCCGACGATGAGGGAACGGCGGCCGTAGGTGTGAGCAAGGGTAAGGACGAAGACCGCCACCGCCACGACGAAGGCGACCTCGACCAGTAGCATGACGAGCACCCGCAGCCGCGTCCTCCCCTGCGAGTACAAGAGGAAGAGCAGCACGTAGGTGAGCTCTATTACGAGCCCCGCCCCGTTGATGGTGATGACCAGAATGCTGTGGGGGTGCACCCACGGCAGCCCGTACACCACCCACAGCATGCAGTTGAGAAGGGTGGCCAGGTACGGTATGGCCGAGAACTGCTCCACCGATTTCTTCTTGCATATGGTGACGAAGGTCGGCCTGTCGACCCACAGCGAAAGAGAGAGAGAGAGTCAGTAGTTCGTTCGCGAGAAACACAGAGGTCGGCTGGGGGAGAAGGGAAGATGTCGGCGATGATGCTTACACGGGCGACAAGAACAGCCCCAGCGCTATCACATTACCTGCGGTAAAAGTAAGAGGAAGCATGATCTCAGAGGAGCATGGAGATACCGCCATCGGAGAAATCCAAGTGAACGAAGAGATCTCCACTCACCTATGATCCCGACCACTGTCCTCACAGCGTCTGCAGAAACCATGGCTGCCCGAGCTTGAGGAAGCTACTCTGCAGGGAGGAGGGGGGTAGAGGAGCTCCTGGGGGGTGGAGTCCTGGCTGAGAAGGGCCGTTTAAATAGAAGAGCAATCCTCACTCTCTCCTCTATCTATCCTCTCTACTCTCTCTCCCTCTCTCACTCTCTCTCTCGTATATCCGGAGCCTTAAAATCCGGTTGGGTACGAGTAAGACGGGGATAGGGAGTCCGTAGATTAGTTAGAACACATGGAGGAAGGCGGCGTTAATGTGGAGCGCGGTGGGCACGGCCTTCAACACATCCCACAGCCCTAGCGCCACCGCCCCCTCCCCTTCCCTTTACAGATTCCGGGTCTCCCATCGCAGTCATTCCCTCGCCCGCCACGCCATCTTCCGTCCTCAATCTGCGTTACGGCCCTTATCCTCCGCCATTAATACCCCCCCTCGCGACGCCCTTCCAGGTTTCAGTCCCTTCCCTGGTCGGCGGATAGAAAGGTGAAGTCGGTGGCGCAAAAGAATGGAGACGCGGATGGGGAACTCGGGCGCCAGCGCCGCCGTTGCACCGCCGCGTGCCCCCCCTCTCTCTCTCTCTCTCTCTTCCCACGAAAATGTTGTTCTGCTCCTACCTTGTCACGCAGGGGCCAAGCGTTTCAGCCGCAGCTGGGAGGTACCATTACTGCGCCGAGAGGGTTGACCGCCGTGTTTCTACAAACGGTCATGTATTGACGAAGACCGAGGGCGCGCGGCCAACGACCGGACGGGTCCGGCCAATCGGTCGCAGCGACTTTGACTAGACCCGACTCAGGCCCTAGAAATCGCACTGAACGCGCGCAGAAAGCGACAAGTGGCACAGTTTCTCGGGGCTCCCGCCCGAGCAAAAGATTGACGCGCACTCCAAGGCCGTCAGCCCTCTGCCAGCTCGTGAATCACCTTGGCTGGTGCCGAAATCACAACCATTCTCTCTCTCTCTCTCTCTCTCTCTCTCTCCCTGTCTATGTCAATCAATGGAACAATCCAACAGGTGGATCGGGGGGGGGGGGGGGGCAACTCTTGGGCTGTTCTGATCGATTCCACCCACCGAATCTTAGAAATCTTGCGAATGGATCATAAGCTCCATAGAGTGATGAACCCTCCTCTCAGATTACCATTGACTGTGGCTCCTGATCGACGGGAGCTGCATGGAGTTTTGTACAATAAAAAGTAGGGGGTGAACGCCGCATCTGGTGCATGCCGACTGGCGCATTGGATCGTTGACCCTCCTCACAGCGCTGAAAAGAAGGGCAGAGGTAAAGTCAGGGATTGGATAAGGGAAAGATCCAGGAGGGGCAAATGGCTTACTACTATTCTGGGTAAAAAAAGAAAAAACTTACTGCTCAAGATAAATCCCTGGAGCAGGCTCTGGGCTCTCTCGGCCTGCTCAGGGCTTCCACATATTTGGACAACTCTGCCGGCCTGCTCGGGTCGACCTTCGATCAGGCTGAGCTTGGCCCCCGACATCTATTCAAGAGGATCCGTTGAAGGCCCCTCGTCAATGAAGCACAATATATCCATATTTATGTATAGAGAGAGGGAGAGAGAAAGAAGTAATTTCCAAAACGTTGATGTTTTCATTCAAATTCAATATTCCGTCTGATCGAAAAACGATGACCTAATTAATAAATTATGGTTTTCAACAAAAAAGATTGATTTTTTTTCTAGAGAGAGAAAGGGCATCTAGATTTCACCTCGCCGATCTGTGCCAGCTTGTGTCCCGATCTCATTATCAGGCTCGGAACAGCCTGCTCGGGTATGGAAACTTCCAGGGTCTTCTGAGCCGGAGGAGCCGCGGTGGATCTGATGAATGCGATGGATCAAGTGGGCAAGTTAAGGTGGGAAAGGTTTCGATAAACAGAGGGAAATCAGGCGTGCAGCTTCACCTGGCCTGTCCCGTTTTCTGCTGCTCCTCTTCATGAACCTGGCCTTCTTCTTTATGCTCCAGGGATCCGTTTCCGCAGGGCACCGCATCCTGGCATCCGAAATGAAATCTCCTTGACCTCATCCGCATAATAAATGATATATAGACCATAAATCGATGATGTAGACTAGCTAAAATAATCAGGTGCAAAGGCCCATGATCTTCTCTTCCAAGACCACTACCCCATGAACCTGATCGAGAAATTCTTCTCAAGGTTTAATAAATATCTGATGAGTGCCATAGAGTTGGCATGCAATCTACCAGATCCCCGGGTCAAACCACCTGGATAATCTAGGTATTCGCTGTCAAAACGTGCAGATTCAATAATATCAATACAATAATTTTGTACCCTTGTGAGAGGCCGAACAAAGTCAGGGCTGCAGTACGCACTAGCACAATAAACAATATCAGAAGAACCATATGTATAAATATTTATGAATTAAAAAAAATCTTCATAACCTAAATGTTCTGAGGCAACAAAAGGGGACAATTTTCACAAGGGAGATAGTGTGGCATCTTAAAGTAATCAAAGAAGATCTATTTCCCCAAGAAACAGCCCAGTAATGTAAATCACTTTAGAGACGACAAAAATGGCAACCCGCTACGCGTTGACCAAAGGGAGCCAGGTGCGGACAAGTCTTGTTTCATCCTCACAGGTCCTAGGATTTTGCTTTCCGGCACTAACCCACCAAAGAGGTGTGGCCATTCGGGGAAGCTACCGGGCTTGAGAGAGATGATATGGATAAATAGTAGCTCATTCCCTGGTGGTGTTCGCCATGGCAGTCTTGGGTATAATCTGAGTGTCAACTGACAATAACAGCCATATTGTCATGTTTTTTTGGGCAAGGGATGATGTTTCGGATTGGCAATCCTCTCCAACTTGAGGAATATTGCCCTTGACTGAAAGAGTTTGCAGCAGCTTCTCACGCACTCTGTAACCACCCACAAACGGCCACACTCTCTGTTAAGCAACTCTCCAGTCGCAAAATTCCATTGTTCTTCTCATCCCAAATCTCCCATGCATGAGAAGCCCCGATGCATCTCGACTACTTCTGATCCACTGATTATGCCCACATGTCACATTTTCCCCCATACACAGGTGGTATGATACTGCATGCATATTTTTGCTAGCAAGAACTACCAGAAATAGTTCCAATGATAAACCCAGCATTCTTTTATTTCTCTTGAGGCCATATACTTGTCATAAATCTTGCTTGACAAAGGCAATTCTGAGGTCCAAATTGGCAATAAACTTGATTTTCAATAGAAATTGACACCCGATTTCCAAGTTATTTCAATTAATTTGTTAGGATATTCAAAATGTCCTCAGCAATCCTTATAATCTCAACTCGACTATTTTTCTAAAGAAGAAAAAAAAGGTGGAGAGCACGAAGCCCGCTGGTCTGCATAAACGGTGTGCTTACAGCCAATGGATTTCAAAGCGGTACCTAACAGGAATCAAATCCATCAGATGCTGTCAATGTGGCGAGATGATCCAAGAATTCCTTCAGGTGAATTTGGTGCCCGGGTGAGCACTGAAGCAACGCTTACTTTCAGTAGGCCTCAAAAGTAGCCCCCCCCCCCACCCCCAAAAAAAAAAGTAAAAATAGAGAGAATGATAGAGAGGATTTCAGAGATTGCAAAGATGAAAAAAAACGAGGGATGGAGGGAAAAGCACTAAGGAATCACATCAAAGAGTAGGGCCAGTTGGAAGAGACCGCAAAGGGAAGTGGAAAAGCAAGTATTACAGTCAATAATTAGAACTTGGACCGATTAATTAAACTTTCAACTCGTAATCGGAAGACAGTAATGAGCTGAACGAGAGCTGAAGTGGTGAGGAAAGATCATGGGTGTACCTCTTCAAACATTGCCCATAATTTATATTTTTTTCATGCTAATTGCACTGGAGAAGTTTAGAAAGCCTAATACTAAATTTGTCAAGTGTCCATGGGAAGCTTCAAGACTGCTCTCTAGTCGTAGAAGCTCAGTTCACCGCAATTGGCACAATTTTCTTTATTATTCAGAAATGAACAAACAGATATTTCAACTCTGTCCCATCTAAAGTTAATAAGATTTTTAATTCTGTCTGAAGGACAATTCACTTCGTGTAGGAAGCAGATCATAGAACTTTGACCAAATCCTGAAAGCCTCACCCGGGCTTTAAGATGATAGAAATAACAACGAACTGGCAAATATTTATTGTATTTCGTTTGTAGTCCACCCCATCATTTAGGGGTTTAAGGTTGCTCATTTGAGCCCATGATCCACAACTCATTTAAGCTTGTTCCTATGGTATCATAAATGACAGTGTAAGTCCGACCGATTGCCTGTTGTGATGACTAATGACAGTCAAATTCTGTTCAGGGAAAGCAGCCTTAAAAGCTCAGCAGCTAACAACTCAAGAACAAGCAACCATACCTTCGATCTGCACAATCTAAGCATAACACATACAACTAAAGCGAGAACAAAGGAGTGAAAGAGGAGCCATTCGTTTAAGATCCTCAACAACACCTTACCTTCAAACATTAGCACAAAATAGCAAGAGATTATTCAGATTTCAATAATAGCGTACTAACAGCTATGAAAGAGAAAAACCCAGCAGTAGCAAACAGGAAGGTGGTACTATTATACACTAAAAATCTGATGAGATAAGCTGGAGAACAAGAGTTAGGTTCAGTGTCGTGTGTGCTGGGGAAGGGGGGGTAGAAGCGGTATACTTTAGCAGTGGTTACCTCTGTCTTCTGCGCAGTGGCTTCAACCTTCATTTCCTGACTGACTGCCGGCGGTAGTTCGCTTCCTTCATTGACTTCACAGTTGGGGGCGCCAGACTCAGGTCTAGGAGTAGAACCAGAATGGCCTGAGGCTGACACAGGAGGCGGCAGCAATTCCTTTGGACTGGAAACATCATGGTATAAGAAGCTCCTTAGCCTCGCTGTTATCTGTATGAGTGCCTCCCGTGCAGCTCGAATCTCACCAACAATCTGAATACACTTATCATTAGGACCGACGATTCCATCAAGTTTACACTAAAATCTTTCATGAACCTAACAGTCACAAACCTGCAAAAGCTCGTAAGCCCCATTGGCACAAGAAGGAATCTCTTCTCTTGGCAATATCTGTACGTTGGCATGAGTTAGTCTTCTGAGATCACCCATTGTCCCATCTCTGCCCTGCAAACATCCGGTGGCACTTGTTGAAATGAGCAGCCTTGTTGTTGCAATGTTGTCCTTTTCGGGGCCAAGCTCTACCATGTGACTTTGGATATGCAAAAGCGCTTCCTGGGCTGGGAAAAGGTCATCATTTGGTCCCTAAAGCAACAGTGACATTTTAGAACAATAAAAGCAAACTTAAATTGATTAATTTGCCAAGATCTTTTGACGGTTTCCTGGACATTTAGGGAATAGTGACAATGCAGAATTTGATATAACTAGAAAAAAAGGGTAGTTTATTGTAGAAAAATTGATACAAGAATACTTGATCTGATAAACAACACTGTAAACTGTATAGTATGAGAAAACAGGACAAGATCCCAATAAGAACTTGATAATTCGTTGACTAAGTTTATCATAAACAACACTAATCTTCATGATATTCTCCAATTGGATCAAAAAGTTAAATCAAGAAATGCTCACGACCATCCCCAACTTTAACCATTTCAACAGAGACATCAAACCAGGCATCTACTCCTGTACCACGGAGACTTTAGGAGAGTATCAGAAGTTAACAACCATAAAACAATTACGAGATATCAGTTTAGGAAAGAGGATATTATAAAGTCAACAAAGGAAGTCTTTGCTTGCAAAACTGCCCACGAAAGGAGGGCATCACGCGTCTTGGAAAATTGGGTAAATGAGAAGCATACAGCATAAGACGACAATCCAGTTTCAACAGCATACTGGCAAATTACTTGCAGAAGAGAACCCTGAACATCAGCTGAAGAATTAACACAGAAGTTATGGGAAGGCAGTAAATAGACCGCAAAGAAATGCACCTCTTCAGACGTTACAGTGATGATTCTTTCGTCTGAACCCGGTACAGGATCAGTGACATGAACTTCCACACCCACATCAGCACGTAACATTTCAAGAATTCCACTCGAATCGCCCATGATGCTTTCAACCTTATCACTTGGGCAGAGCATTCGGAAAACGAGGTCCTCATATGGAGCTGGTTGTGCATGGTTGGAAGTTGGAACAACATCGAAGTCAAGTGGGTAAGCAGACGAACGTGAAGGGTATGAGGTATTTCTAGATCTTGTCACCCCGGTTAGAGACCGAGGCCCCAAATCAAGCTCATCTGGTCTGTGCTGCAAATTTAGAGCAAACTCGTCATCAGGAGGGAAATATCGTTCTGGGGAATGAGGCCGTCCACGGAAAGGACCACGATCACGATGCAGACTCTCCTTCAAACGAGATGAAATGATTTCAACAGCTCTCTTCACGGCATTACTTTCACCAACAACCTAAGAAGAAACCATAATAATCAGTGAACCCATCACTGCAGAGTCGCACTCAGCAACTTTAAACATCAATCATAGAACAACTGTCTCCTTTCATAATAACCATAATGAATAAATGAATGCCAAGATTACACTGAATTACAAGATTCACAAAGAGAACATACAACAAGAGACTTTCCGGGGGGGAAGAAAAACCCAATGATGAAGAACATCGTCGAGTTTTCTTAGATAAATCAGTGCAATCCCAGAGCAATTTCTGTTGGTAAGTCAGTCTATTTTACTAGCATCTCAAACTTTATAGACACGAACTCAAGAGAAATAAATTCCAGAAGTGAGTGGATTTCAGACACACCAGGAAAAAAATAAATCTACGCTACTAGAGTATTTAACAGATTGGACAGAAGAAGAGATGCACCGAAAAGGGCATTGTGAAAACGTTCACAGTTTGGCAAGGAGATCAGGCATAAATCATGGGTGATCGATACCTGAACAACCTCCTCGGACATGGAAACACAGCGTGGAGTGTTATGGTCTCGAGGTAATATCCGGATGTGAGTCTTCGTCTCAATTCTCATCTGCTCAATTATCTTGCCGCCCTTCCCCATCAAGCAACCAACGTGCCCCCTGGGAACCACCAACCTGGTGGTCACCCGGCCGCGGTCCCTTTCCCCCCCTGCTCCGCCCCATCCACCACCACCGTACTCGTCGTCTTCGTCGTCTCCTTCCATCTCGAATCCAGCATCCAGGATCCTCTCGTGGATCATGAGCAGCGCCTCTTGTGCAGGGGAGTACTGCGGCGGCCGCCCGTCGGGCTCCCTCCGCCGACTGTCAGATGTTTCGATGATCAGCTCGTCATCGCCGGGGGCCAGCGGGTGGACACTGATCCACGCGCCGGTCTCCTGCCGGAAGGTCTTGAGGAAACACCCAGACTTGCCGATCACGCTCCCAGCCTTCTCATCGGAGCACAGGATACGGAAGCTCGTGGTGACGGAGGTGGAAGGTGGCTGCGCATCCTGGAATTTGGAGGCCGAGGACGAGGAAGAGGACGGCGGTGGCAGAGGCCGCCGCTCCCCGCTGCGACGGTGATGTCCACCCCCGGCGCCGCCATAGTGCCCGCCGCCGTGGTAATACCTTCCCTTTGTCCGGGGCGGCGGCGGCGGCGATGCCTGGGAATCGGAGTCCTGCTCGTAGTAGTACCCGCGCTTCGATCGGGATCTCTCCATTACGCAAGCATTTAGTAGTGTTCCAGTCTCAACAGTTTCCCTCCGTCTTCCTAACAGCAACCCCTCTAGGGTTTCGGAAGTTCTCGCTCTTCCTGTTCTTCGTCCGGTGGCATTCTATAGTATTCCCTGTCGAGGTCGCCGCAGCCTCCGCCAGTCCTACTACCCACCACCTTGCGGCATTGCTGTCCCAGCGGTGATTTCTAGGGTTTTCCTCCCTTCCCTTTAATTCCTCCCCCACCCTCCACCGTCGAGGAACCTCCACAGTCTTCCCAGGTGAGCGATGCCCTCAGGCGGCGCCACCACCGCAGCCGCCGTGCCTGCGAGTCCCACGTAGTCGTTCGTAGACGGTGGCGGCGGCTCCCCGCTGTAATTTAGCGGCGGCTTTCAATCGGGATGGATCGACGAATCCTCCATTCCACGAAGAAGAAGGTCGCTTTATGCTGCGTGGCGCTTCAAGCTATGGATCCACCGATCTGACGGTGATCCATCAAGATGCAGTGTGATTCGTTCTACCCCACCAGACAAAAATCCGAAATCGATTCAAACCCAACCGGACCACCGTTTGGGAGAGCTTCCGAGGGGGGAATTCTGCTTCCACGACCACTGCCTAAAACGGGTGGCCGAGACTGGGCCGCCGTGGGCCCTCCCGTCGACCGTTGAGCCCGTCTCCATCCAACTGACTAGGCGAATTGTGGGCCCGGATGACTATCTAGAAAATGGGCCCAATATATGAAACATGGGCCGAGTTGGGTCGATAACAGGCTCATATACGATAGAAATTAGGAAATAAATCGTAAAATATTTATTCCCAGCACCAACTCGACAGCAAGTGGCAGAAAGAGAGGGAGGAAAAGAATCAGAAGGGGAAAGCGAGGAAGGCGAGGGAGAAGAAGAAGAAAAGAAAGGAAGAACGAGGGAGACAGCAGCATCCATGGAAGCTCAGGCCAATTTCAGATCTGACTTTACAGAGATGGAGAGGATCAGATTCTGAAGCCCAAACCAGACCATCTCCGTGTCCCTTCCTTCTTCACCCTGCGAGAGTTGGCATCGAGGAGGTTCTCTAGAGATTTGGCCGTCCTGTTCCTGCCCCTGCCAGCCTCCTTCAGGAGCTCGGCCAGCCGCTTCTTCTCGTCCTCGACATCGGGATGCGCCGTTCCGAGCTTCTCTTCCCGCAGCTTGAGGACGTATTCCAGGATCTTGATCGCGTCCTCCAGCCTGCGAAAAGGGGAACCGACGCGGAGGTCAAGAACGGGCGGTGATCGTGATTTTACAGGACCATGACGTCTCTTCCCACGATTTGTCCCATCCTAAGAGGACGATCCTGTCAGTGCTGTCCGGTCGATCTGTTGCAGATTACTGGACAACTCTGGATGAATATTATTTCGATCTCTTTTAACCGGACATTAATGGCTTCCTGTGTCCCGATTATAGCAGAATGTGGAACTGGTATATCTTTCTATTTCACATTGATCTTCCCACAAAGAAATCTCTCCAGAAAAACAGTGAAATCGGAGAAAAAAGGCATAATTTTTGTCTGTGAGCAATGCAGAGAATTGGAATTCAAGAAAGAGAGCACGAAAGAAGTGATCTAAAGATAACGATAAGAACACTGCAGAGAAAGATGGAGATTTCTGTCATTCACCCAAAACAGGACTCGGGAGAGATCTTCAAACCCATTTCAGACTCACTTTCTCACCTGACAAAGCAACCCCCTTCCAGGACAGAGCACGATATACAGTGAACACACGCAAAAACCTAGCTTGACGACCGGTAATGCCTCTTGAACCGATTGATGATAGTTGTGAAGCAGCAGCAAAGCCTAATACCGAGTTTTCTGCTCGAAAATGAATTTTAATTTTTGAAAAAAAAAATACAGAAGGAAATTTATGGTAATTCTCCGATGACTCACTGTTCTGAAGTCATGCAATCAGATATTCATCTCACTACATCCAACCAAGCTCACGTCTGTCTCAAACCAAACACTGTTGCAGAACGGGAGTTGGTAAATGAAGTTTCGGATCTACAGGGACCTAAAATCACACACTCAGTCATAAATCTTGATCGTGGGAACTAACTTTAGAACAGAAACATATTTATATACCTTTTATCTTTCTACAGAGAGAGACATGCCGCCTAACATGGTTTGATTTTTCAGAGAGAGAGAGTGCATCAGTTCATGGGAGCTTGAACAGGAGACCTCTGCTTCTCACAGAAGAAAGAATCCAAGCTCCGGAAGATAAAACAACTGTACGGTAGATGATGTGCCATAAAACAAATCTTAAGCCCTTTTACTATACTAATGACTGTCGGATATCTCAGATTATTATTCTTCATTTTCGTTTTTCGGCCAAGTATTAGTAACATCTGGATTACATTCAATGAAGATCTAGCAAGGTCTGTAGGCATCCAAAATCCCAAAGATTGCATTAATCGCCTAAAAAGTTAATAATATAAATGCACACACACAAAAAAAATCGGATTTCATAATATTTAGAGAACTACGAGGAAAGAAATCATCACAGACACTGCTTACCTTCCCATGGCATCATAAGTTGCCGCAAGATTGCTGTAAACACCGAGTGTATCCTGGTGGCAAGGACCACATTCTTTCTCCAGAATGCTTCTGGCTTCTTCAAAAAGATCAGCTGCTTCGTCAATTTTGTAGAGTTGTATGCATGCCAGTCCCATCTGGTTCAGCACGACTCCAAAAAATGCAGACTGTCTCTCCCCACCGGCCCTCAACTTCGACACAGCACTCTGGAAGGAGCTCTTTGCCTCGCCGTACCTGCCGATCTCATAGTACATGACGCCAATCTGAGCCTCAATGCCTGCAATAGTATTCCACTGCCCCGGGGAATCCTCTAAGAGGCTCAGGGCCTTCTGCAGCAGCTTCAGAGCCTCCTCGGGCTCATTGATAGCCTCGTAGATGGCAGATATCTCTGTCAGACCGCCGGCAATCTCCTCTGAAGATGTCCCAGGCACTGGGCTTGAGTAGATCCTCAGTGCATTCTCACAGTACGACTTCGACTCCCTGAGCTTGCCCGTCTTGTAGTAGAGGTCAGCAAGGCGAACGAACACAGAAGCGACGGTGGAGTGGTTGTCCCCCTTGATTGACTTGAAGACCGTCAGTGCCTTCTGGTAGGCAAAGACAGCCTCGTCGAAGCGACCCAGAGACTGGTAGATGTTTCCGATGTTGACATCAATGGCTGCAACCTCGTTATCTTGTTTACAGTCGATCATGATCATCGAGGAGAGGACGAGGTGCTCGAGGGCCGCTTCAAAGTTTCCCTTGGCCTCACAGATGAGGGCCATGAGACGACGATCGGTGGCCTCCTCCAATAATCCAAGGCCGCTCTGCTCCCGGTGTATCTCGAGGGTCTTCCGGCAAAGATCCTCAGCCTCGTCGAACTGCAATGCCTGGACATGGGCCTCTGCTAGATACCTGCCAATTTGTCCCGAAATCAGTCGCCCAGCATGGACAATGGAGGAAGGTCGGTACTTTGTAAACAAAAAACTGCTGAAGGACGATCCAGATTCTCGAGATGTGCATAGCAGCTGGGAGGCAGCCGTTCTTTCTGATCACAGAGTCCAGGGCCTGCGACTTTCCACGACCCTGGAGTGGGCGCCGGGGAGGAGAGAACTCTAGGTCAGGGATTACGCACCTGCAAGTTTCCACGACCCTGGGATCGGTATCTCCCAGAGCCTGCATCTGAGTCTTCAGGCCTTCCGAGTAGCAGGCAATCGCCCGATCGACGCGTCCAAGCATGGAGTGGGTGTCCCCGAGCTGCATGTACCCGGAGAAGGCTGCCAGAGCGTGGTCGATCCCCCTCTCCACCTCCGGGACCTGGAGAGCCCGCTCCAGCACGGGCACGGCCTCCTCGTACCTCCCCAAGCTGCAGTATATCGCCGCCGTGACGTGCAGGCTCATCGCCAGGTCCAGGCTCGGCTCGCCGCTGCTCTGAGCGCAACGCTCGAACGATTTGGAAGCTCGGATCGCGTAGTCTAGGGCCTTGGTGGGGCTCTCCCCCGACGCGAGGGTGTCCCTCGCCAGCTTCAGGAGGAAAGGCCCCAGATCCGGGTTGTCCAGCACTGACTCTTCGAGCAAGGGCTTCTCCGCAGGGGAATTCCTCTTCTTCCCCGAGCTCCGGTCCGGGGAGGGCCTTCCCCTTCCTGCGGAACCGGAGGACGCCGCCTTCGGCATCGGAGATCTGGTCTTCCTGGTCAACTCGGAGGCCTCGTCGTCTCCTCGGCTCCGGATCTGGTCGTCGTTCTCCGCGGGCGGCGAAATCCGGAGCGGCACCGCCTTGGCCGGGGCAACCACCCCTGGCATCGCGGCGGAGGAAGAGGGAATCGAGGGATTTCACACAGGAGAATCCCGCGGCACGGCGAAGCCACAGTCGCTGCAGCTCTCTCAGTTCAGGAAGACGATGACTGCAGAGACGCCACTGCAGCTGGGGGACAAGCCAGGAGATAAAGCGTTACCGGGATCTCTGCTCGCCACCATTCCCACCGTTGCTTCGCAGGAACTTCTCCTCAAAAGAAACCCTTGTTTTATGAATACTTTTACTGCACAGTAACATTAAAAAAAAACAAACACGGACCTGCAGATCTCCTCCTCGAACCAGGGCTCAGTCATAGAAAAACTCCCGTGCCCATGAAACCATCTCTATCCACAGCACTACCCCCCACTCGTTGTCTCCAGTCTTGGCGACCAAAACAGACAAGGGCGAAGAGGCCTTGAAGCAGAAGATTCGATCCAATCCCCTGCTTGACGGCGCTCGGAGAGGAGATGACGACCGCCCGGACTTCTGCGGCGGTGGAGGGGGTCCCCGTTCCAGATATTCAACGCCTCCGGCTCTCGCACGGACGCCGCAGCCGCCGCTCGTCGCATCACCTGAGCCGGCAGCCTGGGCCATGTTAGAGTTGGTAAAGGGAGATGATTGATCCACTTCGAATCCTATGGTCTGGCTGACCTTCCCAGTTGGATGGCATGGGGTAGTGGGGCGGCCAGTGGGCCAGGCCATGTTTTTTTTTTGTTCAATCCTTGGAACTACCTTCAAATTAATAATTAGTCCCACAATTTACCAAAAATAATACTCACAATAAGTTCACCTTAGGCGACCAAAATGCATTGTTCTAATTTAAAACGCAAATATGTTTAAATATTAAACACATTGATTTCCTCTCGTAAGACGAGCCCCATAAAAATGTGATGTAGCCATATACCTTCTATACCTCGAGGGGGGAGAGGCCTCTCACTATGCACTACGAATGGTTCACCATTGTTAAAGAGAGTGTCTTTAGCAAAGAGATGGTAGTACATGCTTAACTATCATTCTCAAGGGTGAGAAATGGAAGGGAAACAAGATGGAGAGGGGACATAGTTGCTTATGGGAGAGAGAGAGATAGAAGGGGGGTGAGGGAGGGATGAATGGTGAATAGTAGGCATGAAGGCTGGGATAGAGGGAGTTGACATTTCATTTATTACATATTAGGTATGATTAGATTAGTTGACATTAGCCAACATGGAAATAGATTGAATTATTCTCAAATTGTTGCTAGTTTTATAGGACTCGATTTGACGGCTAAGAAGCACAGGACTTACTCAGATTCATTAGTTTGTAGGGAGTAATACCTAATAAAAATCATGAAATAATATTATTTTTGACACAAAAAGTAGAGATATATTCAATTCATCGAGATATGATGTTCTATCCAATTCTAGGACAAGGAGAGGTGGGAGTAATAATATCCACATAAATCAGTGCAATCTTATCGAGATAATAATTTATTTTAAATATTGGATTTATTTGCTAATTAAAAATGGTATATCGACTAGCACCTATATCCCCCCATATAGAACTGTTTTAACGAACGGTGTACCGTTAAGAACGGAACGGACGTCGTTGAAGAGATGGGTGCAACGTGCAGCAGAGAGAATCACTTAGTCTGATGAGCTATGTGTGACCGTGGCGGCGCGTCGAAAAGACCCACCGGCACCTTCCGCCCGGCGGCCCTCGTCCTCCGCCGGGTCGAGGAACGCCTCGCCGTCTCGCTGCCTCTACGCCGCTGCGACCTGTAAAAGGGTGAATCCAGTCAAAGGGCGGCCCACGACCTGTCAAACTCGCTCACGACCTGTCCACCTGCGCCTACGGTATAAAGGGATCTAAGCTACCCGAGGGGAAAGAGATTCAGTCAGTCGGCCAGACGGATACACGCTTCAGGCGAGTGAGAGAATGGAGAGAAGAGCATCGGACGCTGAGGGGGAGGAAAAGGAGGCCAAGGCGAAGCGCTCCAAGGAGGTAGAGCTCTTCCTCTCCCCGCCTCTGCCGCGCCCTCCTCGCCGCGCGGCGCCGGCGGACGTGCAGCTGGCGGCTGTCGCCGTGGGCCTGCGGGTGAGGCCGAAGGCCGCAGAAATGCCGCCGGCCATGCAGGAACGAGCATTCCGCTGCACGCGGGCGCTCGTGGAGGCCTCCCCCAACCGGTGGAAGCCCAACCTCACTCTCCTCGCCCTCGCCCTTAAGAAGGTTATCCTCTCCGTCTTCTTTCTCTACTACGCGCGTTCTTTCTTCACCAATTAATTCCCCTCCTGCGCATTCCCTCGCACTGCGCAGGAGTTCGACGCGTCGTACGGGCCGGCGTGGCACTGCGTGGTGGGGCGGAGCTTCGGGTCGTATCTGACGCACTCACCGGGCGGGTTCGTCTACTTCTCCCTCGACGGCGGCGACGACGCCGACTTATCGCTTCTCCTCTTCCAGACCCATCTCCGGCGCTTGCAGCCCCTCCGCTCCGGCGGCCCTCCGCCGCCGCCGCTCTGCCGCCCGTGACCCCACCTCGTTCCCGCTTGCGTGTGCCATCTTCCCCACAGAATAAAGAACTCTCCCCTCCTCTGCGCGCGCTTCAGGTCTGATATCGTGTAGTGTCGTTCGAGCCGTGACTGTAGAATTTCTCCGTGGAGTGAAGATCTACCGTCCCTTCCCATTCGTCGCAGGAGTAGATCCGCCGAGGAGTAGCGGTAGATCGCCAACCATTTCCGACGTTCGGGACCCCTCGTTGCGCTGCCAGCCCCGTACGTCCTTGACCGATCGCCATCTGCGGCGTTGACCTCCGCAGCCCTTTCGTAGATCAGGACCGACCCTACACCCTCCCTAATTACGATCCGAGACTTGGGTCTTCATCAATCAGTTTGGGTGTGAGAAAGATGTTGTAGCTGCGGTAGAGTTTTCTCGGGCACAGCACGAAAATAAGAGTAAGCCCGTTTTCCAAGCCTGTTCCAGCCCGGGCCGTTGACCAAACATCGCCACCACTCCGGTGCAGTTTTGTGCGCATGATTTTTTCTGTCATAAAAATTTCACTGCATCTCGTCAACAAATTTTCCTGGAATTAAAAATCGGCATAATGCATTTTAATTTTGAAACATAAAGTCTATTTATTTACCACGCGATATACCAAAAAAAAAGGTACGCACTGATATTCTGCTGACCTTTTCGAAGTCTGACGCCGATCTGGTTGTCATCTTGAGCTCATTTTATCTCTGGACTTGATTTTTATACGAAAAAGAGAAAATGTCTGAATCAGTCCTCATTAAAGCTGAAATTAATCATGATAATTAAAAAAATGTACTCATTTTCACCTGTTGAGATGATCCAAAACTCCAAGGCAAGACGAGCTGCTCCATTTTAGCGCGTTGTGGCGGTCGAACGTCACGTCTCATTCGTGTCGACAGAACTGAGGGTGGGGGACCCAACGGTCATCTTTCTCTTTTCCACCGGCCATTGCCGACAATGTGATACGGAGATTCGACGAAGGATCAACAATTGCGGCAACAGATTTCCTCAAACCATATCATACCAAATTTCCTTGCTCGAGGAATGATCTGAGAGAGACGCGGAAAAATCCTCGTATCAGTTCGTGGAACTTAAGTTCATAAAATAGAAGAAATCCAAACAGCGGAGCTTCGTATTTCCCAGTCACAGATTCTTCCGAGAGAGAAAAACGAGAGTATATAGTTTTACGATAAAAAATTCCTTGCTCGAGGAATGTTCTGAGAAAAAGACGCGGAAAAATTCTCATATCAGTTCGTGGAGCTTAAAATCATAAAATAGAAGAAATCTAAACAGCGGAGCTTCGTATCATACTGCGTTTTTTTCATATTTCGCAGTCACAGATCCTTTCGAGAGAGGAAAAACGAGAGTATATAATTTTATGACGAATTGTAGTAAAGTAGGGTTTAATGCTACCGTCGCAGCATGCAGAAAGCAGTTCTCGCCGAACTTTGATTTTGTTCTTGCGCAGATCCGTCCCTGAGTGATCACTATCACCGGTAGACCGCGAGGACCTTCTCAACGAACCACCATTTATTGGACTCTGGGAGCTCAGAGATTTTGCCATGGTCGATCGCCCAAGGGTGATTCTAAAAGCATCGAAGAGGCAGGAAGATCATCCCAACTAGGCGACGAATTGGGAAATAAAAAAATGATTCTCTCACGAATAACCCTTGGGGATCTCGGGGGAATGCAAACCAGATGACCGCACAATCAACCGGAAAGTTTTTCAAAGGGTCGCGTGGCTCCCCGAAGAAGCTTACCATGCCGGAAGTGATGTCCACCTAGCACGACCCGATGAAGATCGAAATGAGAACCACCAGCATAGCCACCACCACAGCTCCATTCGTGATCCTGTGCATCACGGCAGAGAGTCCTGAGAAGGAAGCGAAGAGGCGAGGATGTCACCATCACTACAACCGATCTGCTTCCACGATCCCCTTTTTTGGATTCTGGGCGGGAAAGAGCGAAGGTCGTGTCTTCTTCTGCTACGCTGTCTCCTTTTAACTCAAAAAGAAAGAGAGAAGAGAGAGAGAGAGAGAGAGAGAGAGAGAGAGAGAGAGAGAGAGAGAGAGAGAGAGAGAGAGAGAGAGACGTGTACCGTTTTGATTGGGTATCATCAACGACTCCAGGAAAATGGGCTCATATCTTTTGTCTAGGCCCATTAGGGTTCAGTTCAGCCCACCATATTTTTAGGTATCTCGTCATTTTATTGTGTGATACGGTTATTCAGGTGATACGGGCCTACCTTTTGAACGACAGTGCATAACGGGCCAGATAATATGGGCCTCTAGTCGCTAGCCCAATTAGGCATTGCACCGACTCAAGAGGGAGACGTCGACGGATCTACACCAGGGGAAGGAGGAGGGTTTATCAGGGCGAATTGGGGCAACTCCGGTCTCAGTCGCCGGCGATCCCTCACGGTGCTATCAAGAGTTCTACCAGCCCTGTGGCGTCCCTCCGCCGGAATATTCCATCTTCGCCGCAACACCGGCGGCCACTCCCTCCCTCGGGGTTCCGATCCATCGCAGGCGCTGTACATCATCTCCGCTCCTCTCTGATATTGCTCCCATGGCGGTGAAGGACGAAGAGGATGAAACGATGAAGACGATGGAGTACCTATCTCTGGTCTCCACGGTCTGCTCGGAGCTCGAGTCCAACGTCGGATGCGGCGACAAGGTGCTCGCCGAGTTCGTCATCGATCTGGGCCGCAAGTCCACGGCGGTGGAAGAGTTCGATGCCATGCTCAAGGAGAACGGTGCCGAGATGCCCGACTACTTCGTGCGCAGCCTCCTCACCATCATTCATGCTATCCTCCCCCCGGTCTCCAAGTCCCAGAATCTCATGTCCAAGAAGTCCGATGGCGGCAATAAGGGCGGTGCTGGGGGGACTATGTTCTCTAGCCTGGCCATCTCCGACAATCGTGAGCACACTAAAGATATCGAGCGGGAGATAGCGGAGGAAATCAGAGAGAAAGAGGCCCGAAGTCGGGATCGGTATAGAGATGACGATCGAGACCGGCTGCGGGATAGGGATAGAGATAGAGAGCGGGACAGGGACAGAGACAGGGACAGAGGGAGAGATTGGGACAGAGACAGAGGTGGCAATAGAGACAGGGACAGAGACGGAGATGGAGACCGTAGGCGCGACAGGCATCGAGGTCGCGAGAAGGATAGAGATCGTGAGACGGAGATAGACAGATATGGTGATTCTAGGGTTAAGCCAAGGCAAAGGGCGGAGCATGACGACGACGACGACGATGATTATCGGGAAGGCGGGAGGAACTCTCATTCCAAGGGACATGGTAGAGAAACTAGCGGCGGTGGTGAGCCTGAGCTGTATAATGTTTATTCTGGGAGGGTAACGAGGGTCATGGACACAGGTTGCTTCGTGCAATTGAATGATTTCAGGGGGAAAGAAGGTTTGGTTCACGTCTCACAAATGGCAACCAGGAGAATCGCCAATGCCAAGGAAGTCATAAAGCGTGACCAGGAGGTTTTTGTGAAGGTAATTTCAGTATCGGGGCAGAAGTTGAGTCTGTCAATGAGGGATGTCGACCAGAAGTCTGGAAAGGACCTGCTTCCAATGAAGAAGAGCTCTGAAGATGATGCTCACAGGGCAAATCCTGCAAGTGGAAATCAGGGGCCAAGGATGAGGACAGGGCTGTCTGGTATCACAATTGTAGAGGAAGATGATAATGTCCCATCACGACGGCCATTGAAGAGGATGAGTTCTCCAGAGAAGTGGGAAGCGAAGCAACTTATTGCTTCGGGTGTTCTTAGTGTAGGAGATTATCCAAGTTTTGATGAGGACGGGGACGGGTTGTTGTATCAAGAAGAAGGGGGAGAGGAGGAGCTAGAGATCGAACTTAATGAAGATGAGCCAGCCTTTTTGCAGGGGCAGACTCGGTATAGCATTGATATGTCACCTATTAAAATTTTCAAGAATCCTGAGGGATCATTGAGTCGTGCAGCAGCACTTCAGTCAGCTCTGATAAAGGAGAGAAGAGAAGTGCGTGAGCAGCAGCAGCGTACAATGTTGGATTCAATTCCAAAGGATCTTAACCGTCCGTGGGAAGATCCTATGCCTGAAACTGGGGAGCGTCATCTTGCCCAGGAGCTGAGGGGTGTTGGCTTATCTGCTTATGATATGCCAGAGTGGAAAAAAGATGCATATGGGAAAGCTTTGACTTTTGGGCAAAGATCAAAGCTTTCCATTCAGGAACAGAGGCAGAGTCTTCCTATATACAAGTTGAAGAAAGAGCTGGTCCAGGCTGTTCATGATAACCAGGTACTTGTTGTGATCGGTGAAACAGGCTCTGGGAAGACAACGCAGGTTACACAATATTTGGCAGAAGCCGGCTACACCACAAGAGGGAAGATAGGATGTACACAGCCTCGTAGAGTCGCTGCAATGTCTGTTGCCAAGAGGGTGGCAGAGGAATTTGGGTGCCGCTTAGGGGAAGAAGTGGGCTATGCTATTCGATTTGAAGATTGTACCGGGCCGGAGACAGTGATAAAGTATATGACAGATGGTATGCTTCTTAGGGAAATTTTGGTTGATGACACTCTCTCCCAGTATTCCGTTGTTATGTTGGATGAAGCTCATGAAAGGACCATCCACACGGACGTCCTTTTTGGATTGCTAAAACAGCTGGTGAAACGGAGGCCTGACCTTCGTCTGATCGTCACCTCTGCCACATTGGATGCAGAGAAATTCTCTGGGTACTTTTTTAACTGTAATATCTTTACTATACCTGGTAGAACATTTCCTGTAGAGATACTGTACACCAAACAGCCCGAAAGTGACTATTTAGATGCATCACTGATCACTGTCCTTCAGATACACTTGTCAGAGCCTGAAGGTGACATCCTTCTCTTTCTAACGGGACAGGAGGAGATTGATCATGCATGTCAATGCCTTTATGAGAGGATGAAGGGACTGGGAAAGAATGTGCCAGAATTGATAATTTTGCCCGTCTACAGTGCTCTCCCTAGTGAAATGCAGTCAAGGATTTTTGATCCTGCACCTCCAGGGAAAAGGAAAGTGGTTGTGGCTACAAATATTGCTGAGGCTTCTTTGACTATTGATGGAATATTTTATGTCATTGATCCTGGTTTTGCAAAGCAGAATGTTTATAATCCTAAGAGAGGCCTAGATTCTCTGGTCATTACTCCCATCTCTCAGGCATCAGCCAAGCAACGAGCTGGCCGTGCTGGTCGTACAGGTCCAGGAAAATGCTATCGACTTTACACAGAGAGTGCCTACAGAAATGAAATGTCACCGACTTCTGTTCCTGAAATTCAGAGGATCAATCTTGGGCTGACAACGCTGACTATGAAAGCTATGGGGATTAATGACCTGCTCTCATTTGACTTTATGGATCCTCCCTCTCCTCAAGCACTTGTATCCGCCATGGAGCAGCTATATAGCCTTGGAGCGTTGGATGAAGAGGGACTCTTGACTAAATTAGGCAGGAAGATGGCTGAATTTCCTCTGGATCCACCATTGTCAAAGATGCTCCTTGCAAGTGTGGACCTTGGCTGTAGTGATGAGATTTTGACTATCATAGCAATGATTCAAACGGGGAATATATTTTATAGACCCAGGGAGAAGCAGGCACAAGCAGACCAGAAAAGAGCCAAGTTTTTCCAGCCTGAAGGGGATCATTTAACATTACTTGCCGTTTATGAGGCTTGGAAGGCCAAAAACTTTTCTGGGCCTTGGTGCTTTGAGAACTTTGTTCAGTCTCGTTCTCTTAGGAGAGCACAAGATGTTCGAAAGCAGCTGCTCTCTATCATGGATAAGTACGTATCTCTTGCTTACCAAATTGCATTGTAGTTTTTATTACAACGCTTTTTTTAATTGTCTTGGCTTTCCCTAGTTTTTTACTGGACATTTTTCGCTAGTGCTTTGTCCCTTCTCGATTTTTTCCTGCTTTACTTTTCTTCTCTTTTCTCAGATGGATTATTAATTCCCATTTACGTAAGCAAAATTACTCTCTACAATCTGTAATTTTGGTGTAGCTAAAACTAGGCTTTAGTTCTCTACATTCTCTTGTAAATTGACGTATCTACCCTTCATGTGCCCCTGTATCCCCATGCTTGTGTTCAACCAGCCCTTCTTTTTTTTTCTCAGCTAATGATGGATGTCACCACGCTTGGCTTACACTTCATTACGTTTCTATATTAAATCTGTAATACTGAATTTCCCTAGACATTATAACTTTTCTGGTGACTCTTGCTTTGATTGAAGATTACCGCACCTGTAACTCCCATTACAGAAACGTCTTTGCCTTCATTCTTTACCTTTGCCGTTGATATTCTGTAAGCCATATACAGCACGAAAGGAGTGGAGTGTTTACCTATGCATTCATAAAGGCTGTGTTGGTGCCAACAGAACCTCTTATAATAGTGTAAGCGTCGTATATGGCAGTAGCAACAGTGTGAGCTAGCTTTGCAAGTCGGACGAATGCTCAATTGTACCTTAAGAAACCTATTTCTAACGTTTGCCATTAATTTATCCCATATAAGCCTTTTACTTCCGATTATTTGTATATATATGTGTATAAATATAATGCTTGGATACGCATGCATTCCTTCGCGTGATAAATTTTCGTCCTATGCAGTATATATTCTTTTTGTCTTAATAGTTTATCTCATCTTCTCTGTAAGAAATATCACGAAGATTACCAGCAACCGATATGACTATGTTTTACATCGCTATTTTTTTCTTTCTTTCAGGTATAAATTAGATGTGATGAGTGCCGGCAAGAATTTTACAAAGATAAGGAAGGCGATTACGGCGGGGTTCTTCTTTCATTCAGCTAGAAAGGATCCTCAGGAGGGCTACAGGACATTGGTCGAAAACCAGCCAGTTTACATCCATCCGAGCAGTGCTCTGTTTCAAAGACAGCCAGACTGGGTCATCTACCACGAGCTCGTGATGACCACCAAGGAGTACATGCGTGAGGTCACAGTTATCGACCCTAAGTGGCTGGTAGAGCTGGCGCCTAGATTTTTCAAGGCCGCCGATCCAACAAAGATGAGCAAGCGCAAGCGGCAAGAGCGCATCGAACCACTCTACGACAGATACCATGAACCCAACTCTTGGCGGCTGAGCAAGCGCCGTGCTTGAGTTATATAAACCTGGAGTCGGTTCAAGCGCTTCCGGTTCCTCCAGCTCAAGAAGTCTCACGGACCGCAAGCCGCGCGCTCTTGTGGGTGCTCCATGGTCGACAGGCAAAGTCGGTCCGCCTCTTCTGATGTGTGTGTATATCTGCCTCGTTTGACTTGTTCGTTCCTGCATTTATTAACGCTCAGTTATTGCTGTAGTTTTGGGACACGTTGAGCCATCGAAGCAGATCCAGACCATGCTCACGTTTTTCAGACATATATATATGGCTGCGAGCTTCTTCAGATATTTTCAGGTATGCAAGAGTATGCTGTCGTCTAAGCTTCGGATCAATTTTCAGGATGACCATCCTGCTTGCGTTTATTTGAGATGAACCGGACGCAGAGCTTTAAGACAGAAGAAAGGCCGATGTTGTATCTCGTCTCCTATGAGATCATACAAAGGTGGGTGGGGGTGGGGGGCCAAACTTCTTCACTTCGGTGGCAGAGATTTTCAGAGCTGGATGGATGGCGTAGGCGCCGGAGGGGATTCGAGGGTTGGCTCGCCACCCCGGTTGATATATCATTAGAACTGAGACGATCAGCGGTGGTAGCAGGGGGAGGAGAGCGCCAGGTCCGTGCTGATGGTGCAGCTCCATCCTCCCGACCGCTCACCTGATTCCCACGCGGCCGCCTTCGCGCCGCCGCGTGCGGGCCCGGAGGACCCCTCCTTTTCAGGAAAGCAAAGAGTGTGTGTGTGTGAGAGAGAGCGAGCGAGAGAGAGAGAGAGAGAGAAGAGAGAGAGAGAGGGAGGGAGAGGCGCGCACCTTCGTGTGAGAGGGGAGGGATGGGGAGCAGAGGTTGTCGGAGCTGTCGGTCCTCTCGACGGAGAGGACCTGGTGGGGCGGGTGAGGCCGCGGGGCCACGACGACGACTTGGGCGCGCGGGGCGGCAGCGGCTGGCGAGACGGGGAGGAGGATCGGTCTGGGCGGCGACGTGGCGGAGGAAGCCGAGTGGGGCGTCGGGGGAACCCCCGAGGGCTCCTCTGCGGCGACGGCGACGCTCGGCGACGACATGATGCTGCTGCCGTTGCCGGCGCTGGGGCAGATCCCCGAGCCGCCCGTCATATTCGGCCACAGGAATGTCCCCTGCGGCTTGCATATCCTGAACCCACTCCGCCGTACCATCCTGCCACAGCCGCCCCTCTCGCCGCCGTCGCCCGGCGCCACCGCCGTCACGGCGCTCTTCTCCTCCCTCTCTTTCTCCAGGTCTTTCTTTTCCTTCTCCAACTTCAGCAGTCGCAGCTCTTCCTGCACCACCAGGGTGAAATTCCCACTCAGCGGAATCGATGCTAGCTGGGAGGAATTTGGGGACTCTGTTCTTGAGCAATGGAGTTTTCTCTCTCACCTGCATCGCCTGCAAGCTCCTCCCCATCGCCGTCACCTGCTCCTCCAGCTTGGCATTCGACTTTGTCAAGCTCTCGTAGCTCTCCTGGGCAAAAAAGAGGGCAAGTTTCTTTACGGGAAATAACTAAAATGTGCTCGCAGCTCTTGATTTGGCTTTGCCGTCATTCCTCGTCCCCGCCCCTCCCTCTTTTTTTTCCTTCCTGTAAGTTGATAAGGAGAAGAGAGCGGTATTTGGGTTATCATGTTACTAACCTGAAGTTCAAGAATGCCGGTAGCATCACTTCGCGTTTGGGCGTCTTGCACCTCCTTCTCCTGAAGCTTGAGAGATCGTAACCAGTCGATCTCCCTTTTCAGAGCCATTATCCAATTGGACAGGCAAAATAAACCAAAGTTAGTGCCTCGTATCGAATAAATGACGAACGGAGGGTAGAGAGGGGAGAGAGAGAGAGAGAGAGAGAGAGAGAGAGAGAGAGAGAGAGAGACCTTCTAAGATCGTCAAGTTCTCCCTTCAAAAGGTCGACCTCTTTCCCGCACACGACGCCGTATGGAGAGATGGAGTCCCCGGGCTTCCATCCTGGGGGGGGGAGCCAGAAAGGGTCCATCACCCCAGCAGTCCTCCGCAATTCCTGCAGTTCGGCGGCCTCCAGCCAATACTCCATCGCACCCTCCGGGTTGTGGCGCCTTCGGAAACGCTCCTTGCCCTCCGAGACCACCTTGCCCGCCATGTGTTTCAGGAGATGATCGAGTAGGCCCGTGTCCCCGATATGCTTCCTCGCTTCCTCCCTCAGCTCCGGCCGCAGTATGGGGTTCCCAAGTGCGGCCCCCTTCTCTTTCATGATCTCCAATAGCTTCAGCTCCGCCGCACGGTATCTACACCTCAGAAAGAGAGAAGGCAGTCGGTCAGTCCACTGCGTTCAAAGTATCTACACCGCCGATTGTCTTCGTTGATCTAACCCGGGCGAAGAGGAGGGTGAGGAAAAAAACAGGAGATCTCTGGTCGCTAACCTTTCTGAGGACCACCGGTCCTTGGGAGCCTTGAAGACCTTGCGGTCGCTTGCCCCTCCCCTATCCAGTTTCGCTTTCTTTAAGCTCTTCTCTTCCTTCTTTCTCTTCTTCTTCCGGACAATCTCGCGTATCCTCTTCCTCCCAACGGCCCCACACTGCGCGACCATCTCTTCTTCCTTGAGAACAGCCCCAAGTGACGAGCTCTCCTCCCTGTGACGACCAATGTACTTGATCTTGCGCCTCACGCCCCAGCCGATCGCCCCAGAACGCTTCAGGATGAGGAGGCACGACTCCGCTGGGATCATCCCACCTTCGTCTTCCTCCTGCTCGTCTGCTGCCGCAGTGAGTGGGATGGATTCAGGTTCATCCTCCTCCTTGGGAGCCACTAACCAGAAGCGCTCCAGGTGAGCCTCTCCCTCCACCTCCGTGGAGGGAATCAGTCGGCTGAGTATCTTGCTGGCACGGTCGAAGCCCATCACGAACTGCTCGTCCAGTTCCGGGTGCTGCGGTGGTGGCATCGCCTCTGCTTCAACGGCAATCTTCTCGTTTCCAAAGTACTTACGCAGAGAGAATGCGCTGGGGAAACTAACGGTCACATTTAATCTCGTCTTCTCGCTGACCTGCGGCCAATCCCAACAAAGAAAGATTCTCAGTGAAACAGATTTAACTCTAGGAGTTAAATGCCCTCATTAAATCTGAAGTCATCCAACGATATCTCACGTACAAACCTTGACGACGCGGACATCCTTCAGGTGAATCGGGGATTTAGGCAGAAGCTGCCCGTGGTCGATCTCGTAAAACATGCCTACTTCGAACATCTCTGAAACAGATGAACAAACAAAGTCATTTGTAATGCGTTTCCCGCTAGTTGAGGGTGGGTTTGATGAATTAGGGACGACAGATGAACAAATGGGAATCAGCAACACTTACAAATCCGATCACCCAGATGAGTGACCGGAGTGGAATGCATGTGGAAGAGTTTTAACAGCCGACACGGTATCACCATTCTCGAGGGAACAAAAGCAGCATTTACCCAGATGCTGTAGAGGGGGGAGGGGAGCGGTGCACTGGTAGTGACGGTGGGACGTACCGCAGTTCAGTGCATGTGGCGGATAGACCGTATAATCCGTGCCGGGTTGCAGGGTTTGTCTGGTCTGGGGCGGCGATGGCTTCTGGGCGATGGGATCCACTGGGGAATTTCTTTTCGAGTAGTAGTACTTCAGGTCCTGCGGAAATAGAGGAATAAAACAGGTTTGTCTCTTTTATATTCTTAAACAGACAAAGAACCGAGAAAAGCTGCACATGAACGATGACATGCTCCGCCCTAGATTATCGTGTTCATCGTCATCATCATCATCGAAAAGCCTCTTCCCACTCTTTCCACCAGACCACACGAGCCCATAGCCTACTGACATTCTGCTACAATTAATGCATACGTATATATTATCGCCGGATATATCTACGTATATCACGTGGGGGAAGGGAGGGGTTGGGAGAGAGAGAGAGAGATGTAGGTTTCCATTCCGGGTAAAGGAGTATACCGAAGTCGGCTCAGCAGTAATCGCCGATTTGTCATCGGGAGCTTCCATGGGGGAGGCCCTGCAAATATCCAGATCTATTAAAAAATGATGGAAGAACTAAAAGCGGAATCAACAGAATTATGCGATCTTCATAACTGATTCAGACTTTCGGGAAAATGAAGATCGCACGTTTTCAGGGTATGCAGTCTCAGCATCTGTGCGCTTACGACCGACAGGAGGAATCAATGACAGGGTGATCTTGTCGTTAGGAGAATCAAGACGTGCGCCATTGGAAGAAAAAGATCTGGCCTTCGTTTTCAAATATTAGCAAAGAGAATACTCATGCAGTGGTTTAAAACAAGATGAAGATGTATTCTGTGGGCCTTTAAGAAGAAAATAGTTTGGATAAAACGGTTCTCGATGAGCAACTACACGTAGCTATGATCTATTGGATTTTCTTGGCGGATAGCTTACGGTCTAAGGGAGAACGGCGATGAAGAAACTATTCTCTTACAATAATTTCAAGAAGGCGAATGAAAGCAGTACGATCGAGAATTCTTGTACGGTTGAATTCAAACTGAAGACAGAAACTGATGATCAGGTGGTTGAAATCTCGGAAACAAAGATTTATCAAAAGGTGCAGCAATTCTAAACAAAGCGGGAAAAGGATCACGAGAAGGAAGTGGTAGGAAGCAGGAAAGACAACATGCCTTCTTCCGAGAAGGATGCCGTGGGTTCTCCCGGAAAGATCGTTCCAATGCGCGAAACACCCTACACTGAGAAAGATCGTTACAATAATTCCCGGAGATTCTCGGAGGTAAGCAGATGACGATGGTGAACAGACGAGAATGGTCCCGTCCCACTCCGCCCAAGAAAATCCGATCCGTCGTCGAGACTGAACCGAGTGACCCCCGAGGCGCATCCGAGGCGGCAGCAGCAGCAGCAGCAGCAGCAGTCACAAATGAAACAGCTCAGAGAAACGAGGATCGCAAAAAAGAAGGTCTTGCAATCTTCGTCAACCTACTCAGGCGATTGACGAACTGATGATACTCGACGTATAAAAAGGGCAGATCTCTCGCCTCCTCTCTCCCCCATCTCCGCCATCAGCAGCCCTCTAAAACCTCCAACCAAAAACCCCCCCCCTCACTGTGCAGTCCCTAGAGAGAGAAACAGTGAGTGTGAGAGAGTACGTGCGTGGGCAGAATTCGAAAGGGTGAAAGGCTGAGGCCGGGATGATGTCCGTGCATGGCCCGCTGTATACGTCGCCCGATAGATGCCGTAAAATATCATAATACCCTCATTTATATTCCATATTTACCAATAATGCCACGACTGTTGTAGCTGCTGAAGGTCAGTTATGGACGGCCGGTCCGCCCCCATGGGGAGAATGGTCCTTTTCTTGCGACAGTGTGGAAGGTGGTTAGTACCGGCAGGAGCAGCATGATTGAAGATCAGAAGCGTGGGACCCACCGTTCTTCCTCCCTCTCCCTACTCTCCCGCCAATTTCGCCTTCCTCGGGGATTCGAGCTCCATCGCTGCGCACTCATCGTCTGCTGCAAACCAGAGGAGGGAGGAATCGACTGCAACTGCCGGAGGATTCCTCCACGTCGATGGCCGCCGGTTGTCTGATTTCCGGTGTTAGATCACGCGTTCGAATTAAAAATGGAGGTGCAGATGATCTACCTCGCCTTCCTCCATGGTCGTCTCCGAGTTGAAAACTATGCTTGTGGGGGCAGCAGAGGACAATTGTGGTTGTCGCTGACGTCGGCGGCCATGGCGCCTTGCCGGTGATCAGCTCTCCTAACTCCTCCGTCCAATGCAGGTCGGAGGATATTAAACTCCGTGTGGCCGATGATCGGAACTCTGCCACGGCCCGGGGACGACGATGGCAAGGGGCGGGACTGTGTTCCTCGTCGTGCTCAGGGGCCTGGCCATGGCGGCGACGCTCTCTGCTACGATACTGATGGCGGTCGCCAGTGAGAAGACCACCGTCTTCAGCATAACATTCGAAGCCAAGTTTCAGAACTCGCCTGCTCTGTGGTAAGTTTCCGAGGTCCAGAATTACTCTCTCTCTTTCTCTCTCTCTCTCTCTCTGAGACGAACATCTGTTCTTCCTCTCCCAATCCCCTATGGTTTTCCTCAGGTTCTCGGTGGTTTCGAACGCAGTGAGCGCCGGGTACAGCTTCCTTGCTCTCTTCATTTCTCCCACCAGTTCTCTGTTTCGCTTCGTCGTGCCCTTGGACGCGGTAGGTAGTCAGTCCTCCAAGCCCTCCTGAATCGCCTCTGGTTCGACAAGATCATCCTCCACTGCTTCATCTACTAGCCGTTGACTCTCCTCTCCCCTCCCGATTTGCTTCAGATCGTGGCGATGCTGCTCACCGGCGCGCTCGCGGCGGCGGGATCCATCTCTTACCTCGGGAAGAAGGGGAACCCCCACACCGGCTGGATGCCGATCTGTGGCCAGGTGCCGGGATTCTGCGACCAGATGATGATCTCCATCGTTTGTGCCTTCATCGGCGTCCTTCTCTACACGGCGATCGTCCTCTACAACGTCTCCATTGCCATGAATTCTCTGATCTCCAGCTTCCCCAAGCTTCCTGTCTCGGTTCCTCGTCCCCTGAGGACTGGCTTCTCCGTTCGTCTAACCTCCTGAACGCGAGAGATCCAGATTGGGCATATGAACAATAATACATCAATAGGTTTTCTTCAATGTGGTCTTAAAAAAATATTTTTACATACAAGGGTTTCTTGAAATTTTACGCACCTTTTTCATTAAGTTTGAGATGTTACCGTTACATTTTTTCCGTTTCCCGCGTCAGTTCCAAACAGCAAATCGGGAAATATCCCGATTCTTTGACCGTTATATCTTTTGTTGGGCCGGCGGAATGATGGTGAGGCCCGCATTCATTGGGGGCCCACGAAGGATCCGCCGCTTCTCTAAAATATCGTCAGATCAACGGCTGAGTATAGAGATAGAGGGAACCTGATGAGATCTGAACCGTCGAATGAATGGTGACCCTTGGGCTCTGTTTAGGCTTATCCGTTGCCAAGGGTGGGTCAATAAAGCAAACAGAGTGCGATGAACGCACAGACAGGCTTCCAGAGGCGAAGGCAGAGCGGGGCAGAGAGGGAGGTGGAGCAGAGGCGTCAAGTGCCGGGGGAATGGGATCTGCGTCGCTCATTGCGAGCCCGCTGTCGGCTTCTCCCGGCCTCCGAAGCTCCTCCCGGCGCCGGAGATCGCCGCCGCAGTTTCGTCCACTCCGTTGCTCGTACCCCAGCGACACCGGTAACAATGGGGACGCCTCCCCGACGGCGACGGGTGAGTTTGAATGCTCTAATATCCCTTCTTCTAGTCATCCAGATTTTTCCGTGTGTTTTTTCGACCGAAGGGATCTAGAAGTAACTCCGTTGGATTGAAGGAAAACGAAGAAGATTTCGGAATGAGACTGCGCCTAGAGTGTAATCTGCTTTTGTGTTCCGGCTTCCTGGGCTTCGAAGGCTTCTTCGTTACCGTTGCTCGGATGTTAAGCTGAAATTAGGAAATAACTTGATGTATGAAAAGCTGATTCCAAGACTGGCTCTATCTTTTCTCGATTTCACTGTTATCAAAAATTACTTTAAAGTGATTCAACATCTACCGTCCCGCATTATTAATCGTGTTCAGTCGTCTAATTCTGATACACAAATGAAGCAGAGAAGAAACCACTAAGACACGACGTATATATAGTAAAAATAAAAATAAAAATAAAATCTGTTCACTTAAATTAAGTTGATAATGATGAGTGTTTAGATGATTTCAATACAAAAAAAATTATCTTCAATCTTTTCCATATAGCAACTTGGGAAGTCTGATTTTTTTTTGAAATCCAACTCAAATTATAATCGTTTGACTTTAGCTCACTGAATTCTTTCTTGAAAACCCCTCTTCGAGTAAAATTATTTTCAAGAGGTTCAATGGTGTGACGCATTAAAAGTCGATACACCAAGGATAAAAATGCCAAAAAAAAATTAAAAAAGATCTAACTCATTTGAGTTGGAGTAGGTCGTTCGAAGTCGGCAGGTCACCAGAAGATCCATTTCTCTGTATTTGACCAAAAGCTTATTGGAAAGAATAAAAAAATAAAAATGGAACGCTGTCAGCATAACTGAAAACAACAGGGTTACGGGCCTGTAAATGTGGCATTTAAAGTGGAACGTGATGAAGGCAGTTCTGCAACTTAAGCGTTGTAAATATATCATGAAATTGAAATGTGAAACATTAGCGACTGCATTTCTCTTTTGCATAATTATTCAGTAACGCAAATATATATATCCTCCCATCCCGATTGAAAGTTCTTGATCTTCTATGGGCCAAGTAGATGTTCTTGTACCTCGAGTTCAAAATGGCTTCAATCGTCTCTCTACCGTGGAGCAACTGGAAAGCATCTCTTCAGTGACTGGTGGCGCATTTGATTTCAAAGGGGCCACGACTTCACTTACTGACAAGCCCATGCCTTTCCCTAAAATGGTGACTCTGGTGAGGCATGGCCTTAGCTCTTGGAATGAAGAAAGCAGGGTTCAGGTTTGCATCTTCCTAACATCTTCAGTTCATTCCCTCAGATTACAATACATTTCAGACTATTATTCATAGATATTTTCACTGCCCTGTGGTGGGAAGATGGCATGTAATATTATGCAATTGTCAGCTTAGTTTGCAGGTCTGATCATTTTCCATGCGCAGGGAAGCTCAAACCTGTCCGTCTTGACAGAAATAGGTGTGGAACAAGCTGAAAGGTGTCGGAATGCCCTGTCTAATGTATCCTTTGATCAATGCTTTGCGAGCCCAATATCACGTGCAAAGGTCCCAACCTTCTTGTCAATAAATTTGCTACCGTTAGATCCATATTCTCTTTTCAGTCATTCGTTTTTTGTATGGATCAACATACCAATCATCTTGTCTGAATCGGTGTCTGATACAGTCAACTGCAGAAGTCATGTGGCATGGGAGGGAGAAGCCGCTGACCTTCCTCGATTCGCTGAAAGAGGCGCACTTGTTCTTCTTGGAAGGCATGACAAACGGTTTGTTTGCTACTCCTTTCGAACTTTCTCTCGTTTCTTCGTTTGGTTTGGGATCACATCCATTGCTCAGCATAACTATTACCCAAAAATTGGCAGCGGATGCGAAGAAGGAATACCCACATTTGTATAATACTTGGAGAGAAGATCCGTCTAATTTCCATGTCGATGGGATCTATCCAATCCGACGGCTATGGGGAACAGCAAGGGAGGCTTGGAGGGAGATTTTGGCCGCACCAGTGAGTTTGATTATTCTGCCAATCGTACAATTCTTTCCCCAATGTACTCAATGAAACATCTTGCTCTTTCTCTTACAGGGAGAAAGCTTCTTGGTTGTTACCCACAAGTCAATCCTGCGAGCTCTTATTTGTACAGCCCTTGGTCTCGGCCCTGAGAGGTAAATATCTTGATTACTATGGTCCATAAGTTACACAAATGACCGTGGAGAAACTTCTTATGGTTTAGAAAAAGTTTGATAAGAAAGGGTACGTTTCCCCTCGATTGACCATCGAAATTGTAGTCACAAACCATGCATGATCAAAAGAGATCTCCTAAAACTGCTGGTTTCTTCTTTCTCCGATACAGAAAGTACTGATGGGCAACATCAGAGTTATTCGTCCTGTTTTTGTTAATGAAATCCAGCCCAAGAACTTCACTCTCATATTCATCTTAACTTCCTAATTACGAATCTCTATTTTTCTAATCAAGGTCCCTTTTTTAACATCCCATTTGAACTTTCATCTGAAATGGCAATTCTGGAGAAGTTGAAACGCTCACTTTCATCCCAAAAAAACCGATAGTTCATGGCTCTGATGCTGCAGATTCCGAGCAATTGACGTGAACAATGGTGGTATCTCCGTCTTCAATTTCAACAGGCGAGGGGAAGCTATGCTCCAGTCCTTGAACATGACAACTCACATGTACAGCGAGCACGTGTACGAATTGCAGTAGAATCATGCGCTAGATTAAGAGTTCGCCCAGTCAGTGGCGGGCGTGTGTTCTCTGGACGAGTAGGAGCAGTGCTTCGGCCCCCGAACATGAAAGCTAATGTGTACAGTGATCGCCAACAGGGGTAGCAGAATTCTACCCTACACGAATTATATGATCCGCATAGCCTCAGCTCCATCTGTAATGAGCAAAATGCAGTTTTTCTTTCTTTTCGTTTTTCCTTCCAATTAGGGTTCTATCCGCTGTGAGTCGGGGTCAGCTTGAGCACCACACCCGTGAGTCAACGCTTGAGTTTAGAGGCTTTTAAATGCACCGCAGTGAAGTCAAATGTGGTGCAAAAAAATGGATTTCTGAGCCTAAAAACAGGGTTTCGTGATTAGAAAATTAAGATTAATATGTCACGAAAGTTCTCTCACTGAGCTCATTTTTTATAAACTGTTCACCAGCCATTTGCTCATTATGCGCTGTGCTAGCTGCTCTCCATCTCTTCAGGGGGGGTGGGTGGGGTGTCGAGTTAGTTCCCCTGGTGTTTCTTCGTTCTCTTTTCCTTCTTCCCAGATTTACCCTCCGTCATAATATCCGCAGACTTGCCGTTTCGATTAGAACTGGGTCTATGACTTGGTTTCGATGACTTCCTCTTTCTCGAAGGAGACAACCCGCCGCTGCGAAGAACCGCCTCCCTAGGCAGGGGTTCCTCTTCCATCAGCTGCCAGTTGCAGAGGATATCGCCGACACCTTCAAATCCCAAATGGCGGCTCTGTTCGCCAGCTCCAGGAAGCAACCTGTCGAAAGTGAGATCCCCCTTGGATCCGCCCTTGCGCTGTAGCAAAATGGGATCTGGTCTTATTATGGCTCCTAGGATGCTCTTCTGCGCTTCCAGGCTCATGATGTGCGCATCGGTCAGCGATGAATAAGCTGTAGCAAAGGCTGACTTCACCTGCAAAGCGAAGATATATATAACCAGCGAGTCAATCTCCATCCTCCACAAGGTGATATCAGTGCCATAGATACATAAATGGGTACCAAAAGCAAGTATCAGGCGTTTGTCTCAGAGAATAAACAGACATGCAGAGTTGGCTCAATTTCTATCACATGGAATGACTGAAGAGATGCATTGGGATCAAAGAGAATGAATTTCCTGTACATTGCGACGCGTGCGTGCAGTTCTTTAAAAGGAAGCATATAAAAACATGAGCAAAAGGGCATTGAAAACTTTGGAAGCAAAAGCTTTTCCCAGCAAAGGTATCATAGAAAGATGTAAAGCACGACCTTGAAGTAGTTATAAGAGTTCCTCCCAATGTCATTGCTAGGTTCCTGGTCAATAAACATCAAACAGTAGGCGTTAATTTCTAGAATGGTTTATGGAACTAAAACAATCAAACTAGAAAAACATCAAACTTACCTGAGGATCCTCAATAGAGAGAAGATATGGACGATCACTGTTCAAAAATCTGTAGGCAAAGAAGACAAGTAAGAACACATCTAATTTCGTTCTAGGTCCAAAGGAGACTGAAAACAGATAAACAAAAAAAAGCAAAAAAACTTAATAAATTGTGGGGCACAAAAAGCAATAGAAAATAAAAAAATTATCATTACCCCCGGGTGCTCTTCAGGAAAAAGTTGCCTGCTACTTTGCAGGATACACCGACATGCCAATTGTTCAGTTTTCGCCCATAGAACTCAAAAAAACTAACCTGTTTTGTAAAAAATAGCATGTAAGATAAGATACGAGAGAAAAAAAAAAACTCTTGAATGTGTCGCCTTTGAATATCAGAAGCTCCAAGCACATTACATTCATATTGTGCACCTAGCGGTCCGTACATCACTATTTCACAAAGTCAACTAAGCATAGTAGAATCAGGACAGCCAGATTAGCCGGGTCCAACCCTCATCCACATGGGTTCGGGTCATTTTGCCAAATCAGCAAGTTCAGATTTTGATGCCTAACGTGTAATGGGCACGACCCCAGGTTTCTCTCAATACATAAACCACTCCTAAAAAAAGGAGTTTTATCCTGACTTAACATGCTGAATGGGAAGATGCTGAAAAGAAGTAAGAAGTGTTTTGCAGAGACAACATCTGTATATGACTTAATTACACATACCAAAAGAGTCCCCAGATTATGTTCCTGCAGCTTTTGGGATAATAAACTTTGTCCTCTCCAATGTGTCTGCAACAGGAGACCTTGATAATTAAAACAAATAAGTGATTCTAAGGATTGCAAGTCTCAGAATGGCATCACCAATTTAACACCTTAGGAACGCATTACAACCACTAATTGAAAACTGATGGTACAAAACCATTAAACGTATATGTACCTCATAACACCAACAGTTTTGAAATTCAAAACTGTCTAGGACTACTTTTCTGAAAGAATGGCATGCGAATTTTACATATCCATAATATACCACGGGATGTCTTTTTGAGAGAGAGTACAATTAATGGGATCGAAATGATGATCGTCGATATTACCTGAAGATGTGCTATGAGCATAGTAATAAGTGCGTACGAACCAATCCCACCTGAAAAGACCTAAAAGGAAGGAGAAAAGCGCAGTGCAAATTTTACTGAACAATGGTTCATCAGAAAAAAAATTCCACAATAATGAGTATTGGCTAAGTTTCCATCCCATACAAACCTCGTTCAGCTCTCTCTGCTGCAGAAACATCTTTAAAATCAAACACAGTGGCCTTACAGCAGGCATCTTTGACACAGCATCCTGAAAAAACACTCCCCGTCAACAGTTATCCTAGGAAGATGATTCGGTCAAGTAATGATTTTAGTTGATAAGAATCAGTAATGTAGCACACGCATCTAGTCAACGATGGGTTGAATGGACTTAGTACACGGCACTAAAATCGTAAAAAATAATATTACCTGAAACTCTGAAATAATATTTTTTTTTAGCATCCCCAACAAGCAATTAGTAAAAATTTACTGAAACCGATAGTATTTATTAAAAGTAACGATTGTACTACATGCTATAAAGGTTCGTTAATCTGGCTAGTGTGCTTTTCAATGTAGAAAAGCAACTGGAATCTAGTTCTGGCAGCTTTTTAGAGAAACAAGAAATAATGGAAATAATGAATAAGGGAGGTCAAGCAAATGTTGTGATAGAGCAAATAATGGAAACTCACGAAATGGAAAAGGCAGAAAAGATAAAGAATCTTCAAACATTCGAAAATGGAATTTTAAAAAAAAATGCGGACATTGAAAATCAACAGCTATATGATGAGAAGTATAAAAACCTTCAAAATTTCACCTTTTTCATTTTTATCATCTTTTCCTAATGTCATAACACTATCATAAAGGAGCATTTCCAGAAAATGGGACAAACAGGATTATATCGGATGGGTTTATGGGGATCATTTCCAAAACCCATACTGCCATCTGCCACAAGCTTTAAGTTGCTCATTGGTAACAAGGAGCAAAAAAGTGAAGGCTAGAAAGAAGGTGACTGATATATACCTTGATAAAATCAGCAGCATCTGGGCCACTCTGCATATCAAAACTGACAGAAAGAAAGTCTTCAATATCAGCGTGTATATAAATATATATATAGAATGCAGCGACAAGAAAGACATTACAGAACATGTTTTTACATGATGTTATGGAGAAATAAAGCACGAAGTTATTCAAACTTTCATTTTGAGACATGTCTCTAGTTTCAAGTCAGATAACTGCAAAAAATGAAATCCATTTCAGAAGCAGCAGCGTTATCTTTTCAAGGATAACGAATGCAACGTAAACGAAACAGTCTCGTGCTCATAACAATCCTATCCCAGATATCCATTTACTGATGGAATTAAATGGATGTCAAAGGAAGTTTAGCTTGTGAAACTTCAGGACAAGAGAACTGCCAAAGATGACTGTTGCTTGGGCAGTTCGCTTCTCTGGTCAGCGGTCCCAGCATTAACATTGGCGGCACATATCCTACCAGCAAAAGGAAGAGGGATTTCAAGCCAACATCCCGACAAAAGTTTTATACTCCAGTCAAATCCTAGAGATGGGGTTTCCACTAAATCCTTCCTGAAGATTTAGGCGATACAACTGAAATAAAAGCTTTTAGAAATAAAGATGACAATACCCATGCATATTTTCGTCTTTAGCTATGGCTTTCAGGGTTCATGACATATACTGTAACGATTCTCCTAATGTCAACGTGAATAGATGCCTACAACTGAAATATGAGGCAGTATTATATCTGAATATACTGGCTCTCACCGAGCACCTAAACAAATTTAATGGAAATTCAAGCTAATATGACATATTAGGTTAGAACATCACATAGACTCCAGCAACTCAAACCAATATAACAGGTTTGTATGTTTCTGACACGGATATCCATCAAACTAGACTTCAAACAAAATTTTCCGGAGATGGCAGACTTCAAAATAAGCAGAGGTACACTGATCAAATAAGAATGAAACTCCGGACACATCTGGATTTATGATTTACTCATTTTTCTCTCCTAACACTTGCCTATCTACTACAAACACTTATTTTGCATATTCGTTCCTCCTCTGAAGCCACTACTGAGCTGCCTGGGCTATGCTGGTCGGAAATGTTCCACCATTTTAATAATTCCTTTTTATTTCTGTTAAACCTGACAACATTCTCAGCTAATTTATCCAAGGTCATGGCATCCACCGAGGAATGTTATAAAGTAGCAAAATTTAGAATACGAGACAAATGGAGCCAAGAACCGAAAAAAATATCAATTGTACTGTCAACATATTTCTGGACGATGTAACCAAGGAAAAGTCCTGAAATGTATTAAGTCCACTCAAAAAGCTAATGCTGGCAATCATTTGCACTAAATAATACAACGACGCATCATCAAAAAGTACAGATAAAATGAAAATAAACTTCTTATGAGTTTGATAGATAGGGAAAACCTGATATCAAACGCAATTCCACTTTGCTTTTCCACAAACTTTATTATTGGTACACGAGCCTTTCCTATAACCTAACAGAAAATAAAGTACATGAATTATGAGCTATTTTATGTGTAACATAAATTATGCTCGACTATTCTCTCAGTAGATAGAGGACCTGTATCTTTTTAGCAATACTTTTCTGGGACATCGCCCTAGCAAGAGCACTAAGACCCATTTGAGGAGTTTTCACCTTTGAATTCAGGATCACAACCTATATCAAAGAAAATAATAGAACACATAGGTAAGATCCCAACATTCATTCAGCACCCACAATTAAACTTAAACCGCAGCTGTGAGTTTACAAAGATAAAAAACGACTATATGATGATTTAATTTCTCATTTAATAGTAAGATTTTCTTCCAAAAAGAAGAAACAAATAATGACGTCCATGGAAAACTGAGCTACTATGTTCAATGTCTGACCAAATGAATTAACCTTTTTCAGTGGTCATTTAAACGTAAGCCAGTTCATCATGGACACCCCAAACCATTTTTTCTCAGACATGCCAATCTGTGTTGTCGAATCACGGGTCAGAGCTTGACAACCAGACACATTTCCTTCCTGGGAATAACCCAGATGCACGGCCAACCCAGGTATTATTCATCAACAGGGCAGAGGACTGTTCACTTCATATCCCCTGTAGCTGCTTTTCAAGCACCTCAGTCGTCGGTGGGGACTGCAGAATCTCCATAATTTTACCGTTGAATCGAAATTTAACAAAATCGTGCTCCTTGAACAGCAGACACCACGGAAGATCAAAAACTAAAAATATCCAACACAAGCTCAACTCAGCCCTGCACTATCAATCCAAACAGTAAATTTCAGTTTCAAAACCATGTGTACCTAATTCTGGCCATGTACTCTCAATCCAAATCATAGATTTAAGATAGCACAATTGGATCTTTTCTTTTTTTGGGTTGAGGGGGGGGGGGGGGGATTACACCCAATTCTGACCATGTACACAGGAAAAATAGTAAGATGGAGTTATAATTTTGCCACAGAACCGTAGTTGTTGTCATAACCAGTTTGAGTAACAATCACAGATAATGTGATTCATCCAGACCAAAGGGTCCGGTACGATGTCAACTAGCATCTGAATAATGCCAAGTTACCCCAACTGAAAACTAGAACTACCAAGAACATTTCTGTTCGAAGTACCACTTTACTAAATGATTTAAACCACGTGTACAGGATTGGGATTAAAAAATTATTCAAGTCCTGGGACCCCAGTTTAGCCTAGCCTCATCATCAAATTCTGAAGGCATTCTTTGAATCATAAATAAAGCGCTAAACATAGTCTGCCTAACAAAAAAAAGGCAAATTAAAAACACAAAGTAAGTCATGGATCCAAATTCTATGCTGTGATATTTTGGCAGATTTTCTTTTCCAAATGCAGTAGGAAAAAATGGGATATAATTCAGAAAGAAAGCTTTCCAATGCCCCTCTTCAATCAAATAGAACTGGAATTACGTAGGCCAGCTCTGCCTAAGTAAGATACATCCCGAAAGAACCTTTCTACATAAATAATAGGACAAATGATGCACAAGTCAAAAAAAATTCGGTTCACATAAGATAACTCTTCAAGAATACCAGAAAATGTGCCATCGACTAGACTAGCATGGGTAACTACTAGGCGACCATTTAAATATGTTTGACTAAAGGCTTAACGTAAGAAAACATGAAAATTGCTACTTTATTCTACAAGGGAAAAAATAAATCTGAGCAGAATTATGAAAAAAAAAATCACCAATGAAACTTTAATAAAGAAAAGAAAGCAGTGTAAAGCGAAAAATAATGAAGGAAAAAAACCGTGTCTTTTGAACACATGCGTTCACAGGATATTAATATTCCCGAAGATCAGGAAATAATAAAAGCAGCAGATAAAGACTCCTGTGTAAAGCACAATACAAAAAAAATGAGAAAACGGGCAGTATACCTACATCAACATCACTAGTTGGCAAATAGAGACCAGTCCTGAAAGAACCAAAGACTTCGACCTAAGAAAGAACGAAAATTTTGAGACTGCAATAAAACAGAGCTAGGAAAGAAAGAAAATGTCAATTCAGTAGAAACGCCAGAAGATTACATCGCAATGGGGCCAAATATATTTGATAACCTCAAAAACTCGTTGTACAGCTGCTTCCCGGTCTACTTCCTCCTCGCAAGTCGGAGATATGAAGTCACAGAAATCAAGTATTTCTGTAAATCAATAAACATTTCTCACGAATAAACACAAGCAACACGTTTTTGCCACGCCATAGATGACTACAACATATAGATGCATATATGGACTCTACAAAGGTCTTGGCAAGTACGGACAAGAAAAATTAGGTTTCCAACAACAGCAGAGGACCAAAAAAATAGAGTCAATGTTGGGAATTCGAAATGAATTTGTAACGCAAATTATGGAGTAATATTCCCTCGTTTCTCACAGTCACCCTCTACAACTCCTAGAAAGTTTATAAGAGTCCAATCCATTTTCATTGGTCCCGTGATGGCCAGAATTCAGACGAATTATTTTTCGATGCAATTTGTTTTAACCTACCGCAAATTATTGTATATATTTGCATCAATGAAAAACATTCTTGCTCCTCGTCCTTAATCATAAGCTCTTGCCCTTGAGGAAGAAGTGTTCACCGATATTTCCCGTCCCAACACTCTGCACTTCTTCAGGCAACTATATTTACGCCTTTTTTTTTATAACACCGATCGTGATATTATCCAACTGAAAAAAAATATTATTCAGTGCCTTTAATTGTTCATCGGCAGCAATTGTGAGAATCTTACGAGAGCTTGGATTTTTTAAAGATAAAAACATAATTCGGAACCAGTGACCGAATAATGTAACGGAGTAGCCTGCGGTACTTGCTATTAAACAAAGATATGCACCTTTGTGAAGCTGGACCATGGGACTCCTAAAGCGGCTGCCAGCGCGGAACCAGCCAAGCTCGGGAGCGATGTTCTCCTCCTCGGCGGTTCGAGAAACGAATTGCACAGAAGGGCTCTCCTCCGGCCGCTCATCGGACCCAGAGTCTACCCCGTCGACAGAGGGGTCGAGAGAAAAGTAGTCGGTGGCGGGGTCACAGGCGGCCGAACCCTTCAGTGAGGTAATTTCGCTGCGGAAGACAGCGTACTGCTGGGAAGAATCGCCGTCGAAGGGGGAGAGATAATCTAGGGTTTCATAGACGACTCCCGAGCTCTCCATGGCCTCCCGCCGGAACGGCGAATGGGGAAGAATGCCGCTTAGCCGTTAGATTTTAAATACGTCCTTCGGTGGCTTTGATTTTTTTTAGGCGGCACTCTTTTCCGTCATTTTATTGGGCTTATTCACGTGGATTTATCATGGGCCGACCCAGTCTACGCCTTCTCAACGATAGACCCATTTAGCCCAGCTCAGCTCCCGAGGGCCCAAAGTCCATTCACACGCTCCGAGGTGGTTCGTGTGGGCCATTGCAGAAAATTTTATTTTATTGATATATGTAAGATTACCAGCTTCGGAAAAAGGCCCCTTTTTTTTGTATGAGCTCTGTGCTCCAAAAGATGCGAAGAATATTCCACGAATATTCCTCACCCAACTCACTGGCCTTAATTTTTCGAAATGACGAAAAACCCCTAATACGCAGGTTTTTTTTGTAAATCTCAAGTAATTCACGGTAATAATTCCAATTACTTTTAACCCAAAAAATCCCTTTTTTACCTCCACAAAAAAAGCACTGGGGCGCACGTCGCGTGTGGGGCCCACCACCTGGGAGCTCTTTATGCGTCTCGATTCCCAGCCGGAAATCGAAGCGAGCTTGTGACTTAAAAATAAATAAAGAGAAGGCAGACAAAAGAAATTATATCCGTTGGCGACGGCAGCCTAAAATCGGTATCAGCCGCAGAAGATGACTATGACGCTTCAAACTAATTTATCCCACGTGGCAGTAAGCTTCAGGAGCGCCATTAGTACGAGAGAGAGAGAGAGAGAGACGCGGACGCAAAACTTTCGCATCGCGGTTAGCGTAAAATGTGGGTTTGGTAGTCCCGTTCGGGTCAAAGTGGTTAAAATTTGGAAGTAGCATTATACTTTTATAAAATTATTTTTGTATCCTGACAACACCGGGATAATGGGATAATTAAGCTGTTTGTATGCGTTGGTAGATATTTTCCCTGGAGGGGTCTAGCTCAGACTGCGCGGGCTGACGAAATGTTAAAAGATTAATAGTGGCACAGGGAAAAGGTCAGGCCGGGGGATTTTCACACTGAGGTGACGTGTCCGCCAGCGGTTGGAAAATAGTGGGTCCCTCTGGCCCACCTTTTGCCGCTGGGTCCCCGTCTCCGTCTTCTCGCGCCTGTCCCCCCCCCCTCACCCCTCACTGTCGACCACAGCAGGAAGCAGGAAGGTTTCAGAGGCGCGCCGAAGTGAGAAGGGCGAGAGAAAGGGAGAGAGAGAGAGAGAGATGGCCGTTCCCGTCCTGATCTGATACGGGAGTATGAGCCTCCGGCAGCGGCAGAACTATGGCCGCCACGGGCCGGGTCCTCCGATTGGGGGAGAGGGAGGCAACGAGGGGATGCCGGCGTACAACATCATCCCCATCCACAGCATCTTGGAGGAGCACCCTGCTCTGCGGTTCCCTGAGGTCCGCGCGGCCATGGCAGGGCTATTCACAGTTGGCGACCTCCGGAAGCCTCCATTCTTCCCATGGAACGAGAGTATGGACATCCTCGACTGGCTCGGGGCATTCTTCGGCTTCCAGAGGGACAACATACGCAACCAGAGAGAACACCTGATTCTCCTCCTGGCCAATGCACAAATGAGGCTTCATCCTCCACCAGATAACGTTGATACACTGGATGCTGGCGTAGTCCGTCACTTGCGCCGGAAGCTCCTCAGCAACTATATGTCATGGTGTGCTTACCTTGGTCGCAGGGCCAACGTCCCAGATTCTCGCAGTGTCCGTGGGGCTTCTGGACGGGGGCCGCTCCGTGACCTTCTCTATACTTCTCTGTACCTTCTTATCTGGGGAGAGGCAGCAAATCTTCGCTTCATGCCCGAATGCCTCTGTTATATATTCCACCACATGGCCATGGAGCTCAACCTCATCTTGGAGGACTTCTACGACCGTGAAACGGGCAGGCCGGTGCTCCCTTCCACTTGCGGGGAGAACGCCTTCCTCTTGAACGTCGTCACCCCTGTTTACTCGACTATCAAGGCGGAGGTGGACGCGAGTCGAAATGGCACGGCCCCCCATTCCGCCTGGCGCAACTACGACGACATCAATGAGTACTTTTGGAGTAGCCGATGTTTTGATCTGCTGCAGTGGCCTCTCCATCCGTCCAAAAAATTCTTCGCCGGACCTCCCAGTAAGATCCGCGTCGGGAAGACGGGTTTTGTTGAGCAGCGCTCCTTCTGGAACATCTTCCGCAGCTTCGATCGCCTTTGGATCATGCTTATACTCTTCCTTCAAGCGGCAACCCTTGTGGCTTGGGAGGGAAGCGAGTACCCATGGCAGGGTCTGGAGAGTCGGGACGTTCAAGTTCGTACGCTCAGTGTGTTCATCACCTGGGCATCCCTTCGTTTCCTACAGTCGATCCTCGATGCCGGCACCCAATATAGCCTGGTCTCGAGGGAGACCCTATGGCTTGCTGCGAGGATGGTCCTCAAGAGCGTCGCTGCAGTTACCTGGACCATAGTGTTTGGTGTCCTTTATTCCATGATCTGGGACCAGAGGTACCGTGACCGCCGGTGGTCTACAGTAGCGAATGCTCGGGTGATGAATTTTCTTGTGGCTGCCGGTGTTTTCATCCTCCCAGAATTCCTTGCCTCCGTACTCTTTGTTCTTCCTTATGTTAGGAACTTCCTAGAAAAGACGAATTGGAGGATCCTATATGTTTTGACCTGGTGGTTCCAGAGCCGCACTTTTGTCGGGCGCGGACTCAGGGAAGGGATAGTTGACAACATGAAGTATGCCCTATTCTGGGTTGCGGTTCTTTCTGCAAAGTTCACATTCAGCTACTTCCTACAAATTAAGCCAATGGTTGCTCCTACAAAGGTAATTTTGAAGATAAATAATATCGATTACAAGTGGCATGAGTTCTTTGCAAAGACGAACAGATTTGCAGTGGTACTTTATTGGCTCCCTGTCATCTTGATATATTTGATGGACATTCAAATCTGGTATTCTATCTTTTCTTCCTTCTTTGGGGCCCTGGTCGGTTTGTTCTCACATCTGGGTGAAATACGAAATCTCCAGCAGCTGAGGCTGAGGTTTCAGTTCTTTGCAAGTGCATTGCAGTTCAATCTGATGTCCGAGGAGCAGCTCTTCAGGCCAAGGGGTACAATACAGACCAGGTTGCGTGATGCAATCCTCCGGCTGAAGCTGCGTTATGGGCTGGGCCGTCCATACAAGAAGATTGAGTCAGACCAGGTGCAGGCAACCAGGTTTGCACTGATATGGAATGAGATAATTGAGACATTCAGAGAGGAGGACATTGTCAGTGACAGAGAGGTGGAGCTCCTCGAACTGTCACCTAATACGTGGGGTATTAGGGTAATCCGTTGGCCATGCTTCCTCCTTTCCAATGAGCTGCTACTTGCTCTTCGACAGGCAAAGGAGTTGGGCACTGGAGACAGGATGCTCTGGCAGAAGATATCTAAGAACGAATACAGGCGTTGTGCAGTTATTGAGTCATATGACAGTGTCAAGTTTTTGCTGCGGAAGATTGTCAAGAAAGGTACAGAGGAGTACCAAATCATTACAAACTTGTTTGACAGTTTTGATGCCGCAATTGCAGCAGGGAAATTTACGGAAGAATTTCAGATGCGTATTTTGGATACGTTACACTCAACACTGATGACACTAGTTAACCTGCTGATCAAGCCAAATAAGGATTCGGACAAGGTTGTTAACACATTACAGACAATATATGAAGCTGCACATCGTGATTTCCCAAAGACAAAGAAGTCTTTCGATGAGTTGAAGCATCTAGGGTGGTTGCCGGTGAATACAAATACTGTTGGTTTACTTTTTGAGAATGCAATTGAATTGCCAAATGCAGATGATCTGATTTTTTATAAGCAAGTAAGACGGCTTCATACAATTCTCACGTCTAGGGAGTCCATGAACAATGTTCCTAGAAATCTGGAGGCTCGGCGACGTATTGCTTTCTTCACCAATTCCTTGTTCATGAACATGCCTCGTGCTCCTAAAGTTGAAAAGATGCTTCCCTTTAGTGTTTTAACTCCATACTATAGCGAGGAAGTTTTATACAGCCGAGAACAGCTACAGAAGGAAAACGAGGATGGCATATCGATCTTATTTTATCTGCAAAAGATTTATGATGATGAATGGGAAAATTTCATTGAACGCATGCGAAGAGAAGGGATGGATCATGATGATGAGATTTGGGAGGAGAAGCTGAGGGATCTTCGTCTCTGGGCTTCTCACAGAGGACAGACACTAACTCGAACAGTTAGAGGAATGATGTACTATTACAGGGCCCTCAAAATGCTTGCGTTTATTGATTCTGCAAGTGAGATGGATGTACAGGGAGATCAGAGAGAACTTGCTTCTTTTAGCTCTTCATTGATAAGCCAGAATGGCATGGGTGGTTTTGGAGGTTCTAGTATGTCTCTAAATTCTCAGAACCTGAGCAGAACAGGCAGCAGTATCAGTTCACTTCTCATGGGTCACGAATATGGTACTGCGATGATGAAATTCACTTATGTTGTTGCCTGCCAGATATATGGTTCTCAGAAGAAAAAGAAAGATTCACGTGCTGAAGAGATATTGTATTTAATGAAGAACAATGAGGCACTTCGTGTTGCCTATGTTGATGAAGTTAATAAAGCCCCGGGGGAAGTTGATTATTACTCTGTTCTGGTGAAATACGATCAAAAACTGAAGAAAGAAGTTGAGATCTACCGGGTAAAACTGCCTGGGCAGTTGAAGCTTGGAGAAGGTAAGCCAGAGAACCAGAATCATGCTATCATCTTCACAAGAGGTGATGCTGTACAGACGATAGACATGAATCAGGACAATTACTTTGAAGAAGCCCTTAAGATGAGAAATCTTTTAGAAGAGTATTCACATTACTATGGTGTACGCAAGCCAACAATCTTGGGGGTTCGAGAACATGTTTTCACCGGTTCAGTCTCATCACTTGCTTGGTTCATGTCTGCTCAGGAAACAAGCTTTGTCACCCTTGGGCAACGTGTCTTGGCAAACCCTTTGAAAGTGCGAATGCACTATGGGCATCCGGATGTTTTTGATCGCCTTTGGTTTCTGGGTCGTGGTGGTATTAGCAAAGCGTCTAGAGTGATTAACATCAGTGAGGACATATTTGCAGGCTTCAACTGTACTTTGCGAGGTGGAAATGTCACTCACCACGAGTACATCCAGGTGGGTAAGGGGCGGGATGTTGGGCTGAACCAGATATCTATGTTTGAAGCTAAAGTTGCTAGTGGCAATGGTGAGCAAGTTTTGAGTAGGGATGTATACAGGTTGGGTCACAGATTGGACTTTTTTCGAATGCTTTCTGTTTATTACTCGACCGTTGGTTTCTTCTTTAATACTATGATGGTGATTTTGACTGTCTATGCATTTGTGTGGGGTCGCCTTTATTTGGCTCTGAGTGGGCTCGAAGATGCATTCAAAAACTCGGGAACTAGCAATAATAAGGCCCTTAGTTCTGTGCTCAACCAGCAGTTCATTATTCAGCTTGGTCTATTTACGGCCCTACCAATGATTCTGGAGAACTCCCTGGAACATGGATTTCTCTCAGCCTTGTGGGACTTCTTGACTATGCAGTTCCAGTTAGCTTCTGTCTTTTACACTTTTTCAATGGGGACTCGAACACACTACTTTGGGAGGACTATCCTACATGGCGGAGCAAAGTATCGAGCCACAGGTCGTGGCTTCGTTGTGCAGCATAAGAGTTTTGCGGAAAATTATAGGCTCTATGCGCGTAGCCATTTCGTGAAAGCAATTGAACTCGGGGTGATGTTGACTGTCTATGCATCACACAGCCCCTTGGCCAAGAGCACACTTGTGTACATTATTATGACAATCTCAAGCTGGTTTCTTGTGGTATCTTGGGTATTGGCTCCATTTGTTTTTAATCCATCTGGTTTTGACTGGCTGAAATTTGTAGAGGACTTTGATGATTTTATGACCTGGATTTGGTATCGTGGAGGTGTGTTCACAAAATCAGAGCACAGTTGGGAGACCTGGTGGTACGAGGAACAAGATCATCTGAGAACAACTGGTCTCTGGGGAAAGCTTTTGGAGATAATACTCGACTTACGGTTCTTCATTTTCCAATATGGAATTGTATACCGACTGAAAATTTCTGGTGGAAGCACTAGCATAAGTGTTTATCTGCTTTCATGGATTTATATGGTTGTCGTTGTTGGCCTTTTCGTGGTAATGGCGTATGTTCGTGACAAATATTCTGCGAAGGAACACATTTACTATCGATCTGTTCAGTCACTTGTTATCATGTTGGTGATACTGATTTTGGCCTTGTTACTTAAATTCACAGATTTTGAGATTATAGATATCTTTACCAGTCTTTTAGCATTCATCCCCACCGGATGGGGTCTGCTATTGATCGCTCAAGTAGCCCGCCCATTTGTGCAGTCCACAATTGTATGGGATACTGTTGTTTCTTTTGCTCGGTTATATGACATTGTGTTTGGCCTTGTAATTTTGGCTCCTGTGGCTCTTCTATCCTGGTTGCCTGGGTTCCAGTCCATGCAAACAAGGATTCTTTTCAATGAGGCATTCAGCCGGGGCCTTCAGATATCCCGTATTGTGAGTGGCAAGAAGTCTGAGCTTTAGTTCAGTGACAGGTGATTTCTACTTTTAATCTTATATTTTGTCTTGAAATTAGAACTATCTTCTGTCTTTCTCCTGGTTTTACCTCAATAACTGAATAAGAACAATTTCAAGTGGGGTTCATGCTCTCAGGTGAAGCCCTGATGTACTACCTTCTCTCTTTTGTTTGGAAAACTTGTAGGAAATGTTATTTGATGAACTGGGCAACATCTTCCCCTTTGATTTTGACTTTTAGAAACAACTAAGTTTAATTTACTACAAAAGAGAAGAAGGTTAGAATAGGTACCACTGGATTTATACGAATGATTCTCTCTGTGTGAAGCCGGCACTTTAAATGCTGAAGCATGTCCTTTGTGGTAATAAAAGAAGAAACTGATCACTTCAGGTTTTGTATGATCGCTTTTAGCCAATGCCCTCTCTTATTAAAACGAAAGGGCATAAGAACAATCATGTGGACAACAGAATAATGGCCCTGCATGTTTTAACTCGGGTCAAGTTCTTTATAATATGATGAGTGATGTAGTATTTTTCCTACAATCGAACTGAAACAAAATGACCATCTTCCAACTTTCTGAATCAGTTCTCTCTGTAAGACGCTGTTCTTAGGACAGATTAGGTTTTAGCAAATGTATTTAAAATAGATGTCGAGCAAATGTATGACTCTAGATCATGTAAACTCAGTTAACCTGAAGATATTGGTGGTCTATTTAATAGCCCAGAAATATTTGATTAAGTTTAAAAAATCCACATTTATATGCGTTATTCTGACAGATATAGGACACTAGATCATGCACACTCAGTTATCCTAAATATGTTTGAGCATCCAATGGGGTGCCACTATTCATCTATTTCAGCTTTCATCAAGTTTGGACCATTTTTGTCCTGCATCAGACGTCTCATCAACCTTATCTTTTTCATACTTATCAAGATACATTTTCCATTATATCTCTTAACAAAGTATGTATCCTGCCATTTTGCTTAGTTGGGTAATGTATTTGGGAATTCACAAATGCTACGTTAATGTGAATTATGTTTCCTTCAGCGTGTAACAGCCAATCTTATCTTGTCCGACGTTGTTTCCTTCTTTTTTTCCTGTGGGTGCATTTGATTTCAAAGGTTATCTTTATCGATTCGTTCTCAACTGGAAGTCATTTTTGGGGCAGTGTATTTCGTTAACTGTGCTCATCGGACAGAAAGGGTGCATTTAACATATGAAGGTGTTTGTTGCCTTGTGCATATCTTAGATGGTTGTGAACCAGTTTATAAATATGATTCAGTAAAGTAGTTTGGATCAAATCGTAGTAATTTCCATTTGTTTATAATGTCTGTCTTCAAGAAATAAAGGATAGTATCATGTTCACGCTTTGGTTACCTTTTTGTGTGCCCCACTTCCATGACATACTATGATTTTTCTTAACATTCTCACGAACCCTAGGCTATTCCATATGTTCTTCCTAATTGCCATGGAACGGATATAGTTTTGAGTTGGAGAGAGTAGTAATGTAGCCATGTCGGCGCGATTTCATATGTGTTCATCTGCTGTAACTAACATAGAACCAAGCTGCTATATATACGTCCGCTACATCGCCGCCATCCCTCCACAGTCCGTAGTTGTGGATGCGAGGTTGAGTTTTTCCAGTAGAAAATGTGAATTCAAAGTGGTAGTAAGTTCACAGCATATCTTGCACCCTCAACATTTTCAAAAATTATCGTCTCCGCCAAATGTTCTTTGTAGAGAAGCATATTTGTTCGCCCGCCCAGCATACTTAGCTTATTTTATCGTTCTACCTGTTCGCCCAGTGGGCAAATGGATTAGGCATCAGCCATCTCTTCTCGTATTGATTTCTCAGAGTCAGCGCAGAATCCTCGCGACTGCCCCCATGAAATCGAATCTGAATGAGCAAACCAGCTGTTCTTGGAGTGGAAACCGTCCAGGCTCTGAGTTTTGTTACCAGTATAACGAATTTCGCTTGCTGTGAGCTCATTGGATCTTCTTATTCGCTGCTATATATATACTGACTGACATCGTTTGTCAACATCCGCTCTCATATCTCACCGACTGATGTTTTTTTTTTTTCATGGGCTCTGAAGATCCTGCTTCACGTATCTTCTCTTCCAGACTTGGGGTTCCCACGGTTGATCGGAGAGACTTCGTCTGTGGAAGGATCAACTGCAGTCCTGGAGCTGGTTTTTCCCCTCTGGAGTCTTGTCTTGTCAGCGGAGTTAATAGCTTGGTTTCACTTCGACCCATCATCGTCATCTGCACGAGAATGCTGCGTCGTAGAGGCCTTCGTAGTTGGTAGAGAGAGAGAGAGAGAGAGAGACAGAGACGTATGTCGAATCTTTGCACCGGGTGATTTCTCTGCTGCCCCCGGAAGGGCATTATGTAAAACGTCTGCATTTTTCTAGTTTCAAAACTGTCTGCTTCGGTGGTTCAGGGACGGCATCAGGGTTCTGGCTTTTGGCAGTGGGAAACCCCGCGTGTGACTGTTTTCCTTTAAGGGTCTGCTAGTCAGAAGTCCTAGAACTGGATAAAATACTGCCGCCGTCCGCCAGAGTTTCGAGGAGAACAGCCCACCAGAAATTGTGATTAGAGGGACGTTAAATTGCAGTGCTTCTCTCTCTACACAAGAGGAGAGAGAGAGAGAGAGAGTAAATCATGCAAAGCTATGAATCGGGAGTCATGTCGAAGCATAGGAAACAGACATCATAGGGAAAATGCCAAGGTGAAGCAGTATAAGACGACCCTGCTGCGAGTGGTTACGAGGCTGGCTGGTAGCCCACCCGCAAAGGTCAAGGCCTAGTACTAGAAGACCTGGTCTGCTTCGTCCTGAAGCGGCGCACGAAGGAACCATTTTATCACAGCGGTAAGAGGGACTGCAGGCAGTCTAGCACTGTAGCTCCCACAGGCAGATGAACCCGGCCGACATCCAGCTTCCTGTCCACCTCGAAGCCCCAGCCCTCGCCGGCGCCATCTCCGCGCTGAATCTCCGGCAGCGGAGGCGCCGACTGCAGGTCCGAGAAGAACGCGGGTGGTAGCTGCAGGTTCTCCTGTAGCGTCCGCAGACTGGGGAAGACGGCGGCGGGAGCGGCGGCGGCGGCCCCGGTCTTCGGTGCCGTGGGCGGCGCTGTGGTGAGGTAGTGCAGCTGGGTGAAACCAGAAACGGGGTATGGGGCGGTGGAGAAGCAGGGCACGTGATCCCTCTCGTTGCGCTCGTAGCTGCAACTCTCGCGGTCGCCGCCGGATACGGCGCCGCCGCCGAACGGCGAAGAGTGGTCGAGCAGCGCCGGCACCGAGGAAGACGACGGCGAGCCCATGTCTGTGTAGGCGGCGGCCGGCGCTGCGCCTATGCCCACACGGGTCTTCTTCCCGCCGGCCCCCACCTTCTGAAAGACCCTCGAGACGACCCATTCATCCTACGAGCAGGATGAACAGAATTGTCTGAATAAGAACTATACAACCAATATCCTCCGTTAACGAGCTAAAACGGCAGAGAGAGCAAGAATACGAGAACCGGTTACTTCTGCAGGGAGGTGAAAGAACAGTGCTGGATAGATGGGAGGGAATCTAGCAGAGCAACAACAATAAGGTACACGAAGACGATAGCAAATTTGGGTCGGACGGTGAGTGACAGACAGGAGATTGCGTGCTCGAGGGGGTACCCTCCCGCGCCGGCACAAGAAAATACAGGAGGGGGAACAGTGCACACGCGAAGAGAGGCCGGATAGGCACACGCAACACAGGATATGCAATACAAGAGGAGGACCAAATAGGAGAGAGAGGGAGAGAATAACAGAGTTGGCATGAGGCGGGAGAAGACGATAGACAAGATAATAAGCAACAGAAATGGCATGTGAGGAAAAGGTCAACAGATGGATAGTAAAGTGAGTGGAGTAGAATGGCGAAAAGCGGGTAATAGATGAAATCTCTACAAAAGCGGGAGTTTTTACGACAGAAGGAACCAACCTTGGATGATCGCGAGAGGAAGTGATAGTTGAACTTTCCCTCGAGACGGTATTCGTGCATGACCCAGTTACTCTTCTCTCCCTTGGGGGCCCTCCCCCTGTAGAAAACCAGGGTTTTCTTCATGCCGACAAGCGCGCATGTTCTTGTGCTGTAGATCTCCCTGTCCTTGCCGGTGGCCTTCCAGTAGCCGGCATCCGTTGCGCGGTTCGTACGTAGCCCGGTAGGGTACTTCCGATCTCTCAGGCTGAAGAAGTACCACTCCTTCTCCCCCATCTTAGCCTTTCCTGAAATGAGAGGGCGAGTGAGCGGGATGCAAGCATGAACAAATCACTCGAGAGAGAAAGAGAGAGTGAGGACAAAGGCGGCACCAGGAAGCTCCCATGGTTCACACTTGTTGAGGTCAATCTCTGCGATGGCCCTGCTGGTGAAACTACTGTCGAGGACCTTCTTGAGAAGATAGTAGGTTATGAGCTCCTCGTCGGTAGGGTGGAAGCGAAAACCTGGTGGAAGCTGAGCATCGCAGCTCTCGAATTGGTGGGCGTGGAAGTCCATTGGGGACCTAGATTAAGCACCTGGACCGAAAATATAGAGGTTAGCGGGCAATGGACGTCTTGTTACCATACAATAGTCACGATTGCTCTGGGACGAGATCGATCTCCGACGCAGGCATGCACAACATGGGGAAGAAGAGAGGATGGGGGAGGATATAGGGGGGGTTGGAAGCTTGCAACAGCTATCAGATCGGTGGCCGAAAAGAAGAAACCATAGGAAGGTCGAGAACAAGGATCGAAAAATTGCGGTCAGCAAGGAGATTTCGGCACCACCGAGGAGAGACGTCACCAGAAAATAGGGCAGGAGAGGGAGACGTCTTAAGACTGAGCAACTGATACTCCGAGGAAGACGACAGCCAGAGAGTAGTGATTACCGACTTCCAGAGGGAGCGCTGATGCCAGAAGCCGGAGTAGAGACTCAGAGTGATCGCTGCAGAGACCGGGAAGGGGGGGGGGGTGTGAGTGCAGAAGCGAAGAGCCGGAATCGAGAATGGAAGCCCCTCGGAGCTCGCTGGGCATTTTAACTCATCGTGCGGATACCTGTTCGATTAATACGGATTCGACGGATCAGGGAGTGTCAGGTGGGTGGAGATAAAAAAATTATAATAATGCATGATTTCTACCAGTAATCTTCGGGCGAGGAGGGGCCAAACGGGGCCCCACTTCTGAGCTACGCTTCGCTGCAGGCCTTATGATATCCATGGCCGTCGGCTTGGACGTGAGCTCATGAGAGAGGAGCTGGCTTTTGCAGTATTCGTGCGTGCGTGTGCAAGTGTGCAGGTTTACCGCTGTCAGTGAAGAAAGCGAGAGGGCAGGGGGAACAGAAAGTTGTTTAAAAAGAGTAGAGAGGGGAGGAGGGCCGCGGAGAAGACAAGGGAGGGAGGGGAGAGAGAAGGGGGGGCCGGGAGAGGATTTGAGGTGATCTCCCATCAGATAAAGCTGGCTTCTCCATATCTCAATCTGTCAGAAACAGTACAAGATTAAATAATCAGGTCGACAGGGACAGGGTAATTCCATCACATCAAACACCAGCCCCCACACACCCCTGGCGGGGGGGTTCTGGTCCTCTGTGTTCGTTTCTTGCCGGGTTTTAGCAAAGCTTATGAGAGAACACTTGCATGGCATCCGCAAGAACAGTCCCCGTCGGCGGATCAAATCAGAGAAAAGCTTCGATTAAACAGGAAGACACTCTCCAATCTGTCTACCCTCGATGCCCGTCTCCCCCGAGGATTAGTTTTATCGATTTAACAGTGGTGGAGGTGCCGGTTCTTTTTTAAATATTTCGCTTTCTCTGGAGATAATCTCGCACCTGCTGCAGCGCTTCCGTCTATTTCTTCATGGACTGTGAACACAGCATGCTGATTCGCACATAACATCTGCTGGAAGGGGATAGAACATGAACATTCCTTCAGCCCTACTGGTATCTACTAACGTCTCCATTAAATTCGAGGCCAAGGACGGCCATTAAATGCCGTTTCTGCATGTGAAGAGGCAAAGCAGGCCCTTTTCCCTTGTTTAATTACAGAAAACGGCCCCAGCTTTATTCATAACTTGGATCTTCATTGATGTATAGACGGAGGAAAGAAACCCAATGAATGATACCCCTTCGTGTCCAACGGGGAGGCACCCAGCTGCCGACTCGATTCGTTTCCGACTCTTTGTTCATCTACGGTGCATTCAAAGCGGAGATGAGAGAAGGGGGGGGGGGAGGGGGTCTGATCTACTTCCAGAGCATCGCATCCTCGCTGGGCCTTGCGAACGAAAATAGCAATGGCATCCCCCTCCACTCAAGCATCACGAGCGTCGGATCTTCAGAACCAGAGCGAAACATGGAAACCCATCATGGGTTTCATCTCCTTTCAGCGCCGACTCTAGAACGAAGCGACTCACGTTTCCCATCTCAGCACCCGACCCGGAAGGGGCAGTGCCCGCTGCCAAGGCCCCGTTTCTCCTTCTGTCTTGTGCAACGAAACGAGACTGCAGCCATCATGACTGATCGCAGAAGGACCGTTGCTCACGTCCTTTCGGCTCCCGTCTCCAGCGACTGAACGGAAGTGGCCGACGAGGGGCCAACGATCTACGATGCCGAGGAAAATCGTCGATCAATCAGAAGGATGACTGGGAAATTTGAGATGGTAACAGTGCCTCTGGCGCTGTTCTAACCATCATAGCACGACGAAGGCAGGCGTATCCTCTTCGGGGAACCTAAACACAGACAGTCCAAGCGCGAAAAACTGGGAGAAAACACGTCCTATCAACTAAAAAAGGCGGCTGAGTTGATATTACCTCGCGAGGAGGACGGCCCACATGAAAGATCAGCCGAGATATCGATCCATCCGCATCTCCTCTCTCGCCACGGCCAGTGAAATCATTTCCTCTCCGGGAGCGGGGGGAGAGTTGCAGCTGCATGCATGCATCTCCACCCGGCCATCTTCGCCACAGATCATCCATCCTTCCACCTTAGCGGATTTGACGTGCAGGATTTTGACGCGTCATGCGCTTCGTTTAATAAGATTCATAAACAGGCATCCCCGCAGCCTTACATCAAATCAGCATTCATGCGCGCTCCTCCCCCGCCGTCGTCTGACTCATAGAGGCATCCTATTTTTTCCCTCTCCTCCCTGTCCTACGGCCCACAGAGCCGCACACGTAACCTACTCCTCCCTACCCGTTTGGGCAGATCCCTCCGAGCCTTTCACGTGGAGATAGATAACTGGAAGCGGAGGCCATGGTGCCGTGCCCGCGAGTACAGCCAATTATAAGACGACCATGGAGCCGTCTGTCGGTTCAACAGGAGGAGCTCCTCCATAACGATTCCCGCGGGCTCGCGTTACTATAACGATTCCTGCGGAGCAAGGGAGAAGACGTCGCCTTCTCGCTGGCCGGAACTTCAGTGACGACAGGATCGTGTCATCCGCCGCCCCTACCTTAACGGCGCTTTTCCTCTTCCCGATCGAACTCCAAGGGCCATTATTATTATTATAACGTCGACTCCCTGTCTCTGGACGAGCGAGCATCATCACCCCCGCTCATGCTCGTGGTCATGGGTGGGTGCTCTTTCGTGATTAAAGCCCGCTCCTTTCGCCACCCCCGTCAAATCCGCCTTCAAAGCTTCTCACGGGTCTCTTCTTTGCTTCCTCCGTTCTCTCCCGGCGAGGAGGGAGATAGCAGCCAGCGGCCTTCAATGAGATCCGGAGGAGGTGGGCAGCGGCGCCCCTTAGCCCAGCAAGCATCCAAAGGGTACGTACGGCAGGGGACCCTGCGGTCAGCCAGGTTTGTGGCATGAATCGTCACATCTACTGTGAACAGGGCAGAGTGATCTGATAAGATAGCCGTCGAGCAGACCTTCACAGCTGGGCCTTGCGACAGATATCGGCTACTAGCTCTGCCTCTTCTTTCCTGCTACACGCCAAGGGGGAAGCAAAGCGGGGGGCACTAGCGACGAAGACGGTGGTGATCTTGGTGTGTAGGCAGATGAGAGCTGGCCAGGGTCCTCTTCATGTCAACGAATGGGCCCAACTTGGTCGCACCATTCATCAACCGATGGGTCCAAAGTCAACGACGGTGCCGGGAATTTGGGAGGGTCGTCGCCGCCGATGACGGGTCTCCGGTCCTTCGATCGAAGATGATTGACTAGATGTCCGGATATGCATATAAAAAATGTCACAGACGTTGCTCCACCGCTCAGCAGATTAGATCGGGATATGCGGCATGGGATTAGCAGTAGAGCTCCCTGATTCATCTTCCTATATAATACCTCGTCCTTCGTTCAGCATATAAACCAGTAAAAAGAAGACGCGGGTGGGCTGACCTTCAATCATTTCTGCACTGGTGAGCTCTGCAAACTGGGCAACTTCGCCACCCCAAGCTGTTCTTGAGAGGTAAGCACACGCATGGAGAAGATGTTTGGGCGATTTGGAAGAATAATAACCAAGTTGTTAGATCGGTCATTAACAAAAAATCGTATATATATATATATATATATATATATATATATATATAAACCAAGTTACAGCTCGTGGTTACAAAACCACCGCTATGTTTTTGTATCAATTGAAAAGAACAGCGCTGCGTTAGATGCGCCTCATGTGATGCAGTTCAGGTCGAAGTTTTCAAGCCATGGCCGATGCAAAGGTGATGTAGGATGGGCGAAGATGCCCGTAATCCTAGGAAGGTAGCGTTATAATGGTAAACAGAAGATGATGATTTCAGTAAATATCACACTTAGAGAGCTACTAAAAAATAAAAATGAATGTCTTTATTTTCCACTCATGTATGGTTGGTTATGTGAGCGAATTCCTCATGAATGTCAGCAAAAAAAATTAATTTGGCATAAGATTTAGACAGTGATCTCAGGTAAAACCATGCTTTAGATAAAGTTAGTTTGTTACCAAAAACATGAGGCCGCCGCCTTCCTTGCCTCTGTTATTCTGACGAGTATGATCACAGACTAGGAGGAAGAAGAAGACGGTTTCACCCAGAGGTGGAACAAAGCACAGAAGGAGCCTCCTGAAGCAGAAAGCTCATGAATTGGTCGATTATACAGCTCTCAGATTGAACACGGAGGAATTTGTGAAGGAATAATTGACGGATGTTCGTCTGAATCCTACCACCACCCCACAAAAAAAAATGATCAGGTGGGAGCCAACGAGACCTGCCTCAGACATTGAACGGAAAGCTATATATCAGTTGTGAGATGCATAAAAGACAGTTTCGGATGAAAAATAAACATGGCTCGACAAGTACTTGGACAAAAAGAGAATATAAAAGGAAACAAAAACCATGGGACCTAGATGATTGCCTAAACTCTCCACTGGTTCTTCTTTGCATCCTGAATATGAAGCATTAACTGCAAAATGACCATCATACAAGTGTGTAAATCGTAAGCGATAAAACTGTATTAAACCAAAGCTATAGCTAAAAATACCTTCGTTCCCACGTAAAATGATGTGAATATGCCAACTACGACAGCTAATCCTGCATAAAATTGGCATATAATGAGATTGCCGAGGGAAGAAAAAGAGTTTATGATTCAAACAGAAAGAGACTGGGCATACCATCTTTCATGAGCAATCGTGAAATCAACCAGTTTATGTTTTCAGGTCCAATGACATACCCAGCAAGATTTGTCACCTATTGAATACGTCTGATGACATCAGGAGAAAAGGCAGCCATAAAACAATACTAGAGACGAATTATGAACCTGATAATATAATATCTGTGTTAAATAACCAATATATGCCAGCTGTTTTAGCGAATCAAATGGGAAGTCATTGATGTGACGATGGTCAGGAGGACAGCTGGTGAAATCCCTCAGAGATATGGTCATGCAAATCATAAAAAACAACCGCCGCATGTGATTTGCTGAGGAGTTCACAAAAATCTTCAAAAAAGCCCGTTTAGTGAATTCTCGTACAGGTGCAGCTTTGCAAAATCACAGCAATGAATAGGTGAACAGGATCAGAAAAAGGCACAAGATACATTCATCGAGGTCTCCCAGCCAGAAAACAGACCTGGTTACTAGTTTTATGTACGAAGTTGGACTTCTCAGGTCAGAATTTCCTAATTCTCCACTATGTTAATAGGATTATACCTTATGGATGCACTATAGAAACTTTTCTACCCAACTATCACTCAGGAGACAGATCATAATGTAGCTCATTTCTAAGACAGGCAGAAGAAAAACAAACTATAATCCCTTCCCTTCCCCTGCCATCCATAGATCAAGTAGCATACAGTAGATACCTAAAACATATGGAATTGAGAAGAATTTATAGAGAATCAGATGAATGTTCTAGTTTGCTAATAGGACTTAATCTTAACTGGAAATAAAGAGTTTGCTATCATTTATAAACAATAGCCCCCACAACCCCACCTTGACAGAACCACAAACAAGGAAGGGATGTCAAATCCTCTTGACTGTTACCAGATAATGAAGCACCGCACCACTTGATGTGGGCCAGAACTCAAGTTCTTATCTAATTATTTGAACATAAAATAGTCTTTAGGGAGTTATATCGGAGAAATAAATTATTAGCATTTCATCTGGATCACAATTTCTCATCCATAATCATCACATAGAGTTATCGTGTTCAGGCCATATAACTCTGTAACCCGTCTTTTCCTGTCTCAAAATGAAAACTGGATATAACACTTACGCCACGATTCATAGTATCCTCAAATGACCATGACAAAAGTGGGAGAAGAAAGCAACCGAAAATATATTATGTATTAAATAAATAGATTCCGAAAAAAAAACGTTTTATCCGACGTCCAAAGGTAATAGCTTACCATGAGGCAAGTGATTGTGATGGCACCAGCGACTGCTTTAAGTTCACGAAGAAGATATCTCCTAAATGGATTTGCTTCCTAACCAGAGTATACATTAACAAAGCATAATCAACATTACCATCAACAAAACCCCAATTAGTTGGAAATCCGAGATTTGGAACCCATTCTGACAAAATAAAAGCAGTCATTTTTTACCAACAGTTCCCATAAAACACATGCACAAAGGTATACATTTATGTTGAATTATACAGTTGTTAGGTTAGAAACATCTCAAGCCAACCAGCGGCTTACTTTCATTTGAAAACAATTTTCGACCATGCCACGCCCTTTTACAGATATAAACTTTGTGATGACGTGGATAACATCAAATCAGAGAGACTTCCCTCACTGATCGTGCTGGTGCAATATGTTATGTTAAGGGGTATAGTCAGCTGCTGTTACATACGGTTGTGTTCATGCTAGTATAAGAAAAACACGTGCAGACATTGCATTCGCACATCTCGGTACCAGGATTTTCAGATCCACCCACGTTAAATATGCTTTAGTTTCAAGCACATAAGCATGCAACTGGAACATATCAAAGAAGTTTTAAGGGTCCTGCCAAGTTACACATGCAAACCGAGTAACCAATCAGCCTTACAAGAATCTAATTGATCACACAGGATACATTGCTCATCGAGAAGTTTCATAAACTCACAAAAAGACCACGTAAAGAAAGGTAGTTGCTGTAGAAACAATACCACATTCATGGAAACTTTGCATGATCTGGGTGGACCCCAGACTGATGGGATAACAAAATTTGATGATTCATTCAACATTAATTGGCTGATAATCTTTTAAGATCATAGTGATGCTATGAGTTTATCGTAGTTCCAGGACCTAACAAGGTAACTAAATATTTATTCAAGATTAATCTAATTTGAAATTTATTGTCATCAAAAGGGTCGATAAATCCCATATCCATTTTATGAAGCCTAGAAAACTGCGTGTTTATAACCGGAGATCCCTGGCGCAGTTATAATATTCTGTTACATTCAATGGCAACTTACTGTAGGATACTCCAATGACCTGAAATTTAATTTTTTGAAATTGGCGAAGAGAAAAACTACCAGGAAGAATGAGTTTAGCATACACACACAACAAGCATATACACTATGCAGGAAAGGCTCATACCTGATATGAATTGATGATTGACTTTACCACTATTTCAGGGATCATAAATAAGCAAGTCAACCATGCCCAAGATAAAAGTTTCCTGCGTCATAAGATAAATCATCAAAAAACAGTGTAGATTAAGGAACTAACAACAGGAAGAAAAAATAAATAAAGATGCACAAAGTAGCCATTCAGGAAATAAATTTTACCACTCCAAATCATGCCATACTGCAACAAATGTGAATATAACCCAAACATTGAGCAGCTTCCTTTGAGAGCCACCAAGTGGGATGTAAAGGTATCTACGATTATGACGCCAGTTAACTATAGAATACCAGTATAACAGTGAAATATACGTGCATCACCAAACCAGTTAATAAAAAATCTCAAACCTGACAAGCCATTTGTTAAAGGATGCATGCCAACTTTTCCAGAAGCTTTCCAGGTCATGACAATTGTTGATACATCTAGGCATGTTCTCAGGTGCATCAATCCCTCCTATCTAAAACCAAACATGTTTCAGTAAAACATGAACGTCAAAGACACCCTTAACTTCCTGTTTTGCATGCGATAGAATGGTCTATAATAAGTTATGCCTAAGAATCAGAATTTCATCGAGATACTAACTGATTGGTATTTACTCAAATTTCATTTTTTGAGAGTTTCAGGCAAAAAAGTTAAAGTATTTATAGCTTATTTGCCCATGTTCTGGAAGTGAATGGATGACAGTTGCTAGGCACGTTTATTTCTCTGTCTTCATATGATGCCTTCAACCATCTTATAATGAGGTACCATCCAGTCCAAAGAGCTATTTAGTGGGAAGAAAAAAAATCTTTGGATAAATAATAATAACCAAGAACTGCTTCTGACCTCATAGGAGAATTTGTGAGCTGACTTGTGAGGATTAAATAGGCCACGGGTTCTACATTGGAGAAGCATATATGAACAATTTTTTGCATGTTCTACTATTTTTCCCACTAATCCATGTAGTTGAGCTGGAGAACTTTTGATGTTCTCGCTTTGTCTACATTCTGTGCAAGGAGAAAGGGAGGAATAACCCAAAAACTTCATCCTTGCCCACCATTGATCTTGATACATATACCTTTATATTATTCTCTCTCTGTCCCAGTTAAAACCCATGATAGTGATAATCATTGGTATATCATTTACACAATAAAAAATGAGAAGAGTTTGAAGAAAAGTCAAGATCACATACCAACGACCACATCCTAAAATAGCGCCAAATCAGAAGAAATTTTAACCACATGAAATTTAGGACCTGAGTCAAGAAAAAAAAAGCACGAGATATAAAAGCCCATCAGATTCCCTGAAAGATCAGTGAATGGCAACAAAAAGGAATTATAGGTAATTTAATGCTTATTTTTGGCAGAGGTGGGAAGTGATGATAAAATGAACAATAATGCTCAAATTTATGAATTACAACGAAAACCAACAGTTACAGATCAAATGTACGAACTGTTTTGGATCAACTATCCCAGGCGTTTCAGATTAAGCGTTACACATTTGCAGCGGCTGCACAGCCTATTTGTATTTTATATTAATGTAGAGTCTAACAATGATTGATACACTTTCCACCGTCACAAAAATGTGGTTATAGTGTTGGTTGATGGACATAAGGTATTAGAATAATTAAGCATCAAATGGAGAAGTTAATAATTAACCGATCATACAGCAGCCACCGTTGATCAATGTCTCATCATTGTATGAGTGCCTCATCTATATATTTCATGCAGAGAACCCATACAAAGGCCAATTTATCCATCAATAGATGCGCTTAAGTAATCACACATTCAATAGGAGACGGTACATTTCTTTGCTCACTCTCACAGTTTTCAGTTGAATAGTTGGATTATTTGCAAGAAAGACGACTCATCCTGGTACGTGGTAAAATGACACACAAAGTGGGTAGACCACTCACGGGTCCACAAGTGTTGTCTCTATCTTGCAGCTATTTTGAATTGAGGATGCAGCACATAGTCTGGCTCTAAATGACTTGCATTCTAGATTAGGTTTTCAGGGTTCCTGTCTTTGGGATCATCCTAGTGGCTAGAAAAGCATTTTGCATATAGACTTCTGTGAATCATAGAACTTGATTTGGGTCATAGATAATTCAGTGATCAGAAGCTAGTTATTTACTTTCCAAGTTACAATATGGTACCAAATTGATAAACTTTGGGAAGCTCTCTGGGATCTTGAACAGTTTTTAAAATAAAACACGGTACTGGTTTCCCACCAGAAGAATAGCAACAACGATCAAACTCTAGATCCATAAAAGGCAAAAGCAAGAACAGTAGAAGTTGAAACAAAATAATTTTTTTTGCCAATCAGGAATAAGAAAAAATCTGGAACCGCAAGAAATCCATACCCCATATCCGATTATAAAGATATCCAGAGGAGACAGCTTCCTCCATAGACCACTGAACAAAAACATCAAGGGTATCAGGTAAACAAAAGTTTTAATGGCTTTCTAGCTCAGGTAGACGTGACTCACCTAGTGGCAAAGGAATTGTAATAGAAAAAGTGTGTCATGAACTCCACAAGGAAAAGACAAAAGATCCACCTAAATCCATACCAAGCCACTTGTTGAATGGAATGACTTCTTTGAGGTAAGTCAAGCTGCAAAAGTTTTGCCAAAGTTGATGAAATATCAGACTATAACCTCCAGTATAAAAAAATGAAACTTCGCAAGATCCATTTCTATGAAATATATTACCACGGGAAATTAATGGGGAATAATAAATCGTTACTGTTTCTCAACTAAATGATACTGGATGCTTTTAATTACGTTAAAAAAATGTAAAACTTGAAATTACAACAATAAGCAGCCCCACTTTACCCTTGATACACATAGGTGAGCCGCTACAACTTTCACCAACTATTTACAACATGAATATACACATCCACACATCTCCTTTCCTCTATCAACTAAATACTCTAGATTTTCTACAACAACCTCAAAAGATTTTAAACCCCAAAGACTTGTTTTCAGTCAGATGATAATTGTGCATGGCACAGTATAAAATATCCACAGATCAGGAAATGAAATAACAAGACATTGTCCTTTCAAAATTTGAAATTTTCATTTCTCTCGAAGATGATGCTAAAGAACCTTGAAGATTGTGTCCAAAAGTTTAAAAGAAAAAGTCAAAGACAAAATGATAACCATGAAAGTGTAGTCCATCCATGCAGAGCAGATTGGTTATGTCATGCAAGGGCGACATAAAGTTCTTGAATTATAAGTGAAAATACGTAAGAGGAACAAGCCACTTTTAGATACATATAGTTGAGATACAGGAGACTGACCTGTGATGCAAATGCATTAAAACTTATAATTGGCCCTGCAACGTAAAGTGGAGCATAGAGCAAGTAGCTTAAGTATGTTGTAAACGAATACCCCTCGATGTTAATGGACTTCTCCTGTGAAAAGCAAAGTCATCATGCACAATACAACGCTGTTGACAAACTTACCATTTTGGAAGCAATATGTATAACTAAGTTTTTTTTAAAAATCGATTTTAAATAATCAAAGCTCTCACAAACATGGATTTAAGGCATGAACGTTGTTGAAAGAAGATAAAAATAAGTTTTTGGGGACTATTCTAGCAAAAAAATCGAGGCTAGATTCCCTGATTGGAGACCAGGAAAAAGCACAATGAGGAGCATTTGAATGGAAGTTTCTAGCAAAGAAATTGGGAACGACCACTATAGAAAACCAGGCAAGAGGGTCAACAAAGGGTGTGCAAAAGAGAGAAGTGAAATTTATGCGAAGTGGAAGAGAAATAAAAGAAGAGCTATCATCTTGATGGTAATTTATAGCTTGGAAGTCATAGCGCAGTTAGCTATCATTCTGGTGGCCTTTCAATCATCTTATTCTGCCATAACTGACTTCAGTTACTCGTTTAAGAATAATATAAGCAATGACTGAGTTTGTCTTATTCATGACAATGTTTTTGGACGTAATAACATTACGTTTCGAATATAGTGAAGTGCAGAAGTGGATAGGCAAGACATATGAAGGAGAGGTTGCAGATTTTATCAGAAGAGCAACCAAAGCACTGATGCACATGTTTCTGTAGCTGCAAAACGTATGTGGTAACAAATCCCCAAAAAAACGCATAACTTAACTGGTCCAAGTTCCCAGGACTAGGTAGTCAAGTTCAAGCGTCCTTCACATGAAACTGGAAATTTCCTACTTCTACGCCCAAAAGGATGCTAAACAACTAGTCCACTTCTTTCAAAGTTGCAAATTTACAGTTGTCGTGAGCACGCACTTGGCACAACTGCGTAGCCAGACCTAATGATGCCAGCATACTTTCGACACTGGGAGAAAAACATCACTGAGGAAACTGCAGGTTAACGGTCCTTCACTTTTGAGACATCTAGACTCCATTAGTTTAAAGGTTGGTAGAAAGAAGCTACGAAAATTTTCCAACTTGCAGATTAGTGTGCCTGATTTTTCAATAATTAAACGAAATCCGAGCCTAAGGAAGAACCCTTATTAATGTAAATCTTATGAAAAAATGGTGATAATTTTTTCAATAAAGGGAATAAACAATTTTCTATAGTGAAATGAGAATATTTGAAATATTTGTGTACTCACCGTCACTAATTTCTCGTGCTTTAAAGTTTGGGGATTGGCTTAGTCTATTCTTGATTCTAACCCTCCTCAACAGATTTTCCAGAATAATCCCACACTTATGGAAAAAAGTCAGTGCCACCATCTTACCCACGCGTGCAGCAGCATGCAATGCTCTTTTTGACATATACTAAGCCAACGGCATAAGACTCGCACCTCAAATATTATAACAGAGTTGACTGTGGGCCACAACAAGAGAAAGGGCTGAAGGAAGAGTTAGCTTCTGATATTGGGCCTCCAATTCACGATTCTTGCGAACATGTTCCCTATACCTTCTACAGAGCTGTATTCCTTGTGACATTTGTGTAATATGTGACAACTTGTACTACTCAAGTTTGTCTTTGCATTTAAATATGGTCAGTTTTAGCAGTTACTTTTGAAAATCGATGTGTAAGCCACCAGCATCAAGCTGCAATGGAGACAATGTAATGGCACTGCCCTCGACTGCATTCACTGAACTCTGCGGGTTTCACATCATGAAGGATAACACTACATGATTCTACCTGAGATTGTCATAAAAAAGAAACCTGGACGAGCCTAAGGTCAGGTGAGAAAGCAACCATTTTCATAAGAGAAGAAATCTTTAAGAAAAATTTGAGAAATCCATAATGATCGAATGAGAAATTTATGAAGTCTAGCCTAGACAGGAAGATACAATTTGAAAATGTCAGATGATGTAGAGAAACCTTCATTACACACAATTGCAAGCAACCAACCCGAGAAAAAAACATGAATCGCCTGATACAGCTGCAGTATGATAACAACAAAAATTGAATGTGCACATTAAGGCTCCATAAAGATGTAACCAATAATAGCTACGCGGTTGAAATGAGCACACAGAAAATATAACAACATGATTATGGCTATTGACTTGCAGCGTCATATCTAATAAAAAAATGAATTAAGGATATACTGTATAAAAATACTTATGCAAGCAAGGAATGCAGCATTTTCAAAAGATAGGTCCAAATAACAATGTCTGAGAAGACATCCACAAATGGTTTACGGGAATTGATACCTTTCGATCAAAACGAGAATTTATACATGCCCAGTGATAGTCATATCCAAAGCTTATCATGCGCAAGATGACTGTCATCCAAAAGAAACCAGTCATAATTGAACCAAAGTTTCGATTTCTATGCATGAAAAAGATAAATCGAATTCGTTAAGGACAGAATTTTGGTCTCAGACATGAAATTCTCGACGAAAACTAAACAATGCACGTGAGGATTCCATTATTTCCTCCTGGGAATGATCTAAAATATGCCCCAGATGCATCTTTGTACTTTTTTATTTTCCATAAAAAAATACTTTTTTTATTGAAACAATTAGATCTCAAATGCAATGTTGAATTATACTGAGGAAATCTTCATTTCGAATCCATTAATATCAGAGGTACGATGAAACACATCAAAGAGTTTACCAAAAAAACAGCTCAACGAGCATAGAAATGGCAAACGGAGTAGTGGCTGAATTATCTCTTCGGGTATTCCAAAAAGTGATCCTACTTGCCCCGAAAAAAAAGCAGGTCAAACATTGTCTATACCATGTTGCAAGAATAGATATTAAGTCTAGGTTTTGGGTATTCTTAGACAACGCAAGCCAAATGGATGGCCCCGTTTTATTTAATAAAGGAATCTCGTTCATGAAAAAGCTTAGGCATAATGAAGGCAAAAACTTTCGTTTTACCCTAGATAGATCTTCTGATGTACACCAACCTACCCAACTATTCAAGAGAAAAAGCGTTTGATTTCCGCAAATGTAGTCACGTTAGTCTTTCATCCATATCTCTAAAGAATAGTCATCACATTTATAACTATCTTTATTTCCTAAAGTTTACTAAATAGGTAAGAATGCTTTCCCCTTTAACGAAATAACTGAGTACATTTCGAAGTAGCAAAATCACTTCAATAGTTCATCCTGATGGTGTAGGAGAAGACTAATTCCCAAATACCCATGTCATTTACCTCATAGATCAAATACTTGAAGATTCTGTCTTAGCTTGTTTAATTTCTGTCAGACCTCTAAATTCAGCCTATTCAGCATGGAATGAGGGAGTCAGGCATAGCAGTACCGGTTCAAACAGAAAAGCCGAATTCCATTTTTAGTGCAAAATAGAAAGTGGGCCATTGAGCTTTTTGTTCAGGCAGAGAAGGTTGCCAGCTGAAACAGCCAAAGGAAGAGTAAGAGGAAAGGGGAAAAAAGAAAAATAAGAACAAAGGAAAAAAAAGAGCTTCCATCATCACATACCGTGACTGCTCGTGCCTTTTCTTCTTTCTGACACCATAAGGTTCGGTAAGGAAAGGCCTTTACATAAAATCATCTTATTAAAATTAATTTAATTAAAATTTTAATATGCGTTTAGAATGTTACACCATGTTCCCCTAATTTCCCTCGGCCAAATTTTCTGACATAAGTCAGATAGTGTCCAACTGATCCACGACTCAATCCAAAACAACAAATGACGCCACCAGCTTACCCCAGTGGGAGTTTTAAAATAAAAATAGAAGTAGACTTTTTATATGCATACCAAACCATCGTGCAAGAAAACAAGCAAAACAAATGAAAACTCAGCCCACTGATGAAAAAAGGGAGCATACCAAGATTAAAGCAAATTTGCCATCTAAAAGTACCCCTATAGCTATCCAGGAATGCCAAATTTTTCCTGTTGACAACAAACTGTAGGTGTCAAAAAAAAATATATTGGAAAATGAAAAGAAATTAATTAAGCAACTTTTATAACTAACCCAATTGATGAGAATGCATAACCTTCATATATACGATTCAATACCAAAACAGCTATATTGAAGCTCCAAAGTATGCATGAGAAGTACTTTGATCGTGAAAGTTCCTGTAGGCACGATTTGGTGAGTATCATGGACTATGACTAAACTAAGATATATGACAAATGTCTTAGAGGATCTGTGGCCATTTCTCATTGAGAAGCCTAACAGAAAGAGAAATCCAGACTGAAATAAAGAAAAAAACCAGAACATCTCTAAGAAAGATGGGATATTTCATTGGGCATAAAATACTTCTATTCAATGCGACAAGTTCAAGAGAAAAACGTGTTTCTGTGGTGTCTCCACTATCCTTTCTGCTGAGGACTCTATTTTCCTGTGAATGGGAAACAGAATGATGCGATCTTACCATTAGGTTTACATTTCTTAATGCATTTCCCCAATCTTCCAATCGTAGAAAGAAAAATAATGCCCTGTTCTAGCACAATTTTTTTTTAGAAAATACATAAAGTACACTAATCAACATTTCTTATCATGAGCCACATGCACTATGCAAAATAGCCAACAGAACAAACCCACAAGAAGTACGAACCTTTACTAGAAAGTAGTTCGCATAAACAATCACGAGAATGAAAATAACACTGCAAGGTAAAAAGAGCTGTAAGCAGACTTGTGCTGAGCACTGGGTATTAAAGAAGACTCTTGGGATGAAGATGTGTACCAGGCTCCGTGTAGATATGACAAATAGCTAAAAGAAAGTAACAACCAAACAATTGACATTCCTTTCGCTTTCAAGTTAAAATAAGACCTCAAAGTAATAGCCACGAGCGTAAAACTTCCTAAGACTAGGGAAAGAATTGACAAGTTTCCACGAAAATTTCTCCATTGTGAATCAGAGGTATCCTGAAGAAATTTTTCAGAAAAAAAAGAAAGCAAACTAGTCAGTATATTTCAGATATTGGAATCGCATGACATCAGAAAAATCTCGAAGGAAAAAAGCAAAACACTGCAAATGACAAAAAGGACTACATGATCGGTACAAGGAAACGTTGGTATTTCTTAATTTCATATGCCAATTACTGGCATTCATTCTCCCTGAGTAAACAGATCTTTGGGGGTTGTTCAGATATATCTAGGGGCATTTTTAGGGGGGAGATTAGGGTAGATTCCTCCCCGTTCAGAAGACCCCAGAGGAGGTTCAAATTAGCCCAAGTAATGGGCATCGATAAAAGGCTTCAGATACATACAAATATGAAACAATCACAACAGGAAATCGTCACCTCTTTTTCTTTCACTTAGTGAGTTTCCATTGAATTTGGATGCCACTTAATGTGATATCACTTTATTTAAGAGCAGCCAATACACGGAACAAATTTGTTGACGGTTTTCACTTAACTGAAAATTGAGTGTGTTACAAATGGGGTCAGTAGCTCTAGGAAATAGGGGAATGTTCGCAAACATATCGACAAGACTTGCAGAATCCAGAGCTACACAGCTACATCGTCATTTAGCTATAGACGCGCAGATCTGAGAAAATCATTTTAAAAGAGAACGTCATACGCAGAAAGATGGCATCTCAATTCTAAGCGGGAAAGTAGGATGAGAGCAGTTATTCCTTTCGTTTTCAATCCCCGTGACAAGTTTCGGAAACTAATACTCCACTTTCTGAAATTGGAGACGAGTTTTCAGAGAATGTACGTTGAGACGGTTCAACAGCCATCCAGGTTGTAGACGGGGGAGTTCTCCGTAATAAGCTGGAAATGTAAGTGGAGATCATGTATAAGAATGTGAACTCTAAAATCGGGTAAAGCTGGAAAGTAGCAGTGTGAAAGGATGAAAAAGCCTACACTGTCGAGAGATTGGTAGAGAGGGAGGAGGGAGAGATTTTACCTTTGGAAAGTTGCAGAGATCGGTAGACGACGACGGCATAGAACCCGGCCGCGTATATGACGAGCAGGAGGAGCTCCCACTGCTTCCACGACCAACGGCTCATTTTTTGCCGCACGACGAGAGATCCCACCCCCCCGCGCGCTTCCCAGACGAGGATGTTTGCGCGGGCAATCGCACTGGCAAAGAGGAGAAGAAGAAGAAGGAAGAATTATACCCGCTCGTTGTAGGAATTCAGAGCGAGGTCAGACGGCCTCGTTGGACCCCCACAGACGCAGTCTCTCTCTCTCTCTCTCTCTCTCTTTCACTCACCTCCCCCGACCCAACGAACAAGATGGGGAATTATTTAATACCGAAAATAGATGAAATTAGCTTTTCCGCGGAAAAAATAAAGATATTTCTGACGGGAGGATATTATTATTTTAGGCAACAATTTACGGCAGTTAATCGCGTGCCTATTTTTATTTTTAAAATTAGTTTTAAGCAACAACTCCGGAAAATGTCTGCATGTAAAGCGTATTATTATTATTATTGTTATTTATATTTTATATATTCCAGATTATGTAATAATAATCTTCCCGCTACCACTGTAACCGATCCACGTGCCCGTCTATAGTAGGTCATAGAGCGGCGGCACGGGAGAAGTCTATTGCACGACGTACGGGGAATTTGGCGGCGGCTTACACTTTTCACGATTACCCTGCTAAACAGTAGAAATTAGGGAGAGAACCCTCCCGTCATTAGCAAAATCATTGGAAATTAATAGTCGACGACGCTACTTCGCTGCGACGTCTTCGTCGCCGTCGCCGGCGCCGGCCAATGCCCGTCGCTGCGTAGCGTCGCCGGCGTCCTGCTCCGGCTTCTTCCCTTCCTCGTCTTCTTGCTGCTCTGGAACGATTTCTCCTCCTCCAGCCAGACCCTCCTCCTCCTCCTCCTTCTCTGATAGAAGCCTCTGACGGTGGTAGCGGAGCACTACCAGGCAAGCAAAGGCTGCGGGAGAAGAAGAGAGAGAGAGGAGGCGTCGATCTAATTCAACGCGGTGTTGTCAACGAATGAGGCATCGATCGAAGTCGGAGATGGGACGAACCAGCAATTACGCGAGTCTTCACGCTGAGCAGATTCCAGAGGGTCATGGCTGCGGAGACTCCGAGGACTCTCTTGCGTCGGCAAGCCTCCCATCCCTCCAGGACACAGTTTCCTATACTCGCAGCTGATAGATGCTTATCAGGGTCTGACAGATGATGATCTGATGCCCAGCAAGTTTCAGAGATGATGGCTTGTTGTCTCACCGTGTCTATGAATCTGGGTGGTGTAGGTGAAGTAGAGCTTGGGCACAGTGAAGCCGATGAAGAACCCCGCAGCCAGGAGCCTCCACAGAGTTATGCAGTGCCCGTACTTGGCTGTGAAGAGAAGAACTGGCGCTACCTGCAGAGAAGACCGAGCTCGGGATCAAATTTCATGGAGGAGGAAGCGGCGGGAGGAACACGAAAGGAAACGGGAACTTTCTACCCTGAGAGTCATGGTCGGCTCTCCGGAGAAGATGTCTTGAATGGTCGCGATAACAGCGTTAATCACCGGCAAAACCAGGCGGGTGGCCCGTAAGATGTCTTCTTCTTTGACCCTGAGGATCCGTCTCGCCTTCTCCTCGTTCCTGGAACTCGAGCGGTCAGCTCCAGAGGCCATCAGCAGCCGAGAGGAGCGGGGGTCGGCGGAAGAATACCTCCGAGGAACCGAATCACGGATGAACGCCACGGCGAGAAGAACCAGGCTCAGGTGCGAGACCGCAGAGACAACGCTGAAAAAGAGGATAGCTCAGGGATTCGTCTGGACCAATCATGGCGGCGGGATGATGAAATAATCTTCATACCAGAAGTTGAAATCTCTGGAAAAACAAGAAGATGCGAAGCAGAGCGTCCCCAGGCCGAACCAGAGGCTGGATTTGGCAAAATTCTTCCACATGACCAGCTCCGAAATCGTCTCCTTGAGGCCGTCGAGGACAACATGGCCGATGGTGTCCTCAACATCACCTGAGCTCCGAAGCAAACATTTCAGAGCAACGATTTATTCAGATAAAAATGGGTAAAAGATGGAGAGAAACAGATAGAGAACCAACCTGGGGAAGGACTGGGAGGAGGCTCACGCGGGGCCAAACTCGGCTTCTCCTCGCGAGAGGTCCCAAGCTTGGTCTGCCTCCTCTTCCTAACTTTCACAGCTTCGTGCTCGAAAATCTCCGACGGTCGTTCCTCCCTGCTTACTATCTCTTTCTCCAGCCGCCGTCGGGCCCTGCGAGTATTCCTCGGGGAAGCACAGCCCATTAGGACCATGCTTGCGACGGCGGTGGCCGTTGCGGCGGCGGCGGCCCTGTTCTTGGACCTCCTCCGGGGCTTCACCGATGGGGAATCAATGGTCTCCCCTTGAACCAGAGCGAGGGATTTACGCCGCCGGACCGGAGAATGTGACAGCAGGAGGAGGCGCTCCTGCGCGGCGGCGAGATGGAGAGGAGAGGGGAGGAGAGGAGACTTGACCGTCGCCGCCGCCGCCGCCGGCGGGGCGGCGGGAGGGTTATCATCCTCGCCGGAGTCCTCGTCAAAAGCCAGGGAGAGACAAGGCGGAGGTCTGCTCCGGAGGAGGCGGGCTTCCGACCGCCGCGAGGGAGGAGTCACGGTGGCGGGGGGCTCTTCCATGGCAGGATGCGGCGGCGGCAGCGGCGGCGATAGCTCGAGATTCAGACGAAATGGGCGGCGCAGCCGTCGGAGAAGGGAACCAGTGGAAATAAGAAGGGAAAGTAGCCGTTAAAGGACTGCATTCTCTCTCTCGTTTATTTGAAAATTTGAACTGGAATCACATGGGCTCTCACGCCAATCCAACGGTCGTGTTTTTCCACCCGGTAGTGAGAGAAAAATAAGACCAGACTTATAGTCTAGACATCAACCCTAAGTTCCGAGAAAAATACCCTCCGACTCCTCCACAGTCCGAAGCTACGAGCGGTCAACGGAAGAACAGGAAAAAGTCGTAGCTTTCGTGCTTGTACTCTACTCATAGGGGACGCGGATCCTCTGTTTACCCGTCCCGGCCACCATGTCCTCCCACAGCAGGTCGGAGAGGGCGAGGGTCAGCTCGCCCACACGCCCTGCAGCACAGATAGAGAGAGAGAGAGAGGGCCGTCAGAGGATTCCCAAGTCAACGGCGAGGTTATCAAAGGGTAAACGGGGTTGACTTACTTACCGTCGCCGATAGGCTGGTCGTCCCATGCGATCACCGGAAGCAGAGGGAGCATCGTTCCGACGCACATCATCTCGGCCGAGTCCTTGGCCTCCTCCACGGTTATATCCTTCATGAGGACGCTCTGCAAGAGGCCCTTCTCCACTAGCGCCGGCGCGAGCTCGAGTAGCCTCTGCGCGGTGCAGCCGCCGAGGATCTTGTCGAAGCGCGGCAGGAGGAGCTCGCCACGCTTGCTTATGAAGGCCACGTTGACGTTTGGGCCCTCGGCAATGAAGCCCCGGTCGTCCACCCACACGGCGGCGAAGGCCCCCTGCTCCTCCGCTTCCATGGCGGAGAGGACATTCGGGAGGTAGTTCACGGTCTTCGTGGTGGCGAAGAAAGGGGGCTTCATGGGGACGGTGGAGGTTATCACCTTCACTCCCTCCCTGGGCTGCTGGAAGTCCTCGTCCACAACCACGGCGTAGAACCCCGGCTCAGGGCAACCCGCCGGCGACAGAAGAAAGTCCCCGGGTCCGGCGCTCAGCCAGAACCGGAGACAACCTTTCTCGCACTTGGACGCCGCCGTCAGCTGGATGAGGATGCTCCGCAGGGTCGCTCTAGGGAAAGGGGGGGAGATCTTCGCCTTCGATGCGGACTTCAATAGCCGGTCCAGATGAGCATCGAGCTCGTACAGGAACCTGCAAACTGAATGATTATGCACGAAGAAGAAGAAGAAGAAGAAGATATCAGAACCTCCAATCGGGGGGGGCGTACCCGTTCATGATCAACGCTGTGTCGAAGACGCCGTGCCCTCTGTGAACCATATGATCGTCGATGGGAATAACCATGAGCGCGGGTTCGAGAGTGATCCCGCCGAAGAAGCTGGAGTACATGGCCGGGTAGGGCTGCCTCCTCCTCCTCCCGCTACTCAGCTTCCTCCTCGCCTGCTCCAGAACCTTGCAGATCTCCCGAAGAAGAACACCGGCGGAACATCAGCAATTGAACCCGGAGCGACATCAGCCTCTCCCTCTCTCTACAGATCGATAAATGTGCGAGGGGAACGAGAGGGGGATTCACCTCCGACGCCGAATAAACGGGAACGCGGAGGTTGGGAGAGCCGCTTCCCCCTTCCATGGCGATAGCAGAGGCGAGCAGATTACAGAGAGAGAGAGAGAGAGAGAGAGAGAGAGAGAGAGTGTGTGAACTCCTCGGTGAGCTCTTCATCAAGTGCCAACCACGTGGCTTCGTCGTACTCGGATGGTGGCCCGCCGTTGATCAAGCCAAGGCCAATCGAGCTGCATATGGGCCAGCCCAATATTCCAGTAATCATCGTGACAGCCCACGAAGAATTTCTAAATGGGCCCCACTTATCCAATAAAAGAGAGAGAGAGAGAGAGCAAGAGAGAGAGGGTAAACTCAGTGACCTCTTCATCAGTGCCAACCGGGCTAAACAGCTGACTATGGATCGGCCCAATATGGCCCATTAACCGAAAATCGTCGGCCCATGGAGGAATTTCGAGGTGAGTCCTACTTATCCAGTAGAAAGGTTAGGTTTTTTTGCCTCTCGAAGGTCGAGGTTTATCTAGGGTTTCCGACGCCCCATCTCCTGCCTTCTTCTCGTTCGAAGAATGTCGACGGCGGCGGTGTCAGGGGGGCAGCGGCACCAGGGCGGCGGGCCGGCTGCGGCGGCTAAAAGGAAGCCGGTGTTCGTGAAGGTGGACCAGCTAAAGCCTGGAACGAGCGGCCACACGCTGACAGTGAAGGTGGTGAGCTCGAAGACGGTGCTACAGAAGGGCCGGCCGGATTCCGGACATCTCCGCCAAACGAAGATCGCGGAGTGCCTCGTGGGGGACGAGACCGGAACCATTGTTTTCACCGCCAGGAACGAGCAAGGTCTGTACCTCGTCCTTTCCTTACTTTGGTCTACCTTCGCGCTTCTCCCCGCCCGAATACCTTCGCAGATCCGCGTCCAAGATCCTGCGTAGTCCGTATGGATGTGGTGGCGTATTCTTCCTAGTGTTCTTTAACAGTCCCACCCTCCCTCTCTCTCTCTATCTCTTTCTTGGCAATACTTTTTCGAGCTCATTCCACTCGACGACGGACAACGTTTCACCTCGTGGATCCGTCTCTATTTCCATAGCATTTCCAGATGGGGCAATCAGATGTCTTGCCCCAGTCAACTGTAATGTTCCTATCTGGGTCTTCTGTTCTAGATTTAGTGATCGCCGACTGTTAGCTCCATGAGGAAGACTATTCCATTGTCCCAATTCGCGTCTTCCGACCCTGAAAATCATCTCGCATCACTCCCTTATTCTGTGATGGGTTCACAATGGCCTCCCCAGTGATAGATTCTTACCCAGACTGACACTTCATTACCTGTTATGCCACTCGTGAATGGATCCCCCTAGACGAACAGATTTCGTCAGCTCGTCGTACTAATCAAGAACACCGCATCATTGGCTCATGGATGCTCGAGCACGACGACCCATCTCGATGGTTTACCTGAACGGTCCCCACGCATCTAGCTTTACATGTTTCTGCCGACTTGACCCAGTTGATGAGACCTTCTGGTCATCCGGTTTCCTCTGCTTTTCCTGCCGGCAGTCGATCTGATGACGACGGGAACCACGGTGATCCTCCGGAACGCAAAGATCGACATGTTCAAGGGGTCCATGAGGCTGGCCGTTGACAAGTGGGGCCGGGTGGAGGTCACCGAGCCCGCCACCTTCGCCGTGAAGGAGGAGAACAATCTTTCCCTGATCGAGTACGAGTTGGTGAACGTCGTGGAGGAGTGAGAAGGGATTGCTGCTGCCCGCCCCGAGAATTCACCCTCTGTGCTTTTTCTTCCTTTTATTGTGGACTCCGGAGCTGAAAGTCTCCGTTAGGAGAGGAGAGAATGGGCCTGATTTCTGTGGACATCTGAGTCACGTACCGGGGCGGCTGTAAAGCGCTCCAGTGCGTGTTCATTTTGGGTGATGCCGATGACCGCCGCTGTTCATAGTGGATTCGCCGCTATCTATCCATGAACAGCATCATCTAGCTTCTCTCATCATCATATCTAATGAGATGCATCTATGAAGAACATGGGCGACAGACTAGCATAGAATCAGAAAATCCGATAATTGAGCAGACCCGTTCCAGAATAAAATCAACAATCAGGGGGGGGGCATACATGGAAATCAGTTCGTGTACCACACTACGTAGATATGGTCATAAGAAGCGCACCCGGGATCTGGGGAGAAGGGGGGCTAGACGGGGGAGGGGTACTGCTTGGACTGCAGACGGACCCGTCTCTTGTACTCGGTTGGATCCTGCGAATTCCAATTGAGATAAGCCAGCATCGGAATGAATATATAGAGACTTGGGAAGATGCTGTGTAACGAGAGGAACCTGTATGAAGAGCTGATATCCCTCAGTCTGTGCAGGGTCGGCAGGATTTGGCTGATCCAGCAAATCCTGTATTCCCACAAGAATCTGCTTCACAGTGATCGCAGGTCTCCAACCCTGGACATAGAGGAGATGACTCCCGTGACTCGAGGATCTTTTAAAGATATGAAAGAAGCTGAGAGAGATATCGTACTTTGTCCTCATTGAGGATTGAAAGGCAGACGGTCCCTGATGGGTAGACATTGGGATGGAAGAAACCCTGAGGGAACTTGCATTTTGGTGGCTTGCTGGGATAATCTTCGCTAAAATGCAGAGCAATGGGGAAGTAACCACCTTCCCAATCAGTCTGCAAGTATTGAGCTTTCAAGGGTTATACACAAACCTAATGCACACGGATGTTTAACAAAGGAATGATCATATGCGACTGTCAAAGCTCAATCAAAATAACTAAAGCAAGGTTCTTGAGGCACGTTTGCTCAAAATATGTTCAAATAATCAAAATGACTTCTTTATTTTTTGATACCTCAAGAAAAAAGAGTGTTTCCTTAAGATGCATATCTATCTCATACCACAAGAATAGGTTGTCAACCTCGGAATTGAGAATTGTAATGCACTCCATTTGCCAAAGACCACGGCTAAGTCTATGGCCTAGATATTGCCTTTTTTTAGTTTTGGGTGGAGGTGGCTTAAGTCTGATGCAGTCAATGGACAAAAAGAAAATCTGCACCTTGGAAGTTGCACTATCTAAGTGGAAACTTGTGCAACTATACAAGTTACAACTGGTGGAAAGTTATAGTGTTGAAAATTCTCTCCTCTTAATGTAGCTCTTCACATTCTCTGATATCCTACATACATGACAGTAATTTTATGTTATTCATCCATTGGTTTTATTTTTTTCTGACTTCCTTTTCCCTTTAATTGATACAGTCATACCGTGACAGTGCAATGAGTATTAGATGACATGGTAAATGTTTACTTTGGACTTCTTGTACTTGCACATTCTCTATGTTTTATGCGTCTATCTGTGACTCGCCTCTCCACATAGGGAAGCAAACAACATTGTCAGTTCAGCACAATAAAATCCAAGAAAAACTCTTTCATTTTCTCTTCTCCAAAGTTAACGTCTATTATCCGGAATTTTCTGTCAGGATATCAAAGGAAAGACTAGAACATAGATGAAACATAAATGACAAACGTTTCCAACTTTATCTTTCGGCAAACATGGTTTAGGGTCAGGCAGATCTATATTCTCTTTAAGAGAGGGGGCACAAATGATCATAGAAATGTCAAGTGATGACTCAAGATTATTAAAAACTAACTCAATTTCAAAAAAGTGGTAATTCGTAAAATCAACATCAAGACTATGAGTTCAGGAAACGAATCAGGAGAGATCACACAGGCCGGCATGTTTCTCTTCCTCCTACTAGCTTGTTCTTTAGTAGATTCTGATGCCTCTATGCGAATGAAACGGTAATAGAATAGTGTAGGCCATTTCTGGCATTAATTTATTCCATTCCTGATCATTTAGATGCTCTCTCTATGGAGAAACGGTGAAGGTTGAATAGCTTATTATCAGATTGAAAATGGAATGTGTTGGACCCAGGTCACAACATCTAAAAAATGATTTACATTTTAATGAATAATCACTCCAAGCCACCAAACCATGCAAAAACTTCCTATAGCAACTGCTTTTGATTGAGTACAATTAAATACACGCCAAGTCAATCTGATGTCTAGATGTAGAAGTCAGCTCAACAGAAAACAACACATCCACATTTTATAGAGTCACTAGGGGCTCTGTTCAAAAGCCCTGTACACACGTTGAAGGATGGAATAATCAACTATTATAAGGAACAGCAACACAAAGCTGTAACCTTGAAGATAAAATAAAAAGAAAGGGAAAACATGAGAGATAACTCACAAAATTATTGAATAACGTAAAAAATTAAGAGAGATGAGTTAATAAAGTGGACATTAATCATTGGCATACATCAACTAAAAAGAGAATATTTAAAGAACAGCCTCCATTTTTTCTCTTATATCAATCTATCATCACTCCCAACCAGAAAATTAAACGCCAAACCTCAAGGAGGGAATTAACTCCCCGAGATGTGTGATATCCTTACATTCAAAAAGTCGGAAGGGTGGGATTTTTCTCAACATTAAAAGACTCCACTTATATCCCACATGAACTATGAAACGCAAAAGCTCTTCAGACTCATCCGACATCATAAAAAAGTTCAAGGAGATACAAAAATTCGATGCATTATTCTTACTTCCTATTTACTTTCTTAAAAGTCAACGCCAGCCAAAAAAAACCCATACCCTAACCAAAGATTGAGGTCGAAATTAACGTCTGGAAAACAACCAGGAAATAGAGCCACTAGTAGATTATGACGTGGGAGAGGGGGCACGAAATAACGACCTGATAAGGGAAATATCGGAGTAAAGAAGGCTTACACCCTGTTTGCCGGGGATGAGACACTGCCAAATCATCAGATTCACCGATCCATCCGGCAAGGTTTCTGGCCTCGCCACAAACCCCTGCAGGGGACAGAAAAACATCAGTAAACATCAGATCAGCGAAAAAAGAACACAAATCACGACTGAATCAAACGAGAAAAACGGGGGTCTCTCGGAAAAACAATGATGGATGGGGACGTCGTCATGGAGAGGGAAGTGATTACAGACATGGGGGTGATTCTTACGCCATGCTTTCCGTTCCTCCGTGAGGCGGCCGCGAGCGACGCCCCCCGACATGCTGCTCCTCTCCTCTTCTCCGAAGGATTTCTCTGCTACCTCTTTCTTCTTCTCCTGTCCCTTCGGCCCTGCCTCGCCCGCTGACCAGGCAATATGAACGGTCACGGAGTACGGTCACCTCCCTCAAAGATTCTGAACGGTGACTGTAAACACCGTCGGTGCTCTTGGTTGTTATGGGGCCACGCAAGCCCTCACAGCTTACGGTAATTCTCCAGTGGACTATTTTTTTAAAAACAAATGAATATTCATCAAACTAATTTATTTCCCGAATTTGTGCCCAGAAAATACCCGAAAACAAAAATGGGCCCGGGCCGCTTTTGATTCCAGACCCTTCCTCAAACCTGCCTGCCTCGCTGGGCGGACGGATTGCTTAATGGGCCCGACAGCAATCCTAACGGCCCACATACACCAGCTCAATGTGAGACGGAACAATGCGTTTCGGCCAGGGCCTCTCTCTCTCTCTTGTCGTCTCATGGTTACCAGTTCCGTTGGTATTAATAAACAGAGGTTCAAAACCAATTTGCATTAAAAATTTATACCAAAATTAGAAGTCAACGCAGACTGTCAAAGTCTCCGGGCAATGATTCTGACCTACGACACACCAATCAGCGAGAAGCCGGCATCCATTTACAGAGTGTACTAAGAGTGCAAGGCTACAAGGAAGAAAGAGCGGAGCATACCCTCCTGGGATGGTCAAGCGAGGCCGGGATCCCTTCCATGTTGACCGCTGAGTGCTTGCGCAGAGTTGACGTTGACTATTTTTTCCACGTGAGAAAAGTTCAAAAATGTCAGAATACTTAAATGATGGGCATATATATTAATGCATGGAAACCAAGATATGACTTACCCATATGGAAACGATCTCACTAGCCTTCTTCCAGTGATTCAGAACGAGATGAGTAGAGAATCCAAGCAGCCATGAATGGGAGGGTAATCATCGCAGAAGCCTGTTGAGACTTACTTAAAGCATAGTTGGGACAAAAGCAGAGAGAAATCAAAGAAGAATGGGCAGCGATAGAAGACAATACCACGAAAAATACGACCTCTTGGTTGGCGAAAGCTGTGGTAAATTCGTTCTTCCCCATTAGTTGCCGCACATAACCTTGCAGCTGAGACAGAAAGACGGTAAATTCATAGTTGCAGCCATGATCTTCCTTACTGGGAAGATGGCCAACCAAAAAATCAGTATAAGTTTCACCGGTCATCAACAGATAATCGACTCATCATCATATTGATGAAGAGCCTATTCTTAGTCCTAAGAACACAAGTACTGCTTCTGTCAAGCAAATACCATTTCTCAATAACTAAGAATAACCTCATGATGGCAAATGACACCATGCAACACGAGAGATGACTAGAAGAGCAATTTATGTTTACCTCACGATGGCGGCTTTGAACATGTGAAATTAGTCTTCTAAGCATGTCGAAGGCATGGGATGGATAACCTCTCAGGGTAGAGTTTATCTTGAGAAAAAGCAACTCCAACTGGGAAATTATTTCGGCAAGATAATGCTGACGAAGATCACTGATGAACTGGAAGAACGAAAATCACATTAGTAAAGACTGATCTCTTCAAAGAAAAGAACTGATGCGATTACATTCAGCAGATGACGTGACTGAAGACTACTGACTGAAAGAAAGGATTGAAAATATTTTGTACCACGAGAGTTGACATTCCTTCATATTTACTAGATATAATGCCTACTAGCTCCAGGTGGCATATTGTTTCACATCCAGTTCAATGGGGATGGGTTTTATATTCAATCAAGCTCCATTCTTTCCAGGAAGTAATGGCAATACTAACCGGTCCAGCCAATAGAGTTTAGATCTGCTTCTACTGAAATGTGATGCTCAAAAGCATTTGTCCTTGAAAACAGAGCACACTGTATTCTGTTTAGCAAATATCGCTCGACCTTTAACTAATAAAAGGAAAAAAAAGGCATGCTAGACATGCATGCCAGATGAATCTTTCGCTATGTATTTCAGCATTATGCACTTTAATCCTGGAAAGGAAACTCATGTCCATACGTAAAATTATGCAAAAACAGATAGAACACGGAATGATTACAGCAATTTACACTGCACCTATAAAGTTTGGTATACGATCAAGTTTTCAATGAGGAAAAAAATTGCTTTGATGACAGTAGCATCTCCAGTAGATTAGATAGCAACTGATCTGATCCATCTAGCGACAGTCTAGAAACCTTTTCATCTTTGATCGGACAGTTTAATATCAGCTGAAAAAAACGAAGGAAAGGACACAAAACTGGCAACCGAAATAAAATAGTTGACAGAATACACCACCTTCAAAAATGTGCATTCCGTGGGATTTATCTTCCTCTTAGCTATTGAAGTTCTGACCTAGAAAGTGAAAAAAAAATATCACAAAATTTATTATGTTGCTTCTCCATTACAAAAAAAGAAACTCTAGTGAAAGATGATTTAGAACGATAACAAAACCTTAATGATTTGAAGTGTTTGCTCCAGTTGTCGGATCTGAATCCACTGCTCGGTAATAATATCCTCCATCTGCAAAAAAAATTGGTGGGAGGCGAGTGTTTGAGAAGAAATTACTTACACTCAGAACGAGAGACTCTTGTAACAAAACACAGGTTCAAGAAACAAGAGTCTGCGATTATAATAGAGCATCACTAGGGACAATAATAACCAAAGTTTGGAAGATAAACGACCCACAATCAGGAGTGAACTCCATGTTATTGAAAGTAGCATAGCCCATACGAGTGAACATCTAGGATTGGTTTCAACTTATTCAATGCTTGAACTTCATGGATGAGAAATCTGATGGTCATTGACTCTATTTAATAAAAAAAAGGGGCGGATGTAAAAAAATTGGCCTATTTTCCAGTATAAGATATTTTCATTTTCCGGATATTAGGTAAAACCCTACAGAAGTGTCCAAGATATGGATGGAGTTTCAATGTCTGCAATACATCACTCTATTTTGTTATTTTACTTTTATAATAAGCAAGCTTTTCTGTCAAGTTATGTTATATAACCTATTTAAAAGCTTTTAACAGAGAAGCCCAATTCCTAGGTTGGATTTTCACCCAGATCCCCATCTGAGTTAACCTAACCAGTCCAGAATGGGTTTCAAAAAAAAATTAGTGGACTCAAACTGATAACCTGGTCTCACTGACAAGTACAAATTGCAACCACGGTCTGAAACAAAAGGGTTAATCATTGATCGCCCTATTGTTAACTAATCCCTATTTGAACATTCGAATCTCTTCCCCCCCCCCCCCCGCCCCCTAATCCTCTTTTTAGTCAAGGCTTCCCTTCCACAAAGATAGACCTCCTTCCTTCCACGATTGCCGCTCATTAGGAGTACCTTGAATGACCAATTATTGAGATCTCAGCTCCATTCACTGATGCAATCTTGATAATTTAAATTTCTATAAATAGCGCAAAGAAAATGTACTCACCTCATGGACTTTCGTGGAAACGGAATGTAGTTTTTCTTCAGCATCATATGCCTTGGATTCTAAAGTATGAATGTCAAAGCTGTTTTTTCTCGCTTCACTCCAAAGACTTCGAATCTAGAATTATCATATTTGACAACTAAATTAGAAACAGTTGTCAATTGAAAGAAAACTCACCTTGTTGAGAACCCTATAATACAAGCGACTGGTGAAAAAAATGAAAAGGAGATAAGGAGAGTAAAAAACCTCCTCTTCTAAAATCTTAACTCTCTCTTCAGAGCATGACGATGTAGCTCGTGATTTCTGCAGATATCATTGTAGTGACAATGACATGGTAGCAACCACAAGTGAGTACGAAATGGAGTGGACACAAATGTAGCAAATACATAGGCAGCGATTAGAAGATATTAGAGGCAGGGAACAAACAGAAATCATAATAACGTTGTAACAACATGTATCCAACAGAGTCGTTTCAGAAACAGGTGTTCATAAATTGTGAAGAAAAATATTCTAAAACAAAATGATACAAATGAGAAGTTCATTTGAAAAGGTAATATTCTAATGGCTGTGGACAAGTACCAGACAGAATCTTGATGATAAACCTTCTGCCCCTCTGGCAACTACAAAAACCTATAAGTGAATTACCCATTCGAGCAGTAAACTATGACACTTCAACGCAATTAACACCAAGAAGCTCGATGTCACAATCATTATATTTCACATTGGAGTACAAACATGTCTATGGTGATCAGTATCATCTTTGTGAAACGTTCTACATCACTTTTTTACTTCACTCAGTAATAAATGTAACCCTTTCCCACGGTTTGGTCATAACCATTTTGACCCCAAACAAATCCGAATCACATTGATACAACAAAATGGTCAATCAGCGGTCAGCTTGATGTCCAATCCTCCATTTAGACATACACGTTAAATATTGCAGTTTCTGATTGTCAGGAATAAGATGATTTTTTTCCCATGAGAGGAAAGGAAGACCATGTTCAACGAAATGTAGCGAGAGATGGACAATATTAATAGTGATTCAGTATAGCGTTCGTCAAAGTTTAGGTAAAAACCTCGAATCCTCACTCCTTTTGTTTGGGGAATGGTTGCTACAATATTTTCAACAAACCCAAGGAATTTTCACAAAGGACAATATGATTGTTTTTACTTTTCAATTGTTGTAACCTCCAATTATGAATCAGACTTAAGGGCCCCCATTTAAATTGATCTTATAACCTGCATAAGAATACTTGCTTTCTGAAGTTAATAACCACTGCTTTAATTTAATTTTTAGCACTCTCAATTTTTTTTCTCTTCCGCCTCTTCTTTTTCACTTGATAGACTGCACAAATGAACGCCATTCCTATCAAACTGATCTTGGAATACAAACCCCACATTCTTATCATCTCCTGTAGTGAGACTCTTTTTTTCAGCATATTCTTCATGTATTCACACTACATTGATCTCAAAAACACTTATTCTATTTTATAACTACTTTCACTCCCCAAATGTACATCTCTGGCACAAAAGCTATACAAATCTATATTTTATCATATTATCTTATATAAGATATATAGATATATTACACACACAAGAATCGGAAATGTATAGTGCGGAAAATATGACAAGATAATAAAATTTTAAAAGGTTTAAATGACGAAAAATTCTTCAGATGAATGATTGGCACTCGGGGACTTTACGAATCACACTTTTTCCAAGGGTTTCTGAAAAAGAAACATGTTTGTAGACGGAGACCTAAGGAAAAAAAAAAATGGGCGCTATGGAAATTTTTGCTGCAGGAGGTAAAACGAAGAGGCTCAAATGAGAATAGAAAGCAGCCGTCCAAAAACATTCAAGGAAGTCGCAAGAATTTTAATAATTAAGAAGCAGTTGCACTTAGAGTAATGATCGTTATCTAGGTATTCAAGATATTTATTTTTTCAGTAATGTTCATCAAATATTTTCAACTTGGTAAACGAAAATCAGTACTGATGACTTGCATATAAACTTAAATTCAATTACCACGAGATTTACGGATTTCTAGTATGATATCGTCAACGGCATCTGAAGCCACAAAAATAAAAGAAGACTACAGAAATCTATTTGTACCTAAACAAGGTAACCCACTGAGTAACTCATAAAGAAGTGAGAAGTAAGAAATTCACAGAATGTGAGCCATGCTCAAAAAAATTGCAAACCCCATGCTTTGAATTGAACATACCTTGATATGACAAATAGAATCCTGTAAATCTTGGATCTTGGAACTCATCTCCTTGATCGTCTTATCTTTTTCTTGATGAAAAAGGAACCTAGAATTCAAATCTTCAATGTTCTTTTCAAGTATTAATTCTGCCAATGTGAAAAGAAAGGCATGGAATTAACATGGGACAAAGACTAAAACTTCGAATGACTGAAATGACCAGGAAAAAGGAAAGACTGGTGTTTTTGACAACTAACTTTAGCAGGCTTCGAGGAGGAAGTCATTCATTATTGATATGGAATTGATGGTATTTCATTAGAATAATAACAAGCAGAACAGAAAAAAGATCAATGATTGGAGTTCTTGTCAATAAATGTGACTTTGGCTTCTTCTTCTTTATCCAACCTACTATAGACTGATCTTCCTGTGCTGTAATAATAGAGAACGCACTCCTCATAATCCTATTGTCTGAAGACCACACCCTCCGATACTTTCTCATCCTAAACTGCATAAGACTAATGCTCGTCCGGGGGCATTTTACAGACTGCACTATTATCGAGCAGGTACGCAGAGAAACTGAGAACATGCATACAGGACTAAGACTAGGATAGGACTCTGAGCGGATAAATTACGCCGTCGATGTGACATCTGTCTCTCCTTACAGTAAGAACGAGAGTGACAATGGTCGCTGGTGTAGAAATAACTAGACGCAATATTTTGCTATCAGAGTATGCTCACGTTTTGTCAACTGGCAAAACGTGAATCTGGTTTTGTTCACTTTTCCTCGTATTTTCATTTGATCTCATGTTTATTCGCCGATATCTTTATGTAAGAGCCTTGAAGTAGTTTCCCAGTGTCATTCGAAAACCATCAGGTTTCGCGACCAAGGACCGGATGTTTCACGGAAAATTCCTCATAAAATCCTTCAGGGGAGAGTGATTACCGAGACGAGATACCGTCAGCTTCAACTCCTCCAACTCGGAGACGTCACCGGCCACCGGCGGCCAACGGCTGACCTCGGGGAGGGCATGGATCGGCGAAAAGCGGAAGAAAACCGCGAGGTACAATGCCCCAACGCGGCTCCATCTTGACCGGCGAATCCCCCGGGAGCACATCGAAACGACCCGCAGAGAAACGGCGACGCACAAGAGGGGCGGTGCCGGCCCCTGGCCAGCCGGAGGAGTGGAGTGGCAGATGCTGAAGACGAGTTCTTTCAGTTTTACTTATTTGTATTATTGCGATTTTTTTTATCTTAAGTTCCAGGTAAAAAAACCTTACAAGCGAATCATTATCCAATTAAAAATAAATTTAATTTTAAATAAAATATAATAAAATAATTAAACTGTATCCAAATACCTAGTAATGTTTTTATGGTCCACCGAGCAAGAAACCAAGGTCGCGTTCGTCAGCCGAGTTTGGTATTAGATTTTTCCCTTAAATACGTTATCCCTCGTGGTTTAAATATCCAGTTACCCATTGGGTTTGGTCAATCCTGGAGCATGCGTTCGGTCAACCCAGTGGGCAGACTGGGAGGTGAGATCAACCCTGCGAAATCAGAGCGCGATCGTAGATTAAAGATCTTCGTCCATCAGAGCTACGATCCCTCTCCATTATTACTCCGGCGACTGCTCAGAGTCGTGAGGAAAGGGAGGGGAGGACGTTATTCCACCGTTTCCATGGGGAAGAAGAGTTTTCAGAGAGAGAGAGAGAGAGAGAGAGAGAGAGAGAGGGGTGAGAAGAGGAGGGAAGTAAGAGCCCCGGCAAAAAGGGGGAGGATGGGTGAGGAGGGAGCAGGATGGTCAACGGAGAGAGAAGAACAATCTACAGAGCAGTGAAGTCGTCGAATTTTTGGGGTGCACCGAGGTCAGGCGCTGGAGGGGGGGATCTTGGAGACCCCCTGCCGCTGCAGCTCGGTCAACACACTGTCCAGGGACGGGGGCTTCAGCCCCAGGGGCAGCGGCAGCCATGGCTTCGCCAGAACGTCCCCGATGGCCGCGTCGATGCTCTCCTTCGACTGAAGAAGATCACAGAAAGTCAACAGTTAGGGTTAGGGTTAGGGTTCTGATGCTGGACAGACGAGGGAGGAGGAAGAAAGAGTAGAGTACTTACGGGGTGGGGCTCGACCTGGACGGGAGGGCCTCCGTGCCTCGCCGGAGGAGGGGCGGCGCCGTCTGGCTTGTACATGGGGTGGGGAGGGATTCCGGGGACCGGCGGAACCATGAATCTCTGCATATTATTTCGTGGGATATCAGAGTCAACGAGGATCACTCGTTAAAAAGAAGAGTGATGAGTCAGAGGGTAGAGACGCTACCGCCGGCGGCATTGGCTGGGGGAAGCATGGAGTTCCCTGGGTCAACGCGTTCGGAACCCAACCTTCTCTCAAGCCCTGGGGAAACAAGATCATCAGAGAAGAAATGTACTGGATTAGAATTGTGGAGGCAAAATGTGGAGCTGAAATACAGTGTCTTTATTCTGTTCATGCGGTTGCAAGCGGGGGAGGAAGCTTACCCTGCGATAATGTGGGTGGTGCCAGTACGAAGGGTCCGGCGGCGGCTGGGGAGACCACGGCGGCGGCGGGGGAGACCGTGCTGGGACTGCGTGCTTGGGCCACATGTGAACTATCGAGTGGTCAACGGTGGGGTGCCCCCAGACGTGTAGAGGGGGCCTGAAGGCCTGAGCGGGAGGGGGGAAGCCCAAGGTGGGCGCCGGCCACGGCGTCACCTCCCTCTTGGTTCCTCCCCCGGCCGGTGGGGCGCTGTACATCTGTCGGCGCTGACTCCAGCTCGCCGCCTCCGCTTCCCTTGCCAGCATATGTTTCCGGTGGGATCGATATTTCTGAGAAAAAAGAAAGAAAACAAATCGAATCAATGATGAACGATAGTTCTGTGATTTGCATGCCTAGTTCCCCGCGAAACAAAGAACATTTTCGAAGATAATTCGTCACCCTCGGAGAACTCCGGGAACTTTATTCCTTGATAGGAGTCATTTAGACGAATGACGGCGGGACTGAGAACCTATTAAGGGATATCGCAGAATATGGATGAACAACTGATAGAACCGAGACTAAAAGCGTACTGCAACCTAATCAGATATCATCAGGGAGGGATGATGGAGAGGGGTTTTACTTGAAGATGGCTGGCGATGTTATGCCGGGTGAGATAATCGATCCCCATTAGCTCCAAAATCCGGGAAGGCACCGCCTTGTCCACCCCAAGCTGCTCCACTGCTTGAACGAATCTCCGGTGCAGGTCCGGCGTCCAATCCACCTGCGAAATACCCGATAAAGAGTGTGAGGACGGGCAGCGGAGGAAGGACAGAAACGAGGACGGAAGAGGACGGGCAAGTTCGTCTGATAAGTAAGTCTCCCCGCTGAGCATCGGTCGAGGAATTCTACGCGATGAAACCATCTATTTCCGAGTTTCGATTCGGAGGGTGATGGATGGGCAGCGGCGGCGCCACCAGGGGGTGTATAAATGTAGCGGACGAGCTCTGGTAATCCGACAGATGGTTTCTTTCCTTGGAGGTGTTTACCAACCTTCATTTTCCGTTTTCCTTGGGTGCTCTTCGCCTGCGAGCCCGATGACTTGCGACCCTTATCGGCCTCCGGCGAGGATGAGCTCCCCGCCGAGACCGCTAGACCGTCGTCGTTTGGAGCCGCGCCACCGGTGTTACTCGATTGCTTCTCGTCCTCTTCGGCCTCCCTCTTCTCGTTCTCGTCGGCTCTCTCTAGATCTTGATCTCCGGTGCTCCTGGAGGCCGTCGTCGTCCCCGAGTCCTCGCCGCCGCCGACGGAGAACTCGGCGAGCATCTCCGTGGGGTCCAGTTCCAGGTCCGGCAGGGTGTCACCGTCGTCGAACCCCACGAACAAGTCATCGAAGTCGATGCTCTCCAGCAAGTCTCCCGCCGAGAAGTCCCCGGAGAAATTGTCGGCCCCCCCGCTGCCCAGCGCTGAGAAGTCACCGGCCGACCCTCCCCCTCTGTCATCATCATTCCTACTCCTCAAAGGTGAGATTGCGAGCATCCCAATGAAGAGGAAGAAGATGATTGGGATGAAGGGGAGGAGCTGGAGCCAAGTCCCAGCTTATCAGGTCAGGTGGGTCGACGTGAAGATTTCATGGGGTAGGTGGGCAGGTCGTCGACGGCGAGAAGCAAGTCTGCGGAGCTGGCGGCCGGCCTTCTCCGGCGAGTTTCATCGGCCGGCAAATCTGACGGTGGCTGGGTCTGGTTTGGTCTTCAACGTTATAGATCTGTTCGTCCTGTTTTGGAGCCTACCGGGCTCTGCATCTCCACCACAACTTCTCTCTAGATTTCCTTGATTTCTTTCTGGCTTTTGTTTGAACATGCCTCAACCTGGCCCCCCCATTTTTTTATTTTTCCTCCCGACTGATCTGTGGACGTCTATTTTTCAAGGCTTTACAAATTCACCAAAATAGCACGAACAAGTATTTTGCAGAGACTCGTGAGTGGGACGAAGGGTAGCATATACGACAGTGGTAGCATGCATATCGGCTAGAGAAAGGGCCTGTCCATGTTTGGAGAAAGAGAGAGGAGAGAGGAGGGAGGGGGGGCAGTAGACTGTATATCCTTGTCCTTTCCTATAATGGCAGATGTGTCCCTTTCCCTCTCCTTTTCAAACGGCAATCTCACAGTGACGCGCGGCGTTTGGATGAGGACGAAGACCTTCACAGTAAATTCTTTCCCTGCACATAGTCGGGGGCCCAGTAGTATCTCCTGCATGCCAAAGGCGTTCCTTCTCGTCGGCCACTACTCCACAGGAAGCCATCTCCAATCCTTCAACCACGCAGTGTCGACTTGCAAATGCCGCGCCCGTCTAAGCCCCATCAAGACCTCTGTGACGGTGAGAAGTGGGATGTCCCCCGGGACTTCAGGTCGAGGACACTCGATTAATTTCCACAGAAATCGCCTTGAGTGCGTCTTCCTCTACGTTATGCTCCAGTGAGAGGGAGGTGCGACAGTAAACATCTTCTCTGCTGAAGTTCGCCATGATAACAGACCAGAACTGCCTGTCTGGTGAATCAGCTCCCCCTCGCCCCTTCCGAGAGGGTCCAGAACCTGCCTGCCTCTCGACGGTGGTCTCCCTTCATCTCTCTCTCTCTCGCGTTTCTCTCTCTGCAGACACATTTATCTTTATATATCTACCCATCTCCCTCACTCTTCGAGGCGTTAGGTAGTGTCACGCTACCCCAGAATCGACGAGTCGTCTTTTATCCGCCGTCTCCCCCAAGGATGAGTCTGTACTTACGCTCTCTCTCTCTCTCTCTCTCTCAACGAGGGAGGGAGCCTGATTAGCTTGACATGGAGTTTTGGACTGGTCCGGGAGACGAGTCTGTCGAGGATGTTAGCATTCACCGTTCCCCGTCATTTTTTCCGGCCGCCGGCGGGCAACTTTTGGCGCGAGTCGGCGATGCGTCTCTTTCACCGACTTCCAAGACGAGGAGTCCGCGCCGGCCGGGAACAAACACAGCCTCGCGCTACGACGGAGGCTCCCCGCAGCAGCTCCCGCCGCTGCACGCCGACGTCCTCAACCTGTCGGAGAGATTTCTCGGGTTCCATGCCTCTGAAAGCACCTCCGGCTTGGTTAAATGCTTGATTAGTGATTCTCTCCCGAACTTCCGAGTCCCTTGTCCTAACCTGCAGCCGCCGCTCTCGCACGGAAACTCGCCGGACATGCGCTTGATCCATTCACCAACCCCTGAGGCAGGGCGGGCTCCGTAACTGCGCCTTACGCCTTACAGATTGGACAGATCGAACCTTTATCCCTTAACCCTGATTGGACGGGTTCAACGAGTGGAACCCAGCAGGGGACGGGAGATCGCCGCCCCAACAACGACACACATAGTACGTCTCATCACTATATCCAGCTCCCGCTCCCTGAAACAGCGATCAATTATCTCTGATCCCTCCGCATTAGAAAGTGAGAGAGAGAGAGAGATAGAGAGAGGAGAGAAGGGCCCTCCGCCGACGGGTGGTTCGGGGTGGGAATTTCTCGTCGACGCTCCGTGCCATCGACAAGGGACCGAGGGAGAATGGTGGAGGGTTGGGAGGGCCTCACACATGCAGCCCTGGTCCCCTCGGGAAAGAGACGCGCAGAGTTCCACAACATTTATTGTTAACGGGGTTGGTGTGGTTGGAAGGGTTTCCGGCGTCGTACGTCTAACAAGATCAGACGGACTTATTAATGCGGATATCCTTCCTGATTCCCCCACGGCTTCGTACATCGTTTCTCTCCATCTCTCTCGGTCGATCTGGGTTCTTCTGACCTGTCACGGCACGCCTGGCGTTCGCCACGGCGCCGTTGCCGGCGGCAGCACCTGCGGACGTCGGACTACCGGCGTTTTCAGGAGGAGCTTACTGCGGCTACGCCCGCCCTCAGTCCTATTAGTAATCCGGAGCTACAATCTTCTGTGAACAGAAGTCGATTTCTAACAGCTAATGTCTTAATAACGGCCCTGCGAATAAGTGGATCTCGCCAGTAGGGGACGAGCAACTTCATCTCTCACCATCTCTCTCTCTCTCTCTCTCTCTCTCTCTCTATATATATATATATATATATATATATATATCTATCAATTTATCTCCCTCTCCTTCCTCCCTCCCAACCCTCTCGTAAAAAAACCAGAAGATGCCAAATGCCAGCGGCGGGTCTATCCAAATGGGGTCTGTCGGAGTTATTCTGCACTCAGCAGCCGTAATTTAACCTGTCTCGGACGTGGCCCCCGGCCCAATTCGAGAAACCGCGCCGTGGCGTTCTGTAATCCAGACACTTGCGTGGTCGAGAAGCGCCGACATTATATTAGGCTTTTGATATGGAGGTTATGCGTTATTTCTTATTCAAGAGAGGATGATATAAGGACTACTATATTGGTCTTAGGAAAACGAAGCTATTTGTTCTTATTCAGGAGAGGATAACGGTGGATGGACGACGAAGAGCCAACTCAATAATAGAAAGAACGTGTTATTTCGATGACCTAGATCAACGTCAGAGTTGTCTACATAATTTCCTTAGTAAATGAGAGATTCCTCCGAGTAAACATATGTTAACGACGATAAAGCCTAAATGCCGTCTCTATCGATGCACTTGATGGATTCCAGTCCAGTTCAACATTATTTTTTCTGAATCTAGGCATTGACGTCAAAGAATCTATTCCTCTCTCTCTCTCTCTCTCTCCCCGTCTGACTGGACTCGTTACACACTCGTAAATATCGACCGTTTCATCAATTTAAGATTGTAAGCATAGTCTCTAGTTTATTTGGTCGTTCTCAAGATCTCTCATTTATAGATATCCAAAACCTGACGGAAGCATGTCCCTATCGGATGGTTCTAATCTACCGATTAGCTTCAGTTTCTCCCCGGAAGCCAACAAACCCGCGACGAAATCTAGCGCCGCCGGTGGTTGTCGGAGGCTCTGCTCCTCCGCTGCCCTTGGATATTCCGGGCACCGCAATGGACATGGTACCTCCCTCCCTTCCTCGGTACAGCCGCGTGACGACGCTAAGATCTGACGACTCCCTGCGTCTCCACTGTAGCGGGCCCTGGTGTGCCCGGCGGTGCCCCACCGACGCGCGACGCGCGGTCCTGCGGCGACTCCGCCATAAGCGGGACAGACTGACCGACGGTAAGAACGGCCTACTATCGCTGTTCTTCCCGGCGAGAGGTCCCCCCACCGAGCCCACCACGGCGAACTCCTCCCCGCCCGCCCCACCGGCGATATCCACCAAATCTCCATCCGCATCGCGGGAGAAAATAGCAGGTTAGCGAGGAGGGTGAGGGCGATGTTTCTTCTCTCATATTTCGCTATATTCTTCAGGGAATATACCGGCGACGGCCCCATGGCGGCCCCTCGGCCCGGAGTGCTCCCCCCGTGGGGCGACCAGCTTGTGTGGCCGGAGCCGCCTTCGGGGGCGGTGGCGGGCCTCCTGCGCGATTCTTCTGGGGCCTCTAAATCCGCGGGGTGGTCCAAGCTGTAACAGCGGTCGTCTTCCCCCATCCATGGCGAAGGCGGGACTGAGGACTTGCTTCCCGTTGAAATCGTCTGGGGTCTGAAGATCGTGTCTCCATGGCATCAGCAGCAGAATAGACCAACCGGAATTTGGTTTACTCAGTGCGTCTAACCACACTGGAGATGATGCAGAAATTAACTTCTGGGCGAGCTGGTCCCATCGCGCAGCCAAATGGGGTTGGCCCCCTTGTGGAGCCTTATTGGCGAGCTCCCCCACCCGGGTCGCCGCGATCTATTCCTTCTATCCTTTCGGGAACAAGTGGCCTACGACTTGGAAGAACTTGGAATGCTCCATTAATGGAGTTATATTTAAATCTCGACGGGTTGAAAGCAAGGTCCGAAAGGAAATTGACGCTATCCTTGGTAGTTAGGATGCCCTCTCTCGAAGAGGAATCCTGCAGATTTGCTCCGTCGTTGATAAAGTGTCTCTGTAAAAATTACTCCTTTTCCCCGTCGAGGAAGGAAACAAGAAATACTTTACGAGAGAGAGAGAGCAAGATTTGATGTCGACAGCCACAGTAAAATGGGTTCTCTTGGTGCAGGCGTCAGAGTCGCAGATATCCGGAGCCGGAGAACGTACTGGGATCTGCCAGAGTTCGAAACCTTGCCTGCGGCGTCAAGGGATCCCCAGCATCACGTTGAGTGCAAGTAGGGAGAGAGAGAGAGATGGGGCCTCCCGTTCCTACCCTTCCATTGCAGGGGTTCACGCACTTCGTGCTCTGCTCCGTTCTCGTATTGGACGAGGGGAGTTCCCCTGGCCTGCTCTGCTATCCTTGGATTGCCATTTGTGCCCGTTGCCGTGTTGCCTCGGACCTGTGCCCAACCCGGCGACGAATTTTAGGACACTACCATCCAAACCCCGTTACATGGCCCCTCCACCCATCCCTCTCTCTGTGAAGTAACCCGTCCAATGACTTCCCGGGCCAATATGAGGTGAGCCCAGATATCTTAACAGGCCGACAGTGGGTACCCAGTGGATCAAGAATGGGCCCAATCAACCCTGGCGCAAATTCCTCAGGAATCGAGCTTTTCAGAGTCTGCAGACCCAGATTCAAAGAGGAGAAGGTAGAGATAGATCCCCCAGCAAAATGCCGACTTTTCTTCAAAGACTCGCATTAAAATCATGAAGGCCGGGGGGTGCTCATCTACAGCTAGTGTCGGGTTGAACAACCAGCTGTTGGGCCCATTCAATTCGCATTTATCAGCCTGACCGACCAACCCTCAGAATGTTCGCTGTACCCATGTTATTAGGAGGGAGGCCCATCGTCCCTCTCACTTTGTAGCCCACCGTCGATTCCTCCCCTCTTATTACCGCCCCCAGCACACGGTTGCACATTCAGTGTGCCCATTAGCGAGAGAGAGAGAGGGTTGAGGGAACCAATCAGGTTGTCGGGGAGGAGCCCATGTGGCCGACGACTTGAAACATGGCAGCTGACAGCACCATCGCTATGCCGTGAAATGGACTACAGCGAAGCCAGTAGGGGGGAGACACGAGAACTGGTCACGCCATCAATCCGAACCAATTATTTGGCTTGAAGCGTGACAGCGACGTTCGACCAGCTTTATAGGCGAGCCGTCGAGGAGGAGGCGGGTGAGTAGTAGGATCAAGCTAGAGAGAACTGGTCGATAATGGAAGAGGTGATCCGAACATAGGTTAGAGGAGAGAGGGGGCAACAATGCCGAGAGCTGCACAAAACGATGGCTAGCTTGTTCTTCGACGCCGCTTCGTGGGTCAGCCCGCAGGGAAGAAGACGACCACCCACCTTCTCCGTTGTGAGAGGAAGGAAGCCCCACAAAACTAAAAACCAGGAAGGGTCAGGGTCAGATCAAGAGACTCCTCCCCCCCTCGCAACTTGGGAAGGGGGACGGTGGCGGCCCTTCCACCCCTAACTTTACGACCGGGGTAACCGTAATTGCGCCTTCATAAAACACTGCTGTGGGCAGATGAGTCTTCGTAGTAGAGCGGCGCCGCCGGCTTCCCGTCCTTGTCGAGGTTGGGCCTGCTGTGCTCCGCCCCGACTTCCACCAGCATCTTCACCACCCTGCGCATGGAAGGGCGGTTCATGGGGAGGTTGCTGGTGCAGAGGAGGGCGATGTTGAGGACCCTGAAGATCTCATTCTTGTAGCAGACGTCGAGCTTGGGGTCGAGGACGTGATCCACCCCCTTCGTCTCCAGGATGCTGCAGACCCACGACACAAGGTCCTTCTCCCCGTACTCCGGGTCGACGGGGGGCTTCCCCGTCACCAGTTCCAGCAGCACCACCCCGAAGCTGTAGGTATCGCTCTTCTCGTTCACGCGCAGAGTATAAGCGTACTCTACCAAACCAGAGATCGAACTAAAAATAAGTATAGACCAATTTGGCATGAATCAGAGAAGGGAAAATTCTGAGGGACGAACCTGGGGCGATGTATCCGCAAGAACCAGCGATGATAGACATGGATTTGACTCCCTTCCCCAGGGGCTCCACTGCCTTCGCCACTCCGAAGTCCGCCACCCGGGCCCCGAACTCGGCGTCCAGGAGGATGTTGTTGGACTTCACGTCCCTGTGGACGATGGGTGGCGCGCAGTCGTGATGGAGGTAGGAGAGGCCCTCGGCCGCGTCCATGGCGATCTTGTACCTCGTCGGCCAATCCAGAAAACCCGACTTGGGGCCGTGGAGAAGATCCCCCAGGCTTCCGTTGGGCATGTACTCGTAAACCAGGAGCCTCGAATCCTTGTAGGTGCAGCAGCACCACAGCTTCACAATGTTCTTGTGCCTGATCTTGCCCAGGGTAGAGATCTCTGCCTCGAAGGCGTCGCCGGCGGCGGGATTCTGTAGGTTGCCCTCTTGGTTGTCCCCCTTCTTTCCGGGGCTGCACCAGAGCTTCTTCACAGCCACGATCTCTCCATTGCTCAGCACCGCCTTGTAGACCTTCCCCGAACCCCCTGTTCCGATCAGGTTGTCCTCGTCGAGGGAGTGTAATATTTCGTGCTCTCTGAAACCCACCTTGTGGAACGAAGTAAGGGTCCATTTCGACTTGTCTGCCTCGTTCTTTGCCTTCTTGAACTTCATGCATCTCCAGTAGAACCAGGCCACGCCGACGACGAGGACTAGTCCGGCGAGTATGAAGATGGATCGGAGAAGCCAGAGATACCCCTGGTTCTTGGTGGAGCTTTCCTGGGAAGATGGACATAGCCCGGGCAAGTCGCCGCACAGACCAGGATTACCTAAGAAACTCGCCCTGAAGGCCTCGTCGGCAAAGAACGGAGGGAGGTCGCCGAAGAGCAGATTGTTGGAGAGATTGAACTTGTTCAGCTTGAGATTCTGCAATTCCGGAGGAATCTGCCCTGTGAAGCGGTTATTTGACAGATCAAGATAGTTCAGAACCGGGAGAGAGCCTAGCTCCGGCGGAATCCTGCCAGCGAATTTGTTGTCCGCGAGATTGAGCTCACTCAGCCTTCTCCATGCCTGGATTCCCCCGGGAAGCTCACCGGACAGCGAATTGTTGTGGAGGTCGATCTTCTGCAGCTCAACCAGATTGTTAAGTGTGGTTGGAAATGACCCTGTCAGCTGGTTATTATCAGCCGAGAACTCGTAGAGGGAAGTGATGGTCCCAATCTCCACGGGGATGTTACCAGAGAACTGGTTATTAGAAAGTATGAGATTCGAGAGGTTAATGGCTCCGGCAATAGCAGAGGAGATAACGCCGGAGAATCCGTTGTCGGCGACGTCCAGCAAGTAAACATGAGGCAAACCCCACATCCTCGACGGGAGCTCGCCTGAGAGGAGGTTGTTTTTCAGCCGAACCCGTTGCAGGCTCAGGCAGTTGCCAAGACCCTCAGGCAACGACCCGGAGAAGAAGTTGCCAATAAGCATCAGTTCTTCGAGAAAACCCTGCTCACATATGCTCGGTGGGATCTCTCCTGTGAACTGGTTGTCTGATAGGTCCACGACGGAGAGTGGCGAGTTCTTACCAAATTCCGCCGGAAGTGTCCCATTTAACTGATTGCTGAAAAGCCTGAGCTCCGAGAGTTTCCCAGCCCGTGAGATGATCTCAGGCAATCCTCCGACCAGGCGATTTTCGTACAGGTTGAAGCTGTCCAGGAGTGGCAGATCGAAGAAACCCGCTGGAATAGGGCCCTCCAGGCGGTTCATGGAGGCGTCGATCCGCCGGAGTGAGACGATCGAGGCCAAACCTTCTGGAATCTGCCCAGTCAGGGAGTTGTTGTAGAGCTCGATCTGAACGACGCTGGAGAGCCCCGCGAGCGACTCCGGTATGGGTCCATCGAGCTCGTTCCGAGAGATGTCGAGATTAAGGAGGCTGCGGAGGCGCCCGAGCGACGGAGGAATGTTGCCGACGAGGTTGCAGCCGGCCAACCAGAGGGTACGGAGCGCGGCCAGGTCGCCAATTTCCGCCGGAATAGGACCTGGGGTGAAAGGATTGTAGGAGAGGTTTAGCTGCTGTAGGGAGGTGACTTGCCCAAGAAAGCCGGGGATGGTGCCGGTGAGCAGGTTGGCGACTAGAGATAGGTTCTCGAGGTGGGAAAAGCGTCCGAAGGTGGGGGGAATCGGGCCCGAGAAGTTGTTTCCGGTGAGGTCGAGATGGCGGAGGAGAGGGAGGGAGGCGAGGGCAGAGGGCAGAGGGCCGACGAGGAGATTCTCCGAGAGGTCGAGGTGAACGAGGGCGGGGCATGGGGAGAGGGCGGCATCGGGAAGGCTGGAGTTGATGAAGTTCCTCGCGAGGGAGATGTAGGACAGGTTGGGAATGCGGCAGAGGAGAGGGTGGAAGGGCCCCTGGAGCTCCCGCCCGACGATTTCAATGGCGGAAACGTAGCCGGCGGCGGAGCAGGTGACGCCGGTCCAGTTGCAGGGGGACAGATCCCGGGGGTTCCAGTCGGAGAGGACCTTCAAAGGGTCGTCGAGCCCGGCCTTGAACTTCAGGAGGTAGAGGCCCTCCTGGTTAAGAGAAAACGCTAGGTGGGTCTCGAAGAGGACGAGCAGGAGGAGGCGGGAGAAGGAGGAGGCGAAGACACGGCGGCGGTGCATGGCCGCCGGAGGGAAGAAGCGAGCCGGTGGAGGAAGACGATAGGGGAGAAGAGAGAAGGCTCCTCCGGCCACCGCCCAACTTCCACTTCTTATTCTCCGACGATCGAGCGGCGATGGAGGTCCCCCCCCCCCTCCCCCCAGTGTGGGTATCGGGCTGGGTTGTCGCAGCGCGCAGAAGACCTGGCGTGGGGTTGCGCAGGGAGGCGGCGGGCAGCGGCTGGTGGGTGGCGGGGAGGAGGGAGGTGGTTCATGAGAAGGCTGTGCGTGGGACCTCCCAAATATACCAGAAATTAGACCAATCCCCTATTTCCAAATTTTTTAATCCCTCATATCTCTTTCCGTTAAATGCCCCTTTTTTCCTGTCGCGGCGGGGCCTCTGACGCGACAGACTCATCCTCTCCCCCTCCCCTCGGTTCGTTAGCAGCCGGAGACGACGAACCCACACATGATACACAGTCACTCACTCATCAGAGAGATGATCAATGGTCTGCAGGTTGGCTCGTCTGCCGCCGAACAAGGCGGTGGCAGTGACGAGTCAATCCGAACCGCCGCCTGGCGATCCTTCAAATCAGTGGACTCGCCGGGGGAGGCTAGTGGTGGGGCTACTCGGCGTGACTCGGGAGCCGAGACCCACCCACCTGCCGAGTTGATCTCTGCGTTACCAGACGGAAAGCATGGCCGCCCTGAGCTTAGGGGACGAGTACGGCGGCGCAGCGAAGCTGGCACGGCAACTGACGACTCGGACAGCACCCACAGTTCACCCTCCCGTCCCTGGCGAGTCAAGTCCATTGCCCGTCAACTGGGCAGCCCCCCCCCCCCCCACCTCCCCCCGCGGACAAGCCCTCTGGGGTACGTCGGATTCCCTTCTTCCCTTCCTCTCTCTACAGTCTGGCGGGGGCAGCGAGTTTTGATGGGGCGAAGACGCCATGCGGCGAAAAGGCCGCTCAGGAGGAGGTCATCTGCCAAACCTCGTGGCCAGTGTGGAACCACCGAGGAAGAGAGAGAGAGAGCTTGGGCGCACGGGTTATTATAAATGCTTGTGGGGAAGCTGCGGACCCGATCTCCGATGTCCGCTGTAGGCTGCGACTGCACTGTGCGGGGGAGCCGTAAGGTTCCTCCCCAGGAGAACCATCATCTTCGTCTCTCCACAGTCTCTTAGCGAGCGCAGGGAGACGCATCGGCGGTCAATGAAAGCGACGCGTCGGATTCAATGGGTTGGGGGGGGCGAGGGGGCCGAGGCAGTGCAGATTTCCTCCGGCGACTCTGCGGCGGCGCCGTTCGTGCGACCGGGTTGGCTTCCTCTCGCACGAGGGGCCCCTGATCGCCGGGACAGGATGAGGATCCTCCTCCCCCCCGTGGCTGAGGTTTCTGCACCATTCGATCAGGCGCAGGCAGCCGACAGCTTTGAATTCTGCCGCTTGGCGTTTAAGCATTATCTATTGGAGAATCTGACGAACACATCGCCGTCGCCGCCGAAGCTCCGGCGAATAGGACGGAGAGCGGGAATCGAATCGGAAGTTCAAGTGGGCACCCGTCAACGTCAACGGGAATGACGTCGCGGGTCGTTTGAAGTCCGGCGGGAGTGACTTTGAAGCTTTTCGGCGCTGGCGGAGGGGCGGCGAGCCGCTCGCTTCGCCGCCGAAGCTTCGACGGGTGGGCGGGGCACTCTTTTCTGCTCTCATTAAATTTAATCTCAGGAGGTAGGAGGAGGTTTAATAGCGCCATTGAAGCATTTCATAAAGCGCGAGGTTGACCAGACCGGACCGGAGTAGGAGAAATTCAGTGCGGCCCACGAAGCGGAGGGGGGGGTGGGGCGGCCGGTTTATGCACCTACCCCCATTACGGTGTAAAATAGGAGATTAATGGGCATGACGAAGCGCCTCATCAAAAGGGTTCACTCAGTGGCTTCCGCCCCTACTGGGATGGATTCCTTTTCTGCTTTAAGCCCTAGATCTAGTAGCTCTCGCTATCTCTATCTCTATCTCTATCTCTATCGCATCCTTTCACGGGAGCTGAACCCATTGACTGGTTCAGTGGCCGATTCCCAAGTGCGGGAGCTGCTTTAAAACGAGCTCCACTCGCACGAGCGCGAATGATTGTGCACAAAACCGCGCGCATGCCGCCGCCGCCGCCCACTCTCCCCACCAGCGCCGCGTTTCGCCGCCATGTGTTCCGGCACCGGGAAAACCGAGCTCCCTGCCTTGTCTACGGCCGCCGTAGAATCGTAGCCACCCGGGGTACACCTCGCGTAGGGTTTCACGGCGAGGCATTTTGCGAGTGAGGAGCAAGAAGATGCCTTCCGTCCACCAACGATCAATGAATGCTACAGTGCCCACCGGAGGATTTGTTTATTTTGCCCGCCGCCGATCAGCATTTAAAACAAGACTGGCCCGTGGGCGTCGAGCCGGCGATAGGACCACGTCCACCGCTCGCCGGTGCAACTCCACCGGGGGATAATCCGGCAGGAAGTCCCTCGGCGGAAAGGATACTCACCACTGCAGATAGTTGCGGGAACTGCACGGGAAGAGAGATCCCCGGTCTAGTCCCCTTCGTTCCGTCCTCTCAGCGGACCTATCTGTCTCCATGGGCCCCTATCCGTGCCCACCGTTCACCGAGCCAGCCGCCATGAGAACCACCCGAAGCTTGAGCTTGAATGTTAAACTCTTCTGTGGGGATCCTCGTGGGAAGGGAGCTGATGGGACGCCGGAAAGCAAGTTGACAGACGTGATTCTCCTGGCATTTATACCGCCGATGTGTTTCCTCTTGTGCTGATCTTCTGCCAGATTTCTCGTCTGAGCGGTTCACCCAGAAGCAGGAATGAGAAGGCCATCAAAACCCATGAAAAACTACGCCGCTTGGCATAAAGAATCGTAGTACCCTCGAAGCGAGATGCGTCCATAATGGGCTGGGCTCAACGGAGCTTGCCTCCTTTCGGGGAAGGAAGAAGATCACGTCACCGAGTCCTCCATCAAACACATCTGATCCAAAGCGCGAGTAAGTTGACGAAGTAATAAGACGTTTATTGACTGAACATGGGCAGCACAATCGAGGATGAAGGTTCCGTACGCTTGAGTTAATTAATGTCACGACCATTTGAAATGAAAAGATTATCTGTCATATACTGTCCCCCGACTGCAGGCCGAGTCAACGGTTTGACTATCTACCGTGGGACGACAGACCCACCTAGCCTGCCCACGCTGCAGTCATTCGGAACTCCCACGGGGCATAATCGCAGGGAAGAATCCAAGGTCATAAATTCTGAAATAAATTATCCGTAGATTAAAGCACATTAATGCCAACTCCCCTCCTGGAAATCATTCAAGACTCCAACTTGTCGGATCCTGCGGCAAGTTTATGAGAACCACAGCTTGGTATAAGTGGGGGGGTTGAACGAGATGGGCCGAGCTTCGATGGGCCCAGCTCGCGCCCATAGCATTTTATAGGGTCTGAAGTCAACTTGAGCCCAGAAAGAGGTTACGGGCCCTAACTCTTTGAAGCCCGGACCTTATAAATGAGCAGTCAGGGGTGGGTCAGGTCTACTCAGCTAGAACAAGTCTGATCCCGGACTAGGGTTGGTCGAGGTCTCGGATCGACCCCCCTCAACCAAACTAGGTTTTTCTGGTAATCGCCTTTGCAGAACATGCTCTCTTTAGTATCGGATAAATCTCTAATTTCGCTCAGTTTTTATGACACCTAGTGATTTGAAGCTACAAAAACTAAAAATCCATCTACAAAGGTAGTGCTTCAAATCACTTGAATGGGTGTGTTGTGGCCTGAAAACACTTTCAGGATCATATGAATTCAGGGATCATCGAGAGAAGGGATGTGCCCGTCTGGAGGGACATGTTCGGTGATGTCTTGGTGGTGTAGAGAACGCCTGCTCACATGCAGAGATTTCTTGGTCGAGCGTCCGCCAATTTGTTGGGTTGCCCGAAGATGGAGACGTCTTATCCCGCTAGGTTTACACTGGAGGATTGGTGGGAACCCCGCGTGAACAAGAGAGAAAGGGTCGTGGTACGGGATTATGGTGAGTGGAATTGGTTCACACTAGAGGACAAAGGGAGATTAATGGGAAAGAGAGACGACGTGAGGGAGAGGGATGGAAGAGGATAATGACCCTTAGAGCGAGTCAGACCCCACGAGTATTCTGTTCCTCCCCTCGCGGTAGGAGCTTCCGTGTCTAAATAATGCTGCGTCGTGGAAGAGGAGGCGTTCGTGCAGTTGGTGCGTCCTGACCTTGTGGAGCTTCCGGTGAGTACTAGGGTCGTGCGGGTGAAGTGGTGGGCGGTTGTGGTGAGAACGGGTCTATGGTGGTTGGAGGGTTTCATCAAGGAAGAAGACGGAAAACTGTGAAGACGGAGAAATTTTCCGACGCGGGAGGGGGAACCCGGGAAAGTTATAGGGCGAGAAGAGATTGACCGTGGAACCTGGAACTCGTCGCAACGGGGGCATGCCTCCGTTTGAGTGTTCTTCAGGGTTTAGGTAACGCCGTCTACGTTCGCGTTCCCCCAGTTCTTTGGTGCTCGTCTCGCGTTGCACCAGCCGTTTGCCAATGCATCTTTATAATCTTGGGAGAGGGGAAAAGACGGGTTCTCTCTCCAAAGGGAAGAAGCAAAGCTTCTTTTCTCTCCCCGCAATGCATCAGACACGTTTCCCATCCATCTCAGTAACTTGCACGCGAACCCCTCCTTCTTACATATAATTAACGGCTCCCCGCCGCTTCCCACCCGACCCCCCGGCCGGAAACCGTCTTCCTCGATCTTAAGGTGGGAACCGAGAAGAGAAGAGGAGGGACGAAGTATCAGTGGAGCGATTGATGGAGGCGGCGAAGGTGAAGGACATGGAGGCACAGGCGCACGAAGAGCCTCTCTTGAACGACAAACAAGATCGCCAGTCCAGCTTACAGCAAGCGATCAGCCAGACGTTCAAGAGCGCCGCCCACCTCGCGAATCTTTTGCCGACGGGGACCGTCCTCGTTTTCCAGATCCTCTCGCCCATCTTCACAAACCAAGGCCAGTGCGATGCGGTCAACCGCACCATGGAAGGAGGCCTGCTGGCTCTCTGCGGCATGTCCTGCCTCCTCCTCAGTTTCACCGACAGCTTCAGGGACGCCAAGGGGAACGTCCGCTACGGGTTGGCCACGACCAAGGGGCTCTGGGTCATCGACGGCACCGCCGGGCCGCCACCTGAGGAGGCGGCGGCATACAAGATCAAATTCATAGACTTCATGCATGGCTTCATGTCCTTGTTTGTCTTCGCAGCGGTTGCTCTCTTCGATCAGAATGTGGTCTCCTGTTTCTACCCGATCCCATCAAAGCAGACGGAGGAGGTCCTGAGGTCGTTGCCCGTCGGGATTGGGGTCATCTCTAGCATGCTCTTCGTCGTCTTCCCGACGACCCGCCATGGAATCGGTTTCCCCCTCTCCTCCAAGTGATCTCCTTCATCTTCTTATTCATAAACCCGGAAATACTTTCAAAACGCATTTTTTAAAAGGGACGATTGGAATTCTTCTGAACGAAAATTGCTTGAGTCGCTATCGAATTTGTCTTGTAAGCCAAAAAATCAATGAAAATAACAAAACCCCTGCTCGGTCATCTTATACGATTGAGGAAACAACAACGTTCAGGAATAAGTGGCCGCATTATTCAATTATATATCGAAAGATAAATCATTTATGTTACACAAACGTCGTATAGTAGATCAAATAAAGGCTGATGATTAATATTTCTAGAGGAGGGCTTATTGAGCAGGAGCACTAAGTGAGGTGGTCAAGCGGTCAATCAATGATTGAATAAAATTTCTGTCCTAAATACGGAATATGAGAGAGAAAATGTGAAGTTTTGACAAGACATGCCTTCAATAATCAATGTTCGTGCCCCGGATGACTCCCAGCTACGATAATTTCCATACAAGGACTCGTCTGTACTGCTCGGTTGGCTACGGAGCACCCTCAGAAAATATCAAGCGGGAGAACAAGCCTATTGTGATTAAGATGTGAAGGTGGAACTAAGAACGTCACAATTAAGCCGAATACAACGGAGATCAATTAGGCTCAAATCATCTTTGCAACCATGTTTTATAATTATATGAAGAGAAAAATAAGTATGATGTAAACACACCATCTTCCCTCGCATTTATTACAGCAAGGGAGCATGTGGGCCGGGCATCCTCAGGCCAGCCCAGGTCGCTCAACTCCCTCCCTCCTCTCCCTCTTTCTCTGTCTAACTGTAACCCTTGAAGGATCTACCCTTAAGATCCTAGAAAATCCTAAGAAGAAGATTCAAGAGAGAAGGAAAATCAAGATCCGCCCCCTTTGCGTTCTCTGCACAGATCCTTATAAAGGACCAGGTCGTACACCTTGCAGAGTAACGCCGTTAAGGCAGTTACCTGCTGACAGCTACCTCCGTGGCAGCATCACGACCGTAGTAACCTCTTAGGAATGGTCGTGATTAAAAGAGACAGGGAGGAGAGAGAAAGTTCAAAAAAAAAAAACCTAAAAAATGAACGCCAAGATTCAGTTTCATTGCAGAATTTTGACAAACGCTCCGATTTTGTAATTGATTCCACGTGCTTATCTCCAACATGCTCCTCCTAAAGCTCACGAATGATCATCAACGTCTTGAACTCCAGCTAGCATGCAGAAACCTGTAAACTTGATGTGTCTGAGTGACTTGGTGAGAATATCCGCTCGCTGCTCTTCTATTAGTACATGAAGCACCTCAACCTCTTTGTCTTCAATGCATTTTCTCACATAATGATAGCAAATTTTGATATATTTCGAGTGACTGTGAAAAGTAGGATTCTTGACCAATTTAATTGCAGATTGATTGTCCACAAAAATATTAACTGATTTGAGATTCTTTCTAGTCAATTCATTGAGAAAATCAACCAACCAGATGCCTTGGTTAGTTGAAAGAGTGAGGGAGACATACTCAGCTTCACATGAGGATAGAGCCACTATCCTTTGTTTCTGAGACATCCAAATTACTACATTTTCATTGAGAAAGAAAATAAACTTGGAGGTGCTCTTTCTTCCCTTTGTGTCTCTATCATAATCACTATCACAGTAATACTTTAGATCAAAATTCCTTCCCTTCTTGTATTTCAATCCAAAACCAAGCGTCCCCTTGACATATTTGAACATTCTTTTAGCACATTTTAGATGTTCGGATGTAGGATTATCCATATATCTGTTGAGAAATCCCACACTAAAAAGTAAATCAGGCCTAGTATGAGTTAGGTACTTCAATGAACCCATTAGGCTTCTGTATAAAGTCAGATCCATTTTTGCACCTTTCACTTGATTAAACCTTGGTCTAAGTTCAAGAAGGGTGAGTGACTAATTACAATTCAGTATTTCAAATGCCTTCAATATCTTTAATAAAAATATTTTCTGTGATAAAATAATCTCACATTTGAGCTGACTTACTTGAATTCCCAAATAAGAAGAGAGAAGCCCCAAATTTATCATCTTGAATAATGTTGACATGTTATTTTTGAAAAACATAATTTCATCTTCAAGAGTTCTTGTGATGAGCAAGTCATCAACATAGATTCCCACACATAGGTGAGAATTTGTCAACTTCTTGAAGTAGACTGTAGGTTCATAACCACTTTTAGTCAAACCCAAGGATTGAAGACTTTTATCAAACTTCGAGTACCAAGCTCTGGGAGTTTGTTTCAAACCGTATAAAGTATTTTTCAATTTCTAAATCATGTGCTCCTTGCCTTCAATTTCAAAACCTTTCGGCTATCTAACATAGATATCTTCATCAATAACACCATTCAAAAATGCGGACTTCATGCCCATGTGATAGACCCTCTAATAAAATTAGACTGCAATAACTAGAAGGACATGGATAGTCTCTAATCAAGTTACATGTGAGAAAACATCAGTGAAGACATACATCTGAACATAAACTTTTGCCATCAGATGAGTCTTGTGTTTGAGTATTTCACTAGATAGGCCTCTCTTGATCTTGAAGACCCATTTGAGCCCAATTGATTTGCACCCTCGATGGGGGGCAATTAGGCTCCATGTCTGGTTCTTTTTAATTTGCATTATATCATCAAACATAGCCTTACTTCAAACTTCACACTTTAGAGCTTCAGTGAAGTTTTCTAGCTCATCCTCTATAGTAAAGGAGCATACTTCATCTTCATTCATCAATTCTCGAGTTTCAACATAGAGTTGAGTAAGATCTTTAAATCTTTGAGACTAAATATGTTCATATGAGCTAGAGACATCAGTTAGTATATCTTCTCTTCCATTCTCAGTCGCATTAGAGGTGATTTCTTCTGGTTTAGTGCTATCATTGACCTGGTCAACATTGGGGTTAAAAATAGAGTGTGAAATATTCACGCATGTCTTTGTTTTCAAAGTAGAATTATCTCAATTCTAATACTTCTACTCTTCAAGAATAACATCCTTCATGATGTGCATTGATCTAGTGGATGGATCAAAAGCTTGGAAACCTTTAATACCTCTTTCATAGCCAAGAAAAATCATGAGAAGGCTTCATCATCTAGCTTCTTTAGACTTCCACCTAAGATTTTAGCATGCATAATAGATCTAGAAGTACAAAGATGGTCAACTTGAGGCTTTCTTCCAATCCATGCTTCATATGGAGTCAAATTCTCTAGGCTCTTAGTTGGAGCTTGATTTAGCAAGTAGATTGCAGTGCTAACAGCTTCTCCTTAAAATTTTCGAGGTAAATTCTTTGACTTGAGCATGGATCTTACCATATCTAATATTGTGCGATTGTGTCTCTCCATCACTCCATTATGCTGTGAAGAGTAAGGTACAGTAAATTGACTTCTGATGTCATGTTTATCACAAAAAAAGAAAAATTTCTTCAAGTTGAATTCTCCACCTTGATTTGTCCTTAAGTGACTAATTTTGATAGACTAGCTTCAACCATCAATTTAAACTTCTAGAAGGTTTCAAATGCCTCTGACTTCTTCTTCAACAAAGAGATCCACATCAGTCTCGTGTGATTATCTACAAAAAGTAAGAAATACTTACTTTTTCTCAGAGTTTCAGGCTCAATAGGATCGCATAAATCACCATAAATTAGTTCAAGTGGTCTTGAAGCTTTGAAAGTAGAGACTGATGGAAATAGAGCTCTACTTTACTTTGACTTAACACAGTCAACATAAAGATCTTCTTCCTTCTGAATTTTTGAGAGTTTATTGACCATGTTATGAGAAGAAAAGAGTTTTAAGGAACCAAAGTTCAAATGTCCATACCTCTTATGCCATAGTCATAAAGTGTTATCCTTGATGTGAAGATAATTTTCTACAATATTAAACATCATAAGATATAATTTTCTCGAATCTCTTTTGACTTTGGTCAAAAGTCTTCCTCTTGGGTCATGAATAGTCAAGACTCTATTGTGTAAGTAGATGTTGAACCCTTGTTCATCTAATCTTCTGAGACTTAAAATATTAGCTTTTAAACTTGGTGTGTATAGAACATTAACTAGAATAATTATGTCTCCACTTCTTGTATTTAAAACAATGTTACCTCTGCCTTCAATGTTAATTTGAGAATCATCTCTAAATCTCACTCTTTCTTTATAAGAATCATCAAATTCATGGAAGAGTGATCTCTCACCCGTCATGTGTGAGGTAACTCTTGTGTCAAGATATTAGAGTCCTTTGTCTAAATTGAAATGTGAAATTCCTTAGAGGACTTCATTTACTTCAAATGTCATAAGGAGAGTCGTCTTTGTGATCTGTTCTTTTGTAACATTTGCCTTTTCTTCATCATTTTTCGATCTCTTTTTCTTAGGAAACCAACACTCATTTGAGTAGTGTCCCTTCTTCTTGTAATTATAACAAGTCACCTTGGACTTATCTTTAAAGAATGATTTATCATCACTATCTTCAATCTTGAAAGAGCATCTTCCACTTCCTTTGCCACAACTTCTCCCTCTACCGTGACCTCTACCTCTACCACGATTTCTATCACTATGGGCTTTCTGCTCTTCTTTCCTTATGGCTCATACGAAAAGCACCTTCTCCTCCCTCTTAATCAAATGGTCTTTCAATTTATCTTCATGAACATCTAAAGTGCTAATGATCTCCTCCACTGAAATCGTGTGAGGTTCTGAAATTGCTCAATTAAAATAGTAATTGAGTCAAATTTACTTGAGACCGAAAGAAGCAACTTAAAGGCGACATCAAGATCCAAAATCTTTTTGTTGAGACCTCTGAGCTCAAGCACCATGTAGGATAGTTTGCTGAAGAAATTAATGACAAGTTCATCATTGTCCATATAAAGATTTTTGAAATCTCACTTGAGGGACTGAATGCAAGCCATGCACAGCCGTAAAACTCCTCCATTCTTCACCTTTAAGAGAGATCATGTCTGCTTCACAAACTTGTCCACATTGAGTTCACACGTTATTTCCTCAGAAATGATGTTGAACAAGATTGACATAACATGTATGTTTGTCTTTCTTGCATGATTTTCTGACTCAATGACGTCCCAAAGCTCAAGAATTTCTAGATGCAAATGTACACGAACAGCTCATACTTTGTAGTTTAGCTTGTTGAGGACTGGAAAAAATATTGATCTGAGTAGGTTGCTCAGCTCCCTTCACTCCTCTTGTAACTGTAAGATCGTGAGAAAAACCTTTTCTCTTCCACAGAGCTATCGCTATCGATAACAATCGTTGGTGTTGACACGAGAAGGAAAAACCTTAAAATTCATAAAACCTTAAGATAAAATACATGACTCTATATAAGAAAGATGAGAGAGAGAGAGAGATAATGAGTCATAGTGGGTCGAGAGTTCGATAGCACGATTAAACACTCTCCCTCAAGTTGGAACATTTAAGTTGAACATGCACAACTTAATACATGTGACATCGTAGAAGATGAGAATCAAACTCTTCATAAAGACGTTTATAAGTTGATGAGATGATACCACATAAAGAGTAGAAATAAGCCTAAATATAACCTTATCTTGAATGTAATGACAGTCGATCTCCATGTGTTTCGTACGCTCATAAAAGGTGAGATTACTACTAATGGAGATGACAATTTGACTGTCTCAATACATGGGCATTAGAGAGTGAGAAGTAATATCGAGATCGTTGAGAAGTGATCGAAGTCATACTATTTCCTCCGATTATCTCAACCATAATTGAATATTTAGATTCTACACTGGAGTAGGACACCACCCTTTATTTTCAAGACTGCTAGGTGACTAAGTTATCGTCAATATATGTGCCATAACTTATAGTAGATTTTCAGTCGCCCTTGTCACATGCATACCCAATGTTAGAGTAGGTTGCAATGCGGAGATGGGCTTGTTGCTGATAGATGAGCCCTTTCCTTAATAATTACTTGATATAGGCGAGAAATTGTAGAGCTCCTTCTCAATGAATTCGTTAAGGCTCATGCATGAACTGGCTCAAGACATTAACCATGTACATGATATCAGAATGAGTGACAGTGAGATATATCAATTTGCCCAACAATCGCGGATACTAGTTAACATCATCGAGTAGGAGAGATAGTGTCCTAAAACTACATGCAAGCTTCCATAGGTGAAGTTTCTAGCTTGCACCCAAAGAGGCATATCTCTTTAAGTATGTCAAGGACATATGTGAGTGAGGGCGAGCTTCTCGTCCTGATCCACAAACTCAATCCCAAGGAAATACAGCAAAATCCTTAAGTCACGAATGTTGAGATGTTGCTGCAAGTAAACTTTGGTAGCAAAGATGCCAGCCTCATCACTTATAGTAACAAGAATGTCGTCGACATAGACTACAAGGATGATAAGGCCACCCTTTATCTTCTTTGTGAGCACGGTTGGGTCTGCAGTACATGAGGTGAAGCCAAAGGTGGTTAGTAAATTATTAAACTTGGTGAATCAATCATATGGACTCTGCTTGAACTCATAAATGGCATGTCACATGAGACACACCTTTGATGACTCCTCCTAAGCAACATACTCAAGAGGTTACTTTATAAAGACTTACTCCGCGAGATCACCATAAAGAAAAATATTAGAAATATTTAATTGGTAGAGAGATCATGCTTGATTGACAGCAAGAGAGAAGAGCACGCAAATGAAGTTGAGGAGAACGATAAGAGAAAACGTCTCAGTGTAGTCAATCTCATATGCATGTGTGAAACCTCGAGTGACCAAACAAACTTTGTGATGAGCGATGGAGTCATCTAGGTGATATTTGATAGTAAACACTCACTTGCACATCACAATGTTGACATCAGTTAGGTGCAGAACCAAATGTCAAGTCCTCCGAGCGACCAAAGTAATTACTTTCGAATCTATGGCCACCTTTCACACAAGTACTTGTGTAACCTCAACATACAATCGTGGAAGCAACTCAAAGGCCATGGAGAAGGCAAAGGCACAAAAAGAGGGAGAAATACAATCATAAGAGATAAATTGGGAGATAGAATGGTGGGTGCATGTGTGTATATCTTTGCGGAGGGCAATAAGGAGATGAAGGTCATTAGGTGGAGTAACAACCGAAGGTGTGGAGGGGATCGTAGGAGAGGATGAGGAAGATATTACATCCGAAGTAAGAAGAGTTATGGGAGACATGGGCCGAAGAGAGGTGGGCACAAGTAACGACCCCAAAGAGAGTGGACATGAGGGAAGATGTAACGGCTTGAAGATGAGGAGTCAAAATAGAGGAGAAGAAAAGAGACTCTTCATAGAAAGTGACATCGGTTGAGGTCACATAACGATATATATCAGAGAAGTAGACCCAATAGTCTTTCTACGTGTGAGAGTAGTCGACAAAGATCTCTTTAAGAACACGAGGGGCGAGTTTAGAAAGAGAAGAAGATGAACTTTGGACAAAGACAGTGCATCTAAAAACCCAAGGGAGGAAAAAAATTAAAAAATCATGGATTAAGCGATGGAGATGAATGACCCCCAAGAGAAGTAGAGGGAAGCTGATTCTAGAGGTAAGTGATAGTCAAAAAAATGTCAACCTAGAGATAGTGGTGTACATTCATCTCAATAATAAATGTGTGAGTGATGTCAAAGAGCTAGTGATGTTTACATTCGGCAACATCATTTTATTGCAAAGTGTGGAAACAGATGGTATAGTAGATGATTTTACGATCATCGCAGAAGTTGTGGAGAGATTCTTAGACAAATTCAATAGCGTCATCATTACAAAGAATCTTGAGCGTAATGGTGAATTGGCTGATAACTTTGGTGATGAAGTAGGTAACCACAATGACGACCTCAGAGTGGTCGTAGATGAGGTAGACCTAGCTCACATGAGTATAGTCATCAATAAAAATGATGTAGTAATGATGGCTCAAGATGGAGGAAGTATGAGATGGGTCTTATACAATGCAATAGAAAAGGTCAAATGAAGCAGAAAAAGAGATGTCATCACTACTATGATAAGAAGCACGGTGATATTTATCCAACTGACAAGACTCGTACACAAACTTAAAGAGAGAAAGTAACGATAAGATTTTTTGTAATTTAGGGAAACAAAGATGACTTAAACGACGATGTCACAAAAGAAGAGAAGTAGTCGTAGAGGCAACAAAAAGGGCCCGAAGATCAAATGAGTGTTTATTAGAAATGAGTTTATAGATACCCCGCCTGTTTCCACAACCCAAACTAATCCTCTATCTGGTATGCAGATCCTAGAAAGTATAGTGAAAAGAAAAGAATGTAATTGCACAAAAAAAAATACGATTAATAACACTGATGAAAAAAAAAATAGTAGAAAAATCGAAAACATAAATAACTTAGATGAGGTGAAGGGAGGGAGAAGCCGAGGTGGCACCATAACCTTTGACTAGATAGATCTAACCATTGGCAATGATGACAAGTAGATGAGTCGAGGTAGATTGATAGGAGGAGAGAATAATAGAGATATCAGTCATATGGGTGGAGGCCTTTAAATCAATAATCTACGACGTCGAAGATGAAGTAAAGAGAGCGTGTATATATGACGTGGAAGAGGCCGAAAGCAAGGCGAGGCTGACAGAGGTGAAAACATCGATACCATTAGCGTGGTGTCATACTCTGTAAACGTCAAAATCGTGGAAAGTAAGAGCTGGAACATCAAATGGACTAAGAGACGCCAAAGTCGGAGAAGTTATCACCAACTGGGATCGGACAACAGGTCCGGGTATCACAAATGCTCTAATACCAACTGAAGGATCTACTTTTACGATTTTAAAAAATCCTAAGAAGAAGATTCAAGAGAGGAATAAAATCAAGATCCGCCCCATTTGTGTTCTCAACAGTCGTTATTAAAAGAGATACGGAGGAGAGAGAAAGTTCAAAAGAAAATCAAAACACGAAAAATAAAGTTATATCGATGCGGCCTCCGACGGGTTCAGCCGCAGGAGCGTTCTCGGCACGGGCCGCCGAGGCGGACGGCCGAGTTTTCGAGGCCAAAACGGTCCAATATCGTCTAGAGCTGAGCAACGTCTCGCCTCGGCTCCTCCTCCAAGATCAAGTTTCCCTCGTCAGACTACCTCCCCCACGTCGTGTCCATCTCGGGCTACTCTGAATCCCCAGCGAGAGGATTGTCTGGTCTTCTACTCTTACAAGACATGGCGAACCACTCGTCGACTCCACTGGGATGGATCCGCCGCCCAAGGATAGCGGCCGCCGTAGCATGTGTTGTCGAACACCTGCCCGAAGGGACCGCCGCAAATCGTCCACGGGGGAATGAAATCCGGCGACATTACGATAGGTCGCAAGCTCTCGCCGGAGGACTACGAGTTCGGGGTATCCATACGCCACCAGCAAGACACAAGAGCCCGGGGGGGTACGTAGACGGGGAATGCCGGAAGGAGAAGGGGGTCGTCTCCAAGGCTTGCGAGGTGTGCGGGCTCGGCGTGGCCTTGTAGGAGCTCTTGGTATGGAGGAGAGAAGTTGGCGTCACTGTCGAGTGGGCTCTGGTTCAAGGTTGGTCAAGGCGGCTTCTGCCTGTGTTGGCAGGCCCGTTGAGAGGAGCCCCTTTGTTCATGTGGCCACCATCTTCAATTACTCGAAGTCTCTTTGGTTGGGCATTATCTCGGAGAGATTTACAGCTCTCTGCAGCTGGGCCTAAGAAGGCTTACGCCGCAGACCCACTGGACAACATTTGGCTCTGCCAAGTTGGCTGGCACTGAAAACTCTATAAAAAATATCGTTCGGGCTCCAACGCCAGGTTGCTCGACCTTGTCGTGCCCCGGATCTCCTCTTGGATCCAAATCTAGGACAATCGCAGGCCCAGAGCACGACCCCGGTCGATTTTTCTAAACTTGAGCTTCAAGGAAGGTCCACATAGAACAACAGGCCAATTGCTGAATCCGACAAGGTCTGGGTCAAAAAGTCTGAAACCTTTTTCTTCGAAAAAATTAGACTGATTTTCCTATAAATTCGTTAGTCTGCTTAGTCCGACTAAGAAAGATTACTGTCTTTATTAATTGTCTCAATTTAGTGTACGACTCGAATGGGGACTATCAAAAGAGTGACCCTCTGGAGACGGCCGCGTCTATCAGATCCGGAGGAGCCCTGCCCACGCAATCTCCCCGGGGCCCGGAAGCTTCGCCCCAAAGTTACACCGACTCCGGTCAGCGATGTGACGCGCCGGGCGTGTCTTCCGGGAGACGCTTCGGTGTAACTCGGCGGAGAAAGGTCGATCTGTACAGTCAATCGCCATCGTTCGGTCGTAATCTTGGTTGAAGTCATCTGCAGCTTCCGGTGAGTGAACTATGGCAATCAGTGGAGTGATTCGCTCTCTCTTAACCCAGGCCGTCATGCGCCAGGTGATGGCGCGGTGGCGGCCGGAGGGGCTAGCGAGGCTGTGGTTAATCGACGAGAAGAGAAAGAACACGAGACTGGCAAGTGCCCTTTCCCCGGGTTGGCCCAAGGCCCCTCCATGGAAGCGTTCAGAACACGGAACCTCCCGGAATAGACCGATCTTCCCCGGCTATGATCCCGATTGAGACGGCTTATGATGCCAGCCAAGAAGGACGTTGCATGCCCATACCTGTTCGATGACTTGCCAAATAAGCTTAGTATCTCACGCAGCAAGTCGCATTTTTGGCCATTTATTGCTCGACTGCAACAACGCCACCACTTCTCTGGGAGAGAGAGAGAGATGGGAGGCGGCTAGGGTTTCCATGCAGTTGAATCTTTCAAGACACTCCATCGTGACATCGGAAATAAATCTTCCATTTTTTCTCCCCATTTGGCCTCTAAATATCCCCGCTTCTTCTTCTTCGTCCTCTACCCTTCTCTCACGAAAGGTGGTGAAATGTCTCTCGAAATGGAGATTACCTCGTCTTCAATCAAGCTTGCTCTTCCTGCTCGCCTCTCTTCACCTGCCAAGCCCGGCTCTTATTTCACGGTCAGAGTGCCCGGGCTGTTTGTATTCCTGGGTTCTACGTTCCTGTGATAGAATGAAGATAAAACGTTTACATAGGTTTAAAAGTGAACCCGTCAAATCCCGTGTATTTATCCACACAGCAAGCCAAAACTTGAGGACCAAGAAACCCATTATCAATTTTCAGAATCTCTCTCTCTCTCTCTCTCTCTCTCTCTATCTCTCGTAAATGATTTCCTCCCTTTGTCCTTCCTCCTATTTATCAATAACAAAGATTGTTTTCCTTCTTGACGGGGGATCTGGTCTCCTGCTTCTTTCTTCATTAGGTTGGTGGAGTCCGAGTGATGAAGAAGAGCGGAGGCTCGTTCTAATTCCTTTCAAAGTCTCCAAGACAATAAACCAGACAGAAATCCGTGTTTTAGGGTGGGGAGAGAGAGAGAGAGAGAGAGTTTCTCTTCTCCCATTCCTTTTCCTAGTTTTCTCTTCTCTTGTGATCCTTCTTTCGCCGTCGAAGTCCTTCGCCTCCTTCCCTCTCTCCTTTCCACCCTCTCTAAGCTACTCCTCTCTCTCTCTCTCTCTCTCTCTCTCTCTTCTCCTCACCCTACCCTACTTTGTTATGCGGGCACAAGAGAGATGCCAAGGAGATGGCATGGTGCAACAGCCGCAACGATAATCGTGCACTCGGAAGGATTCCAACCCCATCGCCCCCCTTAGCGAATGGGAAATCTTCAGTGATCACGCCTAAGTCCTGCCCATCATGCGGTCATCCGATCCAATTTCAGGAGCAGGTTTCCCACTGTCTATTTTCCTTCTGTTACTTCAGAGTTTATCACCCTTCTTTGTATTATTTCCTTTGTTTTTCTGCAATATAAACCACATGCAATCAACTATATCACTTGGAGCATAAAATGCCATTAATTTAGGCAATAATCCGAGACCTACCGGGCCTTCCCGCGGGTGTGAAGTTTGATCCTACGGATCAAGAACTGCTCGAGCATTTGCAGGGGAAGGCGAAGCCCGAGGCACAAAAACCTCACCCTCTTATAGACGAATTCATCCCCACCCTACAAGGAGAGAACGGCATCTGCTACACACATCCGGAGAAGCTCCCAGGTAATCTCCCACACGAGCATGATAACCCTAGTGACAAGTACTGTAACAGTTCACGTATTTGAGATGTCTCCCTTCTACCAAGAAATTTTATCATAGTTTTTTTCATGCAAGTTCGTTCAGGCAGTCGACGATTCCAAGGATAGATGCCAGAAACCGTGGCCAGGGTTGAATCGTATAATCATCGCTTATCCCATCGTCATAGGTTACAATTCCTAACATGCATGGCCGCTGGAAATCGGAAAATAAGGAGAAGATGAGAAAGAGGGCATTTCGACGGCATGAGCGGGCCAGAAACTGCGCCATCTTACAAGAACATGCTCGTATGAAGAAGCTGAGACTCCCCCGATCCCTGACGAAGAAAACCCCGGTCATTGAGAAGTTCTTGGCAACACGTAGACGTAGGTTCCCAGGGTTAGAGACCATGATCAGAGATAGCCTTGCATGCGGACAGATGTGATTACAGGGAAGGTAGCTTTTAGGAGGAATGTAAACAATGGACGGAGGAAATGTCTGGTGCGACTTTGTTAGATATTAAAAATTTCAAAAAAAAATGTAATTATTATAGTAGACGACGAAATAATGGGTTCCTTTTTATCGAGGAGTTTGTAGTTATCACACAGGACTCACCATCTTCTATCGGATTGTACTCACATAAGAAGAGTAGAAGAGCCATGCCGGATGATCCTATTGGACTGCGAAAAACCGAGGATGGCTATGAACTCGATCGGCTCTGTTTTTTCTTCTCCAATAAAACAGGAGGCCTTCTGTCCTAGCAATAATATACGCCAAGTGTGAATCCGAATACAGACTGACTTCGTGTTTTGGAGATTATATTCACTCTCTGACCCGGATTACATAAATGAAGCTTTTATTCCATTTATTGAGCTAATCTTGGAAGAATCTTTGGTGGGTGCTGGGGATCGTTTGTGCCATCTTCCTGCTCTTCGCCTTGTTTATCCGTCAGAACAAGATTTCATAAGAAAGTAGTGGATTTATTTGCGATAATTGGAAAGAAGTTCTTGAACTTCAAATCATTTCCGCTGTCTTTGGAGAGAGACTGTTCTTTTCTCTGGTGCCCCAAATGCTTGAGGCTCTGATCATCTGAACAGATAACTGAACTGTTTCTGAACAGGTGTGGGCAAAGACGGCCTCGTCCGGCACTTCTTCCACCGCCCCTCTAAAGCCTACACCACGGGGACCAGGAAACGGAGGAAGGTCCACACGGACGCCTTCGGCAGCGAGACCCGGTGGCACAAGACTGGCAAGACGAAGCCGGTGTTTGCCGGCGGGGGGCTGAAGGGCTTCAAGAAGATCCTGGTGTTGTACACCAACTACGGCAAGCAACGGAAGCCGGAGAAGACCAACTGGGTAATGCACCAGTACCATCTCGGCTCGAGCGTGGAGGAGAAGGAAGGGGAGCTGGTGGTCTCGAAGGTGTTCTACCAGACCCAGCCGAGGCAATGCGGATCCACTGCCAAGAACCCAGATCTCGGTAATTCCGGCCGCACGGACGGAGCCAACGCTGGCCCCACCGGCGTAGCCGACTTCTACTATGACTCATTCCTGTCCTACGGCCACCACGGCGGGCACATCAGAGCCAGCCCTCCTCACCTGATCCCGAACTTCTCTGTGCATGCCCACGGCTCATCCTTACTTCACTGAATAAGGACGATCGCTGGTCAGATGAAAACAACAGAGGTCAACCAGCCCCCTCTCTCTCTCTCTCTCTCTCTTCTTATCCATTTGACTGCTGTACATAGATAAGCCTAGAGTCTCGCACGAGCCACGGCAAGAATTACATTTGACCTATGCAAGTCTGTGCAAGGATAAGATGCTGTCTATAATAACTTCACATGATATTTGGGTACGCTTCACTAGTTTAAACCTCGGATCTACACTAAAACAGAACCAGGGGATCACCACAATCGTTTAGACGAAGAGCACGGGCCACATCAACTCGCGTATAAAACCGGAAGCTTTCGAGAACCAATCCTACTGATTACACACAGGAATGAGATCCATCCGGGAATCGATCTCCACAAATCAGATCACAACCAGGACTACTTCTTGAGAACAAGTTTCTCGTAGAGAGAGGCAATGTCTTTCTTGTTAGGGTTCTTAAGCTGCAGCAGCTCGGCACCGAACCCATGCTTGGTGAGCTCTTGCTTCAATTTAAGCACGGTGAACTTGGTGTGATCTTCAGATTCCTTCACCTGGTCCCCAACACCGTTCCTGATATCTTCCCCTCTAAAACTGGAGCCACCGTCTTCTAAATGTAGATTCCTCGTGGGACTTGCAGTGTTCCTTGATCTTTTTCTACCCTTGACGATCTCTTCATCGACATCCATATCTCGCACAGATTCCACACCAGTGCATTCATCTATCCTAGAGCGCTTCCCATGGGAAGCGGTTCGAAGTTTGCCATCTAGGGCACTTTCGTTCAGGCGGACAGACGTCAATTCTTGCTGGAGAACGTCCAATTTGCCCTGGGTCGTCTGAAGCTGCAAGGACAGAGCCTCTGCTCGGCTGTTAGCTTCCATTCGAGCAGCTCGCTCGGTGGCCAAAAGGCTCTCGAGTACCTGGACCGTGTTCGAACGTTGCTCGTTGTTCTGGCTCAACATCTGCTCGATTTCGCGCTCCCTCTCATCCACTCTCTCCTCTAGCAGGGCGACCTTGGATATGGCATCCATTTCAGAGGCTCTCACCATCGCGAGTTCATCCTCCAGTTTTGCTCTACCTCTCTCTAAACCTTCAATCTGCCTTTCGGCTCGCTCAATCAGAGCCAACCTCTCCATGGCCAACTGCTGAAAGTCGTTCTTCTCCCTCTGAGCGGCAACAGCATCAGCCCGCGCATTATCAGCTAATTCAGTTGCTCTCTTGGCTTCCCTTTCGGCTCCCTTGCATCTCAGCTCGGCTTCCTCGAATTTCTTGAACTCGGACAGGTATTTCTCCTCTAGATGATTCTTTTCCTGTTCCAGGATTCTTGCTTCCCTCTCATACGACTGAGCTGTTGTGTTGACAGAATCCAGCTTCTCACCAATGGACTTCATCTCATCCTTCAGTTTCAGAGTCTCCATCTCGTAGTTCTTCAGCAATGTCTCTGCAACCTGCAACGACAGCACCACCATTGTACTTCAAACAAGTAACAAGTACAATCATAATGCAAAGACCGGTGAAGATCTAGACCATACCTTCAACTGAGAGATGAGACCGGAAGAATGGCTTTCGACGTGACCAATCTTTGACTTCATGTGCTTGATTTCCTCTTCCTATCGATCATCATAGAAGACAATTTTCAGGACCACAGGACGATATGAACAAAAAAAGGTGAATCATTTTTATTTTTATTTTCTTTAGATCACAAACTAGAACGAACCCCATCAGAAAAAACCAAAAAAATTGTTACCTTCTCTCCCAACTGAGCCAAAAATTCAGCCCTCAGCGCGTCCTCCCTTTCCTGTGTTTTCTTATTAGAGCGTTCCTGTGACAATGCAGCCCTCTCCAGAGACGCTTTTGCCTCTCCAACAGCAGTATCGTACTTTCTCTTCCATTCTAGTGCTTCTTCATGAGCAGACTGCGCTTGCTCTCGAGAAGCAGCCAGCCTACCATCAGCAGCGCTGACTCTGGACTTGAGCGCAGCAATTTCAGCCTTGTACTTATCCTCCTCGGCCTTCTGGTCTGACAATATACGCTCGTACTTTATTTTCCAATCGGACGATTCATTCCTCAGCGAATCCAGGGCCTTTGAAAGGCTCAAGCATCTCTCCTCCAGTGAGCTGCACTTGCTCTGCAAGTTTGTTATATAATTTGAATAGTCCTCCGAAACCTTGCGCTTGTCACTGATTGCCTCCTCATAGCGTTTCATATACTCAGCCCTGTGCTTCTCATTTGAATCTAGCTGCTTCCTGAGCAGCGCTAGCTTGTCTTCATTCGAACGGAGCTTCAACACAAGACCGCTCTTCTCTGATTCAATCCGAGCCATTTGCTTCTTGAAAAGATCCAGGATCGATCCATTCAAACTGTGCGAGTAAAGAAGAGGAAAATATCAAGAACTAGCTTAAGAACATGCTAAAAGAAGAGGAAACTAGGCAGGAGAAGTTCCAAACCATTGCTGCAAGAAACTCGCCAGCTTTTGCCATTTCCCTGGACCATGAGATGCCGTCTCATACTCTGAGCAAAGGCTCTCCAAAAGCTGCAAATAATATTCGAGAGCACAATGTTAGCCCCAAAGTATTTATCACGACACTCAATAGTGTAAGCATACGCCTTCATAAAAGTCAGAGCAAAGTAGAACATGAATTAAATCATAACAACAAAACTTTAAAGTATATTATACCAATTCAAATGGACAAATAGAAATTTCCATTGCCCTCTTCACCAATAACCTTTTCTCTCAAGTATTAGACCGAAATTCAACCATACCAGGTCGAAGCTCTACAAAATTTTACTTCCTAAGAAAGATATTACTTGAAACTCGTAGTTCACCCGAAGTGAATGTAAAATTATTGGAACAAACCACTGTCTATATATGTCAGATTACCACATGCATTAAAGAATGCATACAAAAAGAGAGAATTAGAAGCCATTGAAGATGTCCAGGAACAATAGTCCAATTAAATGACATCCGGAAGGTATTGTTAAGAAAAATCAGCCTAGAAAATAAATGGGTCCGACACAAGAACAGGATTGTCTTACCTGGATGACATCATCAATTTTGGCATCAGGAATGTGACAGGCGGCTCGCAATTTCTTTTCCATGTTCTGGATTGTTTGTGTAGATCGCAAATCGGCTTCCAGAAAGCTATTCCTCTTGTAATCCTGCATGATTTCCCCAGTACAATCAATCCCCGGGCTTAAATTACTTAAACATTTTCTCCACGATGTTAAGAATTTCTACGTAAAGGAATCACAAAAAAATTATGATCCCCCAGGGTAGAAGATAAGAATCCTGGGTCAATCTGCATGAAGCATTTCAAGAATTTAACAACCACATCAGTGTCACCTGTCTTCACAGTCTCTTCAATGGATAAACCTTCCCATCATCAGAATATATTGGAAAATACACATCCAGATTAACAGTGTTTAAATGACATTTTTCTCAATACTAATGTGTACATCCAGATTCTAGCATTCTAATACTCAAAAGCCCTCTTTTTTTTTCTTTTTTTTTTTGGGGAATTGATCATGAAAAGTCACACTTGCATTAAGATATGATATGCACGGTTATAAGAGCATATATACGTTTTATACAAAATAAGACCTCACTTCCAATGCCTTCAAACTCTGCACGCATAACTTTTGAGAAAGGAGAAACTAGAAAGAAAACCTCACCTCGAATGCCTTCCTCGAGAAATTATGAAAAAGCTTTTCAAATTTCTGACGTACTGTGCCAGACCCAACAGCATTAGCATTAAATGCAGCCAGTGCCTTCTGAAAGGCTTCATCATGTGATTCTCTTAGCACACCCTAAAATTAAAGTAAAGGTCAGCATAAAGAAGTTTTCTAGATCCACTAAAATCAAATAACGTATAGGAATTAACCTCCTCTGGTGGTTTAGTACGATCAAAAGAGGACATGTAGACATCGGTGGCTAGTTCATATGCTCTACGACATTCTGCTTCTTCAACACTCTGCAAAATTAAAGATCACAGCACAATGTTGAAACAAAAGAAAAGCCCAAATTTATTCATAATTCTAACTAAGTTTCCTTAATAATGCAATATTACCAAAATCCACACATTGACCTTTTATCCAGTCTCTATAAAATTAATGACTAATATCAGTTCAAGCTACAAAACAAGAATTATTTAATCAGAGAGCTGCATGCATTAGAAATACTATATCATATATTCCCGTAGTTATCCCCTAGTTAATACAACATTCAAGGAAGTAAGGGCAATAGATGATTAGCCGTCAACTCAATAATAAACACTTTTAACTTTTATCACAGTCAGCGATCGGCAATCTTGCTAAACATAATTTTCCCCAGTAATTGCCATAGCTGAGGAAGTATCCAGAGAATTAAATAATTCCCCAGAAAAATATTCAGACAATGGGTGAAAACAAAATGCGGAGATGCTGCATCTACAGGAAAAATATGTACAGCTTGCATAGCTTCACGTTTTCCACAATATGATTGGCCAATTTGGTGTGATTCAATCTGACTAGCGGAAATTTGTTAGACAACAAGATTTTGATCCCTGGTACACAATTCTCAATTGGGATGGGTAATGTTTTGTTTCAAGTCGCTATAACTTTCGCCTAAAGACAAAAGTTGGATCTTCAAACTTTTCAGGTCTCCATACGAACTGATAGATCTCTCTCCCCCCAAACCTATGATGTTCAACGATTCATCCTCAGTCTTAAAATCACAGGAAAAACGATTAACCAGAATGTGATCTGCTTCATTAATAGATTCTCATCTAAGTAATGGACAACGAAAAGGCAATCTTATCTTATTTCTACTATAAATAGTATAAAGAGCATGAATTAAAGAGAAAATAAACCACAGGAAATTTTGACATGATATATAGTCTATACAACCATCAAAGGGCACTGTTTCTAACTACATTTTCTTCCCTATCTTAATCATGCCACGTAGCAAGAACTCATTTGTAAAATATAGACATAAAACCACAGTAGACAACCAACCTGCCACGAGGAAGATATAGTAGGGACAGCACCATTATTAAGAGCATCCAAAAATGACTGGGTGATCCCTGCAAGAACGGGACCTGTCATCACAGTAGCTCCCACTTGCTTGGGTCGGGTCCTCTCAAACACAAACTTGGTAAAAGCATCAAGGCCCGATCTGAATTCTGGACGCAATTTGTCCAACTGCATAAAAAGGGAATGATTAATAAAATTCAGATGAGAGATCAACAACAAACAAATCTTCCACAATATGAGATCCAAAATCTGTATGCACAATAGGTTCAGGTCTCACCGGTATTTGATGAAGGCGTTGGAGATCAGATTCATTATTCAAAGGTCGAACAAGAGTGAAGCATTCTCTATCAGGAAAAAGAGCGCGGATCGACTCCCGAATCTATTTTTAACACAAAGAAAATCAGCACTTGCAATAAATAAATTATATGGATAACAATCATTAAAGTGGAAAACACACTGTCACATAAATCTGGAGATGTGATAATAATGTTGGTTGGTTCCAGTTTAATACCTCATTCTTTGCAGCGACATCTTTCCTTCCACCGTGCATAGGTCTCAATGCCAACTCTAAGTAATCACGTGGAGTAAGTCTTTGGTTGTCTTCAACTAAATCCAAATAGAAATCCTACGAGTGCAAAGGAAAAGTCCCCGGTTATATTAAAGTAAATGCCTAAATGCTTGTAAGAATTGTCAGGTTCATGGAAAACTAAAATAGCTACACAATAGGAGAAAGTATGATTACCCTCAATAGCCACACAAAAACGGGAGAAAATTGCCCAAGCTCAGATGCTGTGGACCTTCCACTAGATGCTCTAACACGGATGTGCTTCGTCATCTCAGTAACAAGAGACAGGCGATCAAGGGCAGCTTCATCTATACCACCCATCTAAAGGGAATACAAGTCAACTCAGTGAAATATGACCAAAGACACAGACAAATGGTAAAATGATGAAAGAGGAATCTGAAAGAAGAAATCAATAGAGAGTGATCGTACTAAAAATAAATTATTCAGATAAAAGATGCCAGCATAAATTAGCACAATTCGAGTTACAGACTCGTAGCAGAACTATGCCCACCTGATTGTAAACAAACATGCTTGACAACAGAACAGCAAGAGAGAATATCTGGGTGCTGTATGTCCCCTGTAAACCAAACACAAATTCTGTCAGCAAGTTATAAAAGTACTGACCCAAAGAGAAAACTCGCAATTTAGAAAATGTAATGGGTAAAAAGAAAAGCAGAGCAAATGTGTAAGGAATCATCAAAAGCATTATCGAGGCAAGAAAATCAAGAGGTTGACGAGTTTTGAACAGACAATCTTTTTAGTAGCTAATCCTAAATTTTTCGCAGGGCACAAAAAACTATATCAGCAAAACGAAGCAAATCCGTAGTTTTACGAATGTTATACTAATCACAGATCGTTGACACCCCCTGCACAATAGTTATTCTAGAATCTGTCTGGGATGCCATTGATAAAGCATCAAACTCAGTCCCTTATTAACCTCTTGGTCCAAAAGGGATCAGCACTATCAATAAATGTTGGATCCAAGACATGTGGAGTTCCCTTGGATCCAAGACATGCACGATCATGGGCAGATCTGCATCCAGATGCAAAATGCTTAGATAGGCTTCCACCTAGGAAATCAAATCCTAGATAGGCTTCCCAAGGTACTAACAGCGTTTCTCATTTGAAATCTAATAACACAAACAAAAAAATTAATATCCTTCAAACTCAAGTATTGGCAAGTACTTATAAATTAGATGATCATTCTTAACTGCAATGTTTTCCCTGCAGTTCAAGCTTTTTTGCAGCCATAGACTTGTCCGAATAAATCACTCTTACCCATTACAATTAGCTCATGAGGTTCCAAAATGAAATTATGGGCATAAAGTGAACATGAGATGAAAACATTGAAAAGGCTCCATTTTACAATACACATTCTTTTGACAGAGAGCAGTACATTAATACTCGGTTCTGGGATTAGGAGGACGAATCCAAAGGAATTGACGGGGGCCCTCACAAGTGGTGGAGCATGTGGTTTAGTTCGATGCAATAGAAGTTCTGAAAATATTAAATGTTACTATTGAACTAAAGAGTAGAAAATGCTCAGATGATAAAGTGAAATACATAAAATCCCACAATATCCCAAACAAGGATCAGGGTAACGTTCAGTTATACTCAACACTGTATTTTGACAACCAAGAAATCCTAGGATTCCTTACATTGCCACATTGAGAAAATGCTATCTTCTTCTACATAAATTTCACATATTACACCTCTTTCGGAAGTAATTTTTAACACAACATATCTTGTATCTGTTGGAGGAAACGGGTAAAAGAGGGAAATGAAATGTGACACAGTAACTGAAAAATCAGTTGATATATTACTATCATATATGAAATCTTGAATCTATGTTTAATGGAGAAGAATCAACCAACAGGTCAGGTTCTTAACCTGAAATTCTAGAAAAGCAGGCAACTTTCCAGATTGAGGGGAAATTTTATCTAAATTCTACGGATACTAAAGCCCAAAGGTATAATCAAATATAAAGTTTTTAAAGTGACATCCTGTTCCCATTCGAAAGTGACTAAAATATCCGACTGCGAAATTGCAGATTATGCACATCTATGGGTGGTATCAAAGATTGACTCAACATGTTGCCATTGACAATTCAAGAATCAGTTCGGAAAATTCATTGGAAATTACCTTACAAGATGTATAAACTGTACATGATGAAACCATTCTGAAGAACTTTCCTAAGACTACGCCAGAAAAAAAAATGAAGATTGTCTCCAACAATAAACTCATTTTTCACACCAATACCTTTATGAAAAATAATCAAAAGGAAATAATTTGTCCAAAATATATCAGGACCTGCCTCGGGAAAACAGTGAACTAAAAGACATTAACGTGGAAAGTTATTAATTAACGTACATATGCCTCCTACCATTAATAACTTAACAAGAATGGACTCATCCCATCAAGTAATCAACCAGAAATATAAGTGAAAGTTTAAAAGCAAACCGTCTGATCATAGGCATCAATCCCTTCACTGTCGAGCAGCAAAAGACTGTACTCCGTTCCATCAAGAGCTGTGCGCTTCAGTGGTGCACTCCACATCCAGAGGCCCTTAGTACAAGGTCGGTGGGTAGATGCTACTTGAAATCCACTGCTTCTCCCCAAGAGCTACATGATTCACCAACATTCAGTCCTAATTAGATAAAAGAATCCAAGAGAATCACATGGACAAGTAATAGTATGAAAAAACAGCTGTTTATATTAATTAAACTAATGACCACATTACTTAATGGACTACCCCAACTTGTACACAACTAAATAACAAATCAACACAAGAAGGAATGTAAGCTAAAACCCAAAGTATGACTATCAAAGTAAAGACACTAATTCCACGAACATTGTACCACTATCTCATGATCGTTCGTGAAATCGGTTTGTCCCACAATTCATTAATAAGGCAGAGCTACATGAACTGTAGTGTCCTACAGCAAAACCCAATTTGAGACATCCTCAAAATGCTATACACAAACAAAAAAGCACAAATGTCCCCCACGTATACAAAAGAGAAAAAAAAAGCTCATTGCTTCACTGAAATTGTCATAATATTCCCCAAAGTTCCATGAACCATAAATTTTCCTCAACCACATGTTTAACAGCCAACATGGCACGCACTAGATTACCAGTTGAGGTCTTCCAGTAAAACCAAAACTTCTCCTCAATCATGTCCTAGAATGCACATGAAGTTACTCATTGCCTCCCAATTGACTCTTGTATGCCATCACCGGCTTTCTTTCAAAGATAAATCCTAAGTATACGACTTCACAACATCCTTGCCATGCACACAACCAACCCTAGACAACTACAATACGTCAGAAAGATAGCAGGTGGCATGGAACATCCCAACTTGTGAAGTTGAAAAAAAATATATCTTATGGTATCCTGCATGGCACAATCATCTTGATTAGGTACTAGGCTTTCAGTATCAAAAGACCACAGGTTTATGAATATCTGATTCGTTCCCTTGCAATGAGAACTATATTCGTCTCAGTGCAGTAAGTCCTCATATTCGCAGTGTCATAAAAGTGTCCTGCTCTGGATAAATGCTTCAATCTCCAGCACCTCACCTATATATTCCTCGCGACCCACCCGTTTAACATGCTAGCACTCCTCTAAACTGTGGGTGAGAGCAAAAGAAAGATATAACATTTGCCTCAATTGTTCACACCTTGTGGCACCATGTGGATCACTTAAACATGAGACAAGAAAAATACAAAATTCGTGCCAACTTACTGTAATACTCTCAAAGTTCGAAAGAAATCATGAAAAAACTAAACTTCTTCTCATTAAACATAGATTGTAATGAAACCCTAGGGAGCTCGAGTGCATTGGAGCACAATCTTAATTTGTCCAACTACCCCAAGTCAACCCCATCCTGTAAATTTTGCAAGGCTCTGAGAAAGACCCCAAATAACCAAGTTCCTATGCTGTGCAGACATACATCATATAAAATGCGATCAATTGAAAAAACATATTGCCACGATTTTTTCACCTCTCAACCAAAACCTTTGATATAAAAAAAGTGACCATCCGTTTATTCAATTAATGATTTGTAATCAATGCGCCTCGTTACTCCTTCCCAGGTCTCTATTCAACAGAGCTAATGACTCATGAAGAGGAAGTGATCGCATAACTTTATTAGAAACCATATTATATCTCAATGCATGAAGCTAGCTTTCGAGGATGAATGAAAGATGACTAAGGCAAATGTTCTATTTGCTAAGTTGTCGCACATGCTTCTCCTTTCATGCTACCGGCATTACAACAATCATGGAGATGGGTTCAGATTACTTTAGACCGGAGGAAACTAAAATAGTAGCCTTCAAAGTCATTGGAAGGCTCGCAACAGCACAAAGATGAGTAAGAGCGTCCGTCGTTTCTAAGAACATGAAAACGCTACTTCCCACTAGAAAAAAAATCTATCTGATTGAGAAAAAATATGGTGAGAATATGTGGTCGATCGAAACCGCAACCAAGCCCCGGAAATAATAAATGAAAGACCAAAGGGACGTACAAAAACACGACGAAGAAGCATTTCTCCCGCTGGCGGGAAAACGAGGAAGGAACCCCAGACGAACCTGGTTGAGAATGAAGCTCTTGCCCTGTCGTGCCCTGCCACACACAGAGACAACCCCGATGGGGCCTTTGACGAGATGCAGGGTAGCGACTGCCTCCGGGTCCATCTGAAATTTGCCCTTTTCATCGCAATAAACCAAGCGCAGGGGTCTCGCGGGTCCGGCGCACTCCTCACTGCCAACGAGAGGGGAAGGCGAAGCACTCGATGTTCCGGTAGGGCTACTATCTATGGAGGAGGAAGATCCTCCCCCCCGGAAACCGAGCATTTGCATCATCTTCTCCGGCCTCCCGAGCCTCTTGGCCGAGTGGGCGACACCCCTCTTCTTGGAATTTCTTCAGATTCCTGCACGAAATAGGGCAGGAAAAAATGGGAACACCGGGTGGGCTGAGGAAAAGTGGAAGGGGTGGGAAAGCAGGGGAGAAGCGGGGGTTTTAAAATCGGGGACCGGCAAGTAACCAAAACTGGCGAGGCGCGGCCCAGTGCGTCCGCGATAGAGAGAGAGAGAAAGAGAGAGCTTCGTCTCCACGCAAGGTGAAGGACGAGAACGCCCTTGAGACCGCCGTCCGCGGCAGTGTATGCCATCAATGCATTTTTAGAGAGTGTTCCAGCAACCGACTTACTCAACGTACCAACCAGATGAGAGGGAATGAAAAATCCTGACAGGATCTTGACAACGGAGGAATCTGCGAAAGAATATTATATGGGGATTTCCTCGATAGCTTTACAGAATTACGCGTTATAAGTTTTTCTTTCTCAATGCTACAATAATGGTTGGGAGTTGCTCCTCAACAACGGTGGCCTCCTGCTTCCCCGCGGAATCTTTCTTCGCGCCCGCAATTCGTTGGCAAGATAATCTGCCCATCTTCGCACGGAACAATTGTCTGGAATCGAGATTGTCCTTCTCAGCCTCTCTTCTGGACTGTAGACAGTCCAAAAAAAAAATCTAAGCTGTATATTTAGATTTCTCGATGAAATCGAGAAATCTGACTAAAAAAGTCGATATAACCTGTCGCAGCCTGATCGAGCTTCACGGCCGACGTTCAATCGGATCTCTTCTGCGTCGTCTCGCCGCCCAAGTCACCGCCGTCGCCGGAAATCTTAGCGGGCTCCTCGGCATCCGTCGGTGGTCCTTCGTTCTTCCCGGAGGGCGAGGAGCCTGGGGGCGGGTCCATCAAGGAGCTGATCGCAAGCTGGCCAGAATAAAGCACCAGGCCAACGGCATTGATCCCAAAGATGAAGGTTGCGAGATAGCACAAGCCGTTGATGATCGTCCTGAAAGAGTCAGCGGATAAGGAGTGACCAAGATCAGAGCGCCAGTCGGTGGTTGAGGAGAAGGGGGATCAAAGACTAGCATTGGGCTGACCTTATCGTTATAGTGATCTGACGAACCTGAGAAACATGAAGATTAAGAGGCACATTAAGCCGAAAGATCATCAGGATCCCATCACGTCGAATATAAACAAACTAAGAACAGGACGATTGATGGAGGTTCCCCCTGGCAGCGTTCATCAAATCCAGAAATAAAAAAACTTTTAAAAGTCAACGATGAGATAGAATTCAAGCCCGCCGTTGAATACCAAGAGCTAGCCTGCCGGCAAGAAGTAGTTCTCGCCGAGGGAAGAACACACTCGATTTCTAAAAGCAACGAATATCGATGGGCTTTGATTTATCGATATACTGGGGAAGGAAAGAATTCAGACGATCGAGCCTGAAGCTCGAGCTTACAGATCCCCATCGACTTTATTCAGACTCCTAAGAACTTTATAATTTCTTTCTTGCACTTTGAACCGCGACCAACCCGGGCAGAGAGATCCTAAAAATTATCCAATTTCATCAAGACCCAGTAATATATATATATATATATATATACAAGGAACTAAAGAAAGATCATTCGAAAGGTCTATAGATCCTGATTTCAATCATTTAAAAAAACTCGTAGAACCTTTACTGCAGGATTTCTCTTATTTTATTTATTCTCACAAATTCTGTACAAACTACCATTTTGGTGATTAAAAACGTCTGTCATTTGAAGATCGCAGGCTCATTCGAAAGATCTAAACATCCTGTTTTCAATCATACAAGAAGCTCGTGGAACCTCTTCTGCAGGATTTCTATTATTTTATTTATTCTACACTTGAGAAGTCAACATCGCCTGTGATCTTCAAATGACAGGATTTTAGTCACCAAAATGGTAGTTTGTACAGAACTAGTGAGAATAAATACGTAGATTGATCCTTAAAATTAGCCTTGAAGAACAGATGGGAGAGAGACCGGTTACTCTGCATCATTCCGTTTATAAATTACTACGGCAAATCGAATCAGAGTTTTCTTTCTCCATACATCGACAAGATAAGAAAATAATTCACTTAGCAGATTTAATCCACAGAGAGCGAGAGAGGGATTAGGGACGGTGGAGCTGACCGAGAAGTTATCTGAGATGGTCTGGCGATTTAGACCGGCTTCGACGGTGGTTGAGAATTTGTAGAGAATAAGAGCGATGACTCCAGCGGCAATACCACCGAGGAGCGCCTGCACGGGTGAAGGGGGCGCCCTCGGCTCGATCGAGGCAGAGCTCATCGCTTTCAAGGTCTGTAGCGCCTCCTCTTTCAAATCCGTACTCGTGGAGCCCGACGACCTTATCCTCTGGAAAGGGAGCCAATCAAGAAATCAGTAAAAGATTTTTCCCGCATAATCCTACATGTTTTCTAAGTAGAGTGGGAGGGAGAAGAGGATTCAATGGGTTGGGGTAGAGCGGAGATTCGTTTGGGTGGTCACCATTTCCTTGGCGCGCTTAGCGCGGCGGCGGAGAGAGCGGAAGAGGAAGACGGAGATAGCACCGGTAAGAAGAACGCTTGCAGAGACCTGGAGAGGAGATGGGTCATCGGTGGTGGCGAAGATGGAGGAGAGCGAAGAAGAAGAGGAACGAGGTGGGAGAAGGATGGGGCCTTCCTCAGCCCCTTCCCCTCCACCAGCTGCAGCCCCCTCGAGCTCCCCTGTCTCCGCGAGACACAGCAACTGAGCAGGCCTGACAGTCCGGAGCTGGGGGAATTGACCCCGCCGAGTGGCGGCGGCCGCAAGACCGACTCGGGTGGGGAGGAAGCAGCAGAAGGGAGACGGAGGGGAGAGATCGAAGCGAGGTAAGTGGGAGAAGGGATGCTGGCACTGCAGCATCTTCGAGTCGAGGAACAACGGCGACACTGAGTGGACTAAGGACGGCGCGGAGGCGGGGAAGACGATGGAAGTCAGACTTTCAAGGCCTCCTCTATCTCCATCGCCATTCCTCCGCCGCTTATCCTCGGCCGCGATTCCGCATAACTGGGCCCGGCCGCGGACCTAAATGGGCTCGTAGACCGTAACTAGGCCTTTCCGTCGTCAGAGGAGCCCGCTTCGCGACTCGGTGATCGGACGTCTGGGGACTCGGCGCGGGAATCACCGAGTCATTCTGACATCAACAGAGGAACTGCGACTATTTATCCCGTCTTTGGTGGAGACGCGAATCGTCCTCCACTCGCAGATGAGTCCGAACGATTCCATCTTCCTCGCCCGCACGAGGAAAAGGTGATCAAATTCGACGCGTTAATTAAACCCCTCTTTAGAGTGATTTTACGCGTTAAAATCTGCTCCTGGCGTTTACGTGTCGTTCGATCCGGGCGCAGTGGCCGGGGGGCGCCGCCCTCGAGGTTTTCTTTCATCGCCTGCGCGGCGCAGGCGGGGCCGTCTGTGTGCCGAGCCCGCCGGGCGGCCCCTCCCCCGCGCGGCGGGGCGAGCGGAGCAGAGCAGAGCAGGCGGCACAGAGCGGTCGTAATCGTTGCCTGCAACCAGCTTTTGCTCTGCTTTAATCATCGCCAGCCGGGGAAAGATGGGCGGCTTTGGGCCTCCGCTGGTTTGGGAAGAGCCACCCTTCCGGCGGGCGGCTTTGGGCCTCCGCTGGGGTCGCCGGGCGGCGGCGGTGGGATGGTCCACCAGGAGATGCGAGCGCCGCTTTGCCGGCGAGGGGAACATAAAGCACAAAGCCAACAAAGCGACGTCCGAGAAAAGCCAGCGGGGGGAGGGCTGGTGGGCATGCATGGCTTGTGTGGTTGCCAACCGGTCCAGATCCTGAGTTTCGCCTGCCACTGCTGTCGTGAGGTCGGTAGGCCAGTGGCCCATGGCGGAGTGGAGTTGATTGAAGTGGGTCTCCCCGGCATAAATATACGTGCCGGAGCTGCGATCAATCTGCGCCGGCAGGTTCTTAATGATGCACCCTGTGATTGGCCTCGTCGCCTGGGGACGGATTTATGGTAATCTACTGGCGGTGGGTGGGCGGTCACCGATTAGGTTCGGACGACGGCGACCCGGTCACCGGCCGCCGCTCCGACGGCGGCGACCTCCCCTACCGCCGGCCACCTGCAGCAACCTAGCCCTCGGATCCGTCGCCGCCCGTGAGACTGGCCGAAAGAGGGGAGGACTCCGGCGGAGGAACAGCGGCCGCCGTCTGAATGGCTCAGAGGCAGCCATTTTTATAAGGCAATCCCCTGTAGCTCCCATGGACTGGTGTTATGTGGTGCAATTATGTCTGTAGAACCCACCCGGAAAGGAGGGGAGTGCGCCGGAATAAACAACGCAGAGTCTGCGAGAGGAGAAAGAAAATGTTTTGGCTTTCCTCAGCGGCCCGACTGCCGCCCTCCCCCTCTGCTCTGCGTCTCCCCTTCGGAAATGGATAGTAAATGGGGGGAGGGGAGGGGGGAGGAGGGAGGAGGCTAGCGCGGTGGGTAGGAAAGGAGGCACGGAGAGCACAGATAAGAACAACAGCGGGGCTTGTACTGATACGGTGGCGCAGGCGCAACGGGCAGTAACAGTGTGCGACCGCGTCCATTTATGACTGAGAGAACCACGGAACTGGGAGGAGGACTAGTGAGTAGCTCGCTAGGGGGGGGGGGGAGGAGAACGGAGGGGCACTGTAGGGGAGGGAAGCAGAGAAGGGCGAGCCCCGGGGGTGAGGGATCTCGAAATGTCCAAATCATTCCCCATATGCCTGCCGTCCGCCGCCGTCGATCGAGGCGGCGATCGGATGGGGGCCTCGGAGAAGCACCGACGACCCGGCTTGTCCGGCGTCGGAAGACGAGGCCCGCCGTGACTTCACTCGTGTATTGACTTTGCTCTCGAGGTAGCAAGTGTCAGCACAGTCGAGAGAGAGAGAGAGATATCTAGAGAGAGAAAGAGGAGTGATGGGTAGAGAGGGAGAGCGGTGGCGGGGAACCAGGCAGGCCCCTATAGTAAGTCCTAAAGGACGGCATTGATGACAGCTGATAACGACGGAGATCGTTTTCAGCAGCGTCGATGTCCCCCTCCTTCGGGGCCCTCCTCACGTTTTCCTACTACGGACGGACGGGGACTGGTATTTACCGGCGACCCGGCCGTCGCATCGAAACCTTCGAGTAGGAAGACGACGACCCTCGATGCCATGATTCTCTTTAAAGCCGGCAGCAGCAGCGGCAGCAGCAGCCCTCCGGTGACTGGCGGGGGTGACGCCGGTACTGTGAGAGACGGAGTCTGGTTCTCCGGGGTTGAAACCCCCTTGTCCTTGTCCTGCCCCCCTCCTTCCTTCCGGCACTATGCAGGCATGTCTCCATCACGTGGCGACAAGTCGTAATTGCCCGCCGAGCCCCACCATAGCAGGGGGCATGGCCGTGGCGACGTAAGAGATAATAGAGAGAGAAGGACACGGCGGCTGGCCGGGGGGTTGTCACTCACAGCGTGGAAGCACACGGGCGGGGGGAGGGAGGAGGAGAGAGAGAGGAAGGAAGACAGCGACAGAAAATATAGAAAAAGAAAACACCGCCCGGGAAAGCAGAACGGCTGTACGTCTTTTCAGCTGAGAACCGAGGAAAAACACCTTTTTCTCCTCGTGTGTGCGAAGTTTTACTGGTTTACGCAGAGAGGGGAGAGAGGTGGAGAGAGGAGGGCAGGTGGGGGGTTTTATGTCTGATGAAGAAAGAACTGGGGAGGAGTTGCCGGGGGAGGTAGCGAGGGGGGGACGATTGAACAGTATAAGCAGTAGCTGCAGTGGCAACAGCCTACTGCTACTGCGGAAGCAGGCAGCGATGTGAGCAGCGGCCGCTGCAGTGGGCGAGGAGAGAAACAGAGGCGGAAGGGAAAAAAGCAGGGGAAAAGGAGGAGGGTGGCTTTTATTTTATCGTATACACAGCAGCGGAAGCGGCAGCGGCAGCGGCAGCAGCGGAGAAGCGCCCCCCTTCCCCGGCCTAGTCACCACCGCCCACTAGCTCGCCTCACCCTCCTCCCCTATCACAACGGGGAAAGAGAGGCGCAGAGAGAGAGAGAGAAAGGAGATTATATTAAAGGGAAAAAGCAGCGGGGGAGAGATAAAGATGAAAAAGATGGGAGAGGAGAGAGGAGAGTGATAACAACAGCTGCTGCAGCAGCAGCGAGGCAGGGTTACAGGCGCAGCGGCAGCAGGTGCAGTGGTACGGAAGAGTGTGACCGGCATGGCATGGTTAGCCCGATTCTTTTGACCCGCCACCGCCCTCTTCCCTTCGGCAAATCTGAGGTGGAGAGAGAGAGAGGAAACTGAGAAGGGGGAGGGGGAGCTCGTTCTACTGTTCTCCCGGTCTCAACAACATAATACGAGCCCGCCGACCGGAGGAGGACGAGGCTCATCATGACGAAGGGGCAAGTTCCATCTTGATGGCAGCAGAAGCCCCAATGTCCCTCCTCTTCCTTCCTTTCTCCCCACCGCCGCCCTAACCCCCGAATCCGACGGACGCCCAATCCGACAGCGTTGGTTGGGGGGAAGGGAGCAGCTTCTTCTTCCCGTGTGTGCTGCATCATCAATCTCTTCCTTTTCCTTTCCATCCTCTTCCGTATATGTGATGACGGGGATCGACCTCAACACGGTCGAGGAGGACGACGGCGTGGCGCAGGACCAAGCTGTGCGGCGGCGGGCGCCCCACTCCCCATCTTCGCTCTCCCCTTCCGTCTGCCTGGAGCTGTGGCACGCATGCGCGGGGCCGCTGATATCTCTTCCCCGCAAGGGCAGCGTGGTGGTCTACTTGCCGCAGGGACATTTGGAGCAGCTGACAGGTGACTGCGCCGGCGGCGAAGACCCCGCGAATGGGGGTCCCTGCGGCGAGCCGCTCCGATGTGATGTGCCCCCGCACGTCTTCTGCCGGGTCGTAGACATCAATCTCCATGTCCGCCCCCTCCCTCTCCCACCCATTTCGTTTCTAGTTTGCCGCGATGGAGCCCTTTTTCTAACGAGGGTTCTGGAGGAGGGATGACCCTTCTGCTGAATGTCCCTTGTTCCTTGTTATGATATTCGACTGTTTCCTTAAAATTGGTGTTCCATTTCAGGCGGAAACGGCGACGGACGAGGTTTACGCACAGCTTTCTCTCGTACCTGACAGTGAGGTTAGAAGCCACTCGCTCTTCCTGCTTCCTCCGCAGCTTAGCATGTTCTCTATTCTTTATCTATCGAAATCCGCTTTCCTTCACCACCCAATTTTCTTAATTCTATCTGGCAATCCCATCTCTGTAGCACATTTTCTTCTAATACCTACGGAAATTTTGATTCCTCCGAGCAGCTGATGAATAATGTTTCTTGTTTGAGTCATGGGTTTCCTGATATGAGCTGGTCCCATTTTACTTACTAGGATGAATTCCCCCCAGAAAAGAGAAACGAAATTACCTTCCTGTGATCACACCAGAATAGATAGAACTGGGGGTGCTGAGCTGCTTCGTTTCTGCACGAATTCTAGATCATTTATTGGGAGATCAAAATAGAAGCTGAAATGCCGCGATTTCCGAGGATAACCGTGATTGATTCGGCCTGCCGACGCCGGCTAAGCTGGCTATGTTCGCTTTTTTGCATGCCCCTCCTTCAATTTGCCACATCCTTACCGAGTTTTTTTGGTGGTCTGTTAATTCAGGAGCTCGAGAAGCAACTGCCGGAGGCCGAGCTTGAGGATGAACTGGACCCAGATGAGCTGGTCGGAGTGTCCAAGACATCGGTGACTCGTCATATGTTCTGCAAGACGCTCACCGCCTCTGACACTAGCACTCATGGAGGCTTCTCCGTTCCGCGAAGAGCTGCTGAAGACTGTTTCCCACCGCTGGTACCCTTAAAAAAACAAGAACTTTGCCGTTTTCTTGCTTTGAAATTTGCACGGATCTAGTTTCCGGCCGTACGGTAGATCATCTGTTATTACAGTTCTTCGTCGCAAGAGTTTGACATTTTCCCTCTTCCATCGCTGTAGGATTATAAGCAGCAGAGGCCTTCTCAAGAGCTCATAGCCAAAGATTTGCATGGTACAGAGTGGAGGTTCCGACATATCTACAGGGGTATGAATGCTTTCTTATTATAAAAATTATGCATCTTGTGCATCCTTAGAGCGAGGATTTCCATGAGCTTCATTTTTTTCACTCATTCACGAGGATTATTAATGGGGACCCCGCGCTCAGTCTTCATTATCAGGAATTCATATTGCTTCGTTTACTTCATTCGTCCCTGGCCTTGTTTATAGCTGCCAAGTGCAGAGCTCCCTAGACAGAAAATGTCGCGTCAGAGAAAATGTGGGTCAGCCGTGTACTTCTCTGGCTCGTATACTGATTCATGGTGGCGCCCTTTTTCAGGTCAGCCACGCAGGCACTTGCTCACTACAGGTTGGAGCGCGTTCGTCAACAAGAAGAAGCTTGTCTCAGGGGATGCCGTACTCTTCTTAAGGTGGATCTCCTAGCAGCCATTACAAGGAAAATTATATTTCTATGCGTATCCAAAAGATTGAATGCTTTGAAAGCTCTTTGCTGATTTCCTCTTCTGTCTTGATAGAGGTGACGACGGAGAACTCAGACTGGGAATCCGGAGGGCAGCTCCTCTGAAGGGTGGCGTCCCATGCTCTGTTGCTCGCGGCCAAAGCCCAAACCCTGGAGCTTTTTCTTCCGCTGTCAATGCAATCGCATCGAAGAGTGTATTCCATGTGTACTATAACCCGAGGTATCCAAGCTCTAGCAAACTATCTTCCAGGCATTTGTGAAGTTTAGATCTTTTTTTTTTAAAGCTACGTTTCACGGTGCCCTCATATGTTTCTGATCATGGCTTCATCTGATATCTCTCTACCTTCGTTTAAATGGAATCAAGGCTCATCCTCTCTGTTGATTTTTGTTTATGTTATTTTTATTTCCACCCTAGATTATTACTAAAACTCCCATGCACACCTGTTATTTGTTTATTGTTTCCTCCTTGTCCACAGAAAGTCGTACACTCGTCAAGGTTCAGTTCCATGGAACAAATAATTTAGGATCGATAAGATAGCCATACTGTCTCACTCTCTCCTGCTCTTTCTGTCTCCTTATCTCCTCCGGTTGGTGTGCTAGGCCTAGCAAATCTGCCCTGAGAGTATGCTGTGAGGTGAAGTAAAATGTCTATTTTTCCTCCTTGGACATGCATTTTTCAGCGTATAGTTTAAGAAATAAATATCTATGTTTAGTAGACGATTGGAATGATCTCGTCGTTCTTGTCAATTATCTGCGTGATGTATGAGTATGCTGATGAATAAACTCCGAGCGCGCACCTTAAAATATAACAGTAATAGATTACAAATCCAGTTTCTTGTCTTCATTATGTATGTGTTTGCTCCCATTTTTTTTGGGTGTCATGTATATGCCACATATTATCAACAAAAGATGTATTAGCTTTGATTTTTTTTCTCCAAGCTTATTATGTTTCAGTCTCCAATCGTCCCTAAAATCCTGCAGGACCAGACCCTCGGATTTCATAGTTCCCTACGGGCTGTTCTTGAAGAGCCTCAAGAGCTCATTTTCGATTGGAATGAGGTTCAAGACGCACGTTGAAGGGGAAGATGCTGCAGACAGGAGGTTGAGCGCATTGATCACTGATTGATGAAACTCCATTCTTCTGCTTCTCGGAGAACTTGGTTTTGCCGCATTTTTTGTATATTGGGTTTTTTTTCTCTCGTTATTCGTCTTCTAAATCTAACATCAATGGATCCCATTTTTCCTTCTCGATCAGGCACACTGGATTGATTACTGGCGTGGGTGACAGGGACCCTTCCAGATGGCCTGGTTCGAAGTGGAAATGCCTTCTGGTATGCTTGCTGTTTCATGTATTATTTATTAGTAGTATCATCGTCGTCATTATTATTATTGTTCCCCTTTGAAAGCTTCGTGTTTTTTTTTTTCCTTATTGACATTGGGAGGAAGAGAGGCATGGATTGCATGAAAGATCTTTCCTTGATAATGCTTTCTGTGATGGAATTGGGTTTGTAGATGATGATGATGATGATGAACTTTGAACGAGCTTATGAGTCCCTTTCTGAATCTTCCAGGTGAGGTGGGATGACGACGTTGAGACTGGTCGGCAGAATCGGGTGTCTCCGTGGGAAATAGAGCCAGCTGGGTCAGTCCAGGGCTCAAACTGTCTGTCTACACCCACGTCAAAGAGAGCCAAGATCGCCCTGAGCTCTGCCAACCCTAATTTCCCAGTTCCTGGTAGGTCTTACAGTTTTCTCCCTTTTTTTTGTTCCCTTTTTTCTGATTCTATTGGCAAGCTTTGCTCGCTCGCTCATTCTTATGTGTTTATTATTTGATTGTGCAGGCGGAAATGGGTGCCCGGACTTTGGGGAATCCGCGCGATTCCAGAAGGTCTTGCAAGGTCAAGAAGTGTTGGGTTTTCTCTCTCCTTTTGATGGCTCCGGCGCCGCAAACCCCCAGTTCTCGGAGATGAGGAGGTGCATCCCCGACGGCGGCCGCCACATGATGGCGGCGGCGGCGGCGGCGAGGAGCAGCGTCAGAGCTCCCCTGGAGAAACCCGACGCCCCCTGCCATGGCATAGGCTTTGGAGAACCTTCGAGGTTCCATAAGGTCTTGCAAGGTCAAGAAATATTCCCCTCGAAACAGCCGTTCCCCGGAGCCCTGGGGGATCGCCAGGCGGAGAACAATGGCGGCGCTGGCACCGGCGGCTTCACCAGCAGTTCCTTCAGGAGGGTGGTGTTCGCCCCAGACGATGGCAGGACCAGCGGCAGATGGCCGCCCCAGCTGCGGGGATACAATCCGCTGGTGCAGCAACAGTCTCCTTCTCCGGCGCAGGTCTCCTCACCGTCTTCTGTGCTGATGTTTCAGCAGGCTGCTACGACGCCTCAGCTTCCCGGAGGCGGCGACTCCCGTTACCCTCCTCGCCGTGCCGGTAATCTCCTAGGGGCTGCCTCGTTCTCCGATTTTCTCGGGATGCACGTCGAGCTGGGGGCTTTCCATGGGCGGCGAGCTCCAACTCCGGCGTCTGATTCGGACCCGAGAGAGGATCAGGAGTCCCCCTCCAGTGGCGGAAGCAGTAGCTGCAGGCTCTTCGGGTTCTCGTTGACCGAGACTTGCCAAGGGAGGAGCATGGTGGTCGACGGCGGCCCGCCGTCGCCCCCTCAGTCGTCTAATGAGGTCACCGCCGAGTCTTCTTCACCCGCGGTGCCCCAGGTGGCGGCGAAGTCAATGGCGCGCAGCTGCACCAAGGTCAGCGCCCTCTACGACCTTTGCGCCACTCCGTTCTGCAGGTCCCCTTGCTTCTTCACCCTTCTGTGATGAATGACTCGGATTTCCTGGCACCGTTGACTTTGTGTTCCCGAGGAGAAACATTTTGTCAACTGATATGACTCCTCTTCCTCCATGACTTTCTTCTTACTACCCTGAAGAACATTCGGCGTTCATGTCCTTGTTTCCGGCTCTGCATCTCACGCCTCACATCAGATTTTTCCTTCTCCGCTCGTTTGTTTATTTAACCGCGGTAAAAGGGTCCCCTCCCAATCTCCGGGCAATGCCATACGGAGGGAGGGAAAGAGATCTCGCGAATCGGGAGTCCTGTCGTTGCTTTCGTCGGCAGGAGCCGCCGCTGGCGCCGCCATGTGCTCCTCCGTCCGCCGCTGTCTTCGCCATCCATTGTGGTCCACCCCACGGACGTTTTTGCTACGGCGGTATCTCAGCGCTGGTCGGGATGCCGGCTCTTCCACCTTCATGGCCAGCTGCGGTCAGTCCGTCCTGCTGCCGGCATTAAATGCGAACGCCTAGTTGCTCTCCTCGGCTACGCGATGCAAAAGGGCTTGACAGGCTCCACTCTCCGCCAAGAGTAACGGCGAAACCAGTAAAGGGGGATGAAGATGAACAGAGCTCTCCCTGCCGGAAGGCGAAGATGATCTGGTGAGAGATTTTTTAGAGAGAGAGATAGACGGGGTCAAACTCGGGCCGGGCCGTGTCAAGTTCGGTTCATCGACTCGGCTCCGATTGCGAAATCACGTGAGAGGAAAATGAGCTCTAAACTTTCCGTGCCGTGTTGTAGCCCACTAAGCACGCTTGGCCTCCAAACTTCGGCAGAAACTCTCTCTCTCTCATTGGGAGCCGTGATGGCGTCATCATATCCAATTTCCCGGTTGACACTGCGGTTCATGGGTTTTATTGAAAATATCCAGAGATCGCACGAGATGATCAGGTATGGCAGATGGGCGGTGGGGATGCCAGAATCAGCGGTGAGACAAAGAGAATGCTCTGGCTCAGAGCAATCACCACGTGGCAACAGGGGAATCTCCACCGCGGAAAAACGGGACAGTAGGGGACCACCATTACTGGCGCCCGCCTCACTCCGACAGTTGTCAATTGGGACAAGACAGATTCACGCGGAAGAGCAGCTTTTGCAAATGCCACGTGGACCTCTGGGTGATCTCCATCTCAGCCGTTCGATGCAAGATATGCCGTAAGGTGGGGCCCACTATCCCCTCATAGCGACGACGGCAGAGCGCTATCTTCGTCGACGGGATGACGGCGAGGGTGACGACGCCTGCAGAATTTTATTTTATTTTATGTTTTTCAGCTCTTATTTTCGTTGTGGGCCATGGTGTTGGCGTGGGGCCCACCGTAAGTCGGCCCCTCCTTCTTACTTGCGAAGGGCCCCTGCCGCTGACCGGAGCACGTGTTCGCGACCACCGACGACGGCCAACGTGATGGGGCGGGGGCCCACCGCCGCGCGCTTGGAAATTGTTTGACCGCGGCGGCGCAGTCAAGAGAACGCGGCGGGATGGTGGAGCGGCGGCGTCTTGGAGCCCGGAACGATGGCGAGAGGTATTTTCTGACGTCATGAACTGAGTTGACGATCTCATCCTCCACGTGTCCCCACACCAGTGGAAGAAGGGACGGGGCGGGAATGAGAGGGTCTCCTGGGATAAGATCCCCACATCAGCTGCACCTCCTCCGGTTTGCCTGCCAGGACGTTGGAGAGAGAGAGAGATGACTTGGGAAGGGGGATTTCTGCGGACCCCAGGGGCTGACGCGAGCGGGCGAGGTGGCGCCGCCGCCGCCGCCGACGGAGACACGTGATGCGACAGCGCTGCCGTAGCGCATGGATGAGCTCACTGTGATCGTCACCGTCCTCCCAAGGGGGCACCGGATGACCCGAGAGCAGACCCAGAAAGCAAGTTGCATCGTCCTCAAGGGGGCTATTTTTGCCGGCGAGCTGCTGCACCACGAAGCAGATCTTGAGATTCCCATTGGAGGAAAGACCCCAGCTTTTCTTAACCGGCCGGCGAGGGCCCACCGCAACCCCACCCGCCCTCGTTCTCCCGTCGCCATGATGAGCGCACTGCCGCCCATTCGTCTCCGACGGCGACGGCAGGTTTCTAGGCACGCTGCGAGATGACGAAGGAGGAGAAAGAGGGGGGAGAGAGGAGAGGATGCCCGAGAAGAGCGAGCGTGTGGTTGCGTGTGCAGTCACGTAACGATGACCGGCGAGGGAGACGACCGGGGAGGAAGACTTTCTGGGTGACGTCATTCCGCGGTCTCCCCACCACACACTGGCTCCCCACGCCACCGCGGTGGTCGACGTCAGCGGCTCCGCCCTCGGAGAGTGAGTCCGACGCAGAGCTGTCGTCACCTTCTCCCCCCCCCCCTCTTCCCCCCCCCTACCCCGTCGACGCTCTCACAGATGAAGGGGGCAGGGTAGCCGAACGTCTGCCGTCGCATGACGTCACGCGATCTGCTTCCGCTACAAATTCGGAAAGGCTGGTTGTACATAAAGGGGGGGGCTGTCTTCTGTCTTCCTCCCACAATCCCCCGGAGGGAGGGACCTGAATTACTCGGCCGGCGTGTGACGCGATGCAGCAGGCGATCCCGTACGGCGGCGGGCGGAGGGGGCGGCTCCCCGCCGCCGCCATTGCTGGCGTGGGCGGCGGCCTCGGCACGTCCTCCTCCTCCTTCCTGGACGGGTCATCGCCGTTTTCCGGGCCGAGCACGGCCACCGCCAGCACCAGCAGCAGCGGCAGCGTCGGCAGCTGCGGCATGAGCGCCGGCGGCGCCGTGGGGGGGATCAGGAGCCTCGTCGCAGAGAACCCGGTGCTGATCCTCAGCCGCGGTGGCTGCTGCATGTGCCATGTGGTGAAGCGCCTGCTGCTGGGGCTGGGAGTGAACCCGGTGGTGTGCGAGCTGGACGAGGACCGGGAGGAGGCGGCCATCATGGAGGAGCTGACCGGGGCGCCGCGGTCGGCGGAGCGCCACCAGTGGCTGGCGCCGGCGCCGCCGCAGCTCCCGGCGGTGTTCATCGGCGGCAGATTCGTGGGCGGGCTCGATCGGCTCATGGCCGCTCATATCTCCGGAGATCTCGTCCCCATCCTCAAGGACGCTGGCGCCCTGTGGCTTTGAGCGCCCCTCCTCCCTCTTCTTCCTCCTCCCCCCAGATCTTCCCATCTTCCCCCAAGAAAACGACCACTCACCTGAATTAGTCGCCTGTTCGAGCCTCAAGGCCAAAGACTCAGTTCAAAATCTCCCTCCCCTCCGCTCCCAAGGAGCAGATCGAACGATGAATGGCTCGTCCCGGAGGGAGGCTTAGTCTCCACAAGGAAAACTGTTCCTGTACTTGATCTTTTTTCCATTTTTTGTAAGAAAACAGCAGTGACGAGAAAGAACATCAGTTGGGTGATTGGACCAATCCCGAGTGTCCTGCTACGAATCCCGCCGACGGCGGCGGCGGAATTGCCCATCACCATTAGTGTCGCCGGGGACACGGTTTCTGGAGCGTCCCCCCTCTCCCCCCACCAAACATGTGAGCTGTTAGAGGGACGTAATAGATAGGGAAGTGAGAGAAAACTGACGGGCCCCTTCCGGGCCCGCCTCTGGACAAGAAGATGCCTGGTACAGGAACACGCGGTACGTCCTTAGACGGAATGAATATAAAGAAAATGTAGAAAGATTGAAGTAAGCGCCGCAGTAGAATAGAAGCCACTGAAAGGCGGCGGGAATCCGACGCTTTGCGAAGGCTTCAAATTGAGTCCAGCAATGCGTCAAGGTCCTCCAGTGCCTTGGAAGCAGGAGCAGGTTTGGTCCGATGTATCTCCAATTTCCCTGGTGGGTTCTGTGAAACGTCTCGCATTTTCACGCCAGAGGAAGGCGTCTCTGCTAGCAAGTCATCGATCGATTCATCAACAGAAAATTCCGGCCCAGCATGCCTTGAACCATGTCCTGCTCTTGGATGTGACCGATCTCGTGACCCGGTGACGACATTCAGGCTTGCGGAGCTTGAAGAATCGAGAAGGTTGACTTCCGCGAGCAAGGCGTCGATGGAGCTCTCTAGAGGAACCAGTCTTGATGATCCGCTAGATTCCCCAAACATGTCTGAAGAGTAGGAGCCTTCGGCTTCTGCAAGTATATCATCGATAGTGTCTTCAAGAGGAGAGACTGCAGCAGGCTTGCCCACTGAGCCACGTCCTCCCTCTGAGCAGGATTGGCTGGACATAAGAAGACGATCGAGCTCCACCTCTGCTGCTGCTGCTACTGCTGCTGCCGGTGCCGCTCCCTCAAGCGTGAATGTCAGGTCTTGAGCGGCGCTTATACTTGAGGCAGACAAAGGTTTACTCTGTCCACCAGGAACTTGCTCGATATCTTCTTGATAGCTCTTCGATGCACCCTCATTCAGACTATCTCTACTTTCACTGATGTTACGCGCTTTTACTTGGTCTAGCCCCTCGGGGAAGTTTTCTTCCGAACCCTCACTAAGCTGCAATTGTGTACAAACAGCAGGCAATGGGATTAGATTGCAAGTCCGGACATCAGAAAACAAAAATTCTTGCTCCATGAAGAACAGATTCCACGGAGAGCTACTGTATATGCATATTAATCATAACTAAGCTGTTTGTGGAGCCCATATGATTGACGCATCGAAATTAATAACATCAAAACCAAGGCCAAATCTATGAACCATGCTTCTATTCGTGCTGTATTGCTTTAAAATTTTAAGAAGGCATAAATTACCCCTCCTGATGTCAATAAATGAAAAAAGAATCAAAGTCGATAGTAGAAGAAAAATGTTTCACACGACAGAATTTAGGTCAGGTGTCATGGCAAGGATTAGGGTCTCACATCAATCTTGTGTTGGATAACCTAACCCCAGACATACATAGCCCAAACCCAGCCCAAGCCCGTGTTGGGCTTGAACGTGAGCAGCAAGTCCATCGGCATCATACACACAAAACCCTGTTAAAGCCAGGGTTAACACGTTTCCCCCTTGACATTCAGACCCACCTGACACAAAGCTGTTAAAGCTGCGGTTGATGCTAGTGAGTCACAAAGCAGTTTATATAAGAATGCTTTAAATTATCAGCCTTTTGGTTTTGTTTTCTTCGTATGTTATCTTTTGCATAAAATTGGATGGTGGCACCGGCTTCAAGGGAGTACGGAATACCTGCCATAGAAATGACTAACAGGAAGTTTTCCCTATTCAGAAATGTGCACAGGAATTATGGACAATCTGAACAAGTACCTAAAGAGCTCACCAGTTCAGTCGGCAAGAGATCTTCTTCAATAAAAAGTCGCTCTGCCGCAGAAAGTTTTGAAATCTGAGCCGCAAGAGAATCCAAATCAAGGGAAAGAAATGGAACCTGAATGAACCAGACAGACACATCAGGCATATCAGATCAATGGCATAAAATTTCATGGCACACAACGGAAAACTCATTAAAACCGGTTTCAACCTGCAACTTCGCTGATAAAAATGGATTCAAACTACTTTACCGAGAACTAAACTAGGGGAAGAAACTAGAAGCATTCCCAATGAACGGTAAGAGGATAGAGCTAGAACAAAAATGCTTAACCTCAAAGGTTGATCTAGCATCAGTATCCACATTAAAGTTGTCATTGTTGCACCATGATACCAGGCTTTCTCCCCTCACTGAGACAAGGGATCCAAAACCCTGAAAAAGATCTACAAGCAGGAAAATATTAGAGTTGGAAAAATGTAGAAGATATTTGTACACCATAATCTAAAAGAACTGCAAATTTCAATCCAATGAGTATGGAATTTTAAGTAAGCAACATCCAATCAACCCATACTCAAGTAAACCTTCTGAGGGAAGGAGTTAAACATAGAGTTATCTCATCCTTTCCATCTTACAGGCGCCAATTAATCTTTGACATTATTCCTCCCTACTCCGGAAACATTCCCAAAATCATGATTTCGAGTAGCAAGTGACTCTCTTTAGCATAAGGCTCTACACAACAACTTGAACTATCTCAGTTATACTTCACTCATCCTCAACATCCTAAAGGAATAAGGATAAACACTATGAGAGACAAGAAGCAGCTGACACAATATCCCTTATTGCCTCAGCCAATAGTATGATGCCCAACCCAACATCCCTGGGATTTCTTAATACAGAATTGAAATATTGATGAGGTTTACAAGTGCACATTTCAAGGCCCCCCTACGGAATAATAGGTCTCAAATTGTCCAGCAGGAAAATTCTTGTTCTATTAAATATCCTTCTTAGAAGAACCACAATATAAATCCTCCATATATTATTAATCACTAACTTCCATCCTCTGTGAAATGAGAGCCAACATCTCGACCGCATTCAGACACCCGAGATTAAGACACGTAAGACACAGTCTGTTACACAGCGAATAGTTCGCTTATTGCACATATAATAACACTCTTGGGGATACCTGAGTTTAAAAAGTTGGGTAAACAAATGAGAAGTTAAGATTGAAAACAAATATGGCAGAGTATGAGAGAGTAAAAATCGGAGAAACAAAGAACCTCCCATGTCAGGTAACAATCTCCATATCTAACAAACATACTAGGGAAAAGATCCTCAACCAACATGCATACTCTAATGTCCCAGACTTTTTGAAACCTGCGTCAATAACAGGTTTTGCTGGAACTAGAGACAGCTTTCACTTACCACATTAAAAAAGAGCCCCCCCCGGCCCGTGAAACATGCACCTCAACATCTCGTCAAGCTGATATTTCATCTTACTCACTAATCACAACTCGTTAAAATCAACGACCTACAATGAGAAAAATAAATAGGCATGGGATCTCCCTATTTAGGCTGCATCAAACTTTAAGAAAAATGTTTTTGCACTTGATAGGGCAATACCCTACATTTACACCAAACTAACATTATAAACTTTATCCAACCAGTCATTTATGATAAACGGATATTATTTCCAATAGACAACAAAACTGTATGTACATCAATGGACAAAAAACCCCTTCAACGTTAATCCAGAATACAGGACGGTCACCACGACTTTTCTACAAGGCAATGAGACAATTAAAGATTTCTGGAAGTTCATATGCCATTTACAACTCTGTTCCAACTCTGTTGCATGCGAGTATTTTCCGTTTGTCCCGTCTTCTATCCACCGTGGAAAACTTTGGTCTTCAAGAAAACTTCCTTGCTCCTGATTCTTCAACTTTAAGCACTTTAACCTATCAAAGAAAATTATTTCACCATCGAATTCTCTTAACCGAAGGCCCCAAACATTTTCTTTTAACAATAAATAGATCAATTATTCGAGGTCGTCTTTGGTAACCCTACGACCTGACAGAAAACCATGTACATCATTGAAGGGCTATGGCATATATCGCATGCTAGAAGTGAGTTAACAGTGACCATGTCCTTAATGAATCCTTAATGAATCTCTGAAAATTCCTGTATTGAAAACATTACGTTGTTCCATATAAAATACGGCCTCCTGTGGGGGTAGTTGAAAAAGAAAATAAGATGCAAAGATCTAGCACAAAGTGAAAGAAAAGGAGACATGATGTATTGTAGGTGCAACTGCACAAATGAAGTGATAATTTAAACGTCGTGAAACAGTAACTGTACAAAAGTTAAGACTCTTCTCGTGTGATTTATTTAAATAGTCATGAGAGAAATCAAGTTTCCTTGGTTTCCATATGGTGCATCTATACTAAAAAAATTTGGTACATAGCTTCTATAAGATAAATCAGAACCCCCAAGTTTGACTTACCTCTCCATTCTTGGTAAAGAAAGAGCATAAAAATCAGTTCTGTGCATGCTCTATTGATCAATTGAAAAATGGCGCAGTGTGTAGCAGAACAACGCGGCAATTTAGAGTAAAGAGAATTGCCTACTTGACTCAAACACTTCTCTTGAGACAATCAATGTCCAGTCTCTAAGTCAATTGAGCTATTTGCCATTGAATCACCTAAGCATTGCAAGCTACCATTGAATTAAACGACTGTAATTTGTCTTTCATAGTTTCAACAAAACTCAGAGTATTACAGGCTTTCTCCTATTGCGAAAGCCTCGGTTTTACGTACATAATCAGTAGTATGCAGATTAACCTAAATTCAGAGTCACTTCATTTATTGTTTGCTTCATTTTGTAATCTGTAAAGATCAATAGTCTATTATTCATTCTGCAGCGCTCTCTATGAAAAGATATTTCCGGTATCTCTGATGTTGTAATGTAGACTTGGATACCTTTCAAGACTGAGGATGTCAGCACTTGCAATGAGATCCCAACAATAAATAACAAAATAACCCCCTTCGTAGACAGACGGAGGTAAAGCCAGATTAAGAGGACAATAGTAAGTTGCTCCAACTTCATCCATTTTCAGATGTTTATTCATTGAACCTAGTGTGGATTTTGATCATTTTACAGTTTCTCTCCTCACTTCTTCCTACTGCTCAATCAGATTTTATATATATATAAAGGCAACGCTATGCGATGTGAGGTTCTCTTCTGCTATGCGATTGGAATGTACAAGGAATGAGAGTCGATTTTCTTTCTGCACATACAGCATACCTGGCATAGCTTCATCGAATAAATAGGTTGAAGCCAAGGCACTTGCACCGTCACCATGGTCGCGATCGCGTATCTGGGAGCGGGCCTGATCGATCAGGAACCCAAAATTCGCCCCTCTACTCTTCCTGGCAACGACGTCTCCACCCCCAGATAATGGCATCGTTGCCACGGCTGCTGGTCCTCCGGAGTCGACAAGTCCCGGAACAGGACCTCCCTCCTTCCCGACGTCGGTTTCATCATCGTCGTATCGATCCCAGTTGGAAGGAAGGTCCCGTAAGTGCCGGCGGCTACTCTGCCCGCCCTGGTGCTGAGGCTGTTGCTGCTGGGGAAACGATTCTTTCTTCTTCTGCTGGGCGCGGGCGCTCACGGCGGATGGAGTGGGGTGGTTCCTCTTGCCCTGCTGGGACTGCGACCTCTTGGACTTTGCGGCGGCCTTGGGGTCCATTCCGGGCCGATTCCCCCTCCCTCGACCCGAAGAGCAGGGGTATATATCCACACGAGCGCGCCACTCGCCGGCGGATCAAGTCCGGCGAGGAGAAAAGACGACGATGGCCCGCTCTCCGCACGGAGAGGCAGAGTACCCAAGCTCTATCGAGCTCCTCTGATGTGACGAGGATGGTCGTCGGCGGCAGGGAGTAGCTCACCCCCGTAACTCGCGGGCGACTTCACCGCCGCCTTCGAAAACCATCCTCCTCTGTGGTCGATCTTCGAAAAACTGCTGTAGATATCTCCATATTTTACATGTAGAGAGTGATTCCAGGACCATATGGTTTCATATTTTATATTAATCAGATAAGAGTAAATAAATAAAGGGAATAAATCATTTACGGACAAAGTATTAAATAGGATAAGCTTAAATATAGAGTAGTAAAAATATTGAAATTATCTCTGATTTAAAACTTATTCCGAGAGCAGACTTCTCCTTCTACCCGTCTAATTTTGTGAAAAATAAATAAATAAAATAGTTTAGAAAATCGTTGCACGATTAAAAATAAATAAATTGGCCCATTAAATTACCGGGGCGATAATATTGTGTTGAGTTGTTGTTCCTTTGTGTAGTTTGTCAGTCTCTTCTCATTCTTTTTAATAATTTATTTCATAATTTTTACACGTGAAGCAAGTAATTGTGCATATAGATAATTTTTTGTTGAATATTTAATTCTTAAAAAATATGAAACTCATAGTTATTATTTTTCCAAATACTAGACTTGAGGTCAACCTCAAAAAGAAAAAAAGGAAAAATAAAAAAGATTGAGAGAGGAGACAAGTTCTCTCCCCTCCTTTCATCGTAGAAGGATTGTTTCCCTCTCTATCCCCTCTCCACCATGTCACAAAACTATATATTTTTATTATGTAAATTTTATTTTTGAAAAAAAAAAAAGAAGAAGAGATAAGATGCTGCATTCTATTCACACAATCCATTTGTGTTGTCTTCCCACCAATAAGGGTTTAAACCTTAACAATTTGTAATACCGTGAATCTCAAGCCCAAAGTGATCCGACGTAGTCAACTTGATCGGCCCACTTCCACTCGACTCAAACCAACTTGATCGTTTGGTTCAAAGTTAGTCAGTCTATCTCGTTAGTCTGAATTTTCTAGAATTATCTGGTTTGCACCAGTTCATCTCGTTAGTCCAAATGATCTTGTCTTTATTAGCCCAAATCATCAGAATTTAAGTCAATCTGTTTCAACAATCAGCAATCAATGATTAAGTCAACGTATGAACAACCATTTACAATCAAGGTCCTACTTCAGCATGCACCCCCCTAATAATTTATCACCAGTTTTGGAGCCAAGGTACCTCTAATTACTCTAATTATTCAACTACTTGTGATTTAATATATCTTTTGGTGGTCATCACAAAGAGGTAATATGAATAGTCAACTTTACATATTCGATTTATCATAATATTGTCGGATAATAACTTTTTGACATGTTAAATGAATAAGTATGCTAATTATAAGTGATTTTCTTAAATTGCTCAATCTGATATTATTTCTATTCGCAATTGTTTTCTAGTTAGTTTTGAGATATTATATCAGTAATTAAAGGAGTTGACTTATGATATTAATCAGTCTTTATTTGACTTTATCTATTTTCCTCTCTGTCCTGCATCGCCGCCTCTCCATATTAGTGTTTTGCTCATCTACTAGATTTCTTTGACGTCTTTGGTAATTTATGACATAGTTTGGGCAGTAATTTTATTATGGAAAACTCTGATGTTCAATGGATAAGGAATTAAATAATATTTAAAAGTATTTTTAATAATTAATAATGTAATTTGATTATGTTCATGTGTTTATATTTTAAAATATTTATCAGGAAAGGGAGAAGGGGACGTTGTCGACGGGGAGGTCTAGCGGCTGTTTGTGCTCTGGTTCACCGTATCCAGTGATCTCCGGGAGAGAACGGGTGTAGGCGGCTGTTTGTATCCGCCGTCACCTGATTTGGCGGCGGCCGGCTCTCTTCATCATCGATTCACGCCAGTAGGACGGTGCGCGCAGCGCTGTGAAGTTGGAGTTAGTTTGAAGTCTTTTCAGTCGGGGAGGTGAAGGAGCTTCCCCAGAAAACGGACACCAGGCCCAAAACCTAGAAAATATTCTTGCTCTTCGAATCGAAATCCATGCCTATGTTGCTGTCCCAACCCTATACGCACCCTGTTCCCCTCACGACTCCTCTCCCTCTCTGCTTCGCACATTTTGGCCACCGGTGTCCCAGAATCGCAGCTCACCCGTTTGGGCCGCGGTGGAGGCCCCTGTTCAGGTTCTCCTCTTTCGCTTCTCGCGCGCCACCTATCTTCGCCTCATCGACGTCGAATGAGGAGCTTCTTCAAGCCCTGGTTGGTTACGACGGCCGGGAAGACGAGGGCAGGAGCCACCTTCCCGCTGTGAGGACCTATGAGAACGACCTTGCCAGTTTCACGCTCATTGGAGTCGTCAATTTCAACCAGGCTCTGACGGCTGCAGCTGCTGATGGCGGCGATGCAGCAGAGGAGCACCTGTCGTCCGGCCTGCCTACCATGGTTATTGAGACTGTATACACTGGCTCTAGTGCACATAGCACGGTGTCCACCCGTCTGGTCAGTTAGTTCTCTCTCTCTTTTCTTTCAATCCAACCTAAACAGTTAACTTCTGTAGGACCATTTAGGAACTTGTGGAATCAAAAGTTTATGTTCTTGTATGAACGGGTCTTACCCTTATTTAACAGTTTTTACCGTCCAGAGAGGTCAAGGAGAAAGCTAAAAAGATTAGGGGTAGTCTCGCAGACGATATCTTCTCCGGCACCGCGAGTAGAAATATCCTTGCCATGACATTCAGACAAGTAATGCTGCATCGCGTTCTGAGTTTTGAGCTTGCGTTGTTTCCTCCTGGACGTCAGAGGGACATGGAAAATCTTGGCAGCCCCAGAGAGGTCACAAACAGATGTACCATCTTTTTTATGCTTTTTTTTTTCACTCTCCTTTTCCCTAGTATCAACTTCATAGCTTTGGTTTCAGATTCCAACCGAGTTGTGCATAAGCTCCGAAAATCTTTCAGTAATCGCTGCTCTTGCCGAGGCCATCTGCTCTTGTGCTCTTGAATGCACAAAACGGACCTACCTCCAAGTTGAAGGAGGGGCGGGTTCAAGTATTGTTTCTGGTTGGTTCCAAAAGCCCCAAAGGACTGCCTCTTCTGATTCAACTGTTTGCGTATATAGTATTCCTCCAAATCAGATTATTGAAAATGCCCAAAAAAGGTTAGATGATTTTATTTCAATGAAAGGGAGGCCATCTAAGGAAAAGAGAAAAGCTAAGCACAATTTGTGGGCACCACCGACATATTCGAACCTTGATAAGATCGGAGGTACTGGATTTAGTGATTGGACAAATGAGTATATACCTGCCTATAGGCTTCAAGTTGACGGTAAAAACCTCAAAGATGTGAAGTTCAAAGGTTGGCAAAAGTTGCCTGAAGATAGGTGGGAAGTTCTTTTGACCCACTTTCAACTGGTATTTTCTTCTTTCCTCGTACTCAGCCTGTTTGAATCTTGGACTAAGCTTATTTTTATGTTTTTTATGAGTTCATGAAATCATGTAACTTTCATTGTATGAATGCAAATATTCTGTGAAATCATGATTTCCTTAATTCATTTTCATGCATATTTCATTATCGTGTCACTCTCATGCTTTTAGAAAATGTTATTATTTTCCGTGAAGAATAATAAGAGGGGAGTTGAAAAGTAGTCCTTGAAGTCAGATGATTCAATTATGTAATAAATAACTTTAGTTATAATCGTTTGGTTAGCAGTCATTGAGTACTAAGGGCAACATGCTTCATTGTAGGTCTCTCTATGTTTTCTGCCTTTTCGTTTCCTTTAGGTCTTTAGTTGTTTTTTTTCCTGAGAGAATGTGCCGTAAATTTTCCTTTGTCCCACGCATCACTTTATGTTATGTACTCAATCAAGTAGAATGATTCCTCATTCTTCTTTGCCAACTACTTCTTTGGAACCCGAATTAACTTTGCCTTCTTAATGTGGTATTTTTTGGGTACATCATTTGATGTAAATTTGTCATTTGAGATTTCAATTTAGCAGCAAAAGCTTTCAAAGCTATTGATTCTCCATTTATAGGCACTTTAGATGATGACAATGTTTGAAAATTAAAAAAATATTTATTATTGCAGGTTGAATTGGCAGACATCATGGATATGTATTACGAAGATCAATATACACTTCCAACTAAACAGCTTTCATCCAGTCTGATTGCACAGGTTTCAAATCGAACCAAGAGCGAGGTAGTCTTTTCTCTCAAATATATGCAGTATTAGTAGTCATAAAGTCGGGGTATTTATGCATAGGGGATGAAGGCTTTCCATGGGATTATGCTTCGGTAACTCAGTCATGTCATATGCGCATCATCTGCTCGATTTAGTGCGCATAATTCAAGCATTTGAATTAATGCTTACCTTTAAGTTAGTGGCCTTGACAATCCCTCAACTAATGGCAGAGAAAATTTTCGTGGAAAATGGCATCTGTGATACTGCTCGGTGGCTGTGTTCTGGTTTCTCTTAGAATCATGGCACAAATTCGGGGGCAAAACCTCTTCGCGGCAAGAATTTCTTCAGTTCCCTCAGGAACAACAGTATCAGAAACTGACTACTTCCAGCCCCTGATTCTTGACGATGACAAGGTACATTACCAACGCCAACGTTGCCTCAATGGGTTTAATGACCATGGGTCAGCACTGGGTCATTTTTTTACATCTCAATATCATTTTGTTTTGAACTCTAATAATTTGTTTCCAAATATTGGGATGCACAGTACGAAGCTCTATGCCTCTCTGTTGTCCAAAGGATTCAGGATGCGGTTGGCCGGCATGGACATATATCTGTTGACAGGGATGTTGGAGCGTGGGTGGGAGAGATTCCGAGTTGCTTGAGTAAGCTACATATCTCAGAGTCTGCTCACGGTGTTTCAGAGAAAGAAGTCCCTGCACGCTCCTTTGACAGCGATATGCCAGTTCCGAGAGAATTGTCTACTAGTGAACTGTCTGCATCCCAGAAAAACAGTGAAGAAGACATGGCTTCGTCTACACAGGATATTGCCAGTTACCAGGTATTTTAAATGAATATTCCCCTTGGCTTGCTTGTTTAGCGTCTGGTGATTGTTATTTTTATCTTGCTGAATGAGGAATATTCTATCACATTAGTCTAATTAATATCCTCCTCATCATAGAATCTTGTCTACTTTGTATCTCACTGATAGATATATCTGAACTATTTCTTCATCTCTTCGTCAGTGAAGGGCATTTCGTGGTGCATTCATTTCTTCAAAAAGATATTTACACAACTTTAAAGAATCTTCATTTTGCCTTCAACGTACAGGTTGCGTTATCAAGGGATGGCAAGGTACTGGGCTTCCAACCCACCAGTCGTACTGCAGTTCCTCACTGGGCTTCCAATCCCCTTGCAGGGGCTCTTTATGAAGGGAAGAAACTTTCGCCAGGTGAACAATTGCCCCAAATGGTTATAATAATGGAAAACATATATTTAAAATCAAAATATTTTCAGATTTGTGACCAATCATGTTGTCTCCTGAATAGGCATCCTGGAGCCAAACGTTAAGATTCCTCAGCCGCGTGAGGTAGTGCTAGTTGAGCTCTTGATGTCGGTAAATCCTGATTCCTGGTTTGTGCTAGCAAGACCAATTCAATGACCAGGTAGACATTGAAGCTCTCTCCACAAAGGCCGGCTTCTTCTCTGGCGAATTCAGGAGGTTCTGTTCCCTGTCCGCTTTCATAAATCTCTGAAAAATGTGTTTTTTATGAACAGCCTCTGTACTGCCTGATCTTAAGACTTCTTCTACTTGGCATTGAAGCAGCGACCTGAGAGGGTCAAAGAGTGGATAGCTTCTGCATATTGGAGGCTGAAACTTGCAGAACTGGCCATGCCCAGATGGTTTCCAGAAGGAAATAGTTAAGGAACTCGCCTCACTGGATTACAACACATTGAACAGCTTTTCTGAAAATGGTAGGCAACAAGCGTTTGATGCAGACTATTATTTAGTGCCCAGAAGACGGCTTTTGTGTACAGAGCCACTCGTGTTTTTAATATTGCCATTAAGTCAACCACCAGATCTCTATGTCCCCCCTTATGAAATAAACTCTCCATTGTAAGTTGAATGAATCTATATCTGGGCTCCCTTCTCTGCCGATATCCATGAGCTGGGTTAGTTAGATGTCTACCTCAAATCCAAGTCGTTAAGTTGATGTATCATTGTCGAGTTGATCTCTTCAGAATTTGAATATTTCATTCTTTTCTCATTTTCTTGATAATTTAATGTATGTAATATCTTTAGGGACTTGTATATCATGATTCTGAAGGACTAAACACTGCAAAATGTGATTAGATAATCATATAATTAGAAATAAGATACTCCACATGATTTGTATTTTTTTTACCGTATAATCATACGCTTATTCCTTTATTTCTAGATAATTCTTCAATTAATACTCTTTTATCCTCAAACATTCATAAGGTAGAAAATCACTTAATCTCAAAGATTAACCTCTTCATTGTAAAACGATGAAATCATAAAATAAAAAAAATATGATTTATATAATAGGTTTATTAAATAAATTAAACAGTTGAAATATATAAATGACACATTAATAAACTTGAAAGTATAATTACCAAAATCAAGGACACCAACATGCCCATTTGCCGCCAAACAAGTATTATACCTCCATGGAGAAAAGTCTATTGAATCAATATGAATATCCATCACTACCAAGATGGCATAGTTGACTTTGACCTCATAAAGGTGAAAAAGAGAAAGGTAAACCGGCCCTCCCTGGCTGGGCCAGGCTTCGGCAGGACCGTCTCAAGCCCTGGCTTGAGCTTGCTCACTCCTCGATTTAATTTCTACATGTTAATTTATAATGGGGTTCCGATCTTTGACAATGGGTGTGTTTCATAGTAAACAACATGAGATTTTCTTTTCCATAGTAATACCTGGATATGCACAGAAAGTTAGCATCAGACAAGAACTAGCCTTTGAATGCAAATGGCCCAGCTGCGTTGAATTCTAGCTCCAGGTTGTTGGTGGGACCCCTATGACCCCTTAAGGATCAGGGTTTATTGACTCTTTCTTCTTTCTGTTTCTCCTACGGCCATCCTTTATCTTCTTTTTAAGCTTCAACTGCCTTTTCATGTGCTTCTCCCATGTCTTCTTATGCTTTTGGTAGATCAACATGGCCGCCTTTGCATCCTCAACCTGCAAACAAGTTGGGCCAGGCATATAATGTCGGGCATTAACCCCAATTTTTCTAATCGCAGAGCAACATGGAGTAAGCTAACAGTGCACTTTCCGAATGTTGGAAACAGAACGGGGATCGATGAACTTGTGAATTTTCTCAGCCAATGACCAGGCCTTCCACATAAGTTACAGAGAAGCAGATGGGTTTCCTCAAACATAAGACTAACTTACTGGGCAATGCTCCCCTTGTTGAATAGTGATGCCAAGAATCTGAGCTGCAAGATCCCTCAGAGCTCTTCTGCGACCTTCTCCACTATTAAACATATACAGTGCATGATAGTTATTTCCCCAGCCAGATCATAAATTACTGGAAGAGACGATTATGGAGAGAGTAAGAAGAAATTTCTCTGTTCTATATAATAGGAGAAAACCCATCACAGATGGACATCAGGTTTATGAACAACACCAGATCACTGAGTACCCAACAGCTTGATTCAAGGTTAAAGAAAATGAAGGATTACAAACCTAAGAAAGGGTTGGTATTCAGCAGTATCCCTTACATCGCTTCCGGGATGGCTCAGTAGCAACGCCTGGTGAAAATCTAGATAAAATCACTTCCATATCTGTAATATCACGAAAAGCTAATATACATGTAGAACCTGCCAATAGCACAGCACACCTTGAGATCATTATGTAAAGCATGACCAACGAGTGTCCTCCCTTTGAGGAACACTGAGACATCATTTTGAACCGATTTGAAGTCCTTCGCTGCAGTCAATGCACAAATGTCAAGCAAATAATCCACCTTATCTGTGACGCAAAATCCTAAATGATTTAATTATTTTGAGCAGAAAGACTTGACTAGCTGAGAGACCCTAAATTTTTCTGTAACTACAGAATCCCACACAACATGGACGATGCCACCTAGGAAACCTTAGATCTATGGGCGGCCTGAAAAATTACATATTGTGTAGTTCACGAGAATTAAGATCTCACGATTATGCCAAATGCAAAGTAAACCCAGGTAGAAGACAACTGCACAATGCATGGGTTGCAGAATTTTAATTTTCTTCACAGAATATAAACTGACCTTTCCGTAAGTGCACGGCTCGTATGCCACTGATTCTTGTCCGGAAATCAACGACACGCTCTAGAGGACGGACATATTCGTCATACACCACATTTCCCCATGCATTTACCTGCGTAAATAAAGGTTGGAAGAAAATACGAAATATAACAAAGGTGACCATAATTTCCGGAATCAGCATCAAGAACCAACAGGGTTGTGAAGAAAAAATAAAAGAAAAATATGCTCTAATTGATTTATGGCTAAGAATGAGGATATTCTGGGACTAAAAACTTCTATTAGTTAACATTTAAAAAGTTGATATGCAGGGGAAGTGACGAAGGATGAAAACTCCGTATCCTCGAGCAGTTCCATAATGCACGTAACATGCCCTGATTTGAAAGAAATACGATTGAAGAAATGAGGCGAATGATTGCTTGCTAAGAAAATACTAGAAAATTTCTTCAGGTTATGCTCACTTTTGACATCTGATGGAGAGACCTGATGGAAGAAGAAACCCATTCTCGTCACAATGCAACCAAAAATCCAGGTGATATCCACATAAAACTTTTATTATAAAAAACATGATCTAGTGTAGATGCTTTCCTCCACTCTTTACTAACGACCTCCAAATTTATGACATTCCGAAGGCTAGATTCGGGCTAGAAGAAAAGAGAAGTATAGTTAGCAAAGTACATCGTTGGCTTTGCTTATGGATAGTTGCAAGCTGAGTATCACCCTAGTTTAGCACTAAACCTCCATTTCCATGTCCATATGATACCCTTGAATACTGAAGGAGCGAGATGACACACGACCTATGCACCCTTTTTCTGACTCTGAAGAATTTTATTTGAAAGCAATATTAAGGCAATTGTTCTAGTTCCGTTCATGTAAAAATCCTGCGAAAGATGTCCATTAAAACTAATCACCTCGCTAATTGAATTACTCTAACGCATCCTTCCTGGCCTTCAGCGGTGTAAACGAAGAAAATAAATGGAACAGAAGTTGACTAAAAGCAGCAGAGAGGTTTAGTACTAGACTAGGGGAAAAAGTTTAGTATACTAGACTCACCAGTGCAATCCTTCCAATAGCACTCTTGGTTCCCTGAGAGCCCACCCCCACCATCTCACAATCCATTGCTAGTGCATCTGTCAGACTGAGACGAATGATGTGAAACTAGCAATTCGAAGGGCCGCGAACCTGAGAATAACTAAGGAAAATAAACGTACAATCTACCTGCAATCCGTAGACGTGGGCTTCAGAACCTCTGATGGGGACAAAGTAGCCGAAACAGCCGGAGCGGCCTCCGACTCAGCTTCAGACCTCTCCTTGCGTTTCCCTGCGCCAGAGAGCACATGGATATCTCATCATCGAAGAGGGGGAAATGCGAGGCGACGATGATGGAACTGAACAAGATAAAAACAAAAATGAGAACCCCCGGTGAGTACCTAACACCGACGGTGGCTTTCCAGCTTCGTCGGGATCGGGGTGGGAGGAACCTGAGCGCCCCACTTTCAACCTCTGCTTCAGTACTACCCAGTTTGGATTCAGCGACGGCGCACTGGGATTGGTAGCGGCGCCGCCCATCTGCTCGCCCCGCAACTGACCGCCCGAGAACTCGAGCCTTTGTTCCCCGCCCACACCTTCTCGAGCTGTCTGCGTAACTGCTTGCCCTAATAAGGTAAATATTTAATGCCATGAAATTAATAAATGACAATATTAAAATACTAAGAAAAACTGAAAGCATAATACTTTTACGATTTGTTAATAAAATTATTCGCAAGTTTAAATAAAAATAATTCGTAAATAAAAATTAATTAAAACTCAAGATATTGCCCAAACAGTAGTGCGTTTTTGGGCCGGACATGATCCAAATCCCGACTCGGCCCAGACGGCGTTCGGGCCTGGATAGAGTTGAGCTTGTTGGGCTAGTGTTTAGCTATCTGGTCAATAATACTACGCAGGCTACTCTCAGAACAAGAAGACCGGCCCAAATCGCGCCGCGTGTGGTCTGGCCCACGCACTAGCGCGGCCAAAAGGAGGCGCCCAAATTCTGTCCGCACTGAGCCGTCCGTCGGTACTCTGAACCTCCGGAACGGTACGAAAAAACCTGGTCCGTCTAATAATCTGGCTCTGAACGAAAGGATTCACCCATTCCGTGATCCTCAAGGCACTTTCACCGCACGATCTGGTAGACCAAAAGACGGCTCAGGATTAGCGAAATAGGAAGGCCTATGCAACCGCCACCCGGTCTTCGGGAATTTCTCCCATGGTTTTGTCTCTGAGGATAATAATAATCGTCGAAGAAATTACCGTTGTCGTCGCCGGTCGAACGTTGGGTGGAAAGCTAGGGTTCGCCGAGACCTCTGAGTTCGCCGATCGGCGTCGGAGTGTCGGAAGGTGGTGCCTAGTGACTCTCCCCCACATCTCGAGCCCTCCGCCGACTAAGCGGACGAACATGGGGAGGGGCAAGTTCAAGGGCAAGCCGACCGGCCGCAGGCAGTTTTCCACGCCAGAGGAAATGCGTAAGCAGTCCCTTGTTTTTCCTCTGTTACGATGTCGTTTTTCTCTGTTTCTTCTCGCGTTTTGGTCTTGATACTATCACTTCTTTGGTCTCGTCTGGGTCTATTGATTTTGCAAACTGCTCTTTGAGGTGTCGAATTAACGAACGCTGAAGGTGGTAAGTTACGATATCGAGGATAAAAAATGAAATTGGCTTCTGCGACGTTACGTTCGCGGTGGACATAGAAATCCCGATATAGAAAATTTCCTCCACCAGGGGAGCAAAGAATTACTGCGGGAAACCATAGGGTCTCAGTATGATCGAACCATCGATCGAAATCGCCTGACTTTTCGATAACTAGTGATGTCACTTAGGTTTAATTGTTTCTGCCGAGCATGGTCGTTTTGAATCTAGATGGAGTTCGTAACACATTTACTGTTTCTGAAGTATTGTGTTTGAATTTATTTCTATCTTCTCCTGTAACTGATTTGATTTCTCTTTGACCAGGTTTCATAGATATGCTTGATTCTCTTATTCTAGTTTCGGTTTGCTTGTGCTGATGTGGTACTAGTAATGAACGAAGAGTTGGAAATACCCTCCCTGAATATCCTTCTGTATAGTTCTTCTTTTAAAAATCAGACGATTCGAAACGCTATTTTTAGGAGAGGCTTTTTGGGTTTTTCTCTTAGAACATTATTCAATAAATTTCTTTTATGTAGCCTTAATTTTAGATTTCTTTTAAATGGAATCAAAGGAACTTTGGAGCCATAATGGTACGTCTTTACGTAGGATTTGTGCACAGCCAGATTGTTGGATCGATGTGTGTATTTTGGTTTTCGTGAAGCTTCTCTCCATTGCGTGAATGTCGTTTTTTGATGTTTAATGAACTCTTATTTCTGTTGGAGTTGTACTAATTGATGTAATCTTTCTTAAAACATATGAAAACAGTTGCTGGCACATCCACTCGTCCTCGCACATTTAAGAAGGTAAACTTCCACAATAGTTAGCGTATCATTGATTATCCTTTTCTATTGAAGAATGTGAGGTGTTAGTTGCATTTTTCATCGTTCTACCAGTTATGCCGTATGCTAATGAGTTATTTGGTGTTTATTCTTTTTTGCATGTGATTCTGTAGTGATGTATGGTTGCCAATACCGGCTGTAGGCTATGAATATAGTTTATTTTCTAAACTACATCGCACCATTAGATGTCAGTCATACTCCTTTCTGTGTTTAAGTATTTACCGGATTGCCAGTCTCCTTTGGTGACTATCCTGGTTGGCAGTTCTCGCGATTAGCGTCTTTGATCAATTGACATGTGCTAGAGTTTCACTTTAGCCAAACCTTCTTTGCGGGAAATTGTGTCATTTTGTTCGCATTGGGTCTAAGGATTGGGGTTTAAGGTTCCAGGTGTCTGACATATTTCATTTACTCATTTGAGTGTGCCACATTTGGGAAAGATACGCACTCACTTTTGGAGCTGTGGATTCCTTTTTGGTTTTTTTTTATGATGCTTTTTTTTCTTCGTCTTTTTCTATGTGATGATCTATTACCCAAACTAGATGCTTCTCAATGGTACCAATGAGTAGAAAAATGATACATCTAATTTCACGAAGGTAAACGAAAACCCAATTGTCGATAATACTGATGGAATTTAAAGGTGGTTCTGTTTTTCGAATACTGAAAATGTCAATCCTCTTCACAGGTAGGACAATGACCGTGTTACAATTTTTTGTTTTTTTTAAGTTGTTCAGATGCTCGAAATCTTTTACACCATTGTTATGAAGTCTATCTTAGTAATTAGATTTACTGTGCTTAGATATGCTTCATTTAAGACTGAGATTACTCTTAACACCATTTCTCAGGAAATGGTGGCCATGCCACAGCTCTGTTTTTTTTCTTAAGTTGTTCAAATTCTCAAAATATTTTGCTCCATTGTTGTGAAGTCTATTCTAGTAATTAAAGATACTTCATTTATTTGTGCTTTGTTTATGTACTCTATATGTCACTGCCTTTTTTACTTCATTTCTCAGGAAGAAGTTAAGGATAAAGAGGAAGAGTCTCAAGAGGAATCTGAAGAGGAATCTGAAGAAGAATCTGAAGGAGAATCAGCGGTAATTTAGCTATCATATGTCCTTGTGGTTTTGATGCAATATTTTTGTGCTTAGCGCTCTCTTGTAACAGATGGCTGCGGAAAATTTTATTTTTGCATTATTTTATTTTTTTATCACCTCTGAATTTTCACAGAAGAAGAAAGGCACCCAAGGAGTTATTGAAATTGAAAATCCAAATTTGGTGAAGCCAAAGACTCTAAAAGCCAAAGATGCGGATGTAAGTTGACTAGTTTCTTTCTGGATAATTATCTGCTGATGTAAGGCCATTGCGACTGGAATAAAATAATTAACGCAATCACCTATGATATAAATCGAATTTCTGGACAAGTATTAGTTCCTGCTTTGGGCTGGAGTCCAATTATGCTTAGTTCACAAAAAATTGAGAAGTAAATTGTCAATTTATGCCGCATATGTATTCGTACTGTTTTTATACTGGAGTCATTTAAAAAAAAAAAATCTGCTTTTCTTTGCGGGGGGGCAGAACAATGCCTCTGGCCCATCCACCAGCAGCATTCTTAATTCTTCTTTTTTTCTTCTCTGGCTCTCCATCGGGTTGACTTTAATTAATCTGTGTAGATAAAAGAACGGAAGGTAGAAATGAAGAATGTGGCTATCATTCCATTTTAGATTTTATCTAACTGGTTATAATCTCGCCTTTTTTTACCATAGAATGGTTTGTAGTTGGTGAACTTGTGAAAGCAACAATGTTGTGGCCTCACCATTGTATATCAATCTGTTTAGGACTTCGGAAATCTCAGGTTGAAGGTCTTTGTGACATTGCCCATCTGAGAAAATGTTGTTGTTTATGTTGACGAGCATTTTCTAGAGAGTTGTGGAGGAACTGAGTTCCTTCACAGTGCTAGGTGGTCAGTATTGACGTATATAATAATTGAAATATTTGCGTGCTTTGCTTGTTGGAAATTTAAACTTGCCCTAGCATTTAGCATATCTTGAGTTACCTTTGGTTGCCAGCCTAGTTGGTCCTTCTCACCTTGTAATTACTACTGTAACTTTTCTGATCCTGACAATATCGCATATGTTGGCCATTTTCTTTGCTTTTTCACATGGAATTTTCATATAAATTTCATAAGCTAATATCACTCTAATATTGCAGCTGGAGAAAACTACTGAACTCTCTAGGCGTGAAAGGTTGGTGACGTTTAATCTTTCATCGGGATGTTGCTTTGATAATGCGTCATGTCCATATTTCCTGCGTAACTTGACCTGTCATTGTTACCGTTGCTTTGCATTTTCTTCTTTCTGTTGTCATGGTCGTTGTGATCATGTCTCACACCTTCCCAACTGATCGGTTAAGAGTTCATGCATAAAATAGTGAGCCGTTTATGCACCATGCTGATGGATATTATCTAACTAGATTTCATACTGTTATTGGCCTTAAGTGTTGTTGGTTTGTAGGTGTTTATATATAAACGCAAGCTAAGACCTGGGCTGTGTACTTTAGAGTCCCGTACTCTTTTTATAGAACAAATTAAATGTCATTAAGGTTTAGTAGCTGATCTTTTAAAATTTGACTTTGAAACACAGATGGATGACGAGTGACTCAAAGTGGTCAGCCTTCTCTTTGACTACAAACTCAGCATTTTTTTGTTTGATAACTAAATGTTCTTCGAAAATATCACATGGCAGTGACGTAGACTTTTAGTCCTCCGATAGGACGCTGCTAGGCTGCTACCTAGGTAGATTATAGGATGAGCTGTTGTCTCATTTGATAATTCCCCATTTGTTTATCCTCAAGATACCTAAGTATCTTGACTACTCAGGAACTGATGTTATGGCCAGTCATTTCTTTTTAAATAGTGGTTCCAAACGTAAGAGTTAAATGCTTCTGTCTCGTTAGCATTTTCACTAAAATGAAAGTCTTGCTTGGTAAATGATTATGGAAATTGGACGAAGATCATTCATTATTTGGCAAAAAGTGTGAGAATTGCGAATTACGAGAGTTGTAATTGATTATGTTTACTGCCATGTAATCTGTTTTTGGCCATTTGGTAGGTGACAGATGTCACATAACCGACGTATTTGAGGATGCATGTAGACTTAAGTAAACCATTGCTCTGGACAAATATTGGAAAATTTGGATGACAACTGGTGATTGACAAAGTTTTGAAAAAAGTAGTGCGAGTTAAGTTGCCTATTTGCCTATGAAACTAATTTCAAGTTAATTCCTATTGTGTGATGTGGCATTCAATTATGGGGATGATTTTTTTACGTCGCTAAACTGGGGTAGGATGGAATACTTTATTATTTAGTAGTTACTTGTGATATTATTCAAAATGATTTTGTTTCTTGCGATTAATACTGTTATTTTAACTCTTCTCAGGGAGGAACTAGAGAAACAAAGAGCTCATGAACGATATATGAGGTTGCAGGAACAAGGAAAAACTGAACAAGCAAAGAAAGATTTGGGTGAGACGTTAAATATATAAATAGATGTATATTGTAAATTCCCTAGTCTAGGTGTGTTCTATTATTCTTTTCAGCGGAAGCACTGCCTTGCTCATTCTCCGTAGTAGCCAATTCTATTTCCATATTTGAAACTGCTCATGTTGTTTGTGAATACCCATTTGTGGTTGTGAGGTTGTCTATCATTCAATAAAGTCGGAAACCGTAAGTTATTTGTCCACACAGAATACATCTAGGACGTTTGCTGGATCAACCAGCACATCTATGGTCTGGTGAGGAGGTTTGGTGACAGTGTGGTTCACTTAATAGTTATGGTCCTTAATTCTGTATCGAATAAGGATATAATGTGCAATTTATTTGAGGAATATTGTGGGGCTAGACCACAACGGCATTGTAGGCTAGCTCCCCTTCCCTCTCTATGACTCGGTTTCCTTCCCCCCTGATAAGTGCGTGATTTTGTAGAGTATGTTGATTGAAAACAATGTTCTAGAACAGATATGTCCACATTTGCACTAACCTTTTCTGTTGTTCTTTTCTCCCATACCTTTGTATCTCGGGAGTGGGTAATAAAGGTGAAAAGGTCAAAAAATACCATTATTCTAAAATTATCTGTAATTTAGTTAGTTAATATATAAAAAAATATTTTTGTGAGGTCATCGATTTCCTTTTCCTGTGAGTCGATTCGGTCATCCTGAACCAGAAGTGCTCAACACCCAAGGGTTCCGCTGCAATTCACAATCCCTCTAGACACTGTCTCTCCCTCTCTCTCTCTCTCTCTCTCTCTACACACACATTCCTCCACCATGATAGGCGGATTCTTGATGTGAAATTGGATAACATTGAGACTCCTAAATTCCATCACCAGGATTTGACCGACGAGTTGTGATTAATGTGAATAACCTTGATGTGATCTTTATAAAGCCATAGTCATATATTGTCCCATTAAGAGGAAGAAAACGAAGTCTGAACATCATCGCTTAACTGTGTCTTATCACATTTTGGAGAACTTTGACATGAAAATAGAAACCAATAACGTTAAAAGTAAACTGTCCAGGTTAGGATCAACATTCATGGAAACAGATTCATATATAGATCCTTTTTTCTCATAGAACTTTGTTTTATTTTAGACTTAATTATCAGGCCAATCCTTCTCGTTCATAGAACCTATGTTCAAAGTGCCTTGAAAGTCGGCGATCTCTTTTACATTGAGCTCGACAGATGTTGGAAGCGTGATTTTTACAGCTTTGTATAGTAATGCAATATTTTAAACCCGCCTGGGTATTTTATCAATCTGGATTGAGATTGAGGGAACCTCGGACCAGTCTGTGATGTGCTTATTGAAATGATTTTTTGGATGGATCTTATAATAATCTCGTCCGATTATCAGTTCTGTAAACATTCTTTAGCAGCTTATAGAGGCTGGAGGTTTTATTCTCGTGGAATAATCTTCCCATGGAAATGCATAATCCGTGTAGAAATGGCTAATTATTACGTTGGTCCCTTCGATCTCCTATCTATCATCGATCATTTCATTGATTTTTTCTTTTCTTCTAACCCACAGAGCGCTTACAATTGATACGGCAGCAAAGAGCTGAAGCTGCGAAGAAAAGAGAAGAGGAAAAAACCGGTACGTTGCATCTTTTAATTGGCTATTTATTCCCCTTGATCACCAGCATATTGGTTGGAAGTAGGGAATTGGTTCCATCGTGTGAATGGGCATCAGTGGGTCGGGCCAGGGCAGGGCCGGCGCATAAGTTCGGCGAGGGATCTTGGCCGCCACGAGGGTGATCGCAGGGCGGCCATGTTGGAAATAATATGGGCTCCGGGCTTGGGACTAGGCCGGGGCGGGCTTTTTCTCACCGGGCTTGGCTTCTGGTCATTGACTCTCCTAATCTGAGTGGTTAATTTATCTTCCTCCCCACTTTAATCAGCAAGAGAACAAAAGAAGGCCGAAGCCCGCAAATGATCAGTCGGACTGTGCAAGAGGAAGCCTCAGGTTGCCCTTTTCAAGCAGTCAGCATATTAGACTTTTTTTTTTATCGGAGAGTTAAATTAATTAATCTCCTTATAATTAAGATGGGTTGCCCGTTGCTTTCTCCGGGACCTGTGCATTTTATTTTTATTTTATTTTGTTGATCTTGCTCTTCGGCATTTCGTCCGGACAGATGAAGAATATGCGCTGTACTAGATTTTTCCTATGTTTTATGCCGGGATGTATCAGTCTGTGCCTTCCTATGTGTCACAGGGCCGGTTAGAACCGCCGGGCCCGTCATGAAGGTATGAATTTCTTTTTTTATATATAAAAAAACCATTGATTGATGATTGAACTTACTGTGATTAATCGATTAAGCTTACTTTTTATTTGAAGACCTTAATAGCCTCCTGTGTGGTAAGAGAAGGCGTTCTTGTTTGGCTTTCAGCTACTTTGTTGAGAGAGAGGGGAGAGAGAGAGAGAGAGAGAGAGAGAGAGAGAGAGAGAGAGAGAGAGAGAGAAAAAAAAGAGGTGATAATTAATGGGAATAATTGTGTAAATTATTTAATTTCAAACGAATGAATTATTTTTCGGTATCTGATAAATTCAAGGTTGAGGGTGTGTTTTGGAAATTCAATCCTATTTAAAATTATTTCCGGAGAGAAAAAATCGAAAATTGTATAAAAAGTTCTTCCAAAATTCATGGGTTTCATTAGGACATCGAATCCTGTGTCAACATGATGGGTCGTATGTGGAAATCTGATGAAGACGGGAGCCAGACTGAGATGAGGAATCCTCACGTGGGGTGTACCGGGCGGAGTCATCCCACGGGAGGCGAGCCCGAGCTCGCGGCAGGCGAGGCGGTGGGGCCGAGCGCCGGGCGCTGTTCTGAGGTGGTGACGGCGGTGGGCTCCGCTTTTCTCCCCTCCTCGTCAGGTCCTTGGCCATCCGATCGAGCGAGTGGGTGGGATGAATCCGATGTGGCGGCGGTTTGCCTGTGATTGGCTTATCCACTGGATTTCCCGGATATCAGAAGGCGGAGCGTTTCTTGGCGGAATTATTAAAGAGAATTTTTTTAATGGAATACAATCGCTGTCATGCGTCACCCCCCCTTTTTATGAGGTTTCCTCCTGGTATATCTCGTTTCCGACGGGTTCCCCCCTTACTCTGGTTCTGCACACGGAAGGTACAGAATTCTCGTCATACTCCCGATTTCTGCAGCTCTTCTCTGCGGGAGTCGTCCCGTCTCGGCATTTTTCTCGAATTTCATGCGTTTCTGTGCACTAGACGATCGATCGTGTCTAAAATTTTTCCGACTTTTGTTTTCCGCTTGCACGCGATTGGTAATATATTGATATCGTAGAGCAGTGGCCTTATGTTCCATTCTTTCGTTCTTGTATAGTTTCCTTTGGTTCCTTCCTTTTTCTCTAATGATTCTCTTTCTTCTCAGGATCGCAGAAATTAGCGATCGCTAATCCGCCATCGACAAAGGAAAGCACGCTGGATTGGAGCCGTCACCGAGTGTAGTCACTATCTGACGATCCTAGGTTATCATCAGCAACCTTGTGCTGCTGCAGGCTGATTGATATCGTTCTCCTTTGTCGTTGTTAACACAATGAACCAATCTCAAACTTCTATCCTTCCTGGGAGAATCGTCAGCGAGTCCCCATGTTTTCATTTGTCAGATTCTATACAGTGTTTCCGGTAACCGTTACTCGGACGCCTAGGATGATACAATTCGTCCGTTGTCTCGTTACAAAGCGTAGTTTTAATCTTCCATGCATAAGGTCAGAGTTTCAGTTCCGTCACGTTCAATTAAAAAGCCGTGGATAATATTCCTACATAGTGAGACGAGCTCCTCATATTTTCTCCCCTGTAATCCTGTGGCATTCGGGCATTTTGGTTTAATGACTGTGTCTGTATTTTATTTTGAATATGATTTCTCTGATGTGTTTGATCACCATCTACACCGGGTTTTTATTTTCGTTCTTCATTCACTTCAACACTCTTATCTCAATTTTTGTGTCCTCGTATCATGTTCATTGCATTGATTTTCACGGTTCGTCTATTCTATTTTTTGCCACATATGACCCTATGGTTATCAAAAAAATTCTGCGTATTACATTTGTTCAAATATGGTGTCAAAATCTGAATGAGTTGTCATCCATTGACAGTGTGCCTGTAGTTTATCTTGTCGTCAGATATTTCTTCTAATTCTCTAGATTATAGCCTTATGCCTATAATTTCAAGTGTTTGACTGTTTCAACTTTCTTTTGAAGTTAAATTCAATGGTTTATTGCCCCTGGAGTATTTAGGGCGTAAGAGTTTTAAATAAACAGACAAATCTATGGTTGAAAGACACCTGGAGCATGGACTTCGTTCTGACTGATAACCAGTGGTCCTGCTGTATCATGTAATAGTGTTCAGAATGCATGTATCAGTGATGTTTTATGCTTCCGGAAGTATCCATGCACCATGCATGCGAATGGCGGTTGTGTTCTGTTCCAAAGATGGCAATCTGTTCAATCATTTCCTTAGAGTCTTCGGAATATTTTCCTTTTCATAACGAAAGAATTTTCTGAGCGTCATCAAGACTTTTGAAATTCGTAAATGATTGTGTACTCATTTTTATTGTGCCGAATTAACCAAATTGAGCTTGTTGGATTTGGAATATAGGAGCATTTAGTTGGATTTGATCTGGCTCAGCAGGGTTTAGTTCAGTCTAGTCAAGCTTGGACTTTGGTTTGATGGGATTCAGGACTGAGTTTCTCAAGAGTCTCTAATAAGCAAAACTAAATCTTTCCTGTTGATTAGAACTCTAGACTTCGGTAGCTCAACTTGGTTCTGTTCACTTGTACCAATAGCTGAAAAATGTTGTTTTGGTGAATTCAAGAACCAATCCCACCCTAGGGTTAGCTGTTGGTAGAAATCTGCACTTGAATTTCTTTGGATCTCCTTCTTTCAAGATCAATCGCTTCCCTTTGAACTTGTGCATGTAAAGATTGCATGTACTTGTGCGCACTGTAAAATCAATATGTTATTTATAGATTAATAGACAGTTCACGAATAAGTTGTAGGAATTTCTTAGAAGATATATTCTGGTTGGAAACCGTCTCTTTTCCTCTGTTTTTCTTGATTACAAATTAATAAATGGTAATTATTGGAGTATTCTGAAAATCTATGCTTTTCTGATATTTTAAGTTAAGGTTGAGGCATGAAATAGATTTCAATGAAGGATTTGTTAGGCCCACTATAAGGATGATGATGCCTGCTTTTGTACGTGTATTTTTTATGTAGCGCTTTCTAACCCTGCGTCTGTTAACAGGGTCTCTCTTTCAGCTTCGAGATAACTCAAAGAATAAGTTGAACTCCCAGATGTTTGGTGTGGAAATGGACCGTGGCCACAGACATCCTCTTCCTAATACTTATGACCAGTTGGGGAACAGAGTTGATTTACTCAACTCAAACCCCCATCATTTGATGGCAACTTCAGGAAGCCCAGAAATTTTTAATATATCCCACTTTGGCAATCATCATATTAACACTACCTTATGTGCGGACTTATATAAACATCACCATCATCCTCATCATCATCATCATCATCATCATCAGCAGCAGCAGCAGCAGTTTTCTGGCTCAAATCATGGTTGGGATTCTATCTGTTTATCTACCTTCAGCTATTTCTTCCATGATTTCTTCTTCTAAAAGTTTATTTTCAATTCCAGTTACTGTTTCCGACCAGTTAAGTTCATCAAGCGTGATGGGCGTTAGTATGAATCCTCAGTGTATGGATAATTCTAGAATCCCTGGCAAGAGAAAGAATCCATTGGGGGTTGCGAGTGACAGCAACTATGTTACCGACATGCCAAACTCTGGCTCACTTCCTTTGACGTTCTCCCGAAATTATGGCATTCCAAATTCGAATGAGCTTCTGGAGGGTGGATTTAACGTCACAGATGTTAGGAACATTAATCCACCTGAGTACTCACATGGGTTCTTCGCACCGATGGAAAGTTCTCTGAGAAATGCGGGGAACCCTGGTGTCATTAATCTGCAGATGGAATCTCCTTTTGGCCACTATCACAGCTATCGCCAGGTACATCAAGGAAACTACTACACCCCGACCTCTCAGCTTGGTGGTCCTTGGGGGCAGTTTAGAGGCAATGCTGGTGATGGTGTTCGTTCTCCTTGGTGTTATCCAGCAATACCATGTTTTCCGGGTAATTCAATTCAAATCAAGGCCCATTTTGCCAAGCTTGCTTTTATTACTAGCTTTGGATGCTTATCCAAACAGTAAAACCCAAAGTAATATTTTTCAGTAAGTTATTCTTAAGATCGGTTTTATTATGTTGAAAGTCATTCTTATCTTTTTTTTCTTTGCCTTTTCGCTTGCACCAGTAAAGAAAAGGGAATAATTACTACTCTTATTTTATGGTGCCTGTTTGCACTCTCTTTTTATTAATTAGAACATTTATGAAGCTCAGTTAGTTCATCTGTCTGTTTCCAGGAAGAAACTTGAATCCAAGTTCTCGTGATGTAAGTAGTTTGGGTGGTCAGCAGGAGTCCCCTTTCGGCACAATTGCACTGACTTCGCACTGTCCATCCTTATATAATCAGTACCAACCTCTAGTACCAGGCATGCAAGCTCCTAACAGCCATTATTTAGGCGTTCATACCCCTTATGGGTTTCCAGTAAACAACATATTGCACCCAGGTGGTATCAATTCTTCCAGTAACGGTGCAGATCCAGTGCTCAGGAATCCAAGGCCCTTCCCATCTGGTGCTAGCATAAGAAGCATAAGGCCCCATCGACGACCACCTCAGGCAGCTGCAAACTCAAGTGGGAGTCATATGAGGATTTCATCAGCACAGGTGATTCTTTTTCGTTATTCTTCTTCAGATCTTGCAATTGAAACGTTTCTGAATTTCCCATCTTTAAAACGCGAGATGTTCATAAAAGGCCGTACATACTTTCTAAATTCAGTGATCTTGCCCTTGACCCTTGTATAAAATTCAAGTTTTTTGTCTTCCTGAACGTGTGGAATGTATAATGATATAATCCTGACAACCAAACTATAAAAAAAATTGTAACTTCGGCCTTGTCATTATCACTTTCAAGTTGTCTACTCTTGTACGCAGTTCTGATGGACTCAGATTGGAAGTGGGGTCCTCTAATCTGGCTTGAATAGCGGAATCCTGTTTCCCTTTGAAACTTTTTAAGGAAAATGAGTTTCTGGCCAAGTAGCTGATCTCACTTGAATCAGCTGATTGCATTGCTAGACTGCGCCTCTTATGGCTTAATTGGCAGGTTGATGGAGCGCCAAGGAAAGTAGAAAGAAGAAGGGACATTGATATTATTTGCACACTAAAAATTGTCAAGATATTTTCCTTCATATTTGTAGCCACATTGGTTTTCCTTCAGTGGATTGACTGATTTAACCCTGCCCAGTGATCCATATCGGGATCAGATTCGGAAGATAAAGGATTCACTCCGCTTTGGTTTTCCTGCAGTGAATTGGCCAACTTAACCCTGCCTAGTGATCCACATTGGGATCAGACTAGGAAGATACAGGATTCGCTCGTGCTTTTCTTGCCTTGGATCACTGATTTTGTTGTCCAATATAATGCACGACATTATTACAGCTTTCTTCTATTTCAACATCCCCTTAACAACATAACAGATGATCCTCTGACTCTGGATGTCACAACTTGCTGAATAGATGTCAAAACGAGATAGAAGTTGCTACATTGAACCAAAGAAAGCACCTGGGACCATGTTTTTATTAAAAATAGGTGCATTTAATTCCGTGTGAGTCTGGAGAAAAACTAGACATTCATTTCTTAGCTTTCTTAGGGTGCTAAGAGAGCTATTTCGGCAAAACATTGGGGATGGAAGGTGTCTAGAATCCTATCAAGTTTATATGTGATTTCTGGGCATCTACAGGTGTTTTATTTTTATTTTATCTTCGTTTTCTTGTTCTTGCAGGACATTGCTGATATGGAGTTTCTGAGCTTTTATGGAACCGAGAACTTTTTTGACCGCCACAGTGACTTGAGACTGGACATAGACAGCATGTCCTACGAGGTAACGCTTTAGCTATTGGTATTCTACCCACATAGAAGCTCCTTTGCCTTCATATGTTTCTATTCCCATCTTAATAAAAAAAAAAAAGAAAAAAAAAAAGGAAGTACATTGAAAGCTTCATCTATCAGCCATTTTGAGAAAACCTGAAGCCTTTTGATGTGCGCACAGGAGCTCCTTGCATTGGAGGAACAGATCGGAGATGTTAAGACCGGTCTCTCCAGAGAGGCTATCTTGGAGAAGTTGAAGACAAGAAGTTGCACAACCCGATCGTTGTCGAAGGCACCCTCTGACCATATGCCTGAGAATGGAACCTGCATCATATGCCAGGTACATGCCCAAGATGAAGCATTTTTATTCAATAGTTGTCATATTTTTATTCTCTTATAAAATTCATCAGACCCACCCTGTTTAATTATCGCCTTCATCCTTCCCTTTTATGGGTGGTGTGGCGGGTCGATGCTGAAGGTGGAGTATGCAGAGAAAGAGAGAATAGGGACTCTGGATTGCGGCCACGAGTACCATGCGGGTTGTATAACCGAGTGGCTGCTTGTGAAGAACCTCTGCCCAGTCTGCAAAACCACGGCTGTGCCTGCAGATGGGATAGAAAGATGAAGCCTGGACTTGGTCACTATGCCCCCTCTTTATTTTCGCAGAGTATATTTTTCCTCTTCATTTGACACTGTACATAGATGGTACATTCAGATTCTTTCTCGATTCGTACCCCTCCGAAGCTGTTGAGGGATTGGATAATGTACATAAACAAATCGAATTTTATTGCCCTAGACGTGTATTTATTGCTGATTCTCCCGCTTTTTTCTTGTGAATTCGATGCTAATCCCATTCTCTTGGAAATCAGTCAGCATACATGAGCATGCATGAGCATCCATGAGTCAGGTTTTATTCGAAAAAGTGGCTGCAAATAACTCAATGAGACCGCTGGATCTTCCTTGATTCAAGAGGAATGAAGGGATAAAATCAACTGAGTGGAGTCAACCTTGCAACAGTCGATGAATTGGAATCGTGCTGTTGACGCAGCCGAAAATTTCTGCAGACGGGCAATGCGTGGTGGGTGAAATCTTCCATTAGGGAGATGGTTGAATCTTCCTTTCATACGTACGAATACAAGGAGAAAAAGTCAACTGACTGTGCCCAACCTCTTGCTGTAGACGCAGCCAAAAAATTCTGCATATGGGCATTGCGTGGTGAATGAAATCTTCCATTAGGGGGATGGTTGAATCTTCCTTTCATACGTACGAATACAAGGAGAAAAAGTCAACTAACTGTGCCCAACCTCTTGCGGCAATCAAACAAATTATAAATGTGTTATTGACGAAGCAAAAAGAAAAAAAATCTACATAAGGGCAATGCAGATCGAAACATTCTGACCTACACGTGCACAAAAACACAGTATGTATCTTTGTTGCCAATCAAGGCAGAGCATTTCTTTAAAATTCCCTCCCCATTGATGTTTGAGAGAGAGAGAGAGAGAGAGAGAGAGAGAGAGAGAGAGAGAGAGAGAGAGAGAGAGGAACATCCCCATATCTAAACCGAGCAGCATCCAACCTTCTTCATGGCCGAAACGTCGTCCTTGGTGCCCATGTTGATAGTCTGCCCATCTGGGACCGCCGATGGGTTGTCCCCCACCTCGAGGGCCTTCTTGCTTACAACGCGGTAGATCTGAGTGAGCACTTCGGTGAAGGCATTCCCCACGTTCATTGATTCAAGGGCGGAGGTCTCCATGAAGAAACTGTTCTCCCTCTCGGCAAATGCCTGGGCGTCTTCAGTGGGAACCGCCCTCAGGTGGCGTAGATCCGCCTTGTTGCCCACGAGCATGATGACGATATTGGAGTCTGTATGGGCCCTCAGCTCCTTCAGCCACCGCTCCACGTTTTCAAACGTGATGTGGCGCGTGACGTCGTAGACGAGCAGAGCGCCTACAGCTCCTCGGTAGTAGGCGCTGGTTATGGCCCTGTATCTTCAGAAAATAAGGAGAATTTTTTTCGTCAGCAGCTGGGAAACCAGAACTCTCATTTCATATGGAGATTTAACACGCAGAGGAACAGTTATTGCGAAATCATGGCAGCTCTTTCACCGAATGGGGTCGATAGTCCGAAGAAGAAAGGGCAGAACAGAAGAAAGAACTGCCATTTAACGTCAAAAGAATGCCAAAATCATGACACATTCCTTCTTTTCTGGAAGAAGAGACCCACATTTCCATGTTTGTGTCTGATATTAATGGTGAGACAGTGACTCAGCGAGGGAGCGAGATTGAGACAGAAAGAGAGAGAAAGAGAGAAAGAGGAGAGAAGAGGGCAGCCTGTCCCTCCTCAGAAGAGAAGAAGTTCGAACAGGGTCTTTACCAAGCAAGAATAGGGGACAAAATCTGTAAACAAAAAGGGCGGACAGTGAAACATACGGTCGCCATTAATGTGCAGGTCCTGAAAGGAGAAAGAGAAACACAAGAATGGCCTGAACGTAGAGTTCTGGAGGACAGAGGGAGATGCGGGATCATGCAATATGAATGTAAGTATGATGCATGATCATGGAATTGCAAGGTAGTATCTCTGCTTCCAGACAGTCAGGGAAAAGAGAGAAAGAACAAAAACCTACCAGATGGGGTAAACGAGGTCAGTTTGCCCTTTCTCTACCGCTGTAGATTAGTAGCAGGCAGACAGAAAACATAGGCCAGAGATCCACCTAAAATTGGGGGAGAAGCCGGGTTGGAAAGATAGAGATGAAATCAGCAGGCTGAAGCTCTAAGTTACATTCCATCCAGTAGTTTTGTGTCATGAAATCCTAGGTCTCAAGCTCGCCACTATAGAATCTTCGCCGGTGATATAAAATGCCCCAATCTCAACCTTAGTGAACGGCCAGCATTTCACATTCTTCCTCTCCATCTGATTTCCAGATCTAACTGTTAGCGAAAAACAATCACGGCAGACCAGTATAGATGGTGTGCTTATCTCTTCTCTATGGAATGAATGCACGATCAGCGAAAAGAAAGCACAATGTGCATTCGGACGCTTTGTAAGTCTATGAATAAAAGGAGTAAAATCCAGATCGAGGAATCTATACGCCAATTTTGATCCGGAGGAAAACAGGGAAGAGAAACACTATTGGAATCTTCGAAAACGATGAACATTCAAGCCGGCGAGATGCGGGATACCTCTCCTGGCCGGCGGTGTCCCATATCTGCGCTTTGATGACCTTGTCGTCGACGTTGATGCTGCGGGTGGCGAACTCGACGCCGATCGTGGATTTGGACTCCAGGCTGAACTCGTTTCGCGTGAAACGGGACAGCAGGTTCGATTTGCCGACGCCCGAATCCCCAATCAGGACCACTTTGAAGAGGTAGTCGTAATCGTCGTCTGCCCGTATCGACATCGCCTCGGCAGCTCAGATTACACAACCTGATAGAGGGAGAAATGAGCGCAGATCTTGGAGGTGATCTCCTCGTCCGGATACCTTACGAGGAAAGAGGAGCGGAGAGCCGGACCGATCACGAGTGAGACAGAGGAGAGAGAGAGAGAGAGAGAGAGAGAGGAGATGGTGGCAAACGGAGGAAAGGGGAAGGAGCCGTTAAGGTTCGAGTTGTTCCGCAGGCACTGTTTAAGAACGCTGCGGTTGCGGGTGTCTTGTCCTTTCTTTACCTGGTCCACGCTCCAACGGTCCGTCTGGCAAGCAGACGTGGACACGGGGCGCCACGTAAGAGCGAGATGGCCCATAATATAAAGCCCATTCTCAGAACATTCAAACCACGCACCAGCGGCGCTGTCCAGATATCTTCTATCTCTGGAGTTACCCCGACTGCTCGATCCTCCTCGGTCCATCGCCGGAGGCGCATCGCCGGCGTCGGACCAACGGTGCTTTCCTGTTATCTCTAGAGACGCCCCCCACCCATCCCCCGCGCAACACCCGCGCCGCCGTGTGCAAGCTCGCCGTTTGCAGGGTCCTCTCAGCCTTCTCGGCTCTATTTCCTCATTCTGCAGGATTCATTCCTCCGATGGCTCTCCATCAAACTGAGGTGCCATCCGCAGATGGATGATCGTCAACCGCATGAATGGTGCGCAGATGCGAACTGGGATTTCGCTGGAACGGATTCCACAGTTAGGGATAAGAAACCCAGAGTACCGAGGTCTCATACAGTCTGTGTACACAAAGCGGCGAGGCAGCACGCCATAACATGCTTTCCAACATTAATATTTATATATAGATAGCCTTGCAGCAGTGAGCAAACCTAGGGGATCACATAAGGCCTTGAGGCCTAACCAAGAACCGCTTATCCACTAATACTTATGAAGGGTGCGAGGCCGTAGAGCTGCTTGAGGAGGCGGTAAGCGAGAAATGCCGGAACCGCGGAAGCGGCCTTCGACCGAGGAGGAGGGGGCTGGTAGACTGAATCTGCTGCCGCCTAAATCTGCATCAAGGAAGATAAATTAGAGGAGCTGGAATCGCATAGTAAAGTTTCGGGAGGTGAGTTCCAGGAGATTTCTCACTCAAGAACCCTAACGCGAGTGTAACTTATCCCTTTCTGCGGCCAGAAAACAGTCGAATTTTCTGTTTGAGCACCACTGTATCATGCAGACGTAGGTTCTAGCTGCTTTAAATTACTTTGAAAGGTTGCGTATGTTAATGAAAGACTAGAAGTTTCTGCTGTGTGTTCTGCGCGTGAGAGAGAGAGAGAGAGAGAGAGAGAGAGAGAGAGACCAGGTAGTAAGAAGCTCCGTGCTGGAGGGGGTGGAGGGTGACGCCCCAATCGTCGACGAGAACCGGGTGGCCGGAGGTTTGGAGGAGGACGGCGTGCTCCCCGAACGCTTCTCGCAGATTGACCGGGCCCGTCCCCACATCGAAGGCGACGCCATTGATGAACACCGTTGACCTGGGGGCGCATGTTCCGATCCCTGGACATGAACGTTTGACTCCGAGTCAAAGAAAATGACGTAGACTGAAGGAGGATGACCAAAGGATGCGGACGAGGTTACGTGCTCTAGGGCACCGATGAGCCTTCACTTCCATGCACACGTCCCCTCTGCCGCAAGACACTAGATTGGCAAACCCTACTATTTCTTCCATCGCCATCTCAGGCGTACACATCACAGAGGAAGAAGGCATATTGGTGACTTGGGGACATGACGGGAGTCCAATCTACGGTACAATCCCCTATGTTAAGACTCTCTCTCTCTCTTCACGGCCCATCCATGGGGCAACTAATGACATCATTCACGTCACGTCACCAAAGAAAAGCTTGAGTTAACGTCTGGGAACATCACCACGTAAATGATTAAGAGAAAAAATGAGGTGACTGGCGATGATCTGCATACCGTGTATAATGTCGGTCATGGTGTCGGCTGTCGACGAGCCAGTAGCTGCAATAATCTTGGCGGTGGCAGCAGAAGCAACTTCGGCAGTTGTTGCACAGGTAGGAGCAGCAGAAGCAGCGGCCAAAGCGTGGCTATGGTGCAAGTGCATCTTCACCATCGCCTCTTCGTCTCCCCCCTTGTTGCACCTCTCATGGTTCATCAGATCAGTGAACAGACCGTGGCAGAGCCCCAGGCCACCATCGGGGACACCGACAAGACAAGCGAAATCGGCGGTCGAGAAGCAGTACTCAGGCAGACCGTGGAGGAAGAGGGGCTCGTCATAGAAATCCCCGTTGGCCTGGAAAAACGTCTGGGGAACGGGAGGCATCGGAGAGTTAGACGTATCGGTCGTAGCGCTCGTTCCGCCAATCGTCGGCGACAGCAGCGTCTTATCGGAACCAGTGGATCGTTCTGAGGAGGACGAAGAAGATGAGCTTCCTGCGGATGCCGTGGCGGCCGGAGTAGTGTTGGTAAAGCGGGAGTGCGGCCTGCTGGCCTGCAGATGACGCTGCTTGTGCTTGCTTCGCGACTTCCGGTTCTGGAACCAGTAGAAGACGTTGGCGTCTCCCACTTGGCCGTACTCTTGCAGCTGGCTACGGATCTTCCTGATCTCTTCTCGCGGAGGATTAACCATCCCGGAGTTGAAAATGGCTTCGAGGATTCGTATCTGCTCTGGCTTTGGATTCCACCGAGGTTTTGGCTCGGGGCTTCTCTCCTCGCAGGGGGGTACTGTTGAGAGGAGAGAACTTCGTAAATAATTACTATAAAAGGAATCAAAGATTTGGGTGGGAACCGTAAGAAATTCTGATGGCGACGTAACTATCTAGATCGACTATTCACAGAATCCTCTTATTATTTTTCTCCACTGCAAATCAACACCACGAGGGAGATTTCAGTAGTCATCCAGGAACTCCCTTAGGAATATGCATGGTCCTGGGAAGCCAACACAGTAGTGGAGGAAATCTATGATGAGCCAAAGCAGATGACTTTGGCCTTCGGATTTTGGCAGTGGCGATACCACTGGGGAGGTCGAAACCCTAGAAAGCACAGAGAGTGGTAGAGGGCACAAAAATAAAGGGAGGGTGGTGTTCTGGGGATGATGGTTACCTGAAGGGTAGGGAGTCTTCTGGCATGCACTTGATAGGAGAGATGATGAGTTGATGTCGTGCGGCCATTGGAGGTGAGAGTTGCAGGGCTTGGACTTGAACAAGCTAGGCCAGTGTCTGTTGGAGGAAGCCATGATGGCGCTGATGATGAAGAGGTGAAGATCGATCCGGAGCGAGAAAGCAGGAAACTTCTGTTCTCCTTCTACACTCTGAGCTTCTCTTCTCTCACTGCCAGAAGCCCTTCCCCTTGGGGAGACACGAAGCGCTCCCCTTATAATGCCTCCCCCAACGAACCCTGCATTCAGTTTCTCGCCATTAATACTACTTAGGAGAGGTGGAGAATAAAAACGAAAACAGTTCCCTTCGCGCCCCACGCACCCCCCCTCCCCCCCCCCCTCTTCAAGACCCACAAAGACGAAACCCATTAAACTTCATCGCGAGAAGCTCCCCAAAAGCATAGCCCAAGAACATAAATATCCACAGGGAAATGAAAGATGTTAGACAGGAGAGGGGAACAGAAGGCAGGCGTGCTCCGTAGCCCATACAGTTTCTTGCACGTTAAAACCCAAGACGCCATCATGGCCACTGCTCAGAGTACAACATGGTTCCCTGCCTGGGCAAGCAAGAAATCAAGGTCCACCATGGAAGAAAAAGGAAGGGCTTTGGCCGGTGCAGTTCTTGGAGAAGATACGAGAGGAGAGCGAGGACCGGTAGGGCTTTTAAAGGGCGACCGAACGAACCCCTCCCATTCCCTTCCCCCTCTGTCTCTCCTCTATTCCCATGAGCGGCCTCTACTCGGATAGAGAGGGGGCTTGTGAGGGGCTGCAGGATATTAAATGAGAAGAGGGGGAAGCCATAAGTGTAGTATTATTATTCTAATGCAAGAGGCCGTTGCAGGAATTAATGGAGGGGAGGAGGTTTGAAAGTCAAGAAGGCACGGAAAGAGGCTTCGATTGGAAAATGCTGGAGGCGAGTAACTGCAGCTTCGGGTTATTTTGGGCACAGTGAGGTCGGCTTGGATTGACTCGAGGGGCCCCCTCTTGACTCTTCACCTCGAACACCCACTGCGAGAACTTAAACCTCCCCACACCCCTGCCTGATATTCCCCACCCTCTCCTCTCCTCTCCTCCTCGCCTCGAAAAAAAAGAGGTAGCGGCGTAGCGTAGCGTGACGGAGGTTAACGAGGAAGGTGACGACGATGTGACTCGAAGCCACTGGGCGACACTGTGTTAGGGGAATAACACGCCATACGTCCTGCTCAAATCGAATATACACGTACACGCACCCATATATATATACACAGTACGCTTGGGAAAGAGCTGGAACATCTCCTAATGCAATCGCGACAGATTTCTCTCTAAAGTAGCCAAAATGGTGCCTCCCGTGATGTTTTTAGCTTCTCCGTCTGCCTCATTGATGCCCCCAAGAGAGAGAAGAAGGATCCAACAAAGCCAGGGGGTTGTTCTCACTCTTGCACCATCGATTTACCATCCCCTTCTTTGCCTCATATTCTACATCAATAGCACGTTCTCTGCTTCGTTGTTCATCTAAGAAGACGTCGTCGGAGATCTCCGGGGCAGGGAGAGGGCGATGGTAATAGTGCACTACATCCAACATAACATGTACTCTGGTAAACAAGAATGGGGAAGGGAGACCACGGGATTTATGGTTCAAAGGTTACATGCTCGGCGGAGAAAAGAGGACCTCACCGTACAACTGGCGACGTTGCTGGTGACTGACCAAACATGGTCAAATGCGGACTGAAACATCCTCGGAACTGCGACATGACGCTCACTTAGACTCGAAAGATGAGTGGAATATAGGCGGGAGGAGGCCAATTGGCATTGTCAGAGGGGATTGAGTGGGGGCCGAGTCTGCCCGTCCGAAGCCTCGTCTGTCTGAAGCAGAAAGGACGCTTCAGACGTAGGCGCACACTCTCGTATCTACTTGGGAGGACCAAAGACTAGATGTACAACGGAGGATGAATGTCTGGAAGGAGATTATTTCCAGAAAAATGTTGCCTTTAACTCGTTCCTCCGCCCAGCTTGGTGCCGTTTCGTTTCTCTCGGCGGTCGAATCTCTACCTTCTTTCTGCTCCTAGTGGTTTTCCTCCGCCCATGAGCGTCGGTCAGTGAGAGAGAAAGATAGAAGAGAGAGAAAAAAAAGGGTGGGGGGGCGGCGAGGGTGAGAGTTAATGACTGGGGAGGCCGAGGTTGAACAGTGTCGGTGCGATCCCGACATGCAAATGCTGGCGCCTGCGGCGGGTTAATAAAATCGGCTCTCGGCCACCGCCACCCGCGCCTACCGCTCCTCCCATACGGATACTAACAGGTGGTGGCGCAGAGGCGTAACGTAAACTATCTCCGGGTGCAGAAGACGATAAGGTCAGCCGACTGTCCACATTCCGGATACGATTCCCCCATACGACCCCCATCCTACTTCATATTCTCGCCGAACTTATCGTTCTTATCACCGTGCCTCGTCAAGCTAGTTCCCTTTCATGAACTGAACTCTGAAGTCTCCCCATCTCTCTCCCTCTCTCTCGCTCTCTCTTGCTGTTATCTCTGGTTGCTTTGGGTAGGTCTCGAGAACTGAGGACTTGTCAAGCCCCGCTCCAAACACCGTCCTCCATTGTCCTCCCTAGGTGCCTAGCTCTCTGCACCGGGACGCTTCCAGCCTGCCACCGCGACTGGCCCGCCTACTAAATGCCCCTGTTCTCTCCACACCTGACAGGGTCACCCTCCCACACGTGTCGTTTGCGTGTGTCGTGTCGTTCGTTCCGATTGCTTCTTCACGGTTTGCCCGTACTCGGCCAGCCCTTGTCCACTGTGCGCCTCCCCTTCTCCTCCAACCGGATTATCGGGCTTTCCCCACCGAACCCTGCCTGCGTTCTCTATCCGAGCTGAAGTTCGGTCTGCAATGGAGTTGGGAGAGGCTTCGCCATCGATTTAATGGAGTTGGAAGGCAGAGAAGAAAGGACCTCGCCACCCGTGATCTCTGATCTCTGACATCTTTTCTTTCGTCCTCTTGAATTCGTTCTGCTCCTCCAAAAATGTGAGGGCGCACGTCTCTTGACTTCTCTTCTTTTTGTTATGTTCTGTGAGGGAGGCGGCGGACGGGGTCGCCGGCGGGATCACCGCGTTGCCGTTCTGCAGCCCTGGGAGAGGACGCTACCGGCGTACGGCGGAGCAAAGAAGCCGCACGATGGCGGTGGCGCCGAGCGGCGGGGGAGAGCCGGTGTAGGAGCTTGGAGGAAAGGGGTGGGGGAGGGAGAGGGGGGGGTGTGGACGCCAACGGGGACCTGTAGATCTCTTACCACGGGTGGGTGTGCGAGAAGAAGCTGGTTCACCTCGGCTTCTGGAAAGAAGGTAAAAGGGCGGAGACTTAATCAAAACCAGGCAAACCCCCTACTTCACTATGATTCCATATCCACATAAAATACCATTAATGCTCGAAAGTCAATATTTTGAGAATGTTTTTATTGATAGATCGCTTTGACCAGCATTTTAACCTCGTCATTACTCGTCAAAAATGGCAATACCATGTACTCCTCTCAACTGCTAGCTTACCCATAAAAATAACTCTAGCTATACCAACTTATGAAATTCGATTAGTCAACGTTTCAGTCAAACATGAAGACGATTAGCGATATCTTATAGGAAAAATATGTGCCTTTAGGTTGAGAGGATGTCTATTTTTTATATAATTATTTTTATTGAAATAAAAAAATATTTATTAAGAATAAATTATGAATAATGTGGGACTCAGATTATTTCTTTATGTTGGATCACACCATAAAGATGGAACATATGATTGTTTGACTTTTGAACGGAGTCGTGATGCCCGATCTAATTCATGGTTTACATGTAAAAGTCAATGGTGGATAGATTGGAACCTGCAGGTAGACCATTCTATTTCGTTGACCTCACTGTCAAGAATGGTCATTCTAGAACTCGATCAAGCTCCTCACATTTCTCTAAATGTGTTAAATGGGCTAAACCAGCCCAGAAAGGGGTAGAGCTCGGCAGCCTGCTGTGGCCCGGAGACAGCCCCCCATACGGTAATAGTACGGCACTCCGCTGGGGTATTCGGAGTTGTCGCCCATTGTGGCGCTCAGGGCGGCGACTGCGGTCTAAGGGCGATCACCTTCTTCCCGCACGTCTGCTAAACGCCTTCATCATTGTCGGAACGAATCCCGTTCATCGGAGTGGGAGAAGGAAAGCAATTGGAGAGCGTAGGGATTTCGAATCAGTCGGGCGGTCTACCAATTGAAATGGCGCTGGCAAGCCGGTGGAGGTTCCGACTCCCAATTCCCTGCTTCCTGGTGGTGGTTGTGCTTGGTTGTTCCATTTCTTTTCTCGGCACTTCGTCGCTGTCGGATGCGCCCTCCCTGTTCCTCGGCGTCGCACCGCAAGGTATTGCTGTCCTTCATTCGATATTTTCCTACACGTGTAGCGACCTCAGAATCTGAATCAGAAGACTTCTACTGACTGATTGACAGTGTGGTGGCACGAGTTCCTCTTTTTTCTCCAATTTTATACTTTTCTAGCTCGCAGACGAAGAGTACTTCGCTGCGGAGCGGATCGCGTGCAGGGACGGTTCGAAATCCTTCCGGAGAGACCGTCTCAACGATGGATTCTGCGACTGCCCCGACGGAACTGACGAACCAGGTAGAAAAAAATCGTACTCATTTGTGATGCTGTTGCATATCATGATCTCCACTACAATGTCTCTGGATTTGAGAGCTCCACGCCTCACATTCCGTTTCGTAACTTTGTCTTGTCTTGGCATATGGTGTTATCAGCCTGATTCGCTGAGGTTCCAAGAGTAATTTCAGTTTGTCGTATATTTATTCGCGATCTTGTGAGCCTTCTGCCCTCTAGTAATCATTTTGCCGTGCTACGATCTCTCTTTAGTTCCCATTCCTAAGCATTCATCAGCGTTAGTGCTCGGAAAGTTCACTCGCATAGAATCAAGGAGGAAGTTACATTGACGGACCTTCGTCCTCCTTTTCGAGGAGGAAGTAGCTACAATCCTTTCGTCGAGAATCGTATGGGGGTGAAGATCGGTTAGATAAATCCAACAGTGGAGTTATGATAAAGTTTTTTAGAGATACCCAGGAAATATTCTCTCGGGGGACCTGAGACTGGGAAAGAAGAATATGAACCTTTTAGTAAACATTGGCGTGATCACTGTTGTTGTTCATCTTACAATTAAAAGGATTATGTGGTTCTTGAACTGCGAAATGTTGTATGAAGATATCTCATATCACGTTTTGTTCTGGAGCCCATGTGAGATGATAACAACTTACACCTTCTGAGTTTCTTTTGGGAAATTGTATTGAGTCTTTAAAGAGTTACTTTGTTTTAGAAGCCTTGAGCTACGATGTGCATCCCAGGCTTTAAAGTTTATCAAAGTGCTTCTTGGACAGTTGTCTGTTTTGATGCTATTCTCCGGAGAGACTTAACTTGCTGTTTCAAGTGACAAAAAATTCAATATCTTTAAAAAATTGAATCCGTTATATGAAGTTTTCAATTTTCTTTATACTTAATGAATTGAATATACATTTTTTCAATCAAACTTTTCAAATGGAACATTTTTCGTGTGAATTTATATTTAGAATTATATTTTATTTCTCATGTCGTTGAATTTTCTAAACTAACACCGCGTCCTACGGTTCACACCTCTAGTCTTAACGGTTAGTGTTCACCTTAATCAGGGTCTTAACACCTCCCTTACGCCTTATCCCTGTTTAACATTTCAGGTACTTCAGCTTGCCCCGAAGGCAGATTCTACTGCAAAAATGTTGGAGACAAGCCTATATTGTTGTTTTCGTCCCGAGTGAATGATCATATTTGTGGTAAGAAATTTGTATACGATTGACTATCCTTCTATTTAATATTTGTGGTAAGCCTATAAGTTCTGGTATCCTGGATGAATTCATTCTAACCATGTTTACATCGTGTGTAACTGCAACATTCTATTTAATAAACATATTTTTTCTTTGAAAGTTTGTATCAAGAAATTTATGTGGCATTGTCTGTCAAAATTATTCTATGGGCACCATGTTTTTTTCGTCTAGAATCTCACTCAACCTTTCATCTCTATTCTAGATTGCTGTGATGGCAGTGATGAAAATGATGGCAGCATCACCTGTCCAAACACATGCTCCCTGGATGCAGATATCATCAAACAAAGTGCCACTCATGACTTAAAAGGGAGAAAAATGACACAAAATGACTCTGGAGTATATAGAAAAAGAGTCAATTTGGATGATCTTATTCTGAGACAGACAGGTGGAACAAATATATACCTGGTTTTTAAGATACCGTTGACAAAGCTTTCCTTCGAATTTTAAAGGTATCGTCTTTTTTATTTGCAGAATTGAGAGTAGCTGCATTTGTGGAATTCTTCCTCGCTGTTTGTGGGATTACATTTTGCTTCATTCGTCAGCGCAATAAATCAAGGACGAGAAACCGTAGGCAGAGGAGCTAGGAACTAGTAGTAAGCACATTACTCTTTCATCCTCCCTTGAGTTATGAGAGGGTTACTTCATTAGTTCAAAGCATAGAATTCTTTAATCGAAGTCTGAGATGTCTACGTGATTAATGAAGCTCTCAGTTGTTTAACTGTTTGCATAATACAGTACAGAGGATTGAATTTCCCGTCTAAAGTCCTTTGTGATTATGTGTGCTCTTGTTTTTTCAATAACAGCGTCCGTCATATTGCATTGCAACACTTCAAGCACGGGGTGTGGATCAGCGTAATGTGCTGGGAGTTGTGGTACTGCAGGATTCAGACGGGATCATTATCGTGAACCGTTCTGTATCTTGTATTTATTGAATTTGTATCCCTAATCCTCTCCTTTGGCTCAGGAAATCGTGAAGATAGCAAGTCGAGAGGACTGCCCTGGTTGTCGTCTTAATATCCTTACTTCTGAGATTGTAAAAAGGTGCGCGTCACCCGAGTTCTTGAGATATTTCAATTCTTGATTAAAGCCCCCTCCATCTTCCAGAGCCATGCTTCTGCTCATTTCTGTATGCTAGATCATTAATTCGTGCTATTTTTCATGCCTAAATCTATTAATGGAAAATGACCCAGTTTCCCCTGCAAAGTTTATGGTTCACTCAATGAGCATACATGTCCATCTAGTAATATTATCATTCTTCTGCCGGAGGAAGCTCTTTTGGAGCCATCTGGTAGTTGCTCATTATTTTTCTTTTTAAATACGGATAGCAAAGAATGGAGAATATTTAAGGGGATTGAATTCTCTCAGAAAATCATAAACGAATTTTCCGATAGTGGTGTCGATGTAGCAATTAGCTATGAACATGATTTAAGAATTGAGGATGGAGGATGAAAATACGGTTCTGATGACTGCTAGAGTCCTAGGAGGAAGACGACGGCTCGTCTTCCCTTCACCCTCGCTGGATTCCAGAACTTTCCTTCACAGGGCTCAATACCGGTTCATATGCGGACAACGGAGCCCATCAACACAGCGGCCACCGCAGGGTTGAGTCGCCTCCTCGCGCCAGCGACAAACCCCGCGCAGATGCCACCACTGGCTGGTGCAGCCCGACGCGGAGGGGCCCTCCACGGCAAAGTTCACGGGCCGGCCGGCGGAGAACGCAGCCTTGGACGTAGCGCGGCTGGCGCGTTGTCAAACGAAGGTACCTGCGATGAACCAATGCATAGCCATATACATTTTAATGCATTTTTACTAAGGGGAGCCCACATGGAACTACTGTTGGCAGGGTGGCGGCGGAACGAGATGGGCTAAAGCCGAACCAGGTTCCTCGCCCTCGGACATGGTCACCGGCAATGGCGGGGGAGGCTTGTTCCAGCAGGCTCACCATCTCCCTCCTTCAAGTCCTCGTCTTCCTCATCGCTAGAGTATGGGCTCAGCCGCCGCAGGTCCCGCCGGAGGCGATCAGCCGGAGCCCCTGCAACACGGTCTCCGCCCTCTTCGTCTTCGGGGACTCGACGGTGGACGCCGGGAACAACAACTACCTGGCGACGGCCCTGAAGAGCAATTTTCCGCCGTACGGGCGAGATTTCCTGGGCCACCTGCCGACGGGAAGGTTCACCAACGGCAGGCTGGCGACGGATTTCGTCGGTGAGTTCCGCTGCTGCACCGGCTCTTTCGACCCTCCACCCTCAGGTGAGGCTAAGACGTTTGCTCTGTGTTCCCCTAGCTTCGTATCTGGGCATCAAAGATATGGTGCCGCCGTACCTTGACTGGACGCTCCCCGCAGAGGAGCTGAAGACTGGCGTTAGCTTTGCCTCCGCAGGATCCGGGTTCGATATTCTCACGGCTCAGATGAGTGTAGCCACTTCCTCCCCTCCTCCTGTGTTGGGCGCTCGAACTTTTTCTCCGTCGTTTTCCTGATTGCAGAGTTCTTGGGTTGTGAACCGTGTTTGGATGACAGGGGGTGATCCCGGTGCTCCACCAGCTGGACTATTTCAAAGACTACTTGCTCAAGCTCGATCTCCTCGTCGGGAGGAGGAGGAGCGAAGATCTCATAAAGCGGGCCGTGTTTGTCGTCAGCGCCGGGACGAACGACTTCGTCGTGAATTACCTCACGATCCCCCTCAGGCAACAGAAGTTCAGCCTCGTGGACTACCAGGCCTTCCTGCTCCATAACGTCAGGGTGTTCATCGAGGTTCCCTGGTGCAAAATGAGGAGCGAATAATTTATCTTCTTTCAAACTTATCTGGATCCTTCATGCCCATTAACTCCAACCAACTCTCTCTCGCTGACTTAACAGGCTCTGATAGAACTGGGGGCGCAGAAGATCATCATGGTGGGCTTGCCTCCAATGGGCTGTCTGCCGATTGTCATCACCCTCAAGTGGAAAGGCGTCTTCCACGACCGGGGTTGCGTCGAGGCCTACAACTCCATCTCCATGGATTACAACGAGAAGCTTCAGAGTGTGCTGCGGTATCTCCAGAGCCGATTCTCCGCCGACGGGGGAGAAATCATCTACGCGGACATCTACACCCCGGTCCTGGACATGGTCACGTCGCCGTCCAAGTTCGGTGAGTTCATCCTCCCAAAACCCTTTCTGACAACGAGGAAGCCTATCCACCTGACTAAGGTGGCGCTTTGCCACCAGGTTTCACGGAGGCGATGAGCGGGTGCTGCGGGACGGGGCTGGTGGAAGCGGCGATCTTGTGTAACCTCAAGTCCGTGGTCTGTGAGGACGCGTCCAGGTACGTCTTCTGGGACTCCATCCACCCCACCGAGAAGTGCTACTTCATCGCTTTCAATAGCATGCGGCACCTGATCGATCGCGTTTGTTGACGTAGTCTCTCGGAGTATGTAATGGGTCTTATTGATGTCATCCTTTCGACACTCATAAAGAAAAATAACATTTTTCATAGACATCATGAAACCCAGTCCCAATTTACTCTACTTTATGATTCCTCGTTCTCTCCAGCCGTCACTTCTCCCCGTCTTTATTGCAGAGCTGCTATATATATTCATATATATATATATATTCATGTACATCTCTCGTCACTCCGTGATCCGTAAAAGACCTAAAATCGAACGCAGAAGCTTTAAAATGAACCAGGTCTACGATTCCAAGCTCGAGACAGGCAGGTGGAGAGGTTTATCGTCGTCGTCTACAGCTAATAGCAGCAGGGGCGGGACAGTGAAACGGCGAAGGGGAAGCTGCCAGCTGTGCCTGACGAGATGACCGCTTATCAGGTCAAAATCTCTCTGACGGCTGCCGGAGCTTCATCTTTAATGACCTGGTACATCCTGTCGGAGGGATGAACAGTAACCCAGAAGAGGTACTCGTTGGAGGATGGTTGGGACAAGTTTCCATGCCCATACACGTCTCTCCGATCTCCACCATTCCCGACCCGCAGTACCTTTTCTCTGCTTCTCTGAGACCTGCCGGGGGGAAGGACCCTCACCACGACGCAGATGTATTTCTTAGGGTTCCTTCTTTCGTCTTTCAAGGCTCCATAGACGTCGACGTAGGCCGCAATCATGCCGGAAGACCTTGGAATTGAATTGCATGGCCGCCCCGTTGTACTGGCCGTACGTCAGGGGATCATCGTCCGGCTGAGAGAGAGCGGCACCTTGATGTCCATCGTCAAGCATGCGATCAGGTAGCTTTCGTACTCTTTCTGCGAGTACTCCCGTGATAGTTTCGACTGCGAGTACTAGTTCTGGATGAAGTTCTTCGTTCCGGTCCTCCCGACGAACGGGGTGTCTCTCACGATCTCCCCTGCCTTCTGGGTGCTGACCAGCTTCCTCAGATGGGTAGTGTAGGAAGACGACTTGCTGCCATTCGCCTAGTGGAGGGTTTACTGATGCAGCAGAGTCGTCTATGGCGAGGAGGGTAATCCCCAGAGAGGCAATGAGGACGTCGTAACCAGAAGAGGCCGAAGCGAAGGTACTCCGCGTTCGTCTCGGAGTCGGAGAAGGCCGGGACCGCCGAGCTGACGCCTAAAGTTTCCGCTGCAGAGACGCCATTAATGCCGACGAAGAAGGATGTTACAGACACAGGCGATCACTGTGGAGGAAACCGGGGATAGATAAAGCCTTCTTTATGTGCCTCTCCCCGCCGCTGTGTTTGCCAGAACTTGAAGAGGAAGAGGACGAAGACGTACCGATGAAGACCGAGAGGGGTAAAACCGGGAAAATGTGGGCCTCGCTTCAGAAATCGTCACCCGCCCGTTCCCGACTCAGAACTCGGCCGATCCACTGGAAACAAAGAGGGGAAGGAGGTTTTCGGCACCTTGGAGATCTTGCTACCCTGCGGGGGCTGTCGGAGGGATGCAACGTCTTTGTGTGGGAGTCCGACGGTGTTGCTTGAGGCGGCCGCCGCCGCAATCTCTTTCCAAATCGTTGCCCCGTCCTTCTCCTACTCCGGCGCCCTCCGACTGCCGGCGGGCGAGGAGCTTCTTCTCGCTGCAGACCCAGAAGACGGGGGAATGTCTTCCCGGAGAGTTTCTACGGCGGGCGTCGTTGGGGTTCTGCAGAGGGTCGCGATTCGCCACTGGTTTCACCCCGCTGAAGCCCAAGCCATTGGACTCCATCATCGACATTGAGAGGGCCAAGGCCTGTTCGCCGGAGGACCTCGTCTCGGTCTGGGACGACGTAAGCTCTCCGCGATGTCGTGCGGCTGTTCCTTCACAACTTTTCCTCCATTTTTCTGTGCAAATTCAAGATTGACTGTCGCGACGGGATTTCTGGTAGATCACGGCTTTGAGCTTCATGAAGTTCACAAATTCAATAATATATATACATCATGCATCATCTTCAGTTGCCTCTGTCTTTGACGTTTCAATATACATTTCCTTTGGGCTGGACGAGTGGGCTGAGTTGGGAGCTGGAAGGCACCCTGGTGGGTGGGGGCAGGGGAGAGTTTCTCAGTAGGTATAGGAAATAGCTGATAAAATGAGGTCAGCCTGCTGAAGTGGAGAATGATGATGCTAGTATTCCCAGTCATCTCCCAAGGTTTCTAATTATGCCGACAGAATTCTAAGGAATTTATGATTGTAAAATTATCGAGTCTCTCCTACTTTCCAACCAGAAAGGAGAATGAGGTATATAGCTCTGGTACATCAGGGATCCTTGCCTTAGTTTTTGACCTAGTTAAGTCACGTTCATCATGCTAATCTCAATCTCCTATATACTTCAGCATATTCCTCGGCTATGAGGATGATCAATCGTTTGCCCAGATCCATATAGCTTCATAATATCGACTTTTTCTTTCAAAGAATTCTCATATTTTGTAATCGTGCGGCTTGCCAAAGTTTCTGCTGTTTGATTTCAATTGGCATTCCCCCTAGCATCATGTATTTCTCAATGAAGATGGGATATGTTCTTCTTGTTCATAAACACTTCGTCGTCCATAAATTGTTATTGTGGAATTCATGGAATGCTCATGTGGCCAATTCAGAAGACAAGAATGATAGATAGAAGAAATCTTTTTGGGCTGATTGTTTCATTTTCCTCTGGGGCAGTATCATTTGGGAAGAGGTCATATCGGTGCATCTATGAAAGCGAAGCTTTTTCATTTGCTGGAACAGCGTGCAATTTCCTGGTAGAGTGTCTACATTTCCCAGGTTCCAGCTGCCTATATATTGATTATTTCCCTATGCTTGCTAAATCTTTTCACTTTTTCTCACAGTCGGTATTTCGTCCTGCCTTTATGGAGAGGGAGTGGTTACACTAACATGTTCATCCAAGGTACCATCTTCTCACGAGATTAATGCTCATAGCGACCAGAGTTTGCAATAATTCCCGTGTTCCTTGCCAAATTTACAGGATAATCATGCCTTTATTTTCATCCTCGTTAAATGATTTATTTTTCACCTCATTGGCGGATAATTATGAGTTTTCTGTGGATCACCACATTTACCCACTCAGAAACGAAGAAATCATAATGTTTCAAAGATTTTTTTGCTTCGAAATTTCGTTTCTAGTGGTGCGGCACTCAAGAACAAACGACTGGTGCTCCCCATGGAACGGCCCCTGTTGCCATTCTCTCTCTTGATTTCCTGGAACTGCTGAGAACTGTTGGTTTATAGTGCAGATGCCGCACGTCCTCATCACAGGCCTGGAAGACTACAAGGCGAGGGGGACCCAAGCAAGCCCCTACCTCACCGTCACCTACTACAAGGATTTCGCCGAGAGCAAGGACGTGGTGCTCGTCCGCGGTGACGTCGTGTTCACCAGCAAGCTCAGCGACCCTGAGGCGAAGTGGCTCATAGAGACGGCCCAATCCTTCTACCTGAACGACGGGAGGTACAAGCTGGTGGAGCGATTCAACAAGGAGACCCACGAGTTCGAGTTCGCCGACGTCCTCCGGGCGCTCGACATGCCGTCTGGGTGATGATTCTCCGGATCAGATGCGACCATGCATTGTTGAATGATTTTTTAAGTGTGTAAGGGGGACTTTGGGGGGGCACAAAGTGGAAATTTGGTGCTTTTCCGTCACATCATTGATTACCTCCATAAGGGTTTTGATCGAGGGGCACGACAGAGTTTGGATTTCGCAGTTTCTTCAACCATAAAGATAAGATATTTCCTCAGAGAATCGTTCTTGTTGCTATGGAGACATCGAGCTCCGCCGACTGCTGACTACTTGAAGGGGTAGGACGCCTGCATGGCTATCCCGCAGAGGCCTTCTTTACTGACGCCGCGCTTGATTTTGATGTAGCCACCTTCGCCCCAGTCGCCTCCCCAGGAGTTCTTCACCAGCCAGTAATTGTCGCCGGCTTCCTTGCCGTACCCGACAGTTGCGACACCGTGGTTGAGGGAAGTCCCGCATTCCCCGGTGAAGACACCATTGGAATACATCTGGAAGGAGAACCCGCCGGCGTCGATGGCGACGGACACCGGCTGGTTGGCGACCGCCGCCTGAAGCGCCGGCTCGCTGTTGACGGCGACGTTCTTGTAGCCCGCGATGGTGGCGGTGGGCTTGGACGATTTTCCGGCGTCGCAGGTCCCGTCTTCGTCTTTGTAAGGGTAGTTGGCCTCCGAGGCGAGCCCGCCGTTTCTCCGAATATATTGGAAGGCCAGCGTCATGAGGCCGCCTTTGCAGCCCTGGTTGCCGTCATTGACGTCGCAGTCGACGAGCTGCTTCTCGGAGAGGGGCACCAACTTGCCCGTCTTGATCTGGGTGATGCCCTCCACCGCCGCCACCGCCGAGAAGGCCCAGCAAGATCCTGGGTCAAAAGAGGCGAGTCAACGGGCGCCCTGCCAGTTCGGTCTTTCAAAATGTCAAACGATTCGGTTCGAGTTGTAGTTGGCTACCGCATTGACCCTGGTTCTTCACGGGAGTGACTGCCCCCCTCTTCCTCCAGTCCACGCTGACGGGAAGACCGGGCCTGAGCGGCTTCGGGCAGCCATATGACCCCCACTCATCTCCCTCCGCCGAACCGCAAGGTCCTTCGGCGGCTGCCGTAGACGGTGCGGCAGCGACCGGCGGGGGCTGAGAAAGCAGGCACAGATGCTTGGCCCTGAACTCCTCGTTGGTCATGTCGGCGAACTTGCTGTCCGTGAGATTGTACGAGAGCCCCATGGAGTTGACGACGTCGACGAGAGCGACATTGGAGCTGTAGATCTGGAAACGCCTCTCCTTCTCTCGGGGGTCGCCGTAGCTCCTCCCGTACCGAGCCAGCCACCGCTCGTACCTCTCCTCCACCGGGTCACTGCCGCCGGCAGCGGCGGTGGAGAACGCCCAGCCGTAGAGGGCCAGCAAGCACGCGAGCTGCAACTTCATGGCGGCCGGGCTCCGGCGAAGCCCCGCCATGGCAGAGGAAGGAGGTTTCTTTGGACCTCTTATAGAGAGTGGCGTGAGGAGGGAAGGGGACACGAGGAGCGTGCTTGCATGGGCAGTCGGTGAAGTCTCGGTGTTGAGATTCCGTGCAAGGAGGCGGATGGCCACCCCACGCCGCCGGAATGGGAACCCTCAAATGGGCCCAGTAATATGTCTGGGCCCTACTATGTGGCCTCATTAAGATAATATGCATCTGGGCGGTGGATTTTTCAGTACCCGCTTTTACGTAGGCTGACCGTCACATTTGTGTCTAATTGTCTGAATTCTGTCCTTGTACGGACATTTTTGAAAAATAAATGGTTCTTTTTTTTTCTCACGAGTGTTACGAAACTAGTGAGAGGGCCAACTAACCAAGGGGAAGAAAAACAAAGAAAAAATATCTTGATTTGGATTGAATCAAACAAATATAATAATGGGCCATGTATATGGGCCTTGTATGAAAGCGTTAAGCATCTAACTCACACAATTGTGATCTTCACATCGTAAAAGTTGTGGGGGTTACATGGCTCTTGAACTTTATAATTAGGTAGTTAGGGTTTTGGTATTATTGAATATGGCAGCTTTAATAGCACATTGAAGCTATCTATAGCTTGAGCTTATGATTTGATATATATAATTAAATATTATTATTTTTACACGCTCTTGAATAAAATGATTTTTTTTATCAGTCATCTTACTCCTTTCATGATATTATTTCTTAAGGCAATTCCATAGCTACTGTTAATATACACTTTTGTGGCTCTTTTTTGTCTATGAAGGTGTTGCATATTTGTTAGGTAAAGTGCATGAAAAACTAGACGATGCTGGACATATTCAACTTCACAACTAAGAAGTCGCACCATGGAATTCTTCTATGAGGACCATGCGAAAGATGTATCTCTAAGAGAAAAATCAAAATTCAAATCAAGTATTTTCTCTCCTTTGCATCACCTTCACAAACACTATTTGAATATCCAATCAAGTGAAAACCTTCATTATATGAATACCAAGACCCATGATTCACTAGATATTTTATATAAGTTAGGATTTTTTTTTAACATTTTTGAAATGAAGAGACTTTGGCTTTTTCACATTTTAATTTATTAATGCAACATCATTAAGAATATTCGACATGTTACATACTAAATATTATAGTTAAAGAATGATCTATTAATGTTTTCCATTTCATCAAAAAATGGTATTTTTCATTCATACTCTTGCCACACATACTAGAATGTTGTCTTCCATCTCAAACCTATTTGTGTTTTCTTGAGTATACTTTTGTAATGAAATGAATTTTTTTTAATGGTTTGTTTACCTTCAATGCTGACAAAATAAGATAAATATCCTATTTGTCATTTCAGATTCTCTAACCATGCTCCTCTTGAGTTCTTTGAACATGTTTGTATTGTTGCATATGAAAGCCAAATCTACATACAAGCACACATGTAATGTATCTCCAAACTTTGCCTTTAGTTATGGAAGATGTTCATAAGGATCTCCAAACTATTTCAAAAAAAATTTAAAATTTATTATTATATATTCTTGGTGCTTAATGAAGCAATAAAGATAATTTTTCTGCTTTAAAACGCCTCCAAAGCTTGGGGGTTTCTCAACATAAGTTTCATATTCTTGGAGATTATTTAAAACTTCTTACTTTACATTAATTTGAAAAGATTCTAATAGTTTTAAGCTGCTCATGGAAAGAGTAAATGAATGGTTTCTAAATGGACAGCATGAGCAACTATGTGTTCATATTGACCACTAACATTTTACTTAAACCCTTTGGTTGTTAACTTTATCTTGAAATTTATCTTCAACATTCCTATTTATTTTATACACCCACTTCATATCACCTACCCTTTTGCATTCTAGAAATGAGGCTAACCCTCTTGCATCATTTTTTATTTGTCTTTCTCATTTATGCTTTGCACAGCATAAAAAATATACTGGTTCATACTCCACAAAAGGATAAAAAAAATTAAGTAGCTTCTTATGATACTCAGCACTTTATAGATCTCACTAAGATATCTCATCTTGCTTAGTTGTAAACTCCTATTAAATGAAGATGACAATGAGTATACTACTGGAAAATATCAAACTCAGCCATTATAAATTTCTTAAATAAAATAAATGATTATCATATCCAATTGTTACATTCACATTCAATTTTTATGAAGCTTATTCATCAAAATAGAATATTTGCATTTGCTTTATTCTTGCCATTTATAAGATTAAATAATTGTAAGATCTTTTCATCAAGGTTGGTCTCTTTTTTATCCAAAATATCTACCTAGGCAATAATTTAAAATGCCTTCAAATGATGCACACTTGGCTGTTCTTCATACCATGGTTCATGAGGTTTTGCATTTTCCAAGCCTTTTGATAGAAAACCTAAAACTAAATATCCTACATAAGATATGACTTTAGTCCAAAATTATTTTTTCACATTTTCAGTTTTCATGACACTCTAGTCATGCTGAAGAGTTTACCTTTTTATCTGCAATTTTATTTTGATTTAGGGAAAATATTATTTTGTTCATAATATTCTTAAAAATAAATTCATATAAAACTCTGCACATCTTAAAGCTAATATTGCAAACCCTTTTGATTTTCAGCAATAATAATAATTTTTAAGGCATAAAAAATCATAAATTAATTCTAACAACGAAATATTCTTGGCTTCATGAGCTTTAATTATCCTAAATGGTTTTGATAAAAAAATGGACCAATTACACAAGAGTTATCTCTTATAAACATACATGAAATTATCCAAGTAGAAAGCCATGGATAATAAATATTACTATTGATGAGTTCCAAAAGATAACTTGATGAATTATTTGAACCTCATGTCTTGAATTCTAGATTTATGATGAATTTGTCTCTTTAAATTATTAGTCTGTTTACTACTTTTGAAAATGTAGATAATTACAAAAGCAATCACCAACAAAAAATTATGATTTGGACTTTGAATTTTGCCCTAATGTTTGAAGTAAAATATTGATATGATATTTTAATAATTCTAATTGATACATATTATTTGAAATTATTACTTAAAATCATTTTTATGAAGAATTAGTTGATTGATTCTAAACTATATAAACAAACGTTCATAATTTTAAAAAATATTACTGAATATTAATTGAAAAATAGTTTTAAGATATCATATTTTGCCAAATTAATGATGTTAAATAATGATATGAGGATTTAGTTTTCTAATTTACACTCAAGTTTTTATTTGAGATGTTTTAGATTTAGCTTGATTATATAATCATTACTTTACTTAGAGATATATCCTTATCAGATATACTATAATCTTTAACTTCATACATATGTACTAATATTTAATTGGTTTAACCTTATAAGAGATCTATATCCTGAAAGAGTATGTCATGTTCATTTCTAATTTTAATAATTTCTAATAATTTTATAATTTGAATGTTGAATAATGACATCAAACAAGGAAAGGTTGCATCTTAAATTTATCTATAAATTCAGCTTCTATAATGGCTAAATATATAAGAACGATCATCTTTGACTTCTCTATAATCTCATGTTTCTTTTAAACAAGTTTTGCAGATAATTATGTGTAAATTAGGATGGTCATCAAGGCTTAGTGAAATAATGGGAATACAATGAGTTGAAGAGCAAATTTTCATATGAAAATATTCTTCATTAGCCTGATTTCAGTGGCAACATCTTCATAAATGAGAGTTCTACTTGAAGAGAAAAGAAAAATAAAAATCAAGTGAAATATAACTTTTCTCTTTATCATATTTCTAGATGTAATTTAATGCTCCATTAAATATGTGAAAAAGTTAAAAGTGATATTTTTTTAATTTTGTAGAATAAACTTATGATTACATTTTGGTTTTGTCCTATATCCATGACTAATTCAATTAGAACTATGAATGTAGAAGGGAAATTTGAGATGAAATTTTGAGAGAGTTGAGCTCATGAATCAATTGGTGTTGTTAATTGTTGATTTAGTAGAACTAAAAAAAAATGTGTTCTTAGAGATTGGACGTATGCAAGTGGTCAAACCACTATAAAATATTGGAGTAATCAAGGTTTAAATTGAAGAGATTTTCTGATCTATTGAAAAGATAAAAAAATAGTATAAGTTGACTTAAGTCAGAAATTACAATAAGATGAATTAACTTTTTTATCTAATGACTTATTTAACCTAAAAATTATGAAAATATATTCCAAAAAATTGATAAATATAATACAAAATTTATATTTACTTAATGATGTAGGAGTGATAGTTTACATATATTGGTGTGAATAAGATGAAACAACTTAAATATCCTTGTTGATGTTGTCTTTGGAAAACTTTTCTCAAATATTTTTCAAAATTATATCATTCACATGATTATTCAAAATTATGAACATGGGGTATGTCTTTATATATATGTTTTCTATGTAATAACTTTAATCCACAAAAGTTAAGGTGTCCATATATAAAATAAAATATTTTTCATGGAGTTATTTAGATGCATGGTTACTTTTATTTCAATATTTGATATACATTTATATTATTTAATCAGAATTTTATAGATAGCTGAAACAACAAAACGGAGGAGGGGTGAAGTAAGGTTTGAAAAAATTCTAATAAAATTTCGTTCTTGAGTCATTTCCTCCACAAGCTGGTTTATGTGTTATCACAAATAGATGTATGTTGACACACAAATAAAAGATTGTTTGTGAGAGTAAGATACTTCTAGACTCTCTTACCAAGTACACAATTTTTATGTTAGTTCACCTCTTATTCAATCACTATTTGTCCTAGATGAATTTATCTTCCAATCTAAATTATTCCTCTTAGGAATGTGGATCAGTAAGTTAGATTTCTCAAGTTCATTTTTTCATAGATCTTTCAATGCATTGACCCATCTTACGTCAAAAAAGTCTACATGCACCATTTGCATTTCCCAAATCTATCCTCCCCTTGCAACTCAATCATGTAAGATCATGAAAGTGAATTGATTATAATTGAAGAGTTGTTTGATTGATGAATCAAGTTAATAATGGAGTTATTGTACTTCCCTCAACATTGAAATACATGGTGTGAAGATGTTCATAAAGAGCATGTAATCTCTTTGATTTCTTGGATGCTTTCCATTATAAAAGCCTTTTTTCATAAGTTGGCTTTTGTCTAATATGATTTCTCATTTTTCTCAGATATTCAACATTCTAGTAGGTCTATTAAAATCTTAGAATTTTCTAGAATATAGACTTCTCATATGTCAACTTTTTAATATATTAGTCTTTGGAATTCAAATTAAACTTGAATTTCTTAACTTAATGAAGGATACCTTTGCATCATCATTGAAGGAAAAAATTCAAAAATGAATATTTGATCTATTATTTATTAATTTTATTGATTAATAATTGTAATAGGTTGAAAAACCTATATAATATTATGCAAAAATAATATGGAACAGATAAACACAGTAACAATAACATGATAGTTATATCATTATGAATACAATTTAAATAAAATATACCACTTTCACAAATGCTTAACACATGGATCATATATATTGTGTCAACATATACCATGTGACCCTATATGACATATACTTAACCTTTTATTTGTATATTTTATTTAATTAGTAATTATTTACTATCAAATTTTCTTAAGATAAAAAAATAACATAATGTTAAGATTAAAAACCTTAGATTTAATCATTATAAAAAAATCATAATAATTAGACATAAAATTCATTATGATTAATCTATTAAATATATTAGATGTTTAATTCACATAAGTTAGGTATATAAGTCAAAACTCAATTCCATCTATGATCAATCTAAAATATGAGAAACTGGCTTTTTAATAAGTTTTCATATTTTATCATCAAAACTAAGGGAATCAACATTTTCATATTAACTTCAACAATTAAATTACCTTGTTGATCTCTTATGAAAAGAGTATAAGATATCATATGGACACCTTGATCATTTATAATATATTTCATCTTTACCACTTAATAAACATCAACAAATATTTTTTAAATTATATTCTATGAGAGGACTAAGATGCTACCTTTATCTTTGTTTGATACATTAGAGGAATTTGTAAATTTAATAGATTCATGCACAAATTCATCCATGTTGGTGAATATCTCCTTTTATCTATTCATAGGGTTATATATGCTTAGGAATAAAAGTATCATTTTCCACATTTATTAGAGTCATCTATTTTATGCATTAGCAAATAGTTGGTCCTTTTTCTTTCAATTAATTTTGACCTCTAGGAATGTGGCACTTTTTATTTGGTGTTGGGGCTACCTTCTTTGTGTGGGGCTTTTGCTTCTGATGCCTACTCTAACTGCACTACTTTTTTTTAATAAGCCTTATTACTCTTGGGATTCTAGTGATCCTATTAATTGTCCAAGACTCATGTTGGATAAATCCTTGGGCTCTTCAAGTGGTACACCAATATGATTGAATTTAGAATTTATTGATCTAAATATCTTATAAATAGTAAAAATATGCATATTATTTTCAATGCTTCATCATAATGGATTTACAATTACAATGATCCTTGTATAAGATATTTGACAGTGTAGGGTTCTTTTATAATCAAAACTTTAAAGTCACCAAATAGAGCTGAATATTTAACTTTCATATTTTCCACAATTATTGTCCTCTTTTGTATCTTTTCCTAGATTCTCCTAAATACTCCTTTTGACTTGTTGAAGCAACATTATCTTTGGGTTCACAATAGTAAGGAATATATCTTACACATTAACATGTAAGTAGGATCTCAAGCAACATTTTCTACAATGAAGCATTAATTTTGAAGAGTTGAGGCACTTGAAATGAGATCACCACTTGCAGCATTAGGAAACTATCTGTAGTTCATTAATTGAGGGTAAGAGCAAGAAAGGTATTCCAACAAGGGAGAAGGTAGTAGATTGGACTTGACTGAACCAACATAACAATGGGCCATGCCTATATAGATCTCATGTGAAAGCTCTCTAGTCTCGACTCTTATAATCATCTCTTTTCAACTCCTTTGTAGGAGTACGAGGGTACAAATTCACCCAATTACTCCTAGGAGTTTCATGACTATTCAATTCAAAAGAGTTCTAGGCTCTTCAATTTTTAAGGGTTGCATGATTCTTGAAGTTTATTACTATAAATATTAAACTAAGTAAACTTCTGAATAATGAGGCCTTCCGTGATCATTTGAGAGGTGCTCATCTCCAAGTCTGTGGCATCCTCTGCCGTCATCGTGCCGCCGGCAGCCTTGCTCACGGACCTCACTCTCCACCGGCGAGAAGCAGCTGCTATGTACAGCCTCAGCGGCGCCTCTCTCAGCCACTTCAAGGAGGCTGAAATCAGCATTAACGAGGCCCTGTTCCCCCAGTCCGCCTGTGAGTAACTGTAGAGAAGGAGGACGACGACGCATGTCATCTCCATGACTACGAAGAGCCCCCAGAAGTTGTCCGGGCCCAGTCTATCGTTTTCGGAGCCCAGCGTTGAGGAACTTGAGCAATTGTAGGAGGAGACCACTCCGTCTTCCAGCTGCTTCATCTTTCCGCTCTCGAAGACCTTTAATATCGCCTCCGAGACGTCTGGAAGGAGAGGAGAGCCTTTGGGGAAGATCTGGTGATGCAAGATTGATGTTATAAACCCTAAATCGTGAATCCTAGTTATTGAGAATACAAGGGTAAGACGATAGGAGGCCCTACAAAGCCGAATCCTCCAGCGTGGTAGGTCGGCCCTGCCGTTGTGAATTCCTTGCAGTACTTGGCGAGAAACATCTTGGCATGCCCCATGGCAAAGATGGCGGCCTTGATCTCCCCACTCCTGAATGCTTGCACGTATTCATCCATGGTGGCGAACTGCCTTATGCTGCTCATGGGGAACCCGAGGTGCTGCTCGATGAAGTTGATGATGCTCCCTCCTCTGTTACACCCAATGGCGGCACCACTGCCCTTCAGCAGATTGATGTCGGTGACGCTCGGCTCCAGCCGCTGAACGGTGAGCATGGAACTCAAGCTCGCAGTGTAATTCGACGTCAAGACCAGGCCCACAAAAAGCCATACAACGACGATCACCCGCGACAGATTACTATGAACGTTCTCTCCTGTGCACACAAAGTAAAACGAATCGATCAAGGTGCACAAGTGCCGCCGAAGTTCTGGTTTGAGGGCAACTCACCGTGGACGAAGAGGCTGGCGAAAGAGAGCCAAATCGAGACGCTCAGTTGCCTGGATCGGCCTTGATCCCTCTCCCTACCCCGCTCAATCAACCAGACAACCAACGAATTCACCAACAACAAGCCCGCAATCGAGATCCACAAGGACGACGAGAAAGGCTTGACGAAGATCCAAGCTTTGTTTGGGTTTCCCGGCCTGAGAGGTACTACCATTACGTACCCGGACTGTGTGTAGGGCTGTGTGAATTGCACCAACTCGCAACGATATGACAGGATTGCGATGTCGCCGACCACAGCGTCGAAGATCTTTCCATGCAGAGGTCGCGTAAGGAAATATGAATGAAGGAAAGAAAATATTCTAGAGAAGATCATCGTCGTCTCACCTTCATGGGTACACGCTCCACCAAGGAGTCATAGGAGCCGTAATAGGCGACTAGGTCATATGTCAGGCTGTAGGGAAGATACTCGACTACCTCCTTGAAGATGTCAATGGAAAATCCTGATATCACAGTCTTGTTTCTTTTGCTGTTGTGATCGGCTCTGACATACTCGGGGAAGGCGGATATGGCCGAAACACCGATCCTCAGTGGCATTTTGCCCACAGATGGAGCCCATCCTCTCGGGGCTACAGAAAAACCTCCTGGCCAGAAGATGTCCCCTAGTATCGACATCGATGAGCTGTAGTTGGATCCTGAAGAGAGGTCCTTTGAGAAGCCAAGATCGTCAGTCCAGTAGCCTATCTCTCTGTAGCTTCTGCCCACAATGTTAATGACTTCAAAACTCTGGCTAGGGGCTAGCATCCCCCCTGAAAACTTCACCTTGCCGCTGAGTCCTGAGAAATCTGCCGTAAGAAGGCTCCCTAGTAGTTGATGGCCTTTGGAGAAGACAAGGGTAGGCTCATTCTCCCCTGAATCGTTTCTCTCTTCCTGGAAATATGATGAGTAGTCTCCTTTGGGTTCAGTTCTATCCATAGCTTCCGCCACCGCCCACACGGCGTCATATATCTGCAGCCCAAGAACGCTGGAATGTAGGGGAGTTTCCTCCGGGTATTCGTGCTTGAACCTTCTTTGAAGTCTCGCGGAGAAGTGGGCAAGTTTATCAGTATGAGGGAAGTAGTTCTTCAAACAGAGGATTCCCTGCATTGAACGGATGACAGAAGAGTTGACTGAGTCCAATGTGTCGCAGACGAGGTCGGTTGTTATCCACGCGTATCCCTTCTCCATCATCCCTTTGCGCTGCGCCTCCGCGAACAAGCGGACTGCCAAGGGTAGGCTTGTGTAAACGACGAAAACTCTGGACTGCCTGGAGTTAAGCATCTCGAGCTCCACGGACATGGATGAGAACGGAGATATCCCCAATTGGTACTCTACATCTGAGTTCGCTTCTCGAATAGCCTCTATTAGCTTTGGAAGGGTGCTGCTGCCGATATATTCAGTGTCCTCATAGATGATAGCGACCCTCCTCCACTGCCAAGAGCTTATAATGGCGGATATAGCTTTCAGTTGCGTGGTTTGACTTCGCGCTGCCCGTAGAAGGAAGGGCCAGCGCCCAGTGGCCCATGATGGGTTTGCATTATATAATGAGAACATGGGAACCTGGGCTTTGTTCCCAATGTCTGCAACGGCGGCTATTTCCATCCATGTCTGGAGCCCGAAGATGGATTGTACCCTCTGGTCATTGATGAGTCTTCTTGCTGTATTCACGTTAGTTCGGAAGTTCAGCTGGAGAACGACAGGGGTTGGAGATCAACAAAAAGAGCCTGAAGGAGTTTCGATCCGAAATAAGATGAATGAGTAGTTTTTTTCCTCTCTGAATGTGTATTGTTCAGGAATATGGGATTGTATGACGAAAAGCAGCTGACTTACTTCGGCTAGGGACCTTCATCTTCCCTGAAAAGGACGGTGATATATATACATATTATCTATATATATATATATATATCAGTCAACGGCCACAAAGTTCTCGTACTTGGTGACCAAAGAAGGCTTTATATCGCGATGGTGACAGCTCAGCAGTCAACGACCATTGAATAGAGAGAGAAAAAACTAGATCTGTAACATTCCACTCGATCGAAAAATAAGATTTTGAAAGAAAGGGGAAGAAGGAGGTGTGTGTGATCACGGAAGGATCAAAGAGCTTCCGTCGATTCAATGATATTTCATGGAGGATAGATCAGTTCAATTTTGGCAAGTATCACCCGAATGGTTCCTTGTGCATAAACTAGACCTCGAGTTACGTCATTTCGTTTTTTATATGACCACCAGAGAGAATTGAACCCCCAAAAACAAGGCCTATCATATTATATCTATGGTTGGAAGAGCTTCAGTCAAAGAATCATCTCTTTATTGTATCCAGAACCATGGATTTCATGTGACTGCGAGGACTGAAGTTCGATGAGGATGGAAACAAAAAAAGATACCAAGAGGGTTTGGGTAGAGCATTTCTGTCTAGACGAAAGTCTACAAGTAACTTCGTCGATTTCCACGGAAGGAATAGGTACCTTGGTGAGCTGCTTGCGTTGGAATGCCTTTGAAATCCCGAACGTGGAGAGAGAGTACGTTGGCATTAGACCTCGTATAATCCTCCAAAGCCAGCTCCATGGCGAGCTTCTGCAGACTGCCGTCGGGTGAGCTTAGATCAATGATTGCTCCTATGCGGCCCACAAAACGGGCACTTTGTCCATCGGCATCTCGTGCAACCATGAGTCCTTCGCAGGATGAAAAGAGCAGGACGGCGAGGAGGACGGGAACCCCAGTCATGCTTGCAGGGGAGAGCGGACAATCTCCGTGGATCAAACAGAGCAAGAGCGGGACAATGAAAGATAGAGCGAGAGCGAGAGGAAAAAGATGGATTGTCGATCCTTTTGAAGAGTGATTTTCAAATCGCTGCATACCCAGATCAACAGTCCCCTCTGACAGATGCTGACTTTCATACGCGTTACAATTCAAGTGGGGGACGACGTTGAGGTTCCCTCGGCGGACTTTCTGGAAGTTTCTCCCTTAGTTCCACCACGGATTCCGGTTCCGAATCGGGGGAGTTCCTATCCGCTTGTTTCTTCAGAAGAGGAGGAAACAAATAGAGAAGGTTGGATGTCGTAGCCGTCATCCTCTCTCATCCTGCTCATCGTTGAAAAGATGCGCCTCCCGGAGAATAAATAACAACTGTGAAGGATTCTTGTCGACTTCATGACTGGTAGACTCTCTGCCTAGTTTGACCGTGGGGATCTGTCTGGTGCAAGAAAAAACTTCTTAGCCGGCTTCCTTCAACTTGCAGGGGCTTTACTATTGAGCTCCAACCCTTCGATGAGTCAGCGTTTGCAGGTGACGCTCCTTGGTTCCCCCGGCCGTGAATCGAAGTAGTTGAGTTCTTCTATTATGACGAGGCAGTTGGTCCTCTTTCCGATTCGGATTCTTCTGGTCTCGTGGGAAGGTTGAGAGAGAGGTGGAGCCGTGTCGATGTCATCCCTTTGACTACGAAGATCTAATTAATGCACATGGAGTTTGAAAAGTCAACATATACTAAATATGGTCAACGGCGGCATAATAAAGAGATAGCCTGAGGGTCTAGCTACACGAGAAGCTGGTGGGAGGTGCAGGTGGAGGTGACCTCTGCTAGAAGTTCGCGGACAACACCCCTGGAACCTAAATTAAGATCTCAATTCCCCATTTTTCTTCGGGCAAGAAGCTCTTATTCGGTTGGGATTCTGAGAGGCAAAATGTGCAGGCGTCAAGGAGTTGTGATGTTCGGGTGGTATATAAAGCAAGGTTAAGGTGTAAACGAACTTGGAGATTAACTATGCGGAATAATTTTTCTCCTTGTCCTTTGGTGTTGCCCCTCGGTGGTCGGTTTTCTGTGAAACTGGCGTGCTGTGGAGTGCCACATTATTCTGCGTTAAATTCTGCATCGCTCGCTGTTTGGTGGTAGCTATTTCAGTATATCCCGAGTGAAAATATTGGCACCTGTGGGCGCGAGCTCTATTTTCTAACAAATATCATGCCGTTTTTCTTACCAGACTCATCTTCTATTCTACGATTGCTTCCAGTTATTGGAGTCTTGAGGCGTGCGCAGAGGGCTAACGATGCAAGTCAGGATTAAAGACGCATTCCACAGTGTGCATGCGTCCCAACAAAGCCATGCTCTCCCTCTGTCCGAAATGTCACTCTCCTTCCGTCGGCGATAGAGAGAAAGTGCAGTCGGCCCGAATTAAGAGATAAAGAGAGAGAGAGAGAGAGAGAGAGAGAGAGAGAGAGAGAGAGAGAGAGAGAGAGAGAGAGGGGTTATTGGGTCCGTCTCTCTCCATTTCTCTCTTCTGTTGGCCCATCTCCCACCCTTTGCCTTCTCTCGTCCATCCGCCAAATTGCTCTCGAGAGCACGGAAGAAACTGGAAAAACGTTTTACACTGGATTTTTTCATTATAAATTTTCAGCGTCGCATAGTTTCAATGCCGGAGGCGGCCATACACCACGTCGACAGCAATGAATCGAGCTCGGACGTAGACCATGAAGGCACGGACTCCCTGAAAAAAGTCAAGGCAGAAAATAAGGGATAACCCCATGCCCCGTCACCGCCGGAGGCCCACCACATCATGGCGGCGGCAGCGGATGGTGGGCCCCCAATATAAAAACCCGCGTCGCCGGAGGGACACTCTTCCTTGTCCTCCGAATCTGTGATCTCTGGTATCACCTTCCAAAAGAGCTCCTCCCCACCATGTGCTCTCTCGACAAAGTCGTCCCCTGGTGCCGGGTGGTCGCCGGCGCCGGCACGCTTCACTGCATGCATGCGAGATTAAAATGGGCCAGACACACGGTCCATGTGCACTTCAATAGCCCATTGACGTCTCTCTTCTCCATTTTTAATGGGCTTTTCTCTCTCTTTCTCTCTTGTGTGGGAGGCGTGAGGAGGAGAGGAGAGCGCCTCGCACTATCACGTCTTCCTCTTATTCCTGGGGGCCGTGACCTCTGATAGGACGGGGGTATCTTCTGCTGTACACAAGGGGGCCATCGAGTTCCGCAGCTGCTCGTCGCTTCCATTCTTCTGTCTGCCACACGGAACTGGTTAGATAGAATCCCTCGTTCTCTCTCTCTCTCTCTCTCTCTCTCTCTCTCTCTCTCTCTCTCCTGAGCTCATATTCTAATGGTTTGCTTCCTTTCAACAAAAATTCCATATGCCGCGAGGGGTCGCCCTTGTGGACAGCTAATGAGAGAATAAATATTTCTGTCTGTCATGCACATGCTGCGCACGCGACTGGGGAGGCTCCATTATGGACGAGGCGGCGGGGGGGACAGCTGGCTGTGTCCGCAGAGAGTCGCACAGGTGAGAACAGTGCAGTTCTGACTGTCGAAATAAACTACCGCGAGGCTGAAACTAAGGTGGGGGATGAAAGAGGGGACCTACGGGTGGAATTTCCGAGCTCTTTCACGTCACCGGCTGAAAAATCCAGTCGTTAACTTGAAACACATATTTTTTTCGTTTACAAATTCACAGTTGACAGCTTCTACTCATGGAAATCAATCGAAGCAGAGGACGAGGAAGGCCCTTACAGTGATGTCTCCCCTTGCGGACCTCGCCCGTTTGAGCTCTGACCAGCGCATCACCCAGTGGTAAAATCAGTGGCGCATCACCCAGGGACTGTGGAACGGGGAGAGAGCTGAACGACGAGAGACGGTGGGGTAGAGGCGGAGACGATGATACGAGAGGAAGGGAGAGGGGGACAGGAAATGCAACCCGCGCCAAACAAGGCTAAGAGAGGAAGAAAAGCACACCTCGACGCCAAGTAAAAAAAAAAAAAAGGAAGAAGTCGGGAAACCTCCGGGGCGCTGATGCTTCCCGTCTCCTCGGGGAGAGGTGGAGGGCACATCCCCGGTACCGCGGAGCGTCACGTGGAGAGGTGTGGGCGCACCGCCGCGGCTCCACCACCGCCCCGCCTCAGCTGCGCAACTCCTTGTCGGCGCAGCTCGTGGGTTCGGACGCGTGGGTGGCGGCAGGGCCCATCTTCTTGAAGCTCTGCTGCTGGTAAACTTGCCTTAGCCTGTCTATCTCCCTCTTCAGCGCCTCCTGGTGAGCTGCATTGTGGGTTAACCGCGGTTAATTCACGATAATATTCATCATCAGAAAGGACGACGTATTTTTTGACGTTCTTCCTGTTTAATCTCATCAATGAATACGAAGGCGTATACACCCCCTCCTCTCTCTCTCTCTCTCTACGGATCGTATGGTAGATACGAATCCAGCTCTCATGTCGTTTCGCTCTCATCTCATTTAGTGCGGTGTCGGGAGAGAAACGCAGATGCAAGCACACTCCCTTGTCTTCTTTGGGGGGGCATGTGGGACTACTGGTCCGAGTGTTGTAGGCAGTGAAGGTGGCCCAAGAATGAATGATGCACAGCTGAAAGCACCAAGCGGGAGATGAAGCCGAGACGGGAGGGGGGTTGCTTCAGGAAATCTACTGAGTGGGGTCATGCGAATTCTTGCCCGAACCTTGAGAAACCTCATGGAGCTGCGTAGGGAGAGGAATTCGAGTAGCCACATTCAAATTGCGGATTAAATGGAAGGCGAAGAGGCTATAATTCTAAGCCGACATCGGTAGATGACAGAAGGAGAGAAACTAGAGGGCAAGAACTCACCGTCCTTGAAGATCTTGTCTTGTGCGAGAGCGGCGATCCGCTGCTTGAGCGCGCTGTTTCCCATGGTGAGCACCGAGCGCTGGTGGTCGAGGAAGGCGACCCGCGGCGACAGCGCCGAAACCTCGGTCTGCAGTGCAACGCGTGATTCTTAGATATCGTTCTTCGGTATGTTTATAGTCGAATTGCGATGCGAACGGGGGTGACTCATGTCGATCAAGAACGAAGCGGGGGCGCATTTGCAGGCAGAATGATAGAGATGGTGATCATACGGAAGTGGGTATCTAGGGAAATTCAGATCACCTGGAGTGAGGAGACGTTGCGTTCGAGCTCTGATATGTACTGTAGCTTCCTCACTCGCGATCTCTGAGCCGACTGCCTGTTCGCCAAGATCCTGCAAAATCCGAGGAGAAGGGTTAGAGGGAAATGCGTCGGGATAATTCTGTGAGATGAAGGTGCTAGCGATGCTCTATCCGCATCGTGGACGGTGATCACCTCTTGACCCTCTTCGGATCGACAATGGTTTCCGCCGCCGGCGCCGGCACAGCCTCCGAGGCCCGCCCGGGCTCCGACTTGCAGGTACTCTGCACCTCCTGCGACTGCGGCTCCGCCGCCGCCGACCCTGGTCCGGTCTTCTCGTCGTTGATGCTGTTATGGTCGGACGGCGTCGAGGGGTTCGAGGACGATGCCGGGGCCGAGGCAGCCGCCGGGGGAACGTCGTCGGAGAACATCGACATGAGCTGGTCGTCGTCCAGTCGATCGAACTCCTGGAGTCGGCTGCTGCGAGGCCCGCCCTCGTTCCGGTGACAGTCCTCTACGTTGGCGATCATGGGGACCTCGAGGAAGGCAATGGAGTCGCTCGCCGATCTCCGGTGCGCCCCGCGCTTCGTGGCGGAGAAGTCCAGGAACTCGTCCACCCATGACGAGTAGGCAGCGGGCGAAGGGGCTGAACTGGTGACGGCGGGGGGGAAGAAGTTCCCCATGGAGGGCGCTCTCTGGTGGCCGAAATTGGGCCAATTAGTAGAAATGTTGGGGACCTTGGGAGGCAATTGCGCCATGTCCGAACCAGAACTCCAAATGCCGTCTCCCCGTCAAGCGTGGGGGAGGAAGAGAGAAGGGGACGTCGCCTCCGCCTCGACAAGTCTATCAACCCTCCTCACGGCTGACATTTCTCTCTGTCCTCCCTTACTCTCTCCCTCTCCTGCCCACCACCTTTTCCCCCTCTCCCCCCTCCCTGTTCATCCACCCTTCTGTCCCTCCACGCTGCCACCTCCCCTTGTGTTACTAATGCTCCTGCTATCAGCTCGGCCCTCTCGTCTATCGGAGAGGGGAGGAGAGACCGGTATGAGGAAATCGGAGCGAAGACGAGAAAGGGGAGTCACATGACGAGGGCCGTCGCCGAGGGGAGACAGCTAGCACCAGCTGTGGAAAGAGGTCGACGGAGAGAGAGAGAGAGAGAGAGAGATAGATTTTGTGTGTGTGTGTGAGAGAGAGAGAGAGAGAGGGGGGGAAGGGGGGGCGGGGAGTTGGGACTCAACGGTTTTACAGGGAAATCGCAGCAGTTCAATAAACCGGGAGGAATCGGCGACCACGTGCCGATTTGACGGAGGCTGAGAACCTCCCAAAAGAGTCTATTGTCCATTGTTGTTCGCGACGCCTATATTCTTGCTATAACCTCCCCCTCCAAAACCAGCGACACAGGAGCCCTGAGGATAAGAGGAGACGACGGGGGAACGGGCGTCGTACCGGCGGTGCCCCCTCCCCCTCCCCCTCCAGTCGCCCTCCCCGTCCAAAATTGGCTTGCCCCTCAACTGCCCGGCAAAAAAAAAAGAGCTTCTTCCACACCGCCGCTCTCTCTCTCTCTCTCTCTCTCTCTCTCTCTCTCTCTCTCGCGCGCGCGCGGGCGTTCTTCTTTCTCTCTCTTCCGCCGGGGGCGGGTGGTATGAGCTGGGAAGAAGGGCTAGCAGATGGCTGGGGGGTGGTTCTGAATCATGCCTCCCCATGTGCAGGGTTCGCACGCCCACCGCCTGCCGCCTGCCGCTTTCCTTTGTCCCCAATGCGTGCTTCTCTCACATCACTCGCTCTCATCCCACATGCAGCCCTCTGGGTCTCCTCCATTCCACCACCGCCACCTTCCCCCCTCTTCCGCTGCATCCCTATCTCTGTACATCTCGACGATCGACGGTGGTCCTCCTCCTCCTCCTCCGCCGCCGCCGCCGCTGCCGCCGGGGCGCCGGGGGACTCGGTGCAGCTTCGGCTTGTCCGGGTCTCCCCAGGACTCCCACTTTAATGCCAGAACGTCTGGGCCCTGCACAATTGACTCTGGCGGGAGAGTTTTAATCTTCCCGGAGAAGATCAAGCCAGAGATCTACATTATTAGGCCGGCAAGTTGGTGGCCCATTTTACTATCACTCCTTACTCTCTATCTCTCTCTCTCTCTCTCTCTCTCTCTCTCTCTCTCTCTCTCTCTCTCTCTCTCTCTCTCTCATAGGTGCGGCTGGAGAGGGTCCAGGTGCGTCTATCCGGGCTAAGTTTGGACTTCTCTCCGAGCCCAGATTCAGAGGATTTGGGCCTCATAAAGGAACCATGGCTTTGAACAGTTTGCGTGTTCAATAAATAACATGTTAATGCTAAGTAAAACGTTACACGACTAAGGGACGGAGGAGATCGGAGTCGATACTCGTCAACCAATCTAACGGCAGCGGATGCAGGGTAGTGGGGTCAATATACTAAGACCCCGAAGAAATGGTCTCCTGACAGTGTCGATCCAGAAGAAGAAGAAGAGGAAGAAGAAATAGACGGGCATCTGGGTCTGATTAAGTGCAACTTTACAGCTGACAGCGACAAAAGGAAAAAGATGACGCCCAATTAGCAATTAAAAGCCTGATCGGACGTCTGGGCACGGTCGGAATGATGAGAGAAGAACCAGATCCATTTTGGGACTGGCCTCATTCATTTTATGATGATTTACTGCTGTAACTACGTAGCCCCTCAAAGTTTCATTATTAAAAATCACAACTTTTGACCGATCAGGGCATCATCAAGTGGTTAGGGATCAACATTAATACGTCCTCCATTGATCCTCAAAGTGTTGAAAAGCAGTTCAAGAGATTGCAATGGTGTTGGGCGCCATCGTATCACTCACTGTGTATGAGTTTATATATATATGAATATATATAGAACCTGTAGAACGTGAACGGGATCAATTGAATGGTGTGAACCACACTTAGTTCTAAAAAGATTACCAGCATAATATTACGTCAAACATCACCAAGAAAGCAGCCGTCCAGTTCTTCTCATGTAATATAATTTAGGACCAAACTCCCTGTTCTTGTAGCTTTCGCAGAACAACGGCGGCAAAAAATTTCCACCTGTTGTCCGTAAAATATCGAAACCATAGTTAAATATGCATACATATATATTTCTGTTTAAAACTGCACCACAGAGAATCAATGAAATCTAAAACCAGGGCTATGGTAACTAGCAGCATAGATCAGCTTCTTAGCAAAGAATGCATTGTAGTCATAAAAATTGGTGGCTACATGCCGCCGTTAATTTCTTAATAACCCGATTGTTGGCTTGTATAATCTCCCAGAACCGGTGCTTTAACCACATCAGTAAGTGTTTCATCATCAACATGAAGAGTTGGCCAGAGTGAGGTCTACAATGACATTCCCCACACAGAGAACATGGGACGGAGGCATCGGGGGTAGCGCTACTCAAATCCATGAAGCATTTTGCCTCGAGGATGAACAATGGGCAAGGAAATGCTCCCTTAGCAATCGTCACTAGCATTACACCGGACTAAAATAGAGCCGAGAATTGAAGAGCAGGACTAGTGAGCAGGAAGATACATCCTTAAGATAGATACATAGCAGCATGGCAGATCGAGAAAAAAATAGATGGGTAAGAGATTTCTCAAGAGATAACTCTCCGTGGTCTACTGGCCAGGAGAATTGAATGCCATGGCGAGCATGAATACATATAACACTAACCCAGGAGTCGATAAAGGTACAAGCTCAGATCCTAGTTGGAGAAGTAGACACCACCTGGCTTTTCTCCACTGTCTCATCACCTTCTGCAAGCCTTTGCCTGATTAGGTGGCTCTCTCTAGCAAGATCCAACAGCCTCTTTTCAAGCTGATCGACTCGGTCTTGATAGCCATAAAACTTTTCCAGCCACGTACTATTGAAGCTGTCAACCATTTGCACTGCATGGGATCTCGCCTCCTCTTTCAGGAGACGTTTCCTCTCCAGCTCCTCTGTGGTAATAACATCGCCTTCACCCTCATCATCGTCCTTGTAGAGTTGTTCATCCCCCTGTGGGAACTGCTTTCGATACTCAGAGAAAGCATGGCGGGTTTCCATCAGAGCTTTCCTGTAGCCTTGAACAATTCGGGCCATAACCCCCAGCTCATGCTCAAAACGGCAAATCTCCATCTGTCTCCTCTGTTGATCTTCTAATCTGGTCTTCTCCAACAACTGGATATGGTGGTCCTTCTGCTGCAGGAGACTATTCATGTACTGAATTTGCATTTGAGCAGACGTAACCTCATGTTCCCTCTGAGAAAAGAGTATCTTGGCCTTTTCCATCCAGCTCTGTGCCTCATCCATGCACTTGTCAATTGTTAATGACATCGGATCCCACGGCCCATCAGTTCGCATCTTCTTTGGGTGATTCCCATGATGAGGGAAATGAGAAATGTCATTGCCTTCATCCTCGTCGTCAATCTCATCAATCTCCCGTTTGCTCATGGTCTTGAACAAGGACGGACCGGCCATACAGCTGTCTAGCTCCGCACTCTTGAGCGGATCAGGCCTGGACACCAGTAACTCAATTGATGAGGGTTCCATTGGTTGCAGAGGCATAGTGTAAGGAGCATTTACAGTATCCATCGCCTGCAGGAGATCAGTTGATGTCATCCTCTCCAAGTTGGAGAATTTTGTAGAAATATCGTCAACATAGTGCTCCTCATCTCCCATTCCAACTTCCTGTCTGTTCATGTCTTCACAGCCCACACTCTGTACATCATTGAGGTTGCAGCGCTGCAGGCAATGCTCACCCTCAATGCTCTTCGTTCCAGGGAGCCACTGGTCCTCGTCAGTCGCCTGACACTCTCCATTCTCATCCTTCAAGAAGCCCTCGTCTCCACCGAGTGCTAAGCACAAATTGGTACCTTGTGTTAGAGTATCAACCGGTGGAGAATCATGGACAGGGCCGGGGTTCATCACTGCATCATCATTAGTATCTTCTTCTTCGGCCAACGGAGCTTCCATTGCATCTTGTTCTTCTCCTTCAAATATTCCTGGCTTCTGGTGCCTCATCAAACACTGAAGATGGGAAGCATAATAGCAAAAGCCAGAGACAGGCGCCTCTGCCAGCTCCTTCTCCACCATCGTCCATATAAGAGCGCTCCATTCTACCTTCTGCGCCTGCCCCTCCTTTACGAGCTGAGTTGCAGCCATCACCTCTCCTGGCAGAATGCAGGCATCTTCCTCATGGAGCAGCACCCAATTCGACATGAAGTCCATGACAACCGCGATGGATTCCTCTCCCGAGAGAAACTCGTGATCCGCATCCTTGTTCTCGGAAGTGCCGGCCTTGTCCTTTTTCCACTGGAGGCCCAACGCGCGAGCGAGGCAGGGACGGCTCACTGCGATCCGTTCCCCATTGACCCAGCTGCGCCTCGCTGGATGGTCGTAGTTGGCGATGAGCTGCGTGAGGAGATCCGTGCGGACGGGGCCGGTTAGGTCGACATGGGCGAAGTCCCAGAGGCCGAGGGCTCTGAAAAGCCGTTCGTGCCTGCCAAAGTCTATGGCCTTCGCGGGGGTGAACGGCATGGGGCGCAGGTTCTTCTCGAGGAGGTCGAGCCTCTCCTGGATGGCGGCTCGCTGTTTGTCCGACAAGGGTTTCGCCTTCTTCCCTTGGTTTTTCCTGGTGAAGGGGTTCGCCGGCCGGGTCTCGCGCGCCGCCGCAGGCAGTAGGGGAGACGAGAGGGCAGCCCCTGATTCCTCGTCTTCTCCATCTTGCGGCGGCTGCTCCTCTAGCTCCGTCTGCATTTCTGGTGGGGGACCCTCTGCTACTTCTTCCGGTTCCTGATGTGGCTCCGCAGGATGCTGATCCAAGCATTGGGATGTTGATGGGGACCGAGGCGGAGACTGATGTTGGGGTTCGTCGGGCTCTAGCATCTTGGTAGGGTTCTGGAGATCCTCTGCGGCAGGGTGCTGCTGCCGTTGGGAAACCGAGCGAGTTTTCCTCGCCCTCTTCCTGGGCATAGATTTTTCGCGGGGCTTAGCGGAGATGGTTTCTTCCCTTCATCTCTCGCCGATGGAGCGGGCGAGATATCGATCCAAGTTCGCGCAAATAAGAGAGAGAGAGAGAGAGAGAGAGAGAGGGGGTTCCTCCTGTATTCGTGAATTAAATATTAGTAAGAGGACGCAGAAAAATGACTGCCCTAAAAATATATATATAATATTTATATATATTGCCGGCGGGGAAGGGGGGATCGGTACAACGGGCGATTGACACACAAGGAAAACGGGCGGGAAGGTTTGGAGGGAGGCGCTTGTGGCGGAAGGCAATGTCCCGGTTCTGGAAGCCGGGGGCGGAGAGGCCGCAACTTCTCGACGACGAAGAGGGCGGAGTCATCTTCTTCTCCGCTCCGTCGTCTGCCGCGGGGTCTGTTTTCTCGAACCCATCTCTCTCGTTTCTCGTCTCCAGCTCCCTTCGGCTTCATTCTCCCATTACGTGACGATTGCACATATCGAAAGGTATGGCTACGCGAACTTGGAGAGGCAGAGGCAACGTCTACCCGTGTACAAGTTCCGAACCGCCATTCTATACCTAGTTGAGAAGCACGCTACGTCTATCGTTGTTGGCGAAACGGGTAGCGGTAAAACGACCCAGATACCTCAGGTTCTTACCCGCTACTCCTGCTTCATTCGATTTTGCAAGAATTTTCGTCAAAAATTCGATTCTCTTTTGCTGCATTCGCTGTATCCTCAACCGAGCGTTGAGGTCTTTTTTCCCGACTATTTTCAGTCAAAGTTATGGAGGAATTTTTCGGGATGTTGAGTTCCCTTTTGTTACTTCACAGTACCTGAAGGAAGCAGGTTGGGCTGAGGGGGGACGAGTGATTGCTTGTACACAGCCAAGACGATTGGCCGTTCAGGTCTTCTCCTCCCTTCATATTGATGATTTTCGCATACTTTACTCTTTCATGTTGTTTCACTGGAACCTAGTTGATACTTTCTCCCTTATAGCTCCCCATTGGCGTCGTTTGTTTCTTTAGAGTCAGATATATGATGTCGCTATACTCTGAAATTTTTCCTTTCAATGCTTATTACAGTTTGGTCCGTTATCATGCTTTTGCGCTGTCATTTGTTTCAGGAAATATGTTGGCTCACACTATTTCACCTTGTATTTCCGTCGTGGGGTCAACAAAAGTGGAACATTTTCAAATTAATGCAATTGAGAGAACGACATTAGAGTTGAGAATATATGTTTTGCCCATGTTCCTCTGTGAATACTAAAATTATACAAGAAGAGGTAGAGCTTATTGGTATCAGCTGCTAGAGATTGTAAAGATGATGATTTATAATCACTGTTCATGAAACTGGTACTAGTCACTACTTTTTCATGGTGGATCAAGGCTCTTAAAGGATGCCTTTCAAAATGTTATTTGAAGAGATTTTCTTTCGACCTGTGATATATGTTATTTAACTCTTTGATTTAGTGCCTCTTTTTGACAAGTTTTGTTTTAATTTTGTATCCCTGGTTGGTTGAGTTGTTTTAGTTGCATTAAGGACCCAGGCATCAGGACGAGCCATAATAAGGAGCCAGAAATGAAACATGGCATTGAACAGCACGATAAGCACATTGCAAAGCTTTATAATCATTTCAATGCAAAATTTTACATACTATACATTTTTTTTGGCAATTTAGATATTTACGCATTTATTGATGTTTACGGGCTACTCAAAACTAGTGTCTGATTATGGCTGCTTCTTGCTTTTATTGTTTTTTATGGTTTTCTTCGTACAATATCCCTCCTATATTAGATTTTAATGAACTATGTACTTTTTCCATGTTCTTCAGTCTGTGGCGTCACGGGTAGCAGAAGAGATGGGTGTCAAACTTGGGGAAGAAGTGGGTTATACGATTCGTTTTGAAGATGTCACAAATCCGGTATGGCTCCCATTCCCACCTAAAAGTGGAATCCCTATGGACCCATTTATCTTTGGTACATGTGTCTGTAATTGATGGATTAATTTGGCACTTTTAATCATTTGTGATGATTCCATTTGATCATCGTTTTCCTTTGGCCGTTGATATTTAATAGACTTATATTCTTATTTCAGGGTGTAACCGTGATCAAATTCCTTACGGATGGTGTATTACTTAGGGAGATGATGGATGATCCTCTTTTGACTAAGTATAGGTACCAACGGAAAATTCATACACATTTATTATTATTTTTACGTGACTAATTATCTCAGATATAGTCTGAAATTTTCATATATAGTCACTTATTTTTTTCCTGAGATTTCTATTTACATTGTTTTCTTGGAAATCATTATTATCTTCATATGCTTTGACTGGGCTTTCCAGTTCATAAAAAGAGCTGTCACCAAAATTCTTATTTTGGGAATATCATCTTCGGAAATTTCTTCTGGGATCTGGGCTTTCTAAAAGGCGAGTGGCTTAGAAGTCATCTATGTAATACGTGCTTCTGTGTTTATGGGGCCAATATTTTATTAGATTTTGATAACATAGATCATGTAGAGCACGTTTTGTGATCTGTTGAAATATATCACGTAATAAATTTATATTTCTTGGTATTCGTTCGTTTCTACTTAAGCTGCACCGACAAAGGTTTTCAGATTATTCATTAGTTTTGACCCAGCTGACCAGTTCCATCATTTCCATTTTTGTATAGATCTTGGTGTTGTATTTGAACTTAATTTCAATTATGGCTTAGTTAATTCTGTAGTCTTTATTCGTGTGAAAGTTATTAAACGGTGAAAGGGGTCATTCAAAACTTATTTTTGTATATTTGATCTATCTTGAAATCCCATGCTTCTGTTATATTCTATTTTCTGAGTCATTTCTCGATTAAATACGTGCAAAGTGGAGGATTATTTCAAGGTTTATGATATCAGATAGCGTACTTCAATCAGTACAAAAAATTAGTTAAATTTAATTTGAAATAAACAATGATGATCCCTTTTTAATGAGGGACTTGACAATGTATAAGCTACAGCTCTCTATTCAACTGTCAATAAGTATGTTTTGTTCGTAACAATGTGTTTGATCAGGAATCTAGCCCATATGAAATCTAAAGTCTAGTTGGAAAAAGGTTGACCTCTGGAATTCGGTGTCTGATTATATTTGAATGACTCGAGGATGACTTGTATCTTTAGGACATTGGTTTCAACTTTCTCAAACAACTTTCAAGAAAAATCTAAATTCGCATTTACTTTGTGTATCTATTTTAAGAAAGTCCAGTGAACTACTTCTGAGATTGCCTGGGAATGTTATTGTTGATTTCAGAAATTTTGTTGTGTGATTACCTCGTCAACTTTTTTGGAAGCGACTTGTTGGAATTGTCACTGCAAACATTATATGCTCAATATGTCTGACTTACGTTTTGCTCGTGCTTCTGACCGAAGTCTGCCAACACTCCTGGCATTTTTTATATTTTTTCAAAAAAAATCCTCTGTATCATTTATCATGTACTGGTGCCAGAGTATGCATGGCAAATGAGAGATTTTGGATATAGAATGAATGGAGTAAGTATAAAAATTCAGCTAGGAAGTGCGAGATAAATAAAGAGGGAAATGACTGGATGGAACCTTATTTTTGGAATGGAGGTGAGAAGAGAGTTTGAGTAGTGTCTGGGAATCGTCACATTCTCAATCTTCGAAAGCCTAGATACATTTTGTATTTTGTGTCTTATTTTTTGCTGTCATTAATATTTTTCTAAACAATAATGAAGCACCTAGTTTACCTGTCTTTTATGTAAGAAACTACTTTTATTCTGAATCCCTTCCTGTATTACAGATGTAATGTGAGGTTCAAGTGTCATGCTTGGTTCTTCCTTTTACAGAATTAACTTTGCGGTACCTTTTTTGCGAACTGGTAAAAATAGTAGAATAAAAGGTTCTTCTTTCTGCTTGCCATTTTTCTGGGGGTGTTGGGCTGATTATGAACATATAAACATATGTTTATTGGCCTATATTTAGATTGCAGCGTTAGCTCTAGGAAAAATCATGCCTTTTTGGTCTACAGTAGTAGGAGCTATGGCCTGTATTTTAACTATCTTATAAGTATGTGGCCCTAGCATCTACGTGATCTACATTTATTTCTGTTGTTATATATTTTGTCAACATTTATCTGCGAGATGTTCTTTCTCAGGACCTGGTTGTCTGTACGATACTGCATACCAATCAACTTAGGCTTATTAACTAGTTTTTTTGTTCATCTTTTGTACCTTGCTCTCATGCCTTTTGGAAGTACACCAGATTGGTGAAATATTTCTTTCATATACTTCATTCTGATTCTTCGTAAATGTGGTGTGTAATGATAGGTTTATGTATATCATTTTTAATTTTAAAATTGGCTTTTACTAGTGTCATTATGGTGGATGAGGCCCATGAAAGATCCCTTTCTACTGATACGTTGTTGGGCCTTTTGAAAAAGGTTTGTGGTGCTGATTGACATAAAAACGTTTTTGGTTGTTTGTTCAGTTTCCTGGAAAACGGTTTTGACTGTTACATGTTATATGATTTTTTCATGAATGCACCAGGTTCAACGTCGTAGGCCTGATTTGCGCCTAATTATTTCATCTGCAACGATTGAAGCAAAGTCCATGTCGGCATTTTTCAGTTCCAGGTTCCTCATAATTTGACATGCCACTACTTCTTTCCTTGTTTAAAAAAGCATTGCAAAAGTACTTGAACTTTCCATTTGTCTCATGGTTCATTACTACTCAATGATGACATATTTTCCCTTGTAGCATCTCCTTTCTCATTTTCAGGGTTTACTAGTAATGCAAACCGTACAAGGATAAACAGTCAGGAAAAATTTCTTCTTCTTCACAAATCATAGAACAATTGCTAGTTATAGACAATTACCCTCGCCACAAAAAATGGAAGCTACCTGGGTTAAAGAAATTAACCAAGTAGGGAATTGCGCAACTAGGAAACCAACCAATGGAAACTATCATCGTTTTTCGCACAACCAGTTTCACTTTCAACTAAAAAATATTTGCATTTTGTTGTCTGTTTATACAATTTTGTATCATTTCTATGGCTATAATGCATAACACTTTTTGGGCTATGTTAACCTTTGGGTACATTTTTGGATTTTGGGCCTGACAACTTCCACGTCCAAGTTTACTTATTTTGAGGTGTGTGCACATATTGTTGGAAAAGGTAGACAGAGGGAGAATGTCTTTTGTCATGGAGGATAGAGGGGAGAACGGTGGACAGCCACCTCAAGATTCATTCACCTCTAGCACCCCTTAGGGAAAAACCCTACACAACTTTCTCAAAATACCTCTAGTCTTTTATAGTATTTCCTTACGACTTAGAACTTCCAACACATATGTTATCCTTTGAGTATGTTTTTAAGATTTTAGGGTTTAAATTTGCCACCTTCAAGTTCATTGGGAAAATGCATGGTGAGATGTGTTCATAAAATTTCACAACTTTATTGATCTGTAATCTTTCAACACTGGAAAAGATTACTGAGTAATGCCTTTAAATCTCATTGTCGTTTGTCCATGCTTAGATGGAATTCTTTTTTGTAGAAAAATGTGCTAGCATATAAATCTTTTGACTCTCTAGACCTGTGATGCGTATCCTTCTCGCTTATTGTTGAAGATAGAATCAAGTCTGGTGTACTGAAAGAACACTCCAGTGTCCGTGGAGAAAAATGTATTCTCTTATTCGAAAAGAAAAATAGTCTTACAAAATGCGTGGGGTCTGGTATTTGTAACAGACCCTAGATGGTTCTAGACTAGACACATAATGTACATAACAACTAGACCCTAGAATCTTCTAGGCACATTTATTCCGCCAACACATATAACAAAATAACGTTGGTTTTTTTATAACAAAAATACCTAATTGGCTTGTGCTTCTGATGACATTTAGCTTTGTTTTGATTCTTTTTAATTTTTTTCTGGAAACCATTATTTTCTAATTATCTGGTGTATCTCAATTCCCAAAAGTATGTTATGCCTAACATTCAATGCAGTGATTGATTTTTTTTCTTGTTTTGGTTACCATCCAGCAAAAAACGTCCGATTCAAGTCCCTGGAGATCATATACCAGAAGCAGTGCCAGCGATTATTTCTGTTGAAGTAACGTGACATTTATGATAATTATATCCTTCTCTTTCACTATGGGTTCCATAGATAATATATTTGACAATGGCTTCTACTAGGGCAAAGGGTTTCCGGTGGAGATTCATTATTCTGAGGAGTCTTTTTCAAATTATGTGGAAGCTGCTATTTCTACAGTAATTTCAATCCATAGTCAGGTAAATTGCAGCTATTAGTTTAGGTTAATGGATCAATTTCGTTGGACAAAGCAAAACTTTGTACTTTGCTGTTATGCTTTGATATCTATCATTGTTCTTGGGTACGTTTAATGCAGTGACTCCATTCTCTTGCAATTATAAATTACTCTCTCCTTGTTATGCTACTTTTCTGAATCCTCACGTGTCATGATCTCTGTTTATGTCACGGACAAGTTAAAATCTCGTTTATGAGCATTTCTGTATCTTAGTAACCAAATAAACTGATAGGTCACTGAACTAATTACAGGGCACTGATGATGGTAAGCGCACATTAGTCCTCAGATCTTAGGTAACTCATAGTTTTTGGATGCAGTTGCATCCGGATTCTCGTATCATGTGGTTTCACTGATTATGGAGTTGGCATTGCTTCATGTTATTTTCAATATGAAATGATAAGAGACCCAAAAATCTGATTTTGGTCTGATATCATTTCTTCTCACAAAACATGTGGTCAAGTTCAGTCAGTGCGGGGTCTTTTTGGATAGAGACTGACGTACTGATATCATATTTTGGATTTGAAAGTAGTTTGCATTTGAACACAAATCCAAATTTCATAGCTAATTAGATTATATGACTTATTTGGTCCTTTGAAGAATCTACATCATTTGTTTTTGATGTTATCCATTTGTTTAAGGAAAAACCTTTCATGGAATATTGATATTCTCTGACAGGAACCGGCTGGTGATATCTTGGTGTTTCTCACGGGTCAGGATGATATTGAGGCTGCTGTTAGATTGCTCATGGAAGATGGTCAAGCTCCTGAGAGTCGTTCTTCCGGTATTCTTTGATATCTTTATCTTCATTTTATCTAAAAGTAAACCAGGCCTTTGATGGGTAAAATAAAAAAGATAGCAAGAGTATCTGAATCTTTTCAGCGTTCTGCAACTAAATTATGGGTGCTGGGTTTCTATTTAAAGGAATTGATATACATAACACATTGCAAATTTTTGTGAAGTCCATTTGCAGTCTTTATTATTCTAGAAAACTACGTGGAGTATTCTACCATAGTATAATATCCGAATCCTATCCTCTCCCTGCGATTTCCGCCACCATAATCACTTGCACAAAGGTGCAAATGCTGATCTATCTTTGTACATGGAGAATTTCCAGTTTATATTGATCCGGGTGTAATTTTAGCAAATGCAAGAAGTGGACCTGTGATTTTTCCTATTTTCTTTCTTGTAGTTAATCTCTCTCTCATGTTTGTTATATCCCAAGTGTCCCAAACTTTTTGGCATTCTGTTGGTTATCATACTTGGCAACTTTCTTTGTAGAATTTCTTTATAATTGTGTGGTCAACGATATTAAAGTAATGTTGGGTTTGACTTTTTTATGCTTCGCACCTAGGGTTGCTGATACTGCCTTTGTACTCTGGGCTTCCTCGTGCTGAACAGGTCAGTAACAGTCATGTTCTAACATTATATTCTAAATCATGAAATATACCTGTGGAATTGTTACCTTCATTTGTTAACTTCCTAGGATCTTGTGTTTTCTCCAACTCCTAAAGGAAAGAGGAAAGTCATAATATCTACTAATATTGCAGAGACTTCATTAACTTTGGAGGTAACTGCGGTCCATTTCTATATCATTAAATGGTAAATCACCTCCTTGTGTGTTTTCTAATCTTACATTGACGTATTTGTTTCAACCTGCAGGGTGTAGTTTATGTTGTGGACAGTGGGTTCTCAAAGCAACGTTTCTACAATCCGGTATTTTCTGTTAAATATTTCTTTTCCATTTTTGTAATCAAAATAGTTGGAATCTGTAACCTTCATTCGCAGAGCCGTTTTCTGTGGTTTCCCTGATCAAACTATGAGTTAATAAGGAATCATGCATAGCACTGAGTAGGGAGCCACCGAATATTCCTTGGTATATTTTGTGCAGTACATGGCTTAGCTTTTTGGACTGTTTCTGATTATTTCTAGATATAAAATTGACCACTATATATCGGGTAGGAGGTGAACACAGTCGGATGAAGTGGATGTTGAATTTAAATGGAAAGTTCTTTTTTTAGACATGAGGGTTGTTCGACTGATGTAGTCTTCTTTTGGTTTCTTAAATGTTAAAAGAATTGATGACTATCATCGTGGAAGACTAGAGCATAGATGTATCTACATCATCTTGATGTGATCTGTTGCTCTTGTACATTAATCTTTTCGAGAGCTAATTGTGAGCACACTGATGTATCCTGTGTTTCTTTATTATACTAGATGAATTTCTAATATTATCCATTTCAAGAAAAAAGAGGATTGTGAATGTAATGATACTACTGGTTTGCCTCCATTTTTTAACTCATGTTTTGTTAGCGCCATCTTTGCCAAGATGTTGGACATCCTCTAGCCAACAAGGCAATTAATTAGTGCTTTAGTATTTCAGATCTTCGACTGTTTTAGATGACTTTTGTGCATCTGTGTTTGATGTATAACTGTTCTATATCACGGGTGCAAATTAGATAGTTCTGTATTATAACCTTTTATTTGTATCTAACAGATAACACATGAATGAGAAACATTTATTATAGGATTCCTGTTCATTTTTCTTAAAATTTATGAGGTTCACTTTTTTTATTGCCAAAACTAGAGTCTATCCTTGGGTGGAAAAAGAGTTCTTGTTTGGCAGGGTATTTAACCATCTTTTGGTGTCCTCTCTTGATTCACCAAAAACGTGTCGGTTTTCTTTATATGGTTGCATTGCAAAAGGACTCATTTATTTAATAATGTCGCGATATTCTGAGTTTAATTCTAATTTACTATCCGGTTTTCAGTCTCTTCCATTTTAAGTGCAAAGTTCTCTCTTTTTATAATTTACTTAATTGTAACTAGGAAATAAGGATTACATTTGGATGCTCACTATGTACAGATTTCTGATATTGAGAACTTGGTGGTAGCACCGATATCCAAAGCATCAGCAAGACAAAGAGCTGGGCGAGCTGGTCGAGTACGACCAGGGAAATGCTTTAGGTACGTGAAAGCTGCTCTGATTTAACAGTATCGTCTTTACTGATCGGTCTGTGGTTGGGCCTATGTTGTGCAAGTCCGAAGCCCATTGGTTTTGGATAAATTTCTACCTAGTATTACCCTTGCTAAATGATTGATGGAGTCACCTCTCAGTTAAATTAGTCTGTTTCTGTGAAGTTGCATACCATTCATGCATGTCTGATGCTCGTGTGTAATTCATGTTCAAGACCATAATTATATATTCCGGTGTGTCCAATGGTGGAGATTATGTGATGCATAAACGTGTTGCCCAGGAAGGATAGCCATTCCTTGATGTGTGTCCAGTGGTCAAAGTTTCCGCATTTTTGGATAAATGGCACCAAACTAATAGGTCTGAATCGCTCTTTGGTTTCATTCAGTGTTTAAAGTTGTGCTGAATTATTGGTGGCAATCGGCCAGGTTTTGTTCCTGGAAGATGCATCTTTGGTAAACCTTTTTGCTTCTCGGTGAGGTTGTTCATTATCAAAGATCTATTGTCAAAATTCGTGACGCCATGCTTGTGTAAGTGAAAATCTATGATTGTGTTGACCATTATTTCTTAATAGGGCGTTCATTTTAGCAGTTATTTCCGTAAGAGTTACACTCACCTAGAGACATGTAAAGAGTAGTTACCATACTTCCCAAATTTATTCCCAAATGATGTAGCTTTATGGATATAGATTGGAAAGTGGTTGTAAAGAATACAGTTGATGGTTCTATGTAGATTGTCTAAGCTGAAGATTTCAGGTTGGATGAAGGTTTTTTGCTTCAAACCACAGTAGTAATTAGGTATTGGGCCGAACAAACCTTCCTTACACATGCTTGACTTATGGACATTGAAAAAGTGCGTGCATGCTCTCTTGGGTCTCATTCCTTTCGCCAATGGTATTTTTTCTCCTTTTTTGGAATGAAAAGTGGGAGTCGCTCTCAATTTTCTTAGATAAAAATATAGCTAATATATCAATATTTTAGGTAAAATTACTTCATAAAACCCATCATGAAAAGTCACTTCGTAAAAGTATGATAGAGCCTTTATTTAACAAGAAGTTTTATGAAATAAATTTTCTACCCTGATCGGTGACATCTCGGAACAGTCTTCGAGATTATGGTTCTGTGCAATGAAAGCAACATGGCAGTATTGGGAAAGCAGTAATTCGCGAGATATATCAGAAAATTTACCACACATTGCACACCTGAGACCCTATGTAGAAAAATTCGTCATGACTGCTGGTGAGAATATGGAAATTATTTATTATGCTTTTTAAAAAACAAAAAAATTGTTACCCATTTTCTCTCGGAAGGTATATAAAGAATACCTTTATTTTTTTTTCAACATTTACGATTCATTCTTATTTGAATTTGTTAGTTTTAGTTTTTGATCATCTTGTTACTTTCCTAATCTATGTACATCTTTAACAGGCTATATACTGAAGAGTATTTTGTAAAGGAAATGCCTAATGAAGGAATACCAGAAATGCAAAGATCAAATCTTGTTTCTTGTGTAATTCAGGTAAGGATTATGTAGGTCTAGTTTTACGTAATCACAGTTTTATCCTTTGAAATAAGTGTTAAGTATTTAGATGAATGATGACTTTATTTTAAATCCTTCTGGGGCATGAATGAGTGTTAATTTATCGGACTGTATTTCAGCATTTCCACAGAGTAACCTGGAATTTCAATGCCAACTCCAAGGACAAAACAGAAAATGATCTTTCATTTAAGTTCCCCCAATTATCCTGCTTAATTATGTTTCATTTTTATATTGATTCACATTATTCACTTTTTTTCTTGTTATTTGTTCATCAACAAAATATTGATGAGAAAAATATATTGCAATATTTTTAATGTGCAGCTAAAGTCCTTAGGGATAGATAATATTCTGGGGTTTGATTGGATATCACCTCCTGCACCAGAGTCGATGATTAGAGCTCTTGAGGTCCTCTACTCACTTGGAGTACTTGATGATGACGCAAAGCTAACAACCCCTACTGGTTTTCAAGTTGCAGAGATTCCTTTGGTATTTATTTTTATTCTATTTTTATGCATAGTTTTTCTATGTGTAATTTGGTGATGGAGCTCTTTGCGGACTAATGTGTGCGTCTACATATTGATTATGTTGATTTTTTTTTATTTGCCTTTTTCTAATTATGGAGAAATATTGATTTTTTTTCTTTGACGGCATCAACTACTCAGAAGAATGGTGTTTGTGCGGTTCCATTAAATTAGTGATCAAAAGCTGGGGTACAATGACATCACTTTATGCAGATGATAAATTGGTTTTTTCTGTAGAAATAATTTCGGTGACTGCTTCTGAGGCAGAACGGCGGTAAGGTAGTGATTGATATGAAAGGTGCAGAAGTTGAGAAATGGCTTGTCACTAATGAGAAGAACAGAGTAGGTCTTGATTTCTGTGTTTGATCTTTCGAGAAATACAACTGAGCAAAAATTGACCCGTAGATGAGGATGATTTGATAAGAAAAACAGAGGCAGATGTGTTCCTCATCTCATTTTGGAAAACAATTTGGGACAGCAGAGTCCGAATGATCATAGAATTGGCAGAATTTTTTTACTGCGAGGAACAGGTAGAATCTTTACTCGGAAACAAGATTATCCGGTGTTGGCTGAGGGTAAATTCTCCCATAAGTGGAATATAATATTTTATTGTGGCAACATTTGGTGATCTGACGGGGGGACGGGGTAAGCATACGTATCATGATGATTCTGAATATTTGGTACAGATCCAGGCTTTGTTGTATATATGACAATATTTCGCGAAACCAGATGCTCTTTTGATTGCTTTAGGATGAACTTGTGCAACCAGCTTGGCCTTATGCGAACAGGCAAGAATGATTGCTCGAAAGTAGAATGTGCACGTCAGAAACATTGATTCTACATCTTTCCTTCTTTGGTGGGATGTTATTAAACCCCGTAGCTATAAACAAAGCAAATGGGAAATGGCTAGAAATTTCTAGATGCAGGGCCATTGCCTGCCAAAACATGGAGATTGACATGGGGAAAGGAATATTGAAGCAAAGTGTGGCAGCTGCGTGTGGTGACAGTTAAAAAAGGTAAATAGAAGAGAGTTGATCGACGCGGACTACCCTTAGAGTGTAAGGGTATTTATGTCCTTGTATTTTAGTCATCATAGTTGTTTTACGTCCGCAATCGTCATTATACTCAACTAATTGGTCTTAATTTTACCATACTTTTTTTGGAATGTGGTGTATTTATTTCCTCTGCCCACTCATAGAATTCTGAATTCTTTTAAGAGGAGGCAGTCTTGAAAACTTACCTACCAAAGCAACGTTTTGGATTGCAAGACCTTATTTGCTGAGCGTTTTGAATGTGCTGGATTGGATTTAATTCCATTTACTGACGATGTCTCTTAACACCTTTTATATCTAGCATCAGACTTTCATTTTTCTTGGTTTTTTGGGTCGTCGTTGTAAATTTTAGGTAATAACAATGGAGAACCTGTTTCAGGACCCAATGATATCTAAAATGATATTGTCAGCAAATGAATACGGATGCTCTGAAGAAGTCATAACCATAGCGGCAGTTTTGTCTATTCAGGTGAGAATTACTGCCTTGGCCTTGTCATGCAAAGTTCTATTTCACAGAAAAGGCTGCTCAAATTTTTTCTTGAATTACGATAATCATTACTTGTATTTTTTTGACAAAATGACAACATCCTCCATTGCAGTCTATCTGGGTATCTATGAGAGGAGCACAGCGAGAGTTAGATGATGTCAAGCTGCGATTTGCCGCTGCTGAGGTTTTGAAAGAGGACTTAATCTCCTTAATTTATGCGAATGTAAAATCCAGGGAATGCTACTTCGGCATGGTTGTCTCCAAAAGGCCTTGGCCAATGTCCATTCAGTGAATTTAAATTAAAACGAAATATGCATAAAACTAATAATTAAAAACGACTGTAAAGAGTCAGCTAGAGGAAAATTCATAAGGAATAACTTTCAGATTTATATTTTGATTTTTACTTGCAATTTAAAAACCTGATAGTGGAAAATATATATTGGAATAGGGGTATCAAAGAGGAAAAAAATTAATGAATTTGGTTTCCCCCCCCATCTCTACAGATAAGATGTCTGGTTCGTCTGCCTTAATTGCTTCTTTATTTTGCCAAGACGTGCTGCCTTTTACCATTATATATTTTTTTATATTTTCATAAAATCATTTCGATGAGCATTTGGGAATACTCTTTATGGCAGTCGAGTTCCTTCATGATTAGCCCAGACATTGTTACTTTTTTTTGGCCTATCACAGGGTGATCACATTACATACCTCAATATATACAAAGGATTCCTCAATTCTGGGAAATCTCCTCAGTGGTGCCACAAAAATTTCATTAATTACCAAGCCATGGTGCGTATTAATTTGGCTGACGGTTTTATAATTACATAAGAAACCGTCGTTTCCAGTTTTCTATAGCATCAATTTCTCATTTGCTTTTCTTCTAATGGAAATGATTTATATTACTGTCGCAGAAGAAGGTTCTGGAGATTAGGGAGCAACTCATCAAACTGCTGAAGCGGCTTGGGATGATTCTGAAGTCATGTGAGAAAGATACATTGGTAATCATTCTCTCCATTCAACTTTCGTTTTCCTCAAAAATATGATTGAACTGATTGTAGTCATTCCGTCTATTTTTAGTCCACAACTTAAGTCTCTTTATTTTGGCTTCCTTAGAAAAGAAAAAATTATGCATTCACGTAATACTCATTCCCGGAATTAACCAAATCTTAAAAATTTCAGACAATGAAGAATTTTTTTTGATGTGGGAAAATCCATTCGAAAAGAAATACCATATGCCTTTTGGGTGACGGCTGATGTTCTGGTGATTGAATGGTAAGGTATGACGGGTGTCACAAGACTAAGAGGGTTAAAGAAGCATATTGCTATCCTTTCTAGAAAATGAGTGATTGCACCGGGTGATGTTTCTGTAGGATCCTCTATTTGACTGTATTTAAGGAAATAATATGAAATGTGTGTGACACCCGTCTTCATTTTTCTTAGTCAGGATTCTCTTCCAGCGTCTTGGCAAGCACAAAAGGCTGCAATGAGTCATCTTGGTTTTGACAAAGGGGATGCATTGCTACCTTTGGTTAAAAGAAAAATTAGAGGAAAGTTCAATATTTTCAGTCCCTGAAGTCTAACTGCCTAGGGTATGCTTACTGATCCCAGGAGACATTGACGGCACTATCCTTAAATCTGATTAGCAGATAGGAGGGAATCAGAGATATCTCTTTTTATGATGGACAATCTCTTCCCTCACTTTTTCCCTCAAACATGGTTTAAAAAACTGGTTTTAAATTTGAACATGTTATGATATTTTATGTAACAGTTTTTGACTCGTCATTCTATTTTTTGGTAAGCAGTCTTAGCTATAGTGGCCACTATTTCTGTACAGCTGTTTGGAGTCCCATATTTTCACTTGAATTTTTTATAAGCTCGTTGCCTGAATGAAGAAAATATGTTTTTTACTTTGTTCCATCTTTTTAACCATGTGCATATATCGACAGACGCATGTGAATAACTTCGTAGAAATGCATTTCCTAAGATGCGCTTCTAATGAGAAAGGATAAGCTTTGAAACTTCTTTTCCATTACTGCCTTTCTGAAACTCTTTACATGATTTAGTCTAATGTACACACTCTGTTGTTTCGGAAGTTTGAGAATTTGTATCTGTCTTTTTCAATACTTCTGGTGGCATCCCACACCCTAACACTTGCAGTTCTCATTATTTCAGGCCATAAGGAAAGCCATTGTTGCAGGATTCTTTGCCCATGCTTGCCGTTTGGAAGTGAGTAATACCAGGAAATTGCTACCCTTTATTTGTTTCCAGTTGCTTTTTATCAGACTTGTATGTAAAGTTTAATTTTCGACGCTAATCATTTACAATTATTTGTTTTTCAGAATTTTACTCCAAAAGAGCTAGTGTTATAGACTCTTTAAATCTGTGTACCCTTCTTATTTTAAATTTGGAAACGAGTACTAAACATTTGATTTCATTGCATAGTTCTTATGGTTTATCGCGTCATATTTAATACGTAGCCTACCAAAATCTGAGCTCAGTTCCTCCGACATTTGCTTGTTAAGGGTGAATAGGGTTTGATTTTTTAAAAGTTATTATCTGTAAATCATTTTAAGGTAAAGTTCCAAATTTAGACAAAACTAATTCTAATAATATTTATATTTACATACAGTCCTGACTGGCATTAATGTTTAGTAACATGCTCCAATTTGAACCAAGAGAAATCTCACCACATTGTGTGAGTTCGAGCTTGGAGGCCCTGGGTCTTCATTTTCCTGAAAAAAGTATTTAAATTACTTGTTCTGGTTGAATAAGTTGCAAATCAGGAGATTAAATTGTGCTTTTTGACAATCGTGCAATCTCATGCCTTTGGTTCCAACCCTCTAGTCCTGCTGTTTGGGCTTCAGCTCTAATGTCCACTTTCTTAATGTCATTTAGAGCCCTTGGATGGCTCGTCCCTTAATGGCTGTTGAAGAGGATCTTTTATTGGGTTGTGAAGATTTTATCGTATGTTTTAAAAGACGCCATTAAAACTGTGTGAGAAAAAGATTCATGTTTGTTGAAACTCCAGCATAAGGTTCATACTGGTCAATTCCAATTGTTACACATATTCATGGAGATAGATGCTTTCGATAATTGGCACCATTTCCCAAAGCTATTGGGCGTTGAAATCATCATGTGATGAATCCCATTAATTTCTGAGGATGTAGAGTGTTTCAGATTCTCGCCCATCCTGTGAGTTTCTAGATACAGCATGATCCCAAGCAATAATGAGAATTAGGTTTACAGTTGCCGCATTTTTCTGAGTTGGCTATCGCTTTCCTTTCTAGCTCCGATGCTTTCTATGTTGTTTCTACAGACATTCGGCCAGAATGGCATGTACAAGACCCTCAGAAGCTCCCAAGAAGTGCACATCCACCCATCCTCTGTGCTATTCAGGCAAGTTTAGGGTATCGTGATCGTTACCGTTGAGCTTTATTTTATGATTATGGAACCGTCGTATGCATAACAACTGAATGCAACCATGACCGTCAATGCCCATTAATGATATTTCCTGAAAATGCTTCTCTTAATATATTTTTTCTAAATTAGAGGAAGAAAGATATGAAGTTGACGGCTGATCTTCCTCCTGTGCCTGTTTCTGCTGCTGTCCTGGCAGGGTTAACCCGAAGTGGGTGATCTACAATTCCATCGTCTCAACTGATAGGCAGTACATGCGCCATGTTCTTGCCATCGACCCATCTTGGCTCACGGAAGCTGCCCCTCACTTTTACCAGCTCCAGAAGCCCTATCCTGCCGCCTACTGATCTTCTAGGAGAGCTGGGCTGGTTTGGCGATAAACAAGTTTGGATTTTTAAGGTGTTTCTCGATTTCATTCAGCGGAGGTTTTGTCTCGATGGATGACGTTTTTATGACTGCAAGAATATTGAGAACGCGTTAATGCGCCGCGCCCCTTAGACTTTCCATTCATTATTATCTTTTAATATGGCAATATTCCATTTATTTAAATGACAAGGATGCTCTTCTGTACGGGGTTGACCCACCAACTGACCATTTTCCATATTTATTTATTTGAGTGGTGGATAAAGAAATGATGGACTATACAGTTTATAAAGGTGCCGCCTTTGTTACTGGTTTGGTGGTTTGACATCTGCAGCCCGTGATTTTGAACAAGCCCGCCGTGTGTGTTCGTAGGCCAAGTCCTCCGGCTAACCATCTCCGGATTTAGCCTCAGTCAGGCTGCCGACAAGGCCGCTGGGTCCCATCCGTTAGCCGCCGGAGGATGGAAGAGGGGACCAATGGTCGTCTGCAAGCCGTGGATTAAAACGCTGGGCCATCTATCTACTCCGCAATTGTTTGTTCTCAGTCGCTCGCCCTCGGTATGGCGCGCACGAAGGTAGCGCTGCGCTCCGTCATCGCTCCGCTCGTCGTCGTGATACCGCTTCTGCTCCTCGCCGCGCACGGCACGCATGGCCGCCAGCTCCTCGCTGCGCCTGCCAATTTGGCCTCCGATGGGATCTCACCGCGGGAATCCGATGTCGGAGCGGTCCTGCGAATGTGGAGACATTCTGCAGTCTCCGGGGACAGCTCGTGCGAGCAGTCCTACGGGGTGCTACCCTGCACGACCACGGTGCTGGGGAATCTCTTCCTCCTGCTGGTGTACGGGTACCTGATGTTCCTGGCGGCCACCTACATGTCCAATGGCAGCGAATTGCTTCTCGAGATCCTCGGACCCGGCATCATCGGCGGCCTTTTCCTTCCGGCGCTCGGCGCCCTCCCCGACGCGATCCTTATTCTAGGCAAGCTGGCCCGCTCCTCTGCTTTTCTTTGCTCGTCTTCCTCCAGCTGATTCGCCCCCGGGGTGCCGCGTTTTAGCTTCCTGAACTTCGTTTTCCTTCGTGGGCCCTCGTACTTTCCATTTCTAAGCGTGCATTCCCGACAGATTCGACAACTGTTTGGGGAGTATCTTTTCTTCTGACCGTTTCTGCGTGATTTTTCTTTCTGGGTAATTTCTTTTTCGGGTCAGATATTAATCTGGTCGGTAATTAGCTTGGGTTCCCCTAATCAGGGGCAGATCTTGTGTTTTTTCATTACTTTTTGAGGCAGATATTTATTCTGCACAGGAAATTACCATCCCTCTCGGATTTAGTCCTGCAAAAGCCTTTTCCCCTTTGAATCGTTTGCCGAAAGCTTCTAAGCGTTGGCCTCGGAAAAGGAGAAGGAAAAAGGGTTCTGTTGCTGATACCGTCGCCTCTTACTCTGATTAAGAAGTCAAGGCAGCCGAGACGTAGATCTGATCCAATAAGTCACCGAGCTTCTTGTGTACGAGAGTGACGCCGGTTTCTACAATTAATCTGCAGAATTCCGAACAGTTCATCAAGAAAATTTCGATTCTAAGCGTCACACGTAAAAGCCCGAGAGCCTTTTCACGAGAAGTCCTTTTGATATCGTGTCAAAAGCACCACATCCGTCGTAGAAATGCAGACCAGAACATGACTTGATCATCCATGGCTGCCTATGCACACTGAATCGTCATTTATATGAGCTTATCATTTCATAAGTCGTTTTCTACTCGATCAGTGATGGTTAAACACATATCCGCGGCTGTTCAACCGGAGAGATTCTTTGTTTGGAGGAAGGGGGATTCCACCTGCGGTTGGGACGTTAGGTGGGGGACACACCCGTCTGTCCTTGGCAGATTGACAAATTCGATGAGGCGATCCACTTATTGTTCTGCATTCGGGTCACATTAGACGAAGGAACAGTTTGTTCTGCATGCGGCTGATTGTGTTTGAAGATTTTGGCCTAAATGACATGTGTCGGACAGGGTTGGTCGGTAGCAAGTGCGGCCGGATCATCAATGAAAGCTGACGACGACACAAAGTGGTTGATCGCCTCACCATGGATCCACCACAAGCTACTCTTGCCGTTTCCCATCTCCGCATTTGTTCTTACTCTATTTATATGGGCTGTCTCAAGCCGTTCTGAGTATTGGTGCTTAAGTATGATCTTGGACCGCTGGTGCAACAACAGGTTGAACACGTCACTTGTCAGTCAGTTGCCAACACCATGTGGCTGTCCTGTCCATTTATCGGTCGGTTATCAAAGAAAATGGTAATTTAATAGTGGGTCGAACAGTTATCCTCTTCTCCTGCTGGCAAACCAATAGGTTCCTTTTTCGATTCCTCACCTCTAAGGAAACTATTTAACCGAAGTTATGTGGAATGGAAACCTTCAGGAATGGTCCTTGCTAGTCATGCTGACTGCAATTTGGTCTCCTCTCGTCTCCTTATATTTTTTTAATTAAAATTTCCTTGAATTATCCGCCTTGTTCACACATTATGTTCATATCAAATGATCTCAATATTTTGGTATTCAAAGCATTTATTGAACGACTCGTGTATATCTTTCTTGATGGCAAAGTAATGTTTTCCTCTTGTATTTGTTAATATTCCGATCACCAGAAAGGCAACTCACGTTCGGACGGTATGTTCTATACAGTTTCTGGACTCTCTGGAACTAAGGAGACTGCGCAACAGCAGGTCTTGATTGGGATGGGCTTGCTTGCCGGCTCAACTGTCATGCTTTTGACAATACTCTGGGGCTCCTGTGTTGTTGTTGGCAAATGTGATCTTTCTGAGAATTCAACGGCAATTGATTCCCAAAACACCAGAAAATTCAGCCTATTTGGTATACTCCTCATTATATTTGCTCTTGTTTATCGTTCATATAGACTTCGTGCATGCGTGAGAATCATACGCTAATTTATGAGATATGATCGCACTCCGAAATTATTATTTTATCTGTGTATTTGGGTTTCAGGAATTGACAGAAAGGAATTCTGTTTTGAAAAACTGTGGGGTGGTTTAAAGTTTCTCACCGGGAACGTTTAAAACAGCCAGGTCTAATCTGATACAACTAAAACACATAAGATGAATAGAAAATGGCTTTCCAGTTCTCGTTAAGATGATTTTCAATCCTTGATCTTTTCACCTCCCTGTCGCATGAACTGTCAGGACCCCCTGTCTATATCTCTCGTATGTGAGATGTGTGTCTACAGAAGAAGCTTAAGGTAGATCTTATATTCAAAAGAGAGGCTAAATGCAGGAATCTACCGGGAAAAGCAAGAATGGCTCTTGTTAGATACTCTTTCTTTGATTTTAAATCTCTATAAGATGACTGGAAGGCCTTCTTTGGATTTCTAGTTCCGTTTCTAAATTCTAGTGATTTCTACAATCTCCGAAATCTGAATGTTTTGCTTATGACGAACAAACCCCGTGCGAACGCTACTTAAAATAAGCGTTAGATATTTTGCCATCTTGACTTTACTGATATTCCTATTTGTTTTTTTTTTTTTGAAACGCTGAATAGGTTCTGGGATCTCTACTGACATTCAGACCAGCTACGCCGCAAGGATCATGATCATCTCTGTTGTCCCATTTATCATCACGCAACTGCCGGCGATTTTCAAATTCTCCTCTGGAAACCGATTGACAGTCTTGATTGCCCTCATTGTTTCCATTGGTCTTCTCATTTCTTATTGCCTATATCAGGTAAAGTCCGATAAACAGTAATCATGAGGGCGTAGCTGATCCGATAAACAGTGATCAGTTGTCCGATACAGCATGAGACTATCATTACCCATTCTGATCTAGTCATTACGTGAACTAGATCCTTGATGGGAAAATGCTTTTTCCATTGTCTTCATCTCTGATTTTATAGTTTCTGGAGAGGTTACCAAGCCATCCAACTAAAAACTCTACCAGCTGTAGGCTTAGTGTACCAATCTTTGTAATCGCTCTTTTCTCATTGTACCAACCAATGGAAAACTGTTCTCTGTCAACTAGTAAAACACGAGACTATTCTCTTCACTAACAGGTTTTTTTTTTCTAGTATAATCAGAAAATTGTTCTCCTTCGCCATCACCTGAGTTTCTGCATGCATCATAATTCATATACGACAGCATTATCTCTTCAGGAAAGCAAAACCATCTATATTTGATTCGGAGCAAACCCATGTTAGAGAGCAGATTTTTTTAATCACTCTGGAAAGAAAAAGAAAAAAGGGTCTTTCCTAGATCAATGCGACCTCATGCATGTCCTCGAATGTGATTCAGGTTTTCCAGCCGTGGATCCAGCAGAGAAGGCTGGCATATGCTAAACGAAAGCACATAATATCCGGAATACTGATAGCAGCGCAGAGGAGGGCCCTCGGCCGGCTTTTGTACGATGATGGTTCACCTAACAAAGATGTCATTGAGAAGTCGGTGTTCCTTTTTCATCACAGAAGTTCTTAGTCCTGTCTAATAGCTATCGTGCCTGAACCATGTATAACACCTCCATGTGATTACAGGATATTTCACGCTGTAGATGAGGACAAAAACGGGTCTCTTTCTCACTCTGAGTTAAAAGCCCTGGTCGTCGGTATCCAGTTCGAAATGATGGACTTGACGAGCGCTGACGACGCTGCGGAGAAAGTTATGAGGGATTTCGATACGTCAAATGATGGAAACATCGATCAAGATGAATTCGTAAGGGGCATGTGCAAGTGGCTTGATGAGGCCAAGAGCTCGGTCTCTAACTCTCAAAATTACTCTAAAAAGTTCTTCGACGACTTCCACGCGGTAAGCCACGTTGTGATTTCTGTATTTTTTCGCTTGTGATATTTAGAATGTGCTTCCATGAGATTTCCAAGGATACCTGTGCAGAGAGCCACAGAAGAACACAGCTTGCTGCAGGACAGGGGCGATGAAGCTGTAGAGAGCGTTGACGATGCTAACTGGATAACCTTTAAGGCTGTGTTGCTGTTGCTTCTTGGTGCGGGGATCGCGGTTCTATTTGCTGATCCTCTCGTCGATGCTGTCGACAATTTCTCGGATGCGACGGGCATACCGTCGTTCTTCATATCATTCATTGCGATGCCATTGGCGACTAATTCCAGTGAGGGTGTGTCGGCCATCATCTTTGCCAGCAGGAAGAAACAAAGAACATCTTCGTTGACATTCTCCGAGGTTTGCTTGCTTCATGCCTTCTATACCTGGTGCTTGATTAGCATTACTTGTGCGGCCATGCCTGGTTGCAATGGAAGCTCTTCAGTCTCTTGTTGAATTCCATCGGTTCATATTCGATTTCTCTATGCATGTTTATACATTGCAACCGGAGACATTAGTAAATAATATATATATTTGTTAATAGTTATTCGATCATCATTTCCATCTTTGGGCATATTCTGCTTTACAATAAGTTAGCAGCGGATTTTCTGGAAGAAGTTGAGCTGATCCTGTGCTCATGCTGCTGCAGATCTATGGCGCGGTAACCATGAACAACACGCTTTGCCTCTCTGTGTTCCTGGCAATCGTCTACATCCGGCATCTAACCTGGGACTTCTCATCCGAAGTGCTGATAATTTTGATCGTTTGCATTGTAATGGGTCTCGTGGCAAGCTTCCGCAGGACCTTCCCGCTGTGGACGTCCTTCGTCGCTTTCCTCTTATATCCCTTGTCCCTGGTGCTCGTCTACGTTCTTGACTATGTCTTCGGCTGGTCATAGACCGCCCTGCCCTTCCTCCTGCTAATGCCGCTTCGTTCCGTCTGCGTGGCTATCCTTGTGCTCCCATGTCCTGCTCCATGGCGCGCTGTGTGGGCTTTCGTCTGTGTTTTTGGCGTCGGATTGGAGTTCCAGTTCGCCTTTAACTCATTCCATTTTGCTGTCGTGTAATGGATCCGTATCGTAAACAACAAATAAGAGTTGTTGATCCTTGTGTAAATTTTAAATTCTTGTGATCTGCAGTTGTTCCTTCATCGGAGCGTATATTCTGACCAGCTATGAACATGAACATACTCTTATTCCTCGCGTGTTTCCATTATACTTTAGCTGCACTGGTCTCTCGAGCCATGGATTTCAGAGAAGTTTTGTTATGCGAAGCGCGAGAATCATGCCCTCGGAATACCTTCCCCAGGACAGCTTCTTCCCCAGGCAGATGCCATGAGGAGAGGGTTTCTCCCGTAGGCAGTTGCTATGGTCATCTGCGGCTTCTGTCTCTACCGCATCCCCGAAGAATTTCCACCTCCACCTTCCTCGGGTGCTATTTCCAGAGCTCGATTGGGCCTGTTGTCTGTTCCGATGATTGCATGGACTTGGGATCTTTGATGGAATGGGCATTAGTTTCAAACTGAGTGGGCGATCAAGGTACAGGCCGAGACGACAGCCCGCCAGGAAGAGGAGAGAAGCGGAACTCCGGATCTCAAGAATCTTCCCCTGCTCGAGAGAACAGGTGTAGCAGGAGCAGAAGCTCCCTTCGAAGAAGACAAGCGTCACGATAAGCAAAATGGAATCAATCTGCGTTATTTGGCCCGAATCCCTCCCACCTGCAGCTTCGCGAGGAAAATTGAATGCTCGTGAAGCCTCGGGTTCCTCCACTTTCGCCGGGGCTCTCACAGCTTCAAGCGTAGATCGAGGTGATCCTCAGCCTCGCCGCGTTTCCGTTCTTCGGATGTAGTCTCATGGCTATCCCGGCTCACGGGCAAGAAGGTGTAAAACGGGCGCTTGTCTGAACCTCCGAACCTCAAGAGGCCTCCATCTCCGTCTCCCTGCAGATTCATTCATTCATCGGAAGAGGGTATTCGGAATGCGAAGGAGGTCATGAATGGAGAAACCGAGATCACGGCGACTCACATGATATTCGGCGGCCGGTTGCATGAACATGGAACAAGAAGCAACCGAGGTGGACGAACAGAGGCTGAGAAAACCGACGTCGGGGGAAGCTGGGAGAGCCACTTGAAATGCGCCAGAAGAGGGAGGGCCCTCTCTGATGGACCATTCAGGTGGTGGCAGTGAGCTCTTGAGGCGATAAATATCCGACATTGATAAAAGGAAGAACCGGTGTTCTTAGGAGCGAGAGCGTTAACAGTACCTTGAATCCGGGGATTCACGTTTGAGCTTCAAGATGCTGTGTTCGACGGTGGACTTGCTGCTGCGTCCGCCGGCGCTGTGGAAGGAGCTCACAAGCGAAGGGGATTTGAAAAGCAGGGGGGAGTTCTCCGGCTGGCTGTCGAAAGGAAAGGTCCGAGGACGCTTCACGCCGATGATCTATACTACATTCTAACCAGGCACATAATGAGAAACCGTGGGAGTAGAAACCATGAGATCTCGGTAGAGAGAGAGAGAGAGAGAGAGAGAGTTAAGATATGGGCGTGATGAAATTGAGGAAGAAAGCGGAGAGTTTGAAGGGTCACGTGGTCGCACCTTCCCATCCTCAGGCGTTCCGAGGTTGATGATGCTGGTTTGGTTTGAAGGGGGCTCCATCTGAAGATTGACTCCAGGAAAGAGAGGTAAGAACGACGAATTTCCCTGGAGGAACGTCCGCTGCAGCGTCAGAGAAACGGCAGAGGAAGAGGAAGGGTAGGAACGGAGAAATTGCTGGGAAATGGCGGACCGATGATGAATCGAGCAGTTCATTTTCGCGGAGGTGCTGATGATGCTGGTGCGGCCGTGGCTGCCTCTGCGGGGGCCCTGAAGACCGCCATACGGGGTCGGAGAGCTCATTCTCCGGGGTAAAGGAGAGGTCGAAGGTCTCGCCGCCCGTCTCAGCGTCTGAAGGCTTGATGTCGAAGGAATTCCGAAGCGGGGGCAAGAGCTCGAGGGTTCCCATCGTCAACCCATGTGAGAGAAGAGGCGGCGCGGGGATCTGCAACTGAGAGAAGGGATCGGAAAGAATCGGCATGGAAGGGGCTGTGGAAGAACTCGGATTCGAGACGCGCGCCATCGGGGGAAGGGGTATGACTTGGCCGGGAGAGAAGGACACAGAGGAAGAAGACACATTAGCGAAGGAGGCGGCCGCACTCCGGTGCTGCTCTTCGAGTCTGATCTTCTCCAGCTGGGCGACACCAAGTCCACGCTGAGGGATCTTCCTCTTCTTAGGATTCTTGACGGGTCGGCTCCGTGCAGGCTCTGCGCCGCCGCTGCCAGCCGCAGAAGGTCTGGTACTGAAGACATCAGTACAACTGCTGAAGGTCTGGTGCTGCCCCCCGCCCAGTACCATCCTCAGAGGTCGAAGTTGACCATGTACCAAGAACTGGCTGCGTGGAGCGTTTAGTCTGGAACTGGGGGACGATTCTAGGGAAGGGGGATGAATCCAATGAAATGCCAAATGCCAATGTTTGAGAGATAGAGAGAGAGAAACAAGGGAACTTGGAGGCAAAATTCAGAGAGCCATCATGTCAGCTCGGTTGGGAACTTACTGATGCACGACGATGAAAGATCAGAACAGAACAAGAACCTTCGAATAAATGTTCGACTTGAGATCTGGTACGAACCGGTAGTCGTCCGAAGATCCTTCCGGAACCGGCTAACAGCTACTAGGCTTGAGGAGAAGATTGATGTTAGAGAGAGAGAGAGAAAGAGAGGGAGGGAGGGAGAAACGACAGCGTGAGAGAAGGGAGGAGCTTCTGGAGGGAAGGGAATTGGGTGAGAAAAATTGGCCGAATCCAACGAAGCTGTTGGAATAATCTCTTCGCACCCCGTTCATTGCCGCCATCCTCGCATTATCGGCCATTTAAGCCAAATCTCCTCGACCTGTTCAAAAGGCGAGCGCAGATCGAGGAAGAAGACCCGGGGGAGACGGCGATATCATCTCCTGTTGCGCTGCTCTCCACCGCATCTATCACACTACTCCCCCCTTCTCTCCCCCAGCATTCATATCGTATCCCTGCCAGCCCACGCCGTTTACCCCATTCGTCTGCTCCACCCTCATCCATCTTCAATGAGATTCCATGCGTGATGCGGTTTTCTCTATCGTCGAAATGATGATAATGGGTCTAACGTAGATTTCTAAATCCCGCAATATTTCCCGTTTGATCCGATGAGATAACCGGGAACCTCTCTTTCTTGTTCATGCGTCTTACACTGTGAGTCGGTGGATCGAGCAAACCTGTGATAGATTCCTAGGAATGGCCAAGCGTTCCTCCCCGGCACAGAACCGGTCCCCTATTTTCTATTTCGATCGACCAAGGTCCTGACATCCTCGCCCTCTCCTTCTCCCTACTCTCTCTTTCTCTCTCTCTCTCTCTCTCTCGCGCGCGCGCGGTCTCGCTCGCTCTCATTTTGATCGACTTCAGGAGGATGTAGCATGCTCGACGAGCTCCTTTTGTTCCGGTGATGCCGAACGCTCTATAAACGCAAACCCTCCTGCACCCGCTTGCACATGGCGGAGGGCAAACATGTCAGCAGCGTTGGCGTTGGATCCCCTTCGTCGTCCTCCCCCATGCGGATCCAGCGCATCTCCATCTCCATCCTCTTCCACCGGAACCAGTGATGAAGATCCTCAACAAAAGGAAGCTGATGAACGGCGGCCATCACCCCTTCATCATCAGGATTTCCACGCTCATTGCGTAGAACCGAGAGGCTAGGAGCGTCGATTCTTTGCCTTCTTATTCGCAGGCAGAGTCCGTCTCCAGTAGACGAACGGTAGAACTACTTGTTAAAGGAAATAGATGATACGTACCTACTGTTATCTTTAGTAAGCAGAATTGACGGTTAAGACGGACTCAAGCAGATCCAACGACTCTATTCTCTATTCTTCTAGTTCTTCTTTTCCCATCTTCCATCTTTCTTTCTTGAAATCTGTTGTGCTTGAGGTGCTATCAAAGACTATGGAGACTTATTCTCAAATCGTCTCCAATGCCGCGCCTTCAATCACCGTAGTTGTTTCCACCAAACTCTTCATTACCGTCAAACTCTCTAGTGAAAATTACTCGATACAGAAAAAAATTATTCTCCCTTTGCTAAACGGTTACGATCTGCACAAATATATTGATCAAGATTCACCGCCGCAACTGATCAATCATGAACCCAATCCAACGTATTAACTACTGTGGCATAACGATCAACAAGTCTTAGGGTTCATCAGCTCCTCTATCTCCGAGATCGTGCTCTCCAAGTTTGGCACCAAAACTACATCCAAAGATCTTTGGAATGTTATACACAAAGTCTATTCTTTCTCCAATTGCTCTCGAATCATGGATCTTCAATGTCACCTTCACAACACCATTAAATGCGATTTGTCCATTGAAGAATACATTCACAATTTCAAAAAGTTTACTTAAGAGTTATCTCTAGCTAGTAAATTCGTGGATGAAACCTCACAAATTTGTGCCTTCCTTCGAGGACTCAGGCCAAAGTATTCAGCCTTCGACATTAGCATTAATGTCAATCTCGATCACCTTAGTTTTGAAGATATTTAGTAAACCTTTGCCCATATGAAGCCAATCTCATCTATCATCTATAACATAGCTAAAATTATATTACCAATCTTATAGCATTCTTAGAAAATTTAGCACAAACTACTCAATTCGATAAAAATAATAACGCAAATCCCAATTTGCAGTTCACAAATGGAGGATCAAAAAACAATCATGACAAAAGAGGTAGAGGTAATCACAATTAGCAACCTCGCTGTCAACTCTGCTCACAATTTAGACAAAGTTTTTTAATGTCGAGAAAGGTTCAACCTCACATTCATTCTTCAACAACAACAACAATTCTTCTTTCTC